GCGACGATAATAATTAAATAATAATCGGTAGAATAAAGTTTCGCGGTAATTTTTAAGGGGAAATATTAATCGGGATATACCGCATTACCCTTTTTAATTTAATTATCTCTTACGGTATAATTAAACTAAGGAAGCTATAGTAATACGGTAAAACATACCCTCTTAATATATCATATAATACGTTACGATAGGCCTTATACCTATATAGAATAACCATAGCTTCCGTAAATACGGGATATACTATACTTATTATTTAATTTATTACTTAACTAGATTACTATCTTTATTATTTTTACCTTAATTAAAGATTCGTTTTTATTATTAGATTCGTCGTTTTCCGATTAATATATCTATCTTAATTATAAGCGCTTAAGTTACTTCGTCGTACCGCTATAGCCGAATAAATAACTTTTACGTTTTACCCCTTTTCTCCTCTTACTTCTTATGCCTTCGGGCTAGCGACTATTATATCTTTACGACTAAAAGGCATAGCTAAGATACGATAACTACATTAGATTCCTTGCCTCTCGATTAATATAGCGATACTAGTTTCATCCATCTTGAATTATCGTACGTACTATAATCCTCGATAGAGTATACTTTCGAGTAAACATATCCGGGTCTCTAATATCGCGTACGCTCTGCTCCTCCTTATTACTACGCGGCTTTAGCTTATTTTAGGCTATATAACGGGTTAATTAACTCGATAATCTTCGACTCGTCGTAACTATAGGTTTATTTCTCTTTCTTATAGGCCTTGAAATATTCTTTTAATATAAGGAATTACTTTATAAAGATCCTTTCGTTTAATTTCCCGTTAAGGTAAGCGGTAATAAAGTCGATCTAAAGGATATATTACTAATAAATAACGGCTAACGCTATTAGTATTCTTTACGATACTACCTTCGTCGTTATCGCCTTAGTTTCGTTATAATCGATACCTTTTCTCTATATATATCCTTAGGCGTAGATCCGTACCTTTAGTTTATCGAGATTTCCGTTAGATAGGAACTTCTTCTTTAAGACTTATTTAGCGTCGATAAGATAGCTATTAACTACCTCGCTCGGCTATATAAACTTAAACGTATTACGTTTTAGGTTTTCTCGGATCTCCTTAAAAACGGCTTAGGTCTAAAGATTACGCTTTAATTCTTTCATTACCTCCTTAAAGAGCGGTTCGTTCTCGTTTATCCTAAATAAGCCCGCCGTTATTAGTACCATTTACCTATAGCTTTACTCCTACGATACGATAGTAAGCGTATTAATATAATATAGCTCCTTTCGGGGCGCGATTTTAAGCGTATCTTATTCGCCTTTAAATACTCCCTTTAACTCGCCTTCTTACGAGCCGCCTAGCGCTAAGGCGGAGCGTACCTTATTTAACTTAGGTAATACCTTTAGTATATAAATCTAAGGTAGTTTTTTTTTCGGGCGCCCTCTCCGGGGGCGTATCTTATCCTTATCTTCGTTTATAACGTCCTCGTCGACGATATTATTATCCTTATTACGAACGTTAATCGCTACGATCTTCTTCCGATACCGTAGCCGTTTTTAAACGTACTTAAGTAGGGATCTAACGACGTTCCTTAGGTCTAGGGCCCTTTCGGAATCTCCTAGTTCCTCGTAAAAAATAACGTAAGGCGTTTTTAAGAAACGACCTCCTTCTACGAGCTAAATTAAGTAATTATACTTCCCTTCGTAACCTATAAAAACGGCGCAGGCTTTACGTAGTTTTATCTTTTCGGAAACGACCCGATAATTCTTATCGATATAAGCTACGTAACGGCTACCGACGATACGTAGATACGCGTTATTAGGTTTATAATTCTTTCCTAGCTTTATACCGTCTATAAATCTCTCGTATAACGTAAGCTCCTTTACGAACGAAACGCCGGTCCTATTAATCGTATACGCCGTTACTACGAGAACGTAATCCTAGAAGTAAGTAAGGATCTTTATTTAAACGTAAATTACTTTAATATCGTCTTATAGGAAGCGTATACTTCTTTTCGCTACGCCGTTTTAATATTAATTATCTAACGTAAAGGTATCTAACGTAATATTCCTTTCGTTATAAAACTACTCGATAGCGTTTATACCGAACTTTCGGCCGCCGTTAAAGCGTAATATTTTTATCCTTCGCCGGTTCCTATCCGGGACGCTCGGTAATACCTCGAATAACTAATAAACTCGGGTAAGGTAAGTTATTAATACTTATTAAGCCTTTCCCTTAAACTTATACTAGGTAAACTCTTTATTTCGGCTATCGTCGTTTACGATTAATATAAAATAACGGTAGTTTTCGATCGATAAAAGCTATAACTTTCCGAGGTCGTATTAAGTAATCTCCCTAAGAGTTTAGGTACGCTCCTAAAGGTCCTTCGAGGATATTCTAGTAATCTTTACCCGATTATACGCGTAATAAGGTACCGTCTTTATAAGTACTAGGTCTAAATCGATTCCTATCGACCTTTTAATAATCTATATAAATCTTTCCGTACTAAGGTAATAAAAGCGGCGATACTATAATATTAACTACTTTATAATATTATCGTCTAGCTATATTAATATCGCTTATAATATCTCGCTAAGCTTACCGAATTAATACCCTAGCGCGTCCTCTTAATACCGTTTAAAGGAAAGGAGTTTCGGCTCCTTTTTCTTATGTTCCCATAATAGGAAAGCTCGTTTCTTAGGGTTTAGGATCGTTAAGACGGTCCCGTTAAGGTTTATAATATTATTCTTATCTAGCTAGCCTTCGCTACGATAAAATAACTTTCCCGAGAAGATCTTAATTAAGAAGGAGCTAATAAATAACGTATAATTTAGTTACGTTCGGTTATATCCCCCGTCGTCGCCGGTAAGGTAATAAATAGCTTTATTTATCTTTATAACGTTTATAGGGCCTCCTTCCGTATTAATAACGTAACCCGGTAATAACGTTACTACCGTTCTCGGGTCTAGATCTCTTAAATCGTTCGTAACGTAAATATTAGTTCCTATATCGAAAAGTAGGTAATCTTTATAAGTATTAGCCCTTACTTCGTAATTAATTCTTAAAGGCTTTACGGGCCGCTCGCCTTTTAGCGGGTTAGCTATAGTTAGGTTACTACCGGGGTTAATAGGAATAAGCTTCTATTTAAGGTCCTTCTTACGGCGTAATTCGTTATAGGCGCTTACTAGCCTAGAAAGCTTTACCGTATTTATCTTCGTTCGATATACCCCGCCTTCGTTATCGTAATAACCGAATTAAGGTAACGTATACGGTACGTACGTAGTATATTACGTCGACGGTTATTTCGAACCGCTCCTTAATCCGCCGGGGGCGTTATCGCCGTTATTATTACCGCCGCCGTTATCCTTATCCTTTCGTTTCTTAAGCGGTTTCGGGTAATCCTTAGTCTTATACTTATATTCCTTATAATTAAAGTAAAAGAGCTTTCCTTATTAATTTTACGAAGGCTTTTTCTTCTTGCCCTTTTCCTTACCTTAAGCGTTATTAGCTTAGTTATTATTACCGCCGTTACTCTTATTACCTTTATACTTATTAATCTTATTACGGAACTTTCCGCGGAAGTTATTAAGTACGTTTAATAGGTCTATAGGTTTCGTTTTAATTATAGTATTTACGATCTTAACCTAGTTAGCTACCTTATCTTATATATAGCTAAGGAATATCGTAATTTATTACTCTTTATCGATTACGAGGCCGGTATTTATATACTAACGAACGACTAGTTATTACTTAAACGTAAACTTTACCGGGTTCTTACCGTCGTATTTCATTTTAATAAGTTATTTCTATAGCTCTTATTAACGAGCCTTTCCTATAAAGGCATAGGTTTAATCGAATATCTTTAATATCCTCGTACCTAAACGTACGCCCGCTACTAACTATAAAGGTTAACCTTAATAGGTTCCGGCGATTACTTTCGCTAAGGATATCTTATCTTATTCGTCGAGTTCTACCTCTTCTCTATACCTTATCTCCTTTATAAAAAGCATAAGTATATCCCGATATAAGCTTTAGTTCGAAATTCCCTTAAAATAAGCGTCCTTATCGGAATTAAAGACGAACTTTTTTTAATTAATCCTACCGTCCTTTCTAAACGTAGTACCCCTGCTTCTACTTCTTGCCTTCCGGTTACGTCGTTTACCGTAATCGGAGTTACTATCGGAAGAGCTTTTTAATGGGTTACTTAAGCTACGGCCCCGGCGGCGGTAGCTCTTACGCCGGGCTAAGCGCGAGGTACGATAATAACGGCTATCCTCGCGGCTCCTACGGTAATCCTTACCGTAGATTCGTTAAGTCTCTATAACCGACTTATCTAGTTTCCTCGTAGCTATCCTCGTAACTATCCTTGCGATTTAATCGTTTAGCTTATCGATAACCTCTTTCCGCCGTTAATCGTAGTTATACGGTTATCCCGGGCCGCTCGTTTATCGGAGCTTTCGTTACTTAATTACCTCCGTAGCGTAAGTAGTTAGATAATAATAAAATAACGTAGTAATAAGCTTACGAAACGTATGAGGTACTACCATATAGCTATCTAAGGAACGGGTAAATAATTAATTAAATTATAGTTATCTAGGTAGCCTTTTAGAGCCGTTTTACGTACCTTTTATATCCCGATTAGCCCTCGCTAGGGCAGGGCTTACCCTGTGGCTGTACGTGACCGATTGCGTACTTACGCGCCCACACTATCTAATAATTAGTACTAAAGTTATAACGATAGTAGAGGAACGGGGAACTTACGTTAGTAATGGAATCTATATGATCTCTCGAAATCAAGGACTTGGGATTATTTATATTCCAACCGGAAACGAAGCATCGGAAGTAGTTCCGTACGGTTTAAATAATCGGTTTCCCGTTTAAATCGAGCAACCCTTTAATGGACTTAGCTATAAACTCGGCGAAATGTTTCAGAGTTTTCAAATGGTAAGGAGTGGCTTCGGGGTATATGGTTTTATACCTTAAAGAATGTTAATTCTAATTAAGACCGAGCGGCTGGAAACGAAACTTACTCAAGCCATAGCTCCATCTATACATCGTATCTTTCCTTGGTATAATCTAAGATATCCCGTGGAATAGGGTTATCGTTAATATCAGTATTATCGTCATTAAAGCCATTCTCCTTAGCATATCTCCTCTTCTCCTCTGCCGTCCTTTTCCTGCCCATCTTCGGCGACAACTTCCACTGAGAGAGCAGAAGAACCAAAACAGTCGGTAGCCGGTAGGGCAAATGGAGGCGTGGCGATACGCTGTGGTGTCTCAAGGGCGCCAAAAGCTGGATCTGACGGTTGACGGAGAATAGAATGACCCACACTCGAAATAAGCAGGGAGGGGGAACTGGAAGAATGAGAGTTAAGAGGATAAAGAAATGGAGAGTAATCGCAGGACCTGAACTGGGTTTATATGGGAGGACTCTCAGATTGGGTGGATGGGTGCCCATCGAGTCCTCGGGAGGAAGAGAGCCCATTTCTAGGACCAGGTGGCCCAAACGAAAAGTTGGCATTTTTCATTTTCAGAACTCCAGGGAGTTGCAAAGCACAGCCCATTTGTCTAAACCAGTTTTGGTGGTTTTCCTAATCACGACCTGAGTAGCGCCTGAGTAAAAGCGGCGAGGGGTGGTGTGGTTGGCAGGGGTTGGTGAGGGCAATCGATGCGTAAAGCAACAGGTAATGATTAGGCAGTAAGGCGGAACTGACACTGGGTCGACCAGGTCGCATCATGTAAGTTTATCTACATTCGTTAATAGCAGTTACTTTCGAATCCTTGTATACATGAGGCTTCTAAACGGGCATGGTGAAATGGCGGCTCAGTGAGCTACTACATACGGCACACTGCACTGAAAACTCTTCAATTGTACTATGAACACAGATAGCTCGAAAAGACTAACATGGGTACAAACGAAACGTGGGGTGGTAGCAAGGAGCCATGGAATGAAGGAGGAAAATCAGCAAATAAGAAGTCGATTTAGAAAAGATGCATATACTGTCAACTATTAAGATATGTTCTGTATACGTTAAAACCAGAATGCTAGTAGTTCTTATGCAACAAGTCTTATAGGTATTTGATTAAACAAGGTCCTCTATTATTAGCTACCAGTACTAGTCCTACATGCTATGTTTCCCTATCCGTCGAACCAAGTCACTGCCTGTATTCGATGTATAGCAGATAGAATCGCCAACTGAGTTTCCACTTTCTGCCTCACCACAAATATGTGGCAGTACATAGATATAAATGTAAGGATACTGCAAGCTGAAGCTCTTAATCAGGTACAAACCTGCAGGGAGGAGAAATCAAGCACAGGTAATACCACAGTGCAAATAATCCCAAACATGAAAAAGTCTTCTCATAGAAAAGGTACCTCTAACGAGGTAAGTTTCATCAAAACACGACAAGTATAAACACTATACAGAATCAACAAGGTACGTGGAGTCAACATAAACACGCCAACCCAACGGGATGTTGATATTACGCACCACTCTCTTTTCCCTCTCGAATTTTCTCCACTCCCGTCTCCTTCTACATCAAATTTCCTCATCACCATTGCAACACCAGTGAAGGAGTCAGCCTGTTCCCCGTCTCGTATCTAGGTCCAAAGCTTACTACCCCTTCCTCGTGCGGCTACCTTAGGTTCTCGTCACACATATTCCAGCACCGGGACAAGACAGCTTTCCTCCTGATATCGTCTAAGCTCCTCCGGTCTCTTGCAACTACCCGTCTCTGCATGTACGCCCCGAGTTATCATCCCCCGGTTGCTGGCCCATCAAGCAAAGGTTAATCACATGGCAGATTCACAAGCCGTCGTGATGGATTCCTCTCCCAAGGGTGTCAGCACCCCGAAGGCCAAGTCGTCTGCTGATTCCCAGTTGCCGCGAACCGCTGTGATGGATTCCTCTCCCAAGGACGTCAGCACCACGAAGGCCAAGTCTGCTGATTCCCAGCTGTCTGCCCGCGAGATGGAAATCCTGGCTGTGACATTTGCAAGCTATGAGGAGGCCCCGAAGGTATGTCAATCCGACAGTTAACCTCCTAGTAACAAGATGTCGGGTGTTATACCGGCCGTCCAGTCCGTTTATCATTGCAACCAACATAAACCTCTGTGTGCCCTCTTTTTCTACTCTAACTACCAGCATCCTCACTATCCCAAAGTCATCCGGTTACCTATTGTTGTTCCACGACAGTGTGTTCCGATTCTAACGGGGCTTGAGTAGATCGACTGGCAGAAGGTCGTGGACAAGGCCGGCTTCAAGAACGTCTCGTCGGCTCGCGCGTGCTTTGCTCCTGTGAAGCGAAAGCTTCTCGCCCTGGCCGCGCAGAATAATACGGGAGGAGCAGTCGACGAGTCGGCCCTCCCCGAGACGCCGTCGTCGAATGCCGCCAGCAAGCGCAAGGCCGCCGGGGATGCCAACAGCTCGCCCAAGAAGAAGAAATCCGGCCGAGTTCCGCTCCCCGGCGGAACGCCCAACCCCAAGCCGAAAGAGTACAAGGAGGACCCGGTCCACGCCCGCATCAAGGCAGAGATTAGGGAGATGGAGGAGAAAGAGAGACAGGAGGCGGCAAAGAAAGAGGAGGAATAATGGCGGCGCCATTCGATGACTTGATACCGAGGAGCTAAGAAAAGCACTCGCTTCCTGTCTGTATGAATGCCGCATCTCTTCAGCGGGGCTCCCATTGTGTCTTTCTCGGTTTCGCTCGATATGCGTCTACGACACATTCTCTCCTGTTCCCCTACAACATCTCCCCTCCTACCTTGTTCTCAGAGAGGGTCGCTCACCACAGCATCTTCTCTTTCCCCAAGTTGTGTGTGCTATCGGCGCGTGGCTGTTGCGGGTTGATGCCAACACTCGGAGTGGCTCCTGTACCTAGTCGCGATGGTCTTTAATTGCAGACAGAATTCTTTCTGACCAGATGAGTCCCACTACGGCGCCGGCGCTAGTGCGTTATAAGGCCCTACTAGGTAAGGTATACTTGTAGATTGGGTTTCGCACCTCTCAGCTAGCACAGTCAGAGTAAGGCTGTTGCTATTACCTAGATGATCTTCGGCTGGATATCGGCGCACGGTTCACGGCGACAATAGGCAATAGAGCGAGCCTACATCCATCCCGAAGGAGTCATGTGGTTGGGTACTGGGTACGTAGTATTAGTTGACACCGCATTTTCCCCACTTCCCCATCACGGCCCTCATGACCAGCGATATGGTGTGCGTGTGCCGACGCTCGCGGTCGTGATTCGGTACGAGCAAGCAGGGTTTTGTCGAGTCTTTGCGGCGGGATCGTGGCCATAGGCATTCCTGCCCGAGCCAGGCCGTTGGTTGCCTCCCTCCTGCTCGACCCTCTGAAACCTGTGTTAGCAATACCTCTGACCTGTGGCTCGTCGTCCGTGACACGTCTGGGACGCATCCGCAGAGAAAAACATGAACGGGAATTCATGATGCACTAGGTACCTGCGCTACCTGACACGATGCTAGCCCAAACGTTCCCGCGTAGGGCATGTAGGGATCCAGGGTGGTCCGGTAACGCCTCTGTTACGTAATTGGCCACCTACGAGGTGCCATCTGGGCTGCCGGCGAAACTGCGCTAGCGGCTTAACCAGAGTGGATACCTGCCAGCCTGCCGCGGGCCGCACACGTACATGCATATATGTGTGTATGCGGTATATGTATGCATAGCAACCTTATATGCGTAAGGTTCTCGAGACGACGTCTCGGCTCTTGGCGTGGTGTCAACGTTGCAGCCGCTTCCATCATCAGGCAGGAAGGGTCAGATCATAGTACCGTACCTGACATGGCACCGCCTGTATAATGTCCTAGGGCACCCATTTGACTGTATTGCTGTGACAAGAGAAGGGGAAACAATAGGGATAAAGGAGGGAGGGATGTTGATGGATGGGTTCGGGTTCTTCAGCTTTTATGAAACCCACTCGGGTCTCGAGCAGTATATATATATATGTATGTATCTTCTGTACATATGTATATATCCGATTGAAGATGCCCGCTTGTTTTTTTTTTTCTTTTCAAATCCCTTCCGCCATCCTATCAACGCTTCCGTATTTTCTACCTACCTCACTCTGCATATCCTCTCCGCCCCCATACCGCATTCTCCTGCTCCCACTCCTCCTCCCATCCCCATCTCCATTCCCACGCCATGCACAATGTAGTCAAAGCACATTCGATAGTAGCTCTTCTTTGCCAATAAAACCACTGCCTGGCGGCCTATCACCTCCTTTATTCGTTCTCTCGTATCCTTAATCGACGATACCAGCTGCTGCTCCTCACGTCGCCTCTTCCTAATCCATACCGCTCACCAATGGATGGCAGGAATCTTCAAACCTCACTGTTCTAAGCTGGCTAGGAGCAAATCGGTTGGCCTCCCCTATTGTGTCTCTCACATCTATATATGTGATCACAATCGATCCATATTCCCCTCATCTTCTAGGCCCCCTCTCGCTACCCCCCAGCGGTAGAGGCATAGAGAATGTCATCATCACGACCCTCTTCGAATCCAGCTGGCTCGCGGCCTCCACCTCACGATCATACCCCGTCAACCCCGAGCGGTCTTCGTCAGAGCCGTACCCTCTCTTCGTCGACGATGGGCGAGGACGCACCGGGAGTCGCCGCAGGACCTAGCACGCCGCAGGCCCCTTCCCCCGACGAAATCCACGAGCACACGTCCCTGCTGCATCACGAACGTGCCCACGACGGTCCCTGCGACCACGGCACGTTTTCCCCTCGTGTCATGAGCCCAGCGCCGAGGGGGATCAGTTTCGACGCCGAGTCGACGTCGATGGCGGATTCGGACACCTCTCTGCTGTCTAGCGAGACGCAGGCCAAAGCGAGTTGGAGGAAGACTTTCTCGAAGAAAGTGCGCAGCAGGAAGATGACCGAGTCGGGCACTATAGCGCGGCAGCACGGCGTGAAGGACTCGTGGAGCATGTACCTGTCGTACTACGTGCCGTCTCTCATATGGATCAAGCAGTACCGGTGGTCGTGGTTGAGGGGCGATCTCACCGCTGCCCTCACCATCGCGTCCATGTACCTTCCCATGGCGCTCTCCTTGGCTGATAATCTCGCTCACGTTCCCCCGATCAACGGATTGTACGCTTTCGCCATCCAACCTCTCATATACGCGCTGCTGGGAAGCTGCCCGCTCATGATCGTCGGCCCCGAGGCGGCTGGCTCCCTACTGATCGGGTCTATCGTCAAGAGTCGCGTCGACCTCGTGCATGAGAAAGACGATGCCATGTTGGAAGCTGAGGTGGCCGGTATTGCTGTCGGCATCTCTAGCGTTACTGTTTTGCTTATGGGGATATTCCGCTTGGGCTTCCTCGACAGCGTATTGAGCCGTCCCTTCCTCCGCGGTTTCATCTCTGCCATCGGCGTCGTCATCTTCATCGACCAGCTGACGCCGGTCCTGGGACTGGTTCAAGCATCCAAAGGCGTACCGGGTCTCTCGCACGGTAGCACGGTGCAGAAGCTCCAGTTTGCGTTGACGCATCTGGGCGAGAGACACCATCTTACCGCCCTGGTCGGCGTCGTATCCTTCGTTGTCATTATGGTGCTGCGGTAAGTTGAGGCCCACTAACCTCTGCCGGAATTCTAGCTCATCTTGAACTCAGAGAAATCAAGCGCCGCCTCCAGCCGCGGTATTCGTGGGTTGCCCACTTCCCCGATCGGGTTCTCGTCGTTGTGGGATCTGCGCTCCTGGCCTGGCACCTGGACTGGGAACATCACGGTGTGCATGTCTTGGGTAAGATCGAAGCCGCGTCCGGCCACATCTTCACAATCCGCAACCCGTTCAAGCTATCCAATATGCCGCAGATCCGGGAGGCCATGGACACGTCGTTCTTAATCGCTATGCTCGGATTCTTCGAATCTTCTGTCGCCGCTAAAAGCTTGGGTGGTGAGGAGAGCATCGAAGGGATGCAGCTAAGTCCGAACCGCGAGCTCGTAGCACTCGGGGCGTCTAATCTGGTGGGCTCTTTCTTTATGGCGATTCCGTCGTTTGGTGGGTATGGCCGAAGCAAGGTTAGCAGGAGTGCAGGCGGCAAGAGTCCTATGACTTCGCTGTTGCTGAGTCTCATCACTGTGATCTGCATTTTATACCTCTTGCCGTGGTTCTATTACCTTCCCGTGAGTGTACCCCCCGCCTCCCGTCGGCGCACGTTGCTCTGCTCCACCGAGGATTTGGCTACGCCCCAACACGACGATGATGGTTGCGGCTGCTAACTCGAAAAATTAGAAACCCGTCCTGTCGGCTCTGATCATGGCGGTGGCCTGGTCCCTCATCGAAGAAGCGCCTCACGACATTCGATTCTTCCTACGAATCCAGGGCTGGACGGAGCTTTATCTCATGGCTGTCATTCTGGCTGTCACTATCTTCTTTTCCCTGAACCTGGGTATCGCAATCGGCATCGGCTTGTCGCTCCTGCAAGTTGTCCGCCATTCGACCCGCCCTCGCATACAGATCCTGGGGCGCATCCCCAATAGCGATCACTTTGCCAATGCCGAAGAGCACCCCGAAAACCTTGAGTTCGTAGAAGGTTGCCTCATAGTGAAGATACCCGAGCCGCTTACGTTTGCCAACACGGGAGAGTTGAAGAATCGTCTGCGGAGGCTCGAGTTGTATGGTACGGGTAAAGCCCATCCGGCGCTACCGCGTCTGCGTCCCCAAACGAGCAACAGAAACGTCATTTTTGATATCCACGGGGTGACATCGATGGATGGCTCCGGCACGCAGGTGCTCGAGGAGATCGTGCGCAACTATCGCGATCGTGGCGTCAGGGTCTTCTTTAGCCGACCCGTCAGTCGCGAGAATAAGGTGTGGGAACTCATGGAGCGGAGCGGAATTGTAGAGCTTGTCGGGGGCAGCCACCGATTCGTCGACGACGTGAAGGACGCCCTACGCATGACGGAAGTGGAAGAATACGAGGAGTTGGGGGCGTGCGCCGCAGCCAGTGACAATCTCTCTTAGGTGGAGAGGGGCCTGGACGTTGCGAAAACGATGACCTCAGATGACACAGCTCCGAAGTTCGAATACCCGCTGATGCCGGTGGAACGCTCTATGGCGATTACAGCGTACAGTTCTACACTATGACGACGGCAACAATACTAAGCAGGGGAAGGGCCATCGTCTCTTCCTCCCCAGCAAGCCCTTCGAGACGCAATTATCTACTCTTCAGTGGATCACGCCACATCTCCCGTCTATCGACAGGTGCAGATAGGTCCGATATCGATGCAATCCCATCCGGCGTTTTGGCTTGGCTAGGTATATTATAGGAGACGTAGATCCGATTCGATAGAGTGACACGCATGATAGCAGAAGGGAAATAGCATAGCGGTCCGGGGCATTCAGGGATAGCCATTTTTCACTTTTTATACATAAGCGCCATACATAGACAGCATAGCCGCTTTCTCGGGGAACAACAATTGATATACACTTGATGCCAAGAAGTTGCAGCAAATCGCGTTACCTGTTTTCCGTGAATGGAATTGCGGGTATGCGGCTCGAGTCGTCGTGGTACGGGAAGCCGGCTCTCTCTCGGCTAACCGGCACCGTAGCGCGTGGAGAGACGGCCCCCACGAGACGGGACGGCGGCGTATAAGAGAGGTACCAGGGACGTTTTTATCTTTTTACGCACTCTCTTCCTCGTTTCCTCTCCTTTCCTACGGACGAAATGTAGACACGCACCTTGTGGTGCCAGCTAATACGGTATACCACGGCTCTCCGGCCTCGTGGCGGGCTGAATGCACTACGGACGGCCGTCTGGTGGACAATCGATGCAAACCGCCCGCGTTACCCAAACGCTAAACGACCAACCTCCTACCACGAGCTGGAGGGCGAACGAGCCCACGGGTCTACGTCTCAATCGTTGTCGTTGCCGTTGCCGCTGCTGTCACACAGGGGAAAGGGGACGCGACAGGCTACGCAGTGACCTATTACCGACTTGGTCAATCGACCGGAGGCAATGAGTGACGTCCTACTTCTATCGAATGCAGCCGGAGGGAACCCGCCTACGCCTCAGGGGCGATGTGGCCGCCGCGTACTTACCAAAGAGCAAAGAGCACCCGATAGCCCCGGCACCCGTTGCCTGCAGGCGCCGTCGACCTACCTAGGCACTCGGCTGTGCTGGTCTGCGCTGGTCTGGGCCTCGTACGGCGTCTCGCCCCCGCATGTGCTATGTGGCCCTCTTTGCGCTCGTATCGCGGTCCCCTCGGCCGCCGCGCGCGTCGCCTGCGCCCGAAGAAGGGAGATCATCACCACCAAAGGGGAGACGGCCCCGGGAAGGGTAAGAGGAAGGAGGGCTGAGCCGTCCTTCGCCCGATTCCCGCCACCAGATAGCGGCAATCACGTCGGCACCGCGCCGCTGCGTGCACGTAAGCGGGCAAGGCGAAAACGAGGGCGAAAACGAAGATGAAAAATGACGATAATAATTCCAGAAAAGTACGTGACTCACCGCTGTCGCCTCGGCGCCGCGCTATCTACTCTCGCCTTCCCCTCTCGCAGCCGGTGGGCGCAGCAGCAACATAAACGTCACCGCCCAGCCCCCAGCCCCCTAACGAGAGCGGAGTAGGGCAGGGGAAGGCCGCGATTTTTGTGTTGGGCTGGCTTGGCTGGCACGGCATGGTCGATACGGTTTCCCGAAAGGATGCAACAATTTGTCATTTCGCAGGTCTTCTCTGCATCGCTTCGTTGGCGCGCTATCGAGTTAGCTACTCCGCGGATAGTAGTAAGCCGAGGACGGATAAAACGGGGTATTTTCATTCCCGAGCGCCTCTTTATGCTGTAGGTGCTTAGATACCTACCTAACCTGCTTCCAGGTGAGTATTTGCGAATTAAAAAAAAAAATTTAACGAAACCGATGCGTCAGGTAGGGACAAGGATATATGTTCACACAGGTATCTTCTGAAGTTCAAGATGTGGGTATTTTTCGTTGAACAATTGCCAGATCCCGTACCCTGTCCTCGCTTCGGTGCGTCATTTCAAAATACGACTAAAACTATCATCTCTCAGGCGGCAAGGATGATATATGCTCTCAGCTCTCGTTGCTCTTTTGATTCATCCAATTGCTTTGTTGTACCGCGTCATCAACTTCTCTTCTGCTTCCTTGACTTACCGCTTGAGACCGCTGCACCACTTCGCCTCGACGCCAACCACGACACCGTGGCATAAAAAAAAGAATACATCTGATTTTATAAGCATGCATTTAAATATTAAAACTAATATTTTCCAATCGAAACCGGGTTTCCTCTCGTGATGTACCCAAGGTACGCGATTCCATGCGCCACCGCATAAACCCCACCGAATTCCAGCTGATAGGATAATATCCCACGCCGGCTCCCTCCCATTACAGTTACCCCATCAGAGCCCCATCTTCGGAGAATTGGTCACCAAGGAAGATACCGCATATAAGCCTACCCACTATACGTAACTCATGGCATCTATGTTCTTTCACGTGAGTATCTAGAAACTATTCACATCCAAGTAACGACTTTACAATGGGCTGAAGTTTAGTAACTTTGAAAACACTTGGAACGGCCTGTTTAAAGAGGTTGGGGATTTCAACCTCAGTCCAGAGGCACTCTGGGCGATGGGTGCCAAGGAGGAGCAAGCACAGCTCGCCCAGGACAGGCAAGCCCCATACGTACAGCGACATCCGCGATCCTCTCGGTTAAATGCAGCTTCTAGAGGAGCACTAGTAAGCTTTTCGAGGCTCTCGTAGTTAATATACTGCGATGCTCCTGCAAGGGTCGTTATCCTACGAGGCGCGTACTTGCTTCAACACCGAGATAATACTAACAAGCCCAACGTTTCCGGCTTCTTTACTAAGCCTAGGCACGCACAACGAAGGATACGCGTTATTAACGTATCGTTTCACCTAGGAATTAAGTGCACAGCTACCCTAGCAGCTGAGGTGCGACTATCCCTAAGCTTAGGACTGCTAAAGGTAGTTAGATAACCGGCTAACAAAATAATCACCGTTCGCTCACCCAACCTGTAATTAGCGGGTCGGTCATTCTGAAGACGATTACACCCTTCTAAGTGATATGCCTATGTATCCAAAGGGGCAAATGTACACAGGCGTCTACGTTTTCGCGCGACAAATACATTTTGTACGTTTAGAAAGGCGACGGCGTGCCGAGATCGGCACTTATAGCTCACGACTCTACGCGATACACAGTTCGGAACGAGCTTATTATCGTTTAATTTATTGGCCTACACGCCCCCGTTTTAATACCTGACTCTGATCTTCACTATAGTTAATATATCTGATGCTCTCGGAGATAAAACAGGTATATTTAGGCACGTAATAGCTGAGATGGTCCCTCGTGCATGTGTATGGCTTAAGCTTTCTATTGACTTGGATTTCCGTTCTCGGCCCAACCATACCCCTCCTCGTCTGTAACCTGGATTTCCTCGGCCTCGGATAGGTAGCTCAGCTACGAGGGCGGGTCGGCGTACGATGGTAAATCAGTAGACACACGCAGTCGCATGTTCGATGTCACCCGGGTCCGGACCCTGCGCCGACCGCGGGTTACCGGAGTTTCACTTGTGGTCAGTTATCAAATCTGCCTTGGCAAGCGAGAGAGCCCAACCGTTAGTCGGGTCGTCGCCAACGCCACAAGCAACGCACCACGACTTAATATTGGATGTCTCGAATTATACGGACATCACGCCTTTTTCTTTCACCTTTTTTCAGGCCATGAAAAATCTTCAGGGGCCAAAAGGCCGATCGTCTGAGAGCAACGGAGGGGCAGCCTAACTACCGGCAGGTTCCGCTTAGGACAACGGGCGGCTTTCGTTTAAATATCATCATATCGGGCGTTTATCCCACAATCATTAACTTTCTGGACTGCGGCCGGAGAGGAACTCTCAAGCCTAATATTCTGCCTACGTGAGAACCCTAGTTGCACATTTGTGGCATGGATTTCCCGGGGCGTCTTTATAGTTTCACAAGTCATCAACGACAACGGCCCGTCTCGATACAATAATATCCTTGCCGCTCTAACTCTCGTGTATTACAATACCAACGGATTAAGTTTCTTACCATCCTCACAGCCCTAGGACAGACTCACCGAAAATCGTCAACCGCGGTAAGGCAGGATTCAAATCAGTACCAAGGGTATTGTAAGCATAAGGCTTCTGCTCCTACCCTAAGTTAGCATTGGCTCATCTCTACAAGTGGACTCGCCAAACCGCGTTCAACGGTAGAAAGATCTTGCCTCTAGCTAAGCAAAGGATTATCAGTTACCTATCCCCTATTGGTGACAATGTGCTGAAATTATTCAGGCTCTTTCCCTCTCGGCGAAGCCATAGCCACTCTATGCTACTCTGACGTCGTATACATGACGACAGAGATTCCATAAACCAGACATTAAGAACATCACACTCGAACTCACGGAAATAAGCCCGCAAAGCCTCGTATGCTTTCATCATGGTGACGGCGCGTCGAGACCACTCCGCCCCTCGGCCGATGATCGATCAACATATCCGCCCTGCTCTCATCAGGACATGGCCGGAATCTGATACCAGGATTCCCCTACCCTCGACTGACGGTAAGCCCAAGGGCTCATAGAAAGACTTGCCTGAATACCTAACGTATTATGCTCCATGGGCAAAGGCCGGGATCCCACCACATGTTACCCGAGTAGCCTACCCGTGCTACTATCCCAGTACTAGGTACCACGTTAAGGATTACTTATAATGAGGCTGTGTTCGCGATAGCGTAAGACCGGATCCGTACCAAGCCTGGATCCGCGCGAGAACCTTTTGCTCTTGACTATGAGTACAGAGATAGGAGCCCGGGGCTTCCGCACACGCGCCCGAGGTCAGATCCGTGCATCTAAGACTCGTGCGAGAATCGCCCTGCTGTGCCTAGGGACCGCAAACAAGTTTCTATCGAGGGAAAATAGAGTGGAAAACTCCTAGCACTGGGGCTGGAAGAGTCGGGAAGTTCTGCTGTGCCCAGCCTCGGCATTAGCGGGACCCATCTAGGTCAGCATTGCTGGATACCGACGACGACACTCCACCCCTCACTCCGACCCGAACTTGGTCGTTCCTTATCGTCCCACTGCTTTGCACCCACGAGACAGCTTCCAACGTGTTTGATACCGGTTAGTTGTGTATGGGGGCTCAGCCACCCTTAGCGCTTCCGCGATCTTCGGCAGGGTCTGGTTTAGGACGCCAAGGGCGACGTACTCGATCTCTCTGGTAGCCTACGTTGCAGGTTTAGTTGCGTTGTCTACCACGTCTCGGCCGCATAAAATCGCTGTCGTCACTCTAAGATCAGAGGGCGCAACGACGAGACGGGTAGGCGTAAGAGAAAGCTGGACGGCGGGCTGTGAGGATAGTACAGAGAGGGTTGCCTACACTACGTACCACACGCACGCGACCTACTATAGGAAAGGTATAACTCTGTGCTTGTTTATAGAGCGTGTCCCCCCGCATTTGGAGAGACTAGGCGCCTACGCATTGAATGGATGATGACATACCTACAGCCAAAATTCGAGGTGGGACCGTGGGACCAGGACGCAATAACGCTTCACGAATGAGAATTCCAGACCCTATTGCCACGCAGTATAACAGCCAAGAAGGGCAGCGTTGGAGCGGTGCGATCGGGAGTTGAGACGTGTGCCCAACCGGTTTACCGCCATCGGCCGGAGGCGGAGAGAGAGGTAGGGAGAGATATAGAGGTACTTCATAGCCACAGAACCAGGTACTTATTAACTTACCTAGGTAATACCTGTGGAAATTGACTGATCGTGTCGACTTGCTGTATAACTGGAAGAGGTAGCAATAATACTAACAAGACGGTAAAAGCGTTCAGTCATTTTTACTTAATCGGGCCTCCAGATTTTGCCAATATTGCATATGCAAGTAACCAGGCTGTACCGCCTAATAGTGCACATCTACCTAATTAGGTACCGTATGTCAGAGGCCTAGCCCAATCGGGTAGGAGGCGTGTAGTAGTACCTATGTACATCTGTCTACTAATCTCTACCAATCTTTCTATCGGCTGCCTGCTATACTTACCTCCTTAGGCATATCCAACCAACCCACCCTCTGCGATGTCGAACAACAGCGTTCCCTTCAACATCGCCGGCTCCCCTGGTTCCTCCTCTCGCCAACTATCGCGTCGACTATCTACCACACAGTCACAACTACGCATTCAACCCCCGGGCTTGTCGAAATGAAGCAGGTCGGTTTCGATGATGGGACCAGCGTGAATCGCTCAACCTCCGATTGGGCCCCTTCGAGCACAGCCTCCCTTGGCGCCCCTCTTTGCGAAAGAGCAAGAGAAGGTCTTCGATCGCAAGTCTAACTTCCCAAGATCCTGTGTACATACACATATTCTTGTGGTAGTAGCCGATTATCGATCGACGATAGAGTCGGCCTACAAATCCTTGTCTCCAACTCTTCCCAGTCGACCTAGTTAAGAAGCGGAGTTGCATGCAGGCATATTGCACTATATATACGGACGACCGTAGCGCTGCCTAGCTCACGCTGCAGAACGAAGCGGCCTCCAAGACACCCAAATTTTGCCTTCCGCTAAGGCCTACGGTACAGAGCCGCTCTAAAGCTAGGTTTACAATTCAACACAGCCTCCTGGCGGCATAGTGCGCCTAGCGGCTTCGTGACCATCCGAGATCCCCACGGAGCCCTCTTTGCCTCTAAGCCTTCAGGCGTTCACCCACACACGACACACACACGACACACGACGCGCGCTGTGCCGAAAACTTGACATCAGCAGGGCCACGGAATCTGAACCCTTGCCCAAGGTCCCAGACTGAACACGCGCGGCCTCGGCAACCGTACCAGAAACCTCACCCACCCTCCCACTAGTGAAGTGGATTTTTGGCGCTATCCTGAAAAGACGGCGCCTTGCCTCCTCTAGGCTCCAAGGCACTTCACCGCATAAGCTCTCCCAATATATGGACCTACCGGACCACCATATATCATTTACCGAAAAGTCCTGTCCGTAAAGACAAGGCCGCTACGTACGGTCATCTATATACATACAGCGAGAATCTAGCAGGAATTCAGCAACGACCCCACCAGTTCTCCGAAGTCGTTGAGCCCTACGGCCCTTTATCATCAAGCCACTACTACCTTAATACCCTAATCTCTAAAGGCCAACAAACAGAACTACTCCGAGCCATGGCGGGCGATACTCTGGCACCACCGATATTAGTGGTAGACACACGAACACGCCCAAGGAGCGACACGAACGAGACTAGAGCCGTCACCCCCTCTGGCTCTTTCGTATCGAATGTCTCGACCATATCAAATCCATTCCTGACCCCTTCCGCTTCCAACAGCCCGTTTCTAACGCCACCTCAGTCAGACTGTGGGTCAAGCGTGTTGACGGTGGATCCGGCAGCCACTCTCCGACCGGATCCCGGCGCCGAGGACGATTTCCACGTTGACAACAACCCGTTTGCGTTCAGCCCCGGCCACTTAGACAGGCTCCAGGACCCTAAATCACTACCCGCGTTCTGCGCGTTGGGTGGCCCTCAAGGGATAGCACGCGGCTTGCAAACGGATCTCCACGCCGGTCTCAGCATCGACGAGACGTCGGCACCGTCATCCATCACATTCGAGCAGGCCGTCAGAAGGACGTCCGATAAATTCCCGGCGTCGGAAATCCTGACATCTCCCCCCGGTTCCGGCGCCTTCGTCGATCGCATACGCGTCTTCGGGAAAAACGTGCTGCCGGCGAAGAAAGCCACACCGATATGGATATTGATGTGGAATGCTTACAACGACAAGGTCATCATCCTACTAACCGTGGCTGCGGCCATCTCCCTCGCCCTCGGCCTCTATGAAACATTTGGAACCCCCAAGGAGCCAGGGGCACCCCCATCTGTCGACTGGGTCGAGGGTGTGGCGATCATCATAGCCATCCTCATCGTCACGCTCGTGGGGTCGCTGAACGATTGGCAAAAAGAGCGGGCATTTGTCAGGCTAAATGCGAAGAAAGAGGATCGAGAGGTCAAGGTCGTCCGGTCTGGGAAGTCGTTTATGATTAATGTTCACGATATCCTCGTCGGAGACGTCATCCACCTCGAGCCGGGTGACCTAGTTCCCGTCGACGGCATCTTCATCGACGGACACGACCTCAGATGCGACGAATCGTCAGCAACTGGAGAGTCCGACGCCATCAAAAAGACCCCAGGCGAGCAAGTGATGTCACAATTAGAATCCGGCGCAGACCCCAAAGGTCTCGACCCCTTCATCATTTCTGGCTCGAAGGTGCTCGAGGGTGTCGGCACATTCATCTGCACCGCAGTCGGCGTGAACTCGAGCTTCGGTAAGATCATGATGTCGGTACGAACTGAGATCGAAGCGACTCCGCTCCAAAAGAAGCTCGAGCGGCTCGCAGTCGCTATCGCTAAGCTTGGAGGCGCAGCAGCTATCCTACTCTTCTTTGTCTTACTCTTCCGCTTCGTCGGCGGACTATCCACAGACACTCGCACAAGTTCGGTGAAGGCCTCAGTCTTCTTGGACATCCTGATTGTGGCTGTCACCATCATCGTCGTGGCTGTGCCAGAGGGTCTGCCTCTGGCCGTGACACTGGCGCTAGCCTTCGCCACCACCCGGCTCCTCAAGGAGAAAAATCTCGTGCGCGTGCTACGCGCGTGTGAGACGATGGGCAACGCCACGGCGATCTGTTCGGATAAGACTGGCACGCTGACCACCAATAAGATGACCGTCGTCGCGGGCACCTTTGGCCAATCGAGTTTCGCAAAATCGGAGGTTGAGAAGCCCGGCACCCGAAACGTTTCACAATGGGCATCTGAGCTAGCACAGGCGACTAAGGATGTCGTAGTGCAGTCGGTCGCCGTCAATTCTACGGCGTTCGAGGGCGAGGAAGCCGGCCAGTTTACCTTCATCGGCTCCAAGACTGAGACCGCGCTCCTCCAGCTCGCGAAGGACCACCTGGGGATGCAGTCGCTGGCCGAGGTTCGAGCCAACGAGCAAGTCGTTCAGATGATGCCTTTCGACTCGGCCAAGAAGTGCATGGGCGCAGCTATCAAGCTGCGAGATGGCTCGGGGTACAGGCTCTTAGTCAAGGGGGCCTCGGAAATCCTGCTCGACTACTGCAGCCAGAAGGCAGATATCGATTCGCTCGACGCAAGCGAACTCACCGACGGCGATCGCATAGAATTAGGGTCGCTTATTAGAACCTACGCAAAGGGGTCGCTGAGAACCATCGGAATCGTGTACAAGGATTTCACGCAGTGGCCCCCAGCTGGTGCAGAGCTGGAAGATGGCCACGTTCAATTTCATACGGTCCTCAACAACCTCGTTTGGCTCGGCCTCGTCGGCATCCAAGATCCTGTCAGGCCTGGCGTCCCCGAGGCGGTCCGCAAGGCGCAAAATGCCGGTGTTGTGGTCCGCATGGTAACCGGCGACAATGCGGTTACTGCGCAAGCAATTGCTACGGAATGCGGTATCTACACGGGTGGCCTCATCATGGAAGGTCCCGAGTTCAGAAAACTTAGCGAGAAGGAGATGGATAGCAAGCTGCCGAGCTTACAGGTGCTGGCGCGATCATCGCCCGAGGATAAGAGAATCCTGGTTGCTCGGCTCAAGGCTCTCGGAGAGACGGTAGCCGTCACTGGAGATGGCACTAACGATGCGCCGGCCCTCAAGACCGCCGACGTCGGTTTCTCGATGGGAATTTGCGGAACCGAGGTGGCTAAGGAGGCTTCGGAGATCGTACTGATGGATGACAACTTCACTTCTATTCTTACCGCCCTCAAGTGGGGACGGGCGGTCAATGACTCTGTGCAGAAGTTCCTTCAGGTAAATCCCGGCTAGGACGTGTTTTCTCAGGGGCCTTCTAATACTAACGTATCGCCAGTTTCAAATCACGGTTAACATCACCGCCGTGCTCCTGGCCTTTATCTCCGCCGTCGCCGATCCGGACATGCACTCCGTGCTCACCGCCGTTCAGCTCTTATGGGTGAACCTCATCATGGACACCTTTGCCGCGCTCGCGCTCGCCACTGATCCGCCCACCGAACGAATCCTCGATCGCAAGCCGCAGCCGAAGAGCGCCCCGCTCATCACGACGAATATGTGGAAGATGATCATCGGGCAGGCAATCTTCCAGTTGGCCGTCACGCTCGTCCTCCACTTCGCCGGTGCCCAGATCCTCGGCTACGACCGGAGCAACACGACCCAGAGGCTGGAGCTTAACACCATGGTCTTCAACACGTTCGTCTGGATGCAGATCTTCAACGAGTTCAACAACCGGCGCCTCGACAACAAGTTCAACATCTTCGAAGGCGTCCACCGCAACCAGTTCTTCATCATTATCAACATCATTATGGTCGGTGCGCAGATCGCGATCGTGTTCGTCGGCGGCGCCGCTTTCGAGATCACCGCTATTAACGGCACGCAGTGGGCCATCTGCGTCGTCGCCGCGGCGGTCTCGCTCCCGTGGGCCGTCGCGATCCGGCTTTTCCCCGACGCCTGGTTCGCCAAGATCGCCGCCACCGTCGGCGCGCCGGTCGTCGTAGTGTACCGGTTTCTAGCTAAGCTGTGCCGCAAAGTCGGTTTCGTGTTCAGCAGGCTATGGAGGAGGGGAGGGAAGGAGACGGCGGACTCGCTGTCAGAGAAGAAGGAAGAGACAAATACCAACGCCGCGGCTCAGGGGCAGGAATCCGCCCCCGAAATTGTCGTGTGGGAGGGCAACGACAACGAGCGCGCAAAACCGAGCCCCGAAATACGCGTGCACGATCCGGAGCTGGGGCAACGATAGACGGTTTGGGATTAATAGGAGAGGGGTTAAAAGTGAGGAGTTTGGGATAGAGGCTAACACGGGTTCTGATTTATTTATATATGCCTACGTGTACATTATGTATATACGGCTGGTGTCGGTTCTCTCACGACGGCTTACGGGCGCGCGGGCATACCGATAGTATAATGCTTCTTTTCTTGGGACATATTCAAAACCACGGCTCTAGAGAAGCCAGACGAATACAAAGGAAATATCCTATATTATCGAATATCAGACATCACTGCGGACGTAGCCATGGGTGCTTCATAGGGGCTCGGGCGAAACATCGACTTCCAGAAGGCGTGTGTGGTGGTCAGGAATTGGAATTATCGTGGATGTGACACGAACGTGCTTACATCCAGGTTCTTTCTTGTCTGTCTCGCCTCAGAGAAATGAGACAACAGGTATCAAAACCACACCGTCATCCAACCGCGAGAATCTCTCCTGAGCTCCAAGACTTGGAGCGCTCTTGGCACTGCTAGCGGGGGCCGAACCCCGGGTCGATTTGGATACTGGATTCGGGAAGTGGAGTGCGATGGTGGCCAATCACCACGCTGTCGTTGAGACGCCAAGCACGTCTCCAAATGGGACGGGATCGCAGGTTAATCGTCGAGGTTCTGACGTTAGAGCGTCGAGTATCCGCGGATTACGGCGGACTATACGCGTATTTTCTCGCGGGAAAATACCAGCGTATTGCCCTTTCGGGAAACTGGACATGTCTCCTAAGGCGGTCGATCACAGGGTTCTTTGGTACATCGTCCGTCCGCCTGTTTATATGTACTGCACGTCGAGTTGTTATGCCTACTCTCGACACCTCCCTCTGAGGCACTTACACAGTCGAGACGCACGTGGCTTAAAGTCCTGGCCTTAGGCATCCACTGAGGTGTTCCCAAGGCAACCTACATTATATCTTAACTCCTTAGCTTATCTGATGCTTTTAGGCGGGTGAATATGTACGTATATATACGTATCTCAACACTGTGCGAAGCAATCCCCCCAAATCCCACATTCACTCTGTTTGCATTGAATACTATTAATACGCATTCACATCAAGGCCATAAATACTGGTAGACATTGTCTCGACAACCACACGCGAAATCGTGTAGGGCTACTCTAGTAGAGAAACTCTGTCCAACTCAAAAACCATGGTGCATACAGTATATTGAATCACGAGCGAGTACCTGGCCATTTTCTGACCCTCTGTCTTATATCAACGCTTGAGGGTTGATTGTGAGATGTTAGTATGTGCTCGATCTATCAAAAAGATGAGCAACTAATACTTGAATATGCCTCTCTTCCGATCACCCATCATACATCTCGTCGTCGCTTAAATCAGTCATACAGCCTCGGCATTCGCTTCAAGTTCTAGCAGTGCCCCCCCCCACCTAGCGGCTGGTGATGCCTGGAGTGTTAGGTTGGTATGTGTTTCGTCCCGTGGGGAGACTGGAATAGCTGTTTATACGACACCTATACTTCTCTGCACCCGAGCCGCTATATGCTATGCCCCATTGTCCCCCCCGGGCACGTGTGCAGCTTCTAGTGTGACTCAATGGGGGTTCCCGACTGGGCCGATATCCGGGGGTAGCCACCAAGGCAGTCACTTGAAGCTGAGTTACACGTAGTGTAGTAGTGATACTTCGATCAATCGCTTGTAAACTTGACGCCGAATCACCCAGATTACACACGCGTGTCAAGTACCGACGTGACAGAAGAATAATAGCCAGGAGGCGGGCCGAGGTACCAGTCAGCGTGGCCGGGTTTGGGTTGGCTGAGTGATGGGCACAGTGCTTTATTATATACTGGCGCGGGCGTTGTCGGGTACGTCGCGAAATGTGAATATTCGCCACCTTCGAAACGAGGCACCGAGACCACTTCACCACGGCGACAGCTACTGATCCGGTCCTGGGGGGCAACTATATCGAAAAGTCTCCCCTCTTTCCTAATCTCCGAAATTTTTTCCCTCGTTCACCAACAACAGCCCGACTTGATATCACAGCATCCTCGAGCCCACAGCTTCGTCCTGCGTCTTATCAATTCCGTCTGTTGTTACCATCTTCAACCATCGTCATCGCGATCCCAACGCACTTCCTAGTCTCTGACTGGGCCCATTATCGGCTATTCAGCCAGCCCTATCATCGCCACACGCACCTCACTCTTCTCTCACCCCCCCTCTCGCCTCACCCAAACCCTTACAAAATGTCCGCCCTCACACACCTCTTCCCCTTCTTCCTCGCCATCGACGCCATCTTCTCCGTCCCGCTCGGCGCCGCGCTGGGGTGCGTGCTCGGCTACGCGCTCTGCGACGGGGACGCCGCCGCGGCGCACCTGGGCGTGCTGACGGCCAACTTCCTCGCCGCCGTCTGCGTCCAGGGGCTGGCCGGCGGCCGCGGCCGCGGCACCCCCGGCGAGCTGCACGCCCTCGCCCTCGTCGGCGTCCACCTCCTCCGCGCCCGCTACCGCGCCGGCGCCACCCTCGCCGCCGTCCTGCTCGCCTGCCTCCTCCGCGGCGCGAGCTACGCCAAGATCGCCTGCTACGGCCTGCCCGCGCTGGCCCTGGTGTTCCGCCCCGCGCTGATTCGAGGCGCGAAGAGGGCCTACCGCGCTATAGTCTCTTATACTTCGCGCCCTTGCGTCTATGCCTGCGACGCCCTGGTCACTGCCATCTGTCAGACGCGCAAGCGTTCTGCTGGGTCGCTGATGGGTCTCGCAAAATGGCTTGCTCCGACGGCGTCGGTTGGTATGTCGGTTAGTACCACCGCGGTCGACGCCGAAGTCCAAGCAGAGCATTCAGCGCCCTCACAGCTTGTGATGTCTAGCACCGTAGTGGTCGCCGATATCACACCCGGCCCCCTCCCGGCAACCGACAACGTTACGGTCAGTCAAGCCATAGCCGAATCTATCTTTCCCGCCACCGCATCGGTCTCTGCCAAGCCTCGCCATACACTTATGCGAGGGGCTCTCCTCACAGGAAGGCCGTCGGTGCATCCTCCCACGAGGTTCTACGCCATCGAGCCGAAGTACCTGAAGGGCAAGACCCGATACGCGTCGCCCTCCCCGCCCCGAACCCCTTCGCCGCTCCGAAACTCCCCCAGACGAGTGGCTCCGTTCTCGGAGGAATGGCGACGGGTTAGGGGTCTAAATAGAAAGGTAGCACAGGAAGCTCCTGGCTCTACCGAGCCGGTGCCCGCCCCCGAGCCTACCCCCGAGCCTACCCCAGAGCCTACCCCAGAGCCTGAGGCGGTTAATGAGCCCCTGCGCGCTCCTGAGCCAACCCCCGAGCTTGAAGCACTTGCCGAGCCTGAGGCAGTTGTCAAGCCTCTGTCTGGTCTGGAGCAAGAGCCAACCCTGGAGCTGGAGTCTGCCACGCTAGAGGTTTCTAGCTTCGAGCCTGTTGGTGAGCCAGCCACGCCTCCGGCTCCGGCTAGTGAGCCCGTGGTGGTCGCCGAGCAAGAACCAGCTCCTATGCCGATCCCCGTAGGCGACCTCACGCCGGTCCAGCCCCCCGCCTTCAAGCGAGAGTCAACCCCGGAGTCGGAGTCTGTCACTCTGGAGGCTCCCATCCCCAAGCCCGTTAGTGAACCAGTAATGCCTCCGGCTCCGGAGCGTGAACCCGTGGTAGCCGCTGAGCAAGAGCCAAGCCTGGAGCTGGAGTCTATCAGTCCGGAGATTTATAGCTCTGAGCCTGTTAGTGAGCGAATTTTGCCTCCAGCTCCAGCCAGTGAACCCGTAGTGTCCGCCGAGCAAGAACCGACCACCAAGCCAGCTCCTAGACCGGTCCCCGTGGGCGACCCCGTGCCGGCCCATCCCCCCACCTTCGAGCGAGAGACCTCCCCTCAGCCTGAAGCTGTCCGCTTGCCCGAAGACGTTCCCGAACCACAGCTTACCGGGGAGGTCCCGACTTCCCCTAAGCCCGAGATCACAGCAGCAATAGTGACCCCCCCGGAACCGGTGCAAGCCCCCGAAGAGGAGCCAGTCCTTGTACCGCAGCACGCTCCCGAGCCTCAGACCTCGCCCGAGCGAGAACTCGAGCCCGCGGTGGCTCTCCATTTCCCAACGCCATCTCCGCAGCCGGATCGCGAGCTCGCGGCAGAACCGGTCTTCGAGTCGCAACCTGCCCCTTCAGCGCCGGAGACGATTTCGTCGAAACCGGCCGCCGAGACGGTTTTTGGCGAGATCGACAGTCTCCTCGGCGCTCCTGCACAGGAGCCGGCCTCGCATCTGGAGCTCGCCCCCGGGCCCGCGGTGGCCGTCGCCCCGGGACTTGTTCCCGCGCTGGAGCCGGGCGTTGCAGGGTTCGGGCTCGGCGCCGTGGGAGAGGCGGCCCCCCAGTTAGCGGTACCCCCTGACCCAGAACCTGCCCCCGTGCCCATGACAATCGACGTAGAAGAGCCCGTTCACAGCCCCCCGTCCGTTGGCGAACCCGCCCCAGTGCCTGCTCCCTTCGCCGCGCCAGGGATAGTCCCTGAATCTATGTCCATCGACGAGGTCGAGCCCGCCTCTATGCCCGCGCCGGCTCCGGGTCCTTGGGCTAGCGAAGCAGAGAGTGGAACACGCCAACAGCCTACGGGGGCGCTGGCGGCGGATACGATGGCCGTGGACGAGGAAGACCCCGAGCTGGAGATGCTCGAGGCTCAGCTCGATTTCGAGCTCGAGCAGGAGATGCTGCATCTGCAGCAGCTGCAGCTGGCTGTGCCAGAGTCCCACGACGACGTGGTGATGGTGGAGGTTGGCGGAGTGAGGGAGGTCGAGATGACGAATACCGCGGCGCCCTCGACCTCCGAGCAGCGGCCGGCCACCGAAAGGGAAACAGACGCAACGCCTAGAAGCATAACCCCCGCGCCGTGCGCCACCGTCCCCGGCCTCACGTTCCTGTCTCCCCCCGCGACGAGCACCGCGGGACCCTCCACCCCAGCACCCTGCGATCCAGCGCCGGCGACCCCTGGCCCAAAGCCGCGCCTCGTCTTCACCGCACCGCAGACGCCCGCGGCGCTCCCCCGCCTCACCTTCCCGGCGCCGCAAGCCCCCGCGCCACAGACCCCCGCACAGTCGGAGCCCCCCAGCGCGCGGCGAATCCTAGCGCCGACTCGCCGCTCCCCCAGCGCCGCCGTCCCCGCCACGCCCACGATCCCGGACGCGGCGCCGTGCACGCGGATCGCGGGGGTCCCGGACAAGTTCCTGCTGGCGTCGAAGCCGCGGGCGGGGTGCGCCGCGGTGCTGGGGCTGCCGCCGGCGCCGCCGGCGCTCGAGCTGCCGTCCTGGCTCGCGGCGCCGCGCGCCAAGGCCGAGGCCGCCGGCCGCCGCCGCGACAAGCGCGACCGCCGCGCCGCCGAGCTCGACGCGTACTGGCGCGACGGCGCCGCCGCGGTGCACAAGGCGGCCGGCGGCGCGGGGGCGGCCGCGCCCGGCCTGGCCGCCTGCGCGGCCGACCTCGCGGCGCGCATGGACGCGCGGGGCGCCGACGCCCGCGCCCGCTGGGCCGAGCACGCGGCGGCGATCGCGGCGGCCGTCGAGGAGCTGGCCGTGGTCGCCCGCGAGAAGCGCCGCGGCGCGGAGAGGGCGCGCTGGGAGCGCCAGCGCACGCAGGCGAGGAGTAAGCCCGTCGACGTGTTCATCCGCCCCAAGAGGAAGCCCAACGCGGCCGCGTCCGCGCGGTGAAGGCGCTGTCTTCGACGCCGTGTTCTGGGAGGGGCGAGGAAGGACCGCTGCGCGACGGTGTCCTGGTCGAGAGCGCTGACGGGGCAGAGCGCGCGGAAGCGGTGTGCGGGCTCGGCTGCGGGACCCTGACGACCTACCTACCACAGTTCTATGGTGCGCCGTCTAAATGGCGCGACTCAAGACACCCCTAACTAGATCTCCATCTAGACCAACGACAGGGAGGAGCGGGACTCCGTTTACCAGACCAGGGCGCCCTCGCCAGAAATATACCTACGTGACGATAACAGCAGGGCCCTAGCGCAGATCGGCCCAAACAGGAAGAGAGGAGTTGCATGCCTGGGCGAGGGAGGCCAGCGCATCTAACACAGGTGCAGGCACTCCTCACGGGCAGCAACAGAGAGCCGAGAACAACTCGGCTAGGGTTAGGGGATTGTTGTCCCACTTCCGGGGGGTCAGTACGGCATAGGTATACAACGAGTATACCATCTGGCGTGTCCCCGCCGGGGATCGAAAGGGAAGGAATTGCATGTTCGATCGAGAGGTGCGATCCGGGCATCAAGAGTAGCCGCGGGCAATCTACCCGGGTGGCAGGGTGTGTCCAGATGCGAAGGGGGGGTGTCCCAGGTCTACGTGTGAATACATGCAGCATACGCCAGATAGCTGGCTCTTGCGGGAGTGGGAGGAGGGGGTGGACGGGGTAGTAGAGCAGCGAGGCCGACAACCTCAGACGGTGGTGAAATACAAAAAAAAGGGGTTGCCCGCTCCGGCGTATCTACAGCTATTTGTACTCCTAGCCATCCAACTGATAGCAGTCCAGTCGTAGCCCACGCGCATTAGGTAATACTACAAACCATATGCCTCCAACAATCCGTCCCTCCTTCGTGTCGATCGTATCGTAACGTAACAGCGGTGCCTCACGCCGACCAGAACCCGCGGCGGACGTGAGCACGCCGAACCCAACCTACTAGCCCAGGCACCGCGCGTCGTAGAATTCGTCTATCTATTCGTCCGTCCGTCGGCTCATCCGCTCATTATCACCACTTGTCAACTTCGGCGCGACCTTACCAGCCGTGCCCTTGATGCCCGCCGTGGTGGCCATGCTGATGATGCCCGCCGTAGTACCCTCCGCCCTGCTCCCCGTGGTGTCCGTGATGCCGCCCGTGATGGGAGGACAACGAAGACGAGGAATCGTACGCCCCGTACCCGCCGCCGTATCCGCCGCCGTACCCGTGGTGGCTCCCATGATGGCTCCCGTGATGGCTTCCGTGGTGACTCCCGCGGTGGCTGCCGTGTCCCGAGTGGGAGTGGGAGTGGGGATGCGAGTTCTGGTGGTGTTCGTACCCGCTCGAGTGCTTTCCGCCTCCGAGGCGGCTCTCGAGCATGTTCGCCGCGACGGCGCCGACGGCGCCGCCTAGAACGGTGCCGAGCTTCCCCCTGCCCAGCTTGTGGCCGAGGAAGCCGCCGGCGCCGCCGCCCAACAGGGTGGCGCCGAGCCCCCTCTCTCCGTCCTCGGCGCCGCCTTGGTAGTGCTGCCCGTCGCGGTCGTACTGCGGGCCGCCGCCGCCGTACGGATCGGCCGAGTGCGGGCGCGGCGGGTCCCCGTCCTTCCCGTACCCGGAGGGAGAATGGGGAGAGGTTGGGTACGGCGGCGGGTACCCGGCGTCGGAGTGGGCGGAGCCGGGGCGCGCGGACGACGGGTGCGGGGCGAGATAGTGCTGGGTTTGGGCGTGCGGCGCGTAGGTCGGCTGGGAGTAGGGAGAGGATGCCGGTGGCGCATACTGCGGTTGCGAGTAGCTGGGCTGCGAGGGGTAGGGCGGGTGGCCGCCCCCGCTGTTACCGTAGTAGTCGGCGGCGGACATGGTTCAGAGTGGTGGGGATCGAGGCTGGGGAGGGCGCTTCTCTTCCGTCACAGCGACACGTCTCGAGCGATGTAACCTCGAGGTAGGTAGGCAGGGAGGTTAGGTTGGTAAGTAAGCCGGTCGTACCCAGGCTTGCGTGTGTATGTGTGTGTGTGTGCCTTGGCGTAGGTGAGGGCGCGAGTGTGAGTGCGAGTGTAAGTATATATATGTATGTGTCCTAGGATGGAGGTGGAGGTTGGAGGCGGGAAGACAGACTTTGGGGGAGGAAGAGAGAGGAGAGAGAACTAAGAGAACTGGGGGATTTATCGAGGTGAGACGGGAGGAACAAAGATGCGAAGCCGAGGGGGGGCCGTTTAAGTAGCCCCGGAACATCCCCCCCTCCTAACGCTAGGTTTGTGAGGTGGTGGCGACGCATAGGAACGGATGCTTATGCACAGGACGAATCCCACCACTCGGGGTCATATCGTGGCCACGACTCGCGTCCATCCTTGGGTACCTAGGTATGCATCTATCCATACCTGTGCCTATTCCCTTAGGCCTACCTAGGTGCCTACCTAGGTAGGTAGGCACCTGCTAGAGGTATGTATACCCATACACAATACGTCCATGCATCTATAGGTGCTAGGTAGGCAGAAGTAGGTACCTAAGGTACCTAAGGTATACCTCCATCTAGGTACATCTACTAAGCATGTCCATGTTCGTCGGCATAACTCTGTCCTCACTCACTCTTTCATATACATACCTACCTTGCGCTGCTGTCGTAATCGTCGTCTTCGCCCATCTGATCCCCAACGAACCGCCCCCAGCGCCTACTCACGGCGACCCCGCGGCAAAGGGCAAGGGGGGAGGAAGGGGTGGCGCACGAACGCACGCACGCGCCCACGCGCGCAACCGTTGCAGCGCCCGGTCCGCGCCTCATCTGATTCGACCGCGGGACCCGAAGGGATTCGCCCCAGAGAGTTAACGGCGCGCGCGCGTGACTACGTGTGGCGGCGCACTGCCTAGCCCATTCATTTATTCTCCATTTCCCCCCCTCCATCGGCGACGGCGAGTAACGCCAGGGTAACGAACCGCCCCGCAACCGAGTTACCTGCCTTAGGTACCTAGCCACCCGCAACGTATGCGTCCGCCCCTGGAACAGGAATTACCTACCTACCTACCTGGCCGTCGTCGTCGCGCGCCCCCGCATGCGGGTGATATACCTAGGTACCTACTTTCCCCATACCGGCCCGTGGCGGAGCGGGTTGCAACCAGTCTCGGAGTCGGAACCGTCCGCTGCCGGTGCTGCTGTTGCGGATGGGACCCTTCCTGTATTGAACGCACTACCTACCTACCTACGTCTGTGCAAAAGCCTCTCTCCCACCCCTGGAGAGCTGCCACGGGCGAGACAGACAGGTCGAAAACCCACCCGATCGCCCAGGAAGCACCACATTGCGACACCTACCCACCTGAGGTCCTATATATACCTGCTTCCCCTCCGTAGTCGAGTCCGTAGGTAGGTAGTTCCCCGCCTACCGTCACATCTCATATGCATACCACTCCGTCGACTCTGCAACCAACACGCACGTAGGGCACCACCTCCTACTACCACGACCTGGTTAAACCCCATGTCTCGCCCTCCTCTACCCGAATTCGCAAACTCACCACCACCACCAGCACAGCTACCTACCAGGTGCATGGTATTAGCTGGAAGCTACCCGCAGACAGGTATGTAGTGAATTGAGATCAAACCACTGAGGCTAGCTATACTTTATATGCCCTTACCGAGCCACCAGTACCCCGCCCCCTCCTCCTTTTGACCCCCCTGAACCAGCCCCCCCCCCCCCCTCTACTTAGGTCCGATCCTCGCACACCCACTCTCCTACCCGCTATTCGCACCGCGTATATACACACCTGTCCGCCTTCGTCCTCCTCTCCCGGAACAGAGTAAAAAATCAGAGAATCCGCTTCTCGTCGTCGTCATGCTCGTGAATTTCCCCGTAAATGCAACCAATTGCTCCTCGAGTCCCAATGTGTGATCCCGCCAAAGGGCGAGATGCCCCCGGGTAGGATAATGCATCATGGTGGTGAATGCCAATGCCAAGACCAAATACTTCATCGCGCGACGGTGTCGCGCTGGAGAGGGAAAAAGGATCTAACATATACACGTGCGCGAGAGGAGTCGACAAAGCCAGGTCCAAAGTGAGATCCGCCGCCCCCGGAAGCTACGGCGACGGCCGCGGCAGTCAGCGTCACACTCCGACCGTAGGGCCGTTAGGCCGTCTACTCGAGGGGAGCTGAATCTCCCCCTCGGAATCCGAGCTGTCGTCCGCGGCCGCTCGATCCAACATGCGTTCGATGTCGTCACCCCGCAGCGCCGGTCTCGGCCGAGATGGCCCGCTCAGGCCCGCCGGGAGGGAGAGCGCCGGTCTCGGCGCCGAGCCGTTTGTTCGGCGACGGGGCATCCCCCGACCGTACGGAGACCCTTGCGGGTCGTCAACGTCCATCCCGCCGTACCCGCCCGGCGACTTCTCAAACCCTACGCGCTTGCCCTGAGGTGCCTGCTGGTGCTGCGGCCGCGCCGTCGGGAGGCTTTTACGCCCCTGGACGCCAGCCTCGGTTCCCGCGCCTAGCCGAGAGCTCGGGAGGGTGGGTAGAGCCGTCCGCCCAGCGGTAGTTCGCGGTTGTTGTGGTGGTTGTAACGGTTGCACCGGCTGGGACGAGGGGAATGCGTGCTGGACGTGCGCCGAATTCCCGGGACTGCTCATGAACATCAGCGTCTCTAAGGCTTCCTGTTCACGAACGTTCTGGTGCGGAGAGAAAAGAATGGGGTCAACAGTGGGCGTTCTCATAGATCCCTGTCCTGGCGTGCTCTGGAGCGGGCTGGGCTGGGCTGGCGTGTGTGGAGAAGCGTGATGTGAGTGTGATAGATAGGCGGGCGTGAACCTCGCATTCGAATGACGGCGCGGATTCGAGTGGTCTGGCTGGCGAGGCTGTATAGGCGCGGGCGGGGCCAGGGCGGGGCGTTGGGAGACGGAGGGCGTCGAAGAAGCCACGGGCTTCGCGTTGCTGTCCCTCCAGAAGGATTCGTACGTGCGAATTTGGGAATGGGTTTGCGTCGTAGGGCTAGTGACGGCACTGGAAGACCTGTGCCTCATGGGGGCAGCCGAGATTCGAGGGCTCGCAGACGCGCCGTGCCGGCCATGCAACGTAGAGGTACTAGAGGTGGGAGAAGCGACCTGCGACGCGAGCGACTCGATCTCGTCAATCGAACGTCCTTGCCAACCGTTGTTAACCTTGACCATAGCATAGGACAGTTTGGCTTTCAACTCGGCTGACAGCTACGATGGAGTCAGCACACGAGCGTAGACGCGTCACTAACCCCGAGATCACTTACCTCCCCGATACGGCTGCCAGCAGTAGACGCCACGCTAACGGTGCTGGTGTTTCTAGAATGGCCGACGCGCACCGGCGAGACGCTCGAGCTGCTCCTCGAGTGCTTGACCACGCCGTCGGCCATCCTTTTCCTCGACTGGCCGCCATTCCCTAAGCTCCCATCCGCCTCGGCCATCTTCTGCTGGGCGGCAGCGATCTGGGACAGGCGCAAGAGCTGAGACTCCTGGCTGGACGCGTGCCCGTTCCCCAGAACCGCACTGCCTTCGCTATCGCTTTCGGGCGGGGTAAAGACGCGATCGGTATCGTTAGAAGTGACAGTGTCTTGGGAATTGTTGCTACAGTAATTTGGCGGCTGGCTTTGACTGCTGGTGAGAGTTCGCGACTGCGAAGAGGGAGGTTGCCCCTCCGGTCCGCTCGCGTAGTGGGCAATCTGCGACATAGCGTGACGAGTTGGTCCGCTAGTCAGAAGGGTGGGGAGAGGGTCGGTTCGCCCAAGCGCACGATTGTCGCGTCGACTTGGACGCGGATTTGGGTTTGGATTGGGATTTGGATAGTCCAGTTAGATAGACTGCTACTGGAAAGCGTGGGTCGCGTGAAATGACCTTGGAATTGGCCGATGTCGACAACGAATGCTGTGTAGCGGGATGCGAGATGTACGCGTCAGAGCGTAGCTGGCCCGGCGCCCGACCTCGACGAAGCCGCAGGACGTTCAAGACGCTCGATGCCGGGAATACTGCCCGGTCGCGTCAAACCAACGCAATGCGCACCGACTAGTACCGGGAGCAGATCTGAGACATGGGGTGAGGCGCTGATTCTAGTCGTTGCTTAAAGGGCATTCCAGGATCTGAGGGAGATTGACAATGCTAGAGGAGGGGAAGAGAGAGATGTCCAGACGCGACAACTATAATAAATCCGTAGGTATACCTAATACACGCACGCACACACGCACGCACGCGCAGGCAAATGTTGCAGCAGCAGGCGATTCCAAAAGCCAATGATTAGGACCAGCTGTCCGTGGGCTCCCAATGAGTTCGTGTAATGAGAGAAGAACGTGGGAGGTTGACGTGGATGGCCCGGATGGATTGGACCTGGGCAATGGAGCCGAGGAGAGAGAATAGGTCAATCAAATTGAGGTAGTCAGGTCCAAGTTCTCGTCCAGTCAACGCCGGCTGGCAGAAGCTGGCGAATGGATCGGGACGGATTCGGATGGGTGATGGAGGGAGAAGAAGGAGGGGGGGGGAGGGAACGGCGGGAGGCAATTGGTCGTTTATTACGCGGTTCTCAAGTCGCGCAACTTCCACTCTTGCTGGCTTCTCCTTCCTGTTCTTTTCACGGTCAGTTCTTTCCATCCTGCCTGCCTAACTAACCCTCTGCCATTGTACCTGCCATTCTGTCCGGAGGTACATATTCCTAGTATTGTGCCCACGTCAGATTGTGAGGTATCCTCAGTACCTAGCCGCGTTGGTGACTGCCCGTATATTAGCAGGTACCTAAGGCAGGCAAGTTCCTTCTCCTTCGACTACTCTCATATGTACCGCCTACGTGTACCCCTTGTACTACGTTAGGTACCTAGGTACTTGACCCGATGGATGTACGGACGTGTGTACATGGGAAAGCTCCTCCTCCCTCCTCCCACCGAAAGCTAAGCTATGTAACTCGACCTAACCTTGGGTACCTACCTGACCCGATCTTACCGGGGTCGTCGGCGCCATTCCCGGTGATGGTACAATTCGGATTGATTTGCATTGTGCACATGATCGATCTGCTCTCGTGTCGTGTCGGGTTGTGCAGGTACTTAGGCAGGTGCATATGCGCAAGTACCCAGTTGAGCGATGAGAGGTACCCCGGACACACACGCGTGGGGTTGGAAATACACGGCAACGTCAATTGCGATACTCGCGATATTACGAAGAATCCACAACGTCGCGTATCAATCTGAATCAGACCCAGCCAACCCGCTACCTACCTAGGTACCTACCTAGGGCACTACCGCACCCAATCTCTTCTCTCTGCGTCTCACACAACATTAGGCACCTAAGTATACCTGTAGGCACCTATTTCCCGTGCACATATAAGGTACCTACTTACCTAGGCACCTACTATAGGTATTATATATGTGCAGCGTCTATACCCTATCTCCATGGCCCAAGGGCAATGGATATGAACTCGGCCCCAGCACCGTACCGCGGTGCTTCCCAGGGGTCTCGGCAGGACGTGTTCAGCGGAAGAATGTACCTAATGCACCCTACGTGGGCACGTGAGTTACCTAGCTGCATTCAGGTTAGGCGAGATGCTACCATACACGGGCATCTCGTCTGTGCTCTCCCGCACACGTTGATCCGCATTCCAAGGTGGCCCTCCCATCACCGTAGGAAAAAGACACCCAGGCTCTCTCTATCGGGTATCTGCCTATGTGGTGGAGAGCTTGGAGTCGGCACCAGGGGACCTGGGTGAGGAATTGCATCCGAAGCGTCTGTGTAGGTTATGCGGTCGGATCGCATCTCCGTACAGGTACCTAATTTAATACATAAGTACCTACCTACGCGTACATGCAATAAGAGCAGGTGCATAAGACGGCGAACAAGGTGTTTTGCGTGTAGAAAAAAAAGGCCAAGACAGTGCGCACTCGGTTTCGGCGAGGCGAACGCATCGATGTCATGTACGTAATAAACCAGATACACCCGAACCCCAGGCCCTCGACCCCAATTGGATGCGATGGTGCACGTATCGGTAGATGGTGGCTGGAAAACCTAACCAGATATCGACTTCTCCACCTCCTGCGAGGAAGGGGAAAAAAAAAAGAAGAAAATAAGAAGACGAGCGCATGCGGGAGAACGGCACGCCGGAGAAGGACAGCAGGAGATGAAGAAAAAGTAAAGGAAAAACTGCAACGGATTCGAGCTGCAGAAAAATGGCGCGTGCTTTTTTCCCGCCCGGTCTCTCTGGTCCTCGGCCGGCCAGAAATACCCAGGTACTTCGAGACCCCCGGGTAGCCAACTCAACACGTAGTCACGTGTTGATAGCCCCTTGTGGTGCTCCGTCCTTCCTCCCCCTCCTCTTCGCGCCCCCCTCCATTCCGTGATTCGCGCGCTTGGCGTGCACACTACATCTGTCTACCGCAGTTGTCTGCCGCACACCTGCGCACTGCGTGCAGATTCGTACCGCACAAAATTGGACCCAAAACGCGCCCCGCGGATCCCTCGCACAGTCGGGCGTCCTGAAACCCGCGAGCAGAGACACGCAAGAGCAGGCGAACGAGTGGGTGGGTGGCTGGAGAAGGATAGCTGCGTCGGAGTGCCCGGTCTGGCAGGCGAGAGAAGACAGAGAGGCGGTCGAATGCGGCATCGCATGCCTATATGCTTATGCCACAGAGAATTGTTAGCGGGCAAGGGAGACAATTACGCAGTTCGCTTGCCCGCCTACGAGAGTCCGCACTCTCGCTGTCGCCAATTAAGCGTCGTGTCCCCCCTCGCTCTGTTATTATTTAACCCTCTCTGTCTCTTTCGCGCCTTACCTCCCACAACCACCGCTGCTCTCCCGCTCCCCCTGTCGAGCGCCGAGGTCGCGTCTTAGGGCCTCAACGGGATTTTCGGGATCGGATTAGTGCCTTACCTACCTACCTATGCATGTCATGCCATCCCACGTCGTCCATCCACCCACGTGTGCCGAGACCATCTATCTACAATCTCTACCGTCTCCATCTCCTTCCCTCCCTCGCTTCCGTCGGGCCTCGGGTCCTCTCCCTTTTCTCTCGCCCGTCCTCGTATCCACTTCGGGCACTCCCGCCGCCGGTTGCAGTTTTAGGGAAGGCGATGGCATGTTTCAGGCTCCTGGCGTCGTCGCCCTCGCGTAGGTTGTAGCGGCCGGGCCCCGCGGCAAACACGGGTCGCGCGCGCGCGCACGATGCCGTTTGCTTTCCCAGCCGTATCTACAGCTTAATTAAGTCTTCGTGTCCGGACCAACCCCTAGCGGCGGCCGCAAGACTCTAGATACAAATTCGTTGACATACCTAGGTCTATAATGCGAGGCCGGCAGCTCCCTACCACTTAGGTATAGATCTCGGAACCCGGCACCGTGGAGAGACCCCGGATATGTGACCCATTCTGTTCGGGCCCTCGGCACATTGTTTAATTCCTACGGCGGCGGGACGGGAACGGGGAAATAGGCATCAAGCCCGGTTCCGGCCACGTCGCCTAGACGGTATTTTATCGTCGCTGGAATTCGGAGCGGGCGCGATGACGTAGAGGAGAAACAACGCGTCCGTTCTCTAGTCAGCCTGACGTAGATTGGGCCGAATACGAGCCCCTCGGTCTATCGTGATTCAGTTATAGTAAGCTTTATCATGTGCAAGACGTGATAAATAGCGAGACATGATTATAAGCACACGTCAAGGGGGATTGCTAATGCAAACTATTTTTGAGGGTTTAGAGGTCGCTGTCATCGTGGCCCGACCGGTCACCATTTCCCCCACCGGCGTTGGCAAACTACCACGCGGTCCTCGTCACCGCCATGCGTCTCTCTCTCATTCTGTCCAGGCAGTGGATACTTAGTTAGTCTAACGGGGTCCTGATGTCTCATATCCATCAGCCATTGAACGGTTCAGAGATTGTAATACCGAGCAGCACGGTTGGCTGCCCGAGGTAGTCATAAATCTCTAGCAGCAAAATACATGGGCAAGCAGTATTACAGCCAAGCCTCGTCAAGCAATGGCAAGGTCCTATTTAGCTACCATGGCCGGTGGCCATCTTGCTCACGAGTTTAGTAAACACATATCCTTGGACACCGCGACTTCGTATCCGCTCACAAATGAGCGCTCATCACCCACGTGCTTGGGCAATCCATTTTTGCCGGCAACTGGCACCACTCCCTCTCCCTTTACTGCCTCTCGCGAAGGAGGGCAAGTATCAAGTTCTCGTAGTCTCCGCTCAGCAACGTCCTGACCGTTCCGCGAATCGACGCCCTGAGCTGGGAATGCATATGATACGCCGCCTTGGCCTGGTCCAGACGGTTGCGGTCCCAGTGCAGGCTGACGACTCTGTTGATGAACAGGCGGTCTTTCCGAGGGGTGCTGCACAGCGGCGTCTCCAGCCTCCGGGCGTCCGAGCGCGCCTGGTCGTTGGCGCTATCGAGCATGTACAGCAGCGCGTCTTCCATGTCGCCGCGGAACTCCTTCTCGATGACGTGTTCGAGGGAGCGGTGGTATTTCCGTTGGTACGCCTCCGAGATCGCGCGGAGCTGAGCAGCGTTGGAACTGGTAAATATCTGCACCACGGATACCACGTTGGCACCGAAGGTGCCCTCCGTTGCGCGTTGTAGTTCCGTTACCTTCTGGTCAATTTCAACGGCTACCAACGGCGCCGAGTCCTCCGCCCGCGTGGCCGATAGCACCATACTGTAAAGTCGGAATAGCGCATCATCGACGTCGTTCTTGATGTCTATTAACAGCTCCTTGCCCTTTATCCGCTTGTACTCGGCAGTTATGGCCCGGATATCCGCGTTCGACCGGCACAGAAGGACGTCCATGAGGGCGCCTTCATCGGTTCCTATACGGTCGAGGGCCTTGATGAGGACTCGTACGTCATGCTCTAGCGGGCCCCGGATGAGAGCCAGCAATGCGGTCTCTAAGTCGCCACGTGTCTCGCTCTCAATATCCTTCTTCAAGTCTCGAATAAAGCGTTTATTATAGTCGTCAACAAGCTGTGCCAAGGCCCAAGGGTTGTCGTATTTGGGTGCCGTGAACACGCGGATCAGCTCTGCTTCGTTACACCCCATACCCTTCATGGCCTTGCGGATAGCTTCCGCATCTGCCGATGTATCAATCGGCGCATAGAACGCCTTCTGGGCCGGGTCATAGCCTGGCGATGCAGGTGTCGGAGGTACACCGTAGCCCTGTGGGGTCACATGCGGTTGTGGCCACTGTCCGGGGGGCGCCGGAACCCGTGGGTTGGCATTGGGAGCTTGGTAGGGATAGGGGTTTGGAGGATATTGCTCATATAGAGCAGACAGTTGTCCGTATTGTCCCTGCGGCGTAGGTTGATGAGGATAAGGCTGGTTTGGATATTGCTTTGCCTGACCTGGAGGATATCCACCTAAGTCTGAGGACGCTCCCCCGGGATAAGGCTGAGGCTGATACTGGCCCGGCTGAGGCGGGCCCTGAGGGGCATTGTAATTAGAGTACGGGGGCAGGCCTAGAGCTGCCGATGCTCCAGGAGGCGGGGTATAAGGTGGGTAGGAACCAGAGCCTTGCGGGGGCGGCTGGTGTCCTGGCTGAGGTTGCCCAGCAAGAGGCGGCCCTCCAGCTGGCGGGTACTGGCCGTAGTAATGTTGATTCGGCGGGTTCATTATATTATTGGATTCTTGTAAGATATTTTGGAGTTCAGCCTGATGAGGGCGATATGTATCGCTCTACGAGTAGAGGAAGGAAAGCATGGAAGGACGCCAATGGCCATTAATATAGCCCGACTTGCTCGTAGTCCGTCAGCCAAGACCTAGAACTCGGCCAGGAGAGGCCTCCCGATTAGAATACGGTAGGAGCACAAAAGGTGTGGTTGTCAGACGTGGTTCGTTGTAATCGGGGAATCATCCAGTCACCGAGTGTCGAAGCTCGGCACTTTGATAAGACTACCAAACGAATCTGCTCGAACCATACCGCACTATCCTCCACGGCGCAGCAGGGTTCGCAGGGGTTTCGCCGCAGCGGAAGAAGGCCATAGGCTCTAGAACCCGAAGGCCCCCAACCGGGCTCGTAAGTAGGGCTAGAGACAGGGTTGAAAAATAGGTTTAAGTTTTCAAGTTCGGTCTGACACAGGCCAAGGGCTATGGTGCCCGGCGTAGAGTTCCACGGGCGCAACATACTCCCGGCAGTCCGCGGAGTTCTTGGTAGTCCGTAGATAGGGTGGAGTGTAGGGAGTTTATGGGACCCCGTAGACTGCGTAAGGTGCAGGGAGTCTATAAGGATGGAAGTCCGTAGGCCCTAGGGAGGCCGTGGGCTGCGGGTACTCCGTAGAGGGCACGTGGGCCACTGTACTGCTGCTAATTAATAGCACTGCAGTATAGAATGGAGAGCGTAGAAACTTCTCGTACTATACAGAGACTATGATAATGAACGATATACAGAGCGTTGGTGGAAGAGTTGATCTATTTACTCTAAGTAACGTAACGGACGAAAAATAAGGTATATATAGTAAAGCGAAAGCTAAAGCAAAGCAAGTAAGGTATCTACTCCCTATAACGTTAAAATTTCAATTGTTCGAGTCAAGTTGAAACTTGTCTTAACCCTTTTTTCGTTTTTCGCCCCTGGCTAGGGAGGTCCCCGATGCCGCAGAGAGAGAGAGGTGTTTTTGACAGCGATGCCAAATTGGTTGATATAAAAGACCGCGAGTCCCATAATGGAACCCTAGGAATCGTACTAGACGATGACGTCAACGATACCGATGGTGTAGGTATGTGGGCAATCCGGATCAGTCTGAATATGTCTTGAGTTCCGAGATTGTCGCCTATTCCAGGCAGAGTAGAGATTCGGCGCACTGTTGAACAACCACCTCCTGAGAGCGACATATCGAGGCGAGGGGTGCTGTCGCTATAGTATTCTCAGCGCCAGCGCTGATGAGGACGTACCTTGGGTAGTTTAGGTACCTGCTTCTGCCTCGGCATCTATATATAGGTACACCTCCACTGGTATACACTAGAAGTATCTGTATGCTATGTACAGCACTTAGAGGTACTAAACATGTAAGTACACGGGTTAGGCCAGGTACCCTGCCTCCCTCTATGCAGGTACTTCCCCCTGATCCGACGGGGGTAGCATCGGGTGGATTCACCTAGGTATCTGCCCAATTGCGCGGAACCGGCGATAACAGGTTATGATAAGGATTACCGCCCGCTGCCACCACGTCAACCCTCTTTCCTTGTTGACAAGGGATCTATTTCCCCCCTCAACAAAACACCAAACCCGCTTGCCAACGCCAGCACAAGTCCCACAAGTCTCCCGACTCCATACCTGCGAGGAGGACAGGCGGTGCCAATGGGCTTATACGTGGCCGCATCTGGCTCACGGAGTCGCCATGGACGAATTTTCCGACGATGACTTCGATGCCCTGAATGCGAATGCCCTGCAGGAGCTCGAAAACAATGCCATCCGATCCACCCAGGCCCAGAAAAAGTACCAGCCGTCCCAGCCGCAGGCCCAGCCACTCTACATTCTCGATGACGACGATTTTAGTGATTCCATCGTAAAGGACGAGCTTCTCGGAAAGTCTGCCCTGCTGTCGGAGAAGACTGCCCAGATTCCCTCCAGGATAGTCCCCGAACAGCGACAGCCGTGGGGTGCTGCGATACCTGTGCCTCCGAGCCGCCTTCGCCCTCAGCCCGCTGCTTCGACATCGCGGCAGCCTGCAACAGCCCTCGCCGGCTCGCGTGCCCCGCCCTCATCCTACAGTCGCATAGGCCCCCCTCCTCTACCTCGACCGCCTCCCTCCATCACCGCGAGATACCAAGCCTCGCAAGCCCAGGGGAAAAATGCACCGTCGAGCCACGAGATTGCTTCTTTGCAGGCCCAAATATTAGACCTGAAAACCAGGCTCACCACCAAAGATGGCGAGATAGGTATCATACGGAAACGGCTCGAGAAGGCACGCGAAGACCACGAGCGCGAGCTTCAGACGTTGAAGAAACAGACGGTAGATCAGGTCTCGAAGCATGAGAGGGCTCTCGAGGCGGCCAAGGCTGCCCAGCAGGCCGCCCAACTCGCCGCCTCTACCGAGCTCGAGTTCACTAGGCGGGACTTCAGGGAGGAGCTGGCCCGTGCTAAGCGCATAGATGGACCGGTAACGCCCAAGAAGAACGCCGCTGCAAAGTCGTGGGGCATCGCGGACGGGTTCGAAGACGTAGAGATCGCAGGTAGTCCTAGTAAGGGGCAGAGGGGGAAGGGCGCCGGAGCCGTTGCTAGTGCTATGGCCGAGCCGTCTGCGAAGCAAGCGAGAACTCCTACGAAAGGAAAGCGGAAACGCCTGGCCGTCGATAGTCCAATCTCGGCGCTCGAGATTCATTCCGAGAATGCGATGCTGCTAGACAACGCGGACGTAAAGGACGACAATGGCGCATGCCCCGTAAATACCGCGCCGAAGGTCGCGTCTTTCGACGTAAGTTGCCGCTAACAGGACGCCCTCTCCCTGCAGCCCGATGCTTACTACTGCTTTCCAAGTATATGAAGGTGCTACTGAATCACAGCTCACCGCGCGGCCACTCGCCGTCATTCGATTACTTGGCTCGCTTTGCACTGCCATCAAGACCGATGGAAAGCCTCGCTTCGATACTCTTTCAGAAATTAGCTATCATTGGCGATCCCGAGGACCCTTTGCGTCTGCCGATCGAGTTTTGCGAGCTGGTGATTCAGCTGTGGGACAGCTGTCGCAAGGAGAATTACGTGAGTGGTTGTCTCTTCCTTTCCTCGCCCTCGGTAGGCCGAGGACGAGCGCCTGCTAACGGACTCGATAGTTGGAACCGATAATGGAGTTGGTTTCTTTGGTTTACTTGACGGTACAGCTGTATACCCTGGCAATCGCTCCGTACATCGCCCCGTCTCTTTTACCGGTTGCGATGGACTCGTGTTACGAAGTCGACATACCGAGATTCCTGAACCAAGGCACCGGAGACCCGACGGATGAGGCGTGGAAGAAATTCAACGCGAATATATCGACCACGGAGATTTTGTCCTTGTTGTACCTGACCTCGCTGGGGTGCGCGGCGTCGCCACCGGTGAGGGGTGGGTTGACGGAACCCGGAGTGGATTTCTGGAGCCAGGTTCACGTGGAGTTTGTGCTCTTACAGCTGAGCCAGAAACACCCGGTGGAGGATTACCTGATCGTGCTTAGATGGATCCGAACGTCGGTATTCCCAGATAGTGTCGGGCCCATCAGCCCAAACAAGACAACGGAGGTGGTATCGGGCGCGCTGATCGAACGAGTTTCTCTTCTGCTGGTCGAGCCGTTGCGCTGGGACATCGATCAATATAAGCATCGGAGTGTCCGGAACGCGGCGCTGCGGACGCTGGCAGCATTCGCCAGGTCCGCGTTTGGCCTCGTACAGCTGGCCGTCAGCAGCTGGGCCATCCCACGCCTCGCGACTCTGCTGGCTTCGTGCATAGACGAGCTCTACGATGGTGACATGCGGTATGAGTCTTGCGAGGAGGACGATTCGCGGAAGGAGTTGCAGACCATGGTGGCGAACACGGTGCTACTCCTGCACACGATCATCACGAGCCCGGCCACGGCCGACCTGGCCAACGTGTCGGGGAAATTGGCGAAGTCGGCGGCGGGGTCACAAAAGTACCTGCTTAGCCTTGGGAGGTTGAATTTCTCGGATGATCTTGTCTCGGAGGACACGGCCGAACTGGCGCACGAGCTCCTCGAACTAGCAGTAACGCCGGAAGAGGGCGAGGGACTGGGACGGTTCTTTGGGGGGTGAGAAATCGAAGTGTTGTGTTTTTGGTCTCTTTCTCTCTCCTTCCTGGTTACGATGATACCAGCCGGCCAGCCGGTTAGTCGAGTGTAGGCTGACTACCCAGACACCGAACTACCACGTAAGACCTGAGCGGTGGATGTGTAAGACTACTGGGCCACGCATGGTGGCATTTATGACGGCGTCGACGCTCTGATGGGAACAGGGGACGGCAAATGAGTGAACACGTTTAGATAAATATGCCGAAGAGGTCAGGCATGTCGGGTTACGAGGCTCAAACAATAGTGAGTTGGAATTCACCACGCCCACGCCTAACGAATGTTCGAATATCCGAATATTCTTGACTACGGTCATTCTAGCGGCAATCGGGCGAAAGTCTCCTACAGCAGAGAATGGGCATTGGATTACTTGGCTTGAATGGAGCCAGATGAGGAGCTCAGCCGCTCCGGAAGCTGTCAGGGGTCTGCGTTGGGCACCAAAGACGGAACCGGGTTTGACTGCTGTATGTGTACGATATGGATGTGTGTACGTGTGTAGGGAGGCACGTATATAAACTGCAGATGGTTACCTGTATGGTAGAGGCCGCCGGCGTGAGGCGAATTGACATGTGAAGGTGTCACCAATGAAGGGGGAGCAGCCATAGCGGCGACACGAAGGGGAACCACAAAATGTAGGTACACCAGGGGGATTTGTGCAATTTATGCGTGTCTCATAAGCGCTGCATATTATGCCGGCATGCCAGGCCACATGTACTGACGTCGAGGGAAGCTACAGGTCAGTTAAGATTGCAGGCTAAGGAAGGAGGGACCTGAAGGACCCAGTTGCGGCACCGCCAAAGCTCTGGGCTGAGGGGAACTTCTCAACAAGAAGAAACTGCGACTTTCTAATAGCAGAAGGTGACCCACCTAAGTAACTTGGGAGGTACCTGCCTCGTGAACCTACCTCTTCGGCACCTAAAATAATACCCTTTTACGAGGCAGGCGCCTACCTGTCCAGTATCTTGGGTACCTACCTCCAAAGGCAGCCTCCCCTAACCTATAGATGTACCGGTACCTGCCCAGGTAGGTACTTAGGTACCTACATACCTAGGTACCTAGGTACTGAGTACCTAAGGTATAGTGCTGCTGCTACACGGCACTGCACTACACTACACTACACTACGTAACAGCGCATCCAACCAACGCCAAAGCCTGGACCAAGTCAACGACCCGGATCAGGAAATCCAGAAGGGCGCAAAAAAAAAAGGCCACAGATACTGACATGGGCACCGATACACACCAACACTCCACACGCGCACGGGCAAGCTGCACACACACACCACTTCGTCGACGTTGACCTGTCGCCTGCCTGCATCGATTGACCTGTACGGTGTTGGAGGGGGGCTGTCCTGCAACGAAGAGAGAGACAAACAGAGAGAGAGTTCGGAGAGAAGAGGGGGAGAAGCGAGGCGAAGTCCAAGGAAGAGAGCACAGGCATGAGAAAGGCAGCATAGCAGAATCTAAACTGATCAGCATTGCGCGTCATCATCCACTTCCTCACACACTCTCCTCCCTCACCAACCCATCTCAACACAGCCAGACTCTGTCCACACATCCAATTTGGCGCGCAACCCGCCACGCTACTGGACCCTCGTCCCTTGGATATTCCGAATTCCGACGCGGGCTGATAGCGGACTCCTTGACGACCCCGAGCCATCCGCCCTACATTGACCGTCCTGGCCAAGCCGATTTATTCGCCTGTCTCGACGTCCATCCGCCGACGATCCGACGTCCCCCACCTTGGCACCTCATCATCTCAGTCAACGCCCTGCGCCGCGCTCCGGGGCTGCTTATTAGCTTATCCACTGCCGTCCATTGCCCTCTCCTACCCAAAATTGGGACCGACATCTTCACAGTCTCTGCCGCATCGCAAGTGCTTTTCATTTCCTCGAAGCACCACCTCTCCGTCCGACCATCTTACGTAGGCACACGAGCACGAGCCTAGCCGAGGGATCCGTCACCTGCGACAACCAACCCGCCTTGCCAACAATTGGCGTTCGAGCCGCGTCCAAGGCCACCTAAGCAGCTCCAATCCTGACAAATCCGCGCTCCGCGCTCCGCGACTCGTCCTGCCGACGCAGACCTAGACGTTGATCCAGACGCTGTCGCAAGCAAAACCCAACCGCAAGCCATCATGACGAAACCGCGCCGTGGGGTTCGGTTCCCCAGCCGAACCGGAAACGGTCACGTTTCTTCCGACGGGAGGCGATCCAGCTTCAGCGAGATTAGCGAGGACGGGTCCGGGTCGCCGATGAAGTCCAAGGGCTTGCCGCAATTAGACGGCATTACCGAAGTACGTTTCTTCTACCTTGTCCCTCTCCCTGTCTCTGCGTCGCTCGACCTCAGAAGCTGACGATTAACTCTACCCCCCTCCCCCGTAGCAACCGCTGGAACAGACCGAGTACGAGAAGAAGAAGGCCAACTTCCTCACGCGCACCTTCTACACCTTCGTCATGATCGGCCTCTTCTTCACGGCCCTATTTTCGGGCCACATCTACATTCTCGCCTGCATAACCGCCGTCCAGGTCGTGTCGTTCAAGGAAGTCATCGCGATCGCTAGCGTGTCGAGTCGAGCGCGCCAGCTTCGTCCCACCAAGAGCCTGAACTGGTATTGGCTCGCGACCACGATGTACTTCCTCTACGGCGAGTCCGTCATCTACTACTTCAAGCATATCGTGCTTGTCGACCGGGTCCTGCTGCCGCTCGCGACGCACCACCGCTTCATCAGCTTCGTGCTGTACGTCATCGGCTTCGTCTTCTTCGTCGCCAACCTCAAAGCCGGCCACCTCAAGTTCCAGTTCACCAACTTTGCCTGGACGCACATGGCCCTGTACCTGATCGTCGTGCAGGCCCACTTCGTCATGAACAATGTTTTCGAGGGCATGATCTGGTTCTTCCTACCCGCGTCGCTGGTCATATGCAACGACATCTTCGCCTACATCTGCGGCATCACCTTTGGCCGAACCCAGCTGATCAAGCTGTCCCCCAAGAAGACGGTCGAGGGCTTTCTGGGCGCCTGGATCATGACCATCATCTGGGGCGTCCTCCTCACTAATGTCCTGATGCGCTCCAAGTACTTCATATGTCCCGTGAACGACCTCGGCTCGACCATCTTTACCGGTCTCGAATGCGATCCGAACCCCGTGTTTCTCCCCCACACCTATACCCTGCCTCAGCTCTTCTTCCTCCCCGAGGGGACCGGCCTCTCCTTTACCACGGAGCCGATGCAGTTCCACGCTATCATCCTCGCCACTTTTGCGTCACTGATCGCGCCCTTCGGCGGCTTCTTCGCTTCAGGATTGAAGCGCACCTTTAAGATTAAGGACTTCGGCGACTCGATCCCCGGCCACGGGGGCATGACCGATCGCATGGATTGCCAATTCATCATGGGCTTCTTCGCGTTTGTATACTACCAGACCTTCATCGCGCAGCATAAGGTCAATTTCGGCAACGTCATGGAGCTCGCCATCACCGGCTTAACGTTGGACGAGCAAATGGAATTGGTCAAGGGGATGAGCAAATATCTGGAGAACCAGGGCGTGTGGGGACCCGAGGTGAGCACTATATATTATATACACTCTGACACGCTGGCACAGATTGCGAGACTAACCAGTGACGCTTAGGTGCACGAGTGTTTAGAAGGAGCATTGCCCGCGCGGCGATAGGAATCAACTTGGGTGTTGTCCCGGATGGGCAAAGGAGGTGGCGAGGCTGCGGGCAAGGGTGCTGCACATTATACATAGCTACTCGGCCGAAGAAGCAGCCTATTAATGATATGAATGATGACCAGATAAACGCAGACGTTTCTGTGTCGAAGATGTCGTGCAACTATAAGGTTCTCTTGATTTCTTTTGACTCTAGGTGGCTTTGAGCGATGGGGCAAAAAAGGGGGGGGAGGAGAGAGAGAACGTGGTAAAATAAAATACGGAGAATTGAACGGAGTGTCCTAAACACCCGTATAAGGGGAATGGAGCGGGGCGGTACCACGAGCTTCGCCTCGCGCGGCTCGTGGAGCTTCGTGTGTATAAATAGATACAGAACCATACACATGGTCCATCGGTCGGTATCCGGATCGTCGAAGTAAGCAGCAGCAGCAGCAGCAGCAGTCTTGACAGGGACACATTCCGAAAACCCTCACTTTTTTTGAACCCGCCCACCGTGGCAGTAGCTAGCGCGTCGTATCGTCCCACCCTGTCGCTCTTCGAAGACGGGGCACGCGAGGACAGGTTTTGCCTGCCGGCTGTTGCCGGTAGCGGGGGTCAGCCGAGCGGGATGGGGCCGATGAAATGCTACGGGGGGATATACTACCGATCGCGCCAACCCGGAGCGTGTCTGGCCTAACCCACCGGCGTTGGCCGGGGCCGCCGGGGTTCCGACCTCGCGGCCGGGAGAGAGAAATAGGTAGGTAGGTATATAGGCCAGGCGGGCCGCGACGCCGGGCTCTGTGGTACACGCGACAGAATAATAATAGGCACTAATCGTAGAATAGAAGGCGGGAGAGAAAGAAAGAGAGAGAGGGGGGAAGAAAATTCGTATAACCCGCCACGCGTAATATCAGCTATCAGCTACCGACGGCGGAGTACTTGCCGCACATCGACGCAGCGTGCTGTCAGCGAAGCATCGTCTTTTTGTCTTCCTCTTCCTCTTCCTCTTCCCTTTTCCCTCCCCTTCTTTCATTCATTTTTCTTTTCTTTTCATTCCAATTTTTTTTTTTTTTTGCTCACGACTTCGCTAATCCCTAGGTAAGATCCCTGGGCCCAACTCTCTCCTCCTGCCCTCGTCCCCGCTTCCCGCCCACACACCCCTACCCTACCACACCCACCCCCTTTTCAGCTCTGCTGCCCTCGCTCGCACCCCGTCTTGGACGCCGCCGATACGGAAAATACGACGACGGCTTGTCCTTTTGCGCCGGCGGCTTACGTGACCCCCCTCCCCTCCTTTGGCGCACCCGCCGGCTCGCAGCAGCGCCCGCCTTGCCAAGTCAGGCCTGGCTGGAATAGCGCCTGCCTGCCTGCCTGCCTGCCCACCTGCCCACGGGGTCCTCGCCCTCCCGCTCTCTGGGCAGTCCGCCAACGCCTGGATTGCGACGCGGGGGGGACCGGGATACCGTAATCGGCACCAGCCCAGCCACGCGCGCGTGCGAGTGCGGGAGGAGGAGGATGAGGAGGAGGCGCCAAGTCGGTGGCGCGCGAGAAGGGGAGGGGGGGGGAAGGGAGGGATGCGCTAAGGGGAGGACCCGTCCGCGGTCAAACCGGTGGGGGAGGGCAGGGGAACCGGCGGCGCGCTGACGCTGCTGCGGTAATTATGGCCTCGTGTCTTGCTCTGGCAGACGTCGCGAGTAGGCGCTTGCCCTGCGTGTGCGAGAAGAGAGAGAGAGAGAGTCGCGGTCTGCGGAGGGCGCGGGGGCTGTCTGGTCTGTTTGGATGATGCGGGGAGGAGGATAGGCAGGCAGGCAGGTAGGCTTGTGAGGTGTGCATGTGTATACGCACGTAGGAGATATGTACGTATGTATGTATGTATGTAGGTAGAGCTTGCTCGAGAGGAGTGGTTCAGAGAGGAGAGGGAGGAGGTCAAGGGAGGGATATTGAGGAGGGGGAGGAGGACATGGGTGCGCACGTGTGAACAGGCCAGGCCGCCCACCCGCCGCCGTGGCTGGCATGGATCGAAGTTGCAGCGATGCTTCTTCTCTTGCTATCAGCCGTCAGCCGTTCAGCCAGCGTCTTCCATGGGGTATGAGGGGGGCCTGTTATGATGCTACTCCATAGCCTGTGGGTGTGTGTGGGCGGAATCATGTACGCGCGTGGGTGGATGGATGCGCCATAGGTTTCGATCTCCGTCTTCCCTGCTAGCCTGTCTGTCTGTCTGTCTGTCTCTCCTTATGCCTACATACCGGTTGTATCCATACGAGCACACACACACACACACACACACGTCCCCCATGCATGGCCATCGCTCTATGCAGACTGTTCATCCCCTAGCGCCACCTTGCTGGGGAAAGTAGGTGGGCTGGCGATCTGGATGCTACGAGGATAGAGCCGAGCACAGAGCAACAATGTGCGCGTCGGGATGGGGATGCGAAAATCGCGTAGCGATATCATGACTAGAAGGGATGGAGGAGGGACGTGCTGGCAGGGATGGTGGTGATGATAAGCAACTCGTCGCCGCCTTGGAGTGCGAGCGTAGAAGGGACTCTCGGTAGTTTGAGCATGTTTCTTCGACGCATCATACATCCCTACATGTCCAGCCGTATAAGTACCTAGGTGTATACGCACAGAGCGTACATACACACGTACCTAGCTACCTACCATACCTCCCTACTTACATACATATAGACGAGCACACATGCAGAGCCCGTCTACACTACCTCCCTTCAACCTTGCTCGCCCGCACTCGCGTGATACCACCGGCGGCATATCTCTCACCGAGCTGCTTCCCTGGATCGTAGATCGCCCAGTGGGGGACGAGATGGCGAGCGAGAGAGATGGGCCAAACGGATCGGCGCCTGTCTGGGACGTCCACCTCGGGGTCGTTGAAGGGGTCCGGCATCGACTCCACCGGGCCCCTTCCCTCTCGCCTTCGCGCTCGTCCTGTCGTCGAACACACCCGACGCATCCAGTTAGCCAATCTCCCGCCACGCTCAGCCCCCGAGCGTCGCCTAACGCCCCCAGAGAGCTGCGTCGCGCGCCCGCCAGCGGGTGCCGCGATAGGTAAGGGAACGCGAGGCCCTGGGAGAGCGAGTGGGCAGGTAGGGTATAACGAGCGAGGGAGAGGTAGGCAAGGTAATACGTGCGTGTTCCTCGCCCGCGTCGCCACCCCCTCCCCCTTATTCAAGCCCATCATCGCCGTCTATCACGCGCATTAGCGCTGACCAGGGCCCCCCCCCCAACCACCACGCACACATGCATACAGATATTCGTGTACGACGTTCCCGCCGCCGGCAGGGAACGCGGGAAGTGGATGGAGAGCGCGGGCGAGTTTGATAGCGAGCACCCCTCGCTGTTAGAGGAGGACGAGAGCGAGAAGAGTGGGGGAGAGAGGGGGAGGGCGGGGGGGGAGCAACATGAAAATGATGGTGAGAGAAGAAGAGGGTAGATCGATAACCTACGGGGTAATCCCCGAGAGGGTGTGGTTGACAGGTATCGATTAGAGGTGCTCGCGTCTCCGACCCGAGCTGCAGTAGCCAGGCCGGTCAGCGAACATCCCTCCCCCTCGCTCCCGCTCCCCCCTAAGTACGTTAGGAAAGCTTGTAGGTGTGTAATGTCGCTGATGGCTTGGCGGTCAGAGCAGCGCGTAGTCCTGAGGAACTCCTGTTCGCGCGTAGTCGTCGGCCGGTGAGATTAAGTTATGACCGTGTTCGGGCGGGCATATGTGTGCCTTAGGTTGGGTGTTTTACCCGTGGTAGGCTGGGTGCCGATTGGGCGGCCCTGCTTATGACTCCTCCTCCTCCCCCCAGTTTGATACGGGGTTCCCATCTCTCGCTCTCGCTCCCTCGAGGCTCTGGCCGAGCACGATGACTGAAGGAGGTAGGTAGACTCGCGAATTATTTCGCGCAACACAGTTCAAAGGAGAGAGTGGTGGCCGCGTGGGAACTGCCGCCGCTTCAAAGGCCGAGATTCAACACACGACTCCCACGTAGACGTATATATCGTATATACACCTACCTACGGCGCTGCCATTACGCGAGGTGGGGTGCTGCGTGTCGGCCTTGTTCTGGGCGGTCGATCGAAGACATCGAGTTGCGTAAGGATGTCGGCTGTGTGCGGGACCACATGCGGCATGTGGAGATGCATTACATTGCATGACATCGAGCCCGTATCGTGGCCCACCCTTGGGCATGGGGACCCGTCGGCGGTAGGGCTAGCCCATTCGATGCGTCTCGGATCCTTCAATGACGCATAGAAGGAAACGTCTCCGATCCCTGTTTTCTCGACCCGTCCGGCGCGCGCTCCATCTCTGGCCTGCGAGGGAAGAGGGGGTTAATACGTGCCGACAGGCCGTAAGCTGGGCTGGAGGCGCCAGCGCGTGCGGGAGGCAGCTCGTCATCTGTTCACGAAACCGGCGAAGACTGAGCCAGCGCAGACACCAGTTCCTCCTGTAGATAGGCAGATGTAGAATAGAATCCACAGGCGAGTATATAGCCTCGACGCTGAGCGATGTAGCAGTGGCGTACTTCGTGCTGCTCTAGCATACCGAGGAGATGTGGCACCGCGAAGAGAGGAAAAAGCAAAACGAAGATGATCGTTCGTAGGTGGCACGAGCTATGAGACATTTGGCTGTCAGACATCCCTCGCGGCAATGCGAACCGAGTTCGCCAGCTACGCTTCCCTCCCCTCTCTCCCCCTCCTCCTCCTGCGCCCCCCCCCCTCTTCCTCCGAGAAAGCTGAAGGATATCATGGTGATGATATCACATTGATAACCGCATACCGGACCCGAACTTCCCTGTCCTGCCCTGCCCTGCCCTGCCCCTTCCCCCCCGGACGAAGGTTGCCAAGGGATCACCCGAATCCGTCCTCCTCGGTCAGCCACGCAGTACAGGATGTCTTTTGGGTTGGTTCGGGAGGGTACGGGGGAGGGGGAGGGGGAGGGAAGCATCCTTCGCAATCCTCCCTCTCTGAATGCGTCAACAGCCCAAACTAGGCTCCCCAGAGATGCCGCGGTTCCTGGTGATCACGACGCGGATGACTCGGCGCCTGACTAGCTTGGGCAGCCGGTTGTTGGGTCACCGGCACGGGAGGTCGTAGAAGTCGGATGGGCGAATAAAAGATTGGCTGGACAGTGCCGTCACGCGCTTAGGTAATGCGACCCATTCCGATACCGACGATAACAAATGCTGGCAGGTACCTCCGGCCAGATAGGCGGTAGACGACGGAAGTACCAGAGTACGTGGTCGGGTACCTTGAGGGAGGGCAAGACTATCTTAGGTGGGTCATGGAGGGGAGCCTTCGGAATATTTGACTGGCCAAGTGGCCTCGGGAGGGAGGTATTAATTGGATACCACGCGAGCGGCACCAATGTAACGAGGTCAGGACGATGTACCCCGACGTGGGAAAGTACCACGTTAGGTACTTACCTAGACCTCTCACGGTACAACTCCCCTCCAATGCTTACCTACATACCTATGCGTATATCGAGGCTAGAGAATCTCTTGGCTTACCCGGTAGGTAGATAGGTCTGTACCACCCACCCGAGAGACCTTCTCCCCTACCTATAGAAGTTACCTGTGGCATCGGAGGCACCAACAACCTGTGCCCGAGCACCCAACCAACCCATCCCCAGCCGAGCCGACAGAGATAGAGATGGACAGGCTCGACCCCGTTCCACCATCTGAGCAGGCCGCCAGCTCTCCCGCCGTGGCCTGTGACTGCGCTAGGGCAAGACGATGCTCCGCCGCTATACCGAGCCTTTCTCGAAATATGATGCCTTCTTCGTCATCGTGACCTGGCCTATCCGTCAGGCAAGGGTATCGTCGGTTCTGTTACCGACGTCCGCGCCCGCGCCCGCACCCGCGCCCGTGGGACATGTCATTCTCGTCCGCGTCGAGTCCCCCCCCCCCTTCAGGATAACGATGCCGGTGGCACCAACGTGCCATGTGCTCAACCTGCCGACCCAACACGGCAATTGGCCCGTTCCGGAGATGTGTGTGAGCACTCACACTCCCCTTCGTCCTCCTGTCCTCATTAGGCAGACTCCTAAGCTGTTTACCGAACTCCTTTGTACACATAGGTAGCGTCTGCTAAGGCGCTCGTAGTTCGTCCGTATATAGGTAGGTGTTGAGACCACCCTGAGTGCCCCTCCTCTCTCTCCCTCTTCCTTCCTCTCTCTCGTCCGCAGATGTAGTTCTTCCCCCTCCTGCCCCCCGCCTCCTCCTTCTTTCTCCGTCTTTCTGTAGCCTTCTACCTAGCGGACGCACTCTGCCGAGATGGCCATCGACATCCCGTTGAAGGTGAAGGCCTTGTTTCGCCCTCGCCTGGCTAAGAGGAGGCGGCCAAGCGATCTCGCCTCCCCGCCGTGCCAGCATAGTAAAAAGCCCCGGGACGAGCCGGCCCCGACGCCCGATACTGCCGCCGGCGACCGGGTCTCGCTCGACCTGCAGTTGTCCAGCCCCTTCTTCCGAGATGTCCCCATCGAGATCCGCAAGATGATCTATGATCTCGTCTGGAGGGACCCCTACGAAGACGCCTATCACTCGCCCAGGGGGCGCCACATCCACTTCCAGGAGGGCCGCTGGAGCAACACGCGATGCGTCATGTACGACGACGACGAGGATTTGGACTGGATACAGAAGAACAGTGCGCAAACCTCGGGTCTTCTTCCCCTTCTTGTCGTCCCGGTGCTACCCCCCTGCCAAGAACTTCACCACGATTTCGCCCGTTGCTCTTAGCTGATAAAGGTAAAACTACTCGATGCTAACGCTCGTGGCAGTGGACAGGATCCCTAGTTCACGTGCAGGTGACATGGTAATGTGGCAGAAGAGACTCTCTTCGACCTGGGGTAGCCGACACTGGCGGTGCGAGGAGAGAATACGACATGAGAGGCAAAAATCTGTGGACCAGACCAACTTCATGTCTATGATGCTGGTGTGCAAGCGCATGTAAGCTAGCCCCCCTTTGTTTATTTTTTATTATGATATGCTGTAACATACATGCATATGCGTACGCGTATATGTGTATGTTCTAAAAAGGGGCAACTGGTTAATTAACGCGTCGTGTAGGTTTCCCGAAGTGGTGGAATCCATTTTCGAATCGTATCAGTTTCTGTTCAACGATATCTACACGGCCCACCGATTCTTCGTCTACAGTCCTTCGCCGCACGTCTCGCACATCCGCAACCTGGACCTGACGCTCAACTTGGGGTTTCACGAATATGCGCCGTTCATCACCGACCTGCCCAAGAGCCGGGTTCGGGAGCTGTGGGAGGCGCTAGGACGCATCTCGTGCCTGCACAACCTGCGCATCTCTCTCGACATCTACGACCGCGGGCCGTGGCGCAAGATTCCCGAGCAACGCGTCGTGGCTCAGCTCAGGGATCTCAGAGTGCTGAATAACTTCACACTCGAGCTCCCGCCGCCGCTTCCCATCAGGGTAGACCCACCGAACATGCACAGCCTCGACGCGGAGGAGGAGGCGCCGTTCAGGGTTGTGCGCCGACCTCCCCTGCGCTATTGGCAATTCATGCCGGGTGAGGTAGAACACTTCAGGTGGGAGACGCGCACGAAAGGCCAGCAGAGTCACTGCTTCATCACCCCGACCCGAGAGGCGAGGCATATCCCAAATCCTTATCTGATAGACTTTTTCTGAGGAGACGAGGGGGCGGGACGGCGTAGGGTCAGGATCGGGTGTTGGTTGCCTTGGGGTTCGTGTAGAGGCCCGCATGACGCCCAACAGAATGTTCACATCACTAGGCAGCATCTACTCGTTGACTAATTGGAGGCTGAGTTGTCCTGAGGGATGACCATATTCGGGCATCTGAACAGACTCCTTGGCACCCGCATCACGCTGTTCTGGCCGTATCGTTTTTTGGCCAGTTATTGCCGTAGGTCCGTAGGTTTCCGCATATTATATACCCCCCTTGATCCCACCCACGTTACCTATGTCGTGTGCATAGTCGCCGTGCCGCAATCTGTTACCGTGACATTTGGAAGAGATGCGTCGACCAACAGGTGTGGGAGTACAACCAACGCAGGCATCTCTCCCTTTCCTCGCTCAGTCGACTAGATCGAGGGTGCGGCACGGCGCCGCATCGGAGCGTATCACCTACGCCGCGCAGCAGCGCCGAAGCGGTTGGCTTGTCTGCAGCATCGACACTACCCCAACTTTGGACTCCGGCGTTGCACCGGTCAACGAGGTATAGTCGTGATTGGGTCGACCGCGGGGGCAGGGGAGGGTATAGTAGGTTGCATTCGTGAGGACCGTAGGGCAGACAGCGCGCTTAGAGCTGCACGATTCCTTCGGGCCACGCGGCCAATAGGGCGTGATGCTCGTCCCAGGGCTTGCAGCAACTCGCTCCCCTTCGCCGCGCGATGGCCATGGTCCCTTTCCCTATCGGGATCATTCGATCAGACTGTTGGCGACTATCGCCCAGTGAGGAGACGTCTCTCTCGTGGGATAGGTAAGCCGAGTCTCCGCTGGAAACGGATGGGGGCCATACCTACCATGCGCAGAGGCGCCCCGCGGAGCCGGTAGACGTAGCTCGCATGTCTGTCCGTCTCTACGAAGACGAAGGCGCCGCGGTATAAGGATAACACTAGCTTCACATCATCCAGCTGGGATAGCGATCCTGCTTTCGCCGGATAACACCTGCCGACCCATCCAACAACGGACCACACAGACGGGAAATTCAGAGCGATGTCGCTGCGGCTCGGTTCGTCGCCCGTTGGGATCCCGGACGGGTCTCGCATGCGAGCGACCGCGCACCACCAGCTCGGGTCGACTTTCTTCGGCGGCCTGCCGCTGGAGATCCGGGACATGATCTACGGCGAGTGCTGGGCGGCCTCCGGCCTCCGGCAGCACGTGTTCCTCCGCGGCGGGCGGCTGACGCACGCGCCCTGCGTCCTGGCGCCCGGCGAGGCCGACGCGCGGCTCGACGAGCTGCGGCGCATGCTGCAGGCCCGGGACGCCCCGCGCCGGCCCTGCGCTCGCCCGCTCGCCCTGGGCGAGAGGTGGGCCGCGCGGTTCTCGTCGCCCTGGCACGAGCACTGGCGCTGCGAAGAGGAGGAGGCGAAGGCGAAAGCGACGGCGGGAGCCGAGGCGAGTCCCGCACGTCGGAGCCTTCCGTCGTCTCCGAGGCGCACGCTCTTCCTGCCCATCCTCCTGGCGTGCAAAAGAACGTGAGTGTGCATCCCCTTATTACTCCCTCCCCACTGCGCCCCAAGCCGCAGAAAACCGAGGTCGCTCACCACCCCCCCCCCCCCCCCCCCCCAAACTTAGGTATCTCGAGGCGCGCCCGGGCCTCTACGCCGCGGTGTGCCTGACCTTCACGGACCTGGGCGCGGCGCACGCGTGCCTGGCGCTGTCGCCGGCGACGACGGCGGCGCAGCTGCGCTCGCTCGCCTTCTCGCTCGCGCTGCCCCTCGACGCGCTGCACCGGCACCGGCTGCGCGACGCCCCGGGGCCCTGGGCCGAGCTCTGCACCGCGCTGTCGGACCTCGTGCGCTTCGCCGCCCTGCGCGAGGTCACCATCCGGCTGGGCCTCGCGCCCGCCTCGGACGAGGGCGGCGGCGGGCAGCAGGAGCTGGAGCTGGAGCGCGCCTGGTGGCAGGTGCGCGAGCGCTGGGCGCTCAGCGCCGTGCGCGGCATGCTCGCGCGGCGCCTCGTCGTCCAGCTCCCGCGCGTCGAGCCGACGCAGCGCCGCCCGGGCTGGCTACAGCCGTACAACTACCCCGACGAGGGCGGCGGCAGCGGCGGCGGCGTGGCAGAGGTGCCGTTCCGCCGGCTCGAGCGCTACAACGCGCTGCCGCCCATGAGGCTGCGTCGGGACGGCCGCGTGGAGCCGCGAATGGACGCCCCGCGCTCTCCGACCTCGCCAGGGTATAGGGGAGGCCGGCTTCGGCGCTCTGTTCCTGCTGCCGCGGGCAGGGATGGGAGGACAAGGTTGCGGAAGGCGACGAGAGGCGTGATGGAATTGGTGGCGGGGCTCGGGTCCAATTAGACATCCCTGAGCGAAAATAGGTTATGGTAAATGAGACGAGTTGGTGGCTCTACGATTCGTTAGGTTTGAGGACGGTAGTTTGATGTTTAGACGACGTCGCGACGGTAGTTGAGCGGTGGCTCGGATGGGGACGGTGAGCGGGACGGTGGGTAGGTCCTGGTCGGTATCTTCCAGTCGTAGCTTAATCTGCGCACCCTGTGCCAGGACATGGGATGACACGACGCCGAGTTTATCTAGGCCTTGTCCTAGATTTTGCTGGTAGACGTATCTGGAGAGGGTGAGATACGAGTCGAGAAACACGCGTGTATTGATAGATGGAAGCACGAATTGCCCATTTACCTCCTGTATATATGTGTATGTGTGTGTGTGTGTGTGTGAATACATATATATGAGGTAGCTTACTACATAACTATATAGCAGCTTAGGAGGTGTGTACATATTTGGGGAGGCTCTCCGGGGGTACATACCTACGTACATACGCGTTATAGAACAGAGCCATACATATACTAAAGCGACATAATGCTTGTATTGAGAGGTTTAGTCTGCAATCCGATCAAGGTTGTCCGACGACAGCAAGACGACAGCGTTGACAACTTCGTTCATAGGACAGGGAGGTGTCCTCGTGCTCGGAGGAGCAACCTGTCCCTGTCGCCGACTACAACCCCGCCAGCAACTCCGCTAGCAACTCCGCCAGCGGGACGCCACTTTCGTAAGCTGAGCCCGCTATCGAGGAGGTGGGGTCACGATGATTACCAAGTGCCTTCAAAACAATACAGAGTCATGTTAGCTTCGAGCCAGCAACGTTACGCCTCGGGACAAAAACCCTCAAGGGTCCCAACTCCCGCTTAGGCTTTGCCAATATAATACGCTCTCTGCAGCGTCTGTGCTGCCGTCAAGTAACCCCCCTACTCCAAACTCCGTCTGCTGAGTCGCGCCGTCTCCAGGATGGAGTTTTGTATGGTCCAGAATGATTAATTTTTTTTTTCTCTGACGTTTCCCTTTCTTTCGTCTTCGCTTATCCTTTCTTTTTTTTAAGGAGCCTCCTCGCCGACTCGTCCCAACCCTCCACCGCCTTGGTTTCGCATGTGGACTTCTCTTAGCCGGCCTACCCAGTGCCGCCGCAGCAGTGGTGTCATCTTGACAAAGACCATGGCCTTGTTCTCGTCCGTCAGAGCCTTCTCAGCAATCTTGAGCTGCAGGTCAGCATCCTCGTCGGCGAAGTCGCGGAAGAAAATATCCACCGCCTGCTCCGGCCATTTGGGCGGGCTGCGCGTCTTGAGGGCCTCGGCTAGAGATAAGATGCCGTCCTCGACGAGTCCGGCGGGGTTGAAGGAGTTGTGAATGCCGTGCGGCGCCGAAGGAACGGCCGTGGGCGGGAGGACGGACGAGTTGCTCGGCGAGCTGGTGGGCTGCTGCGTGTAGAAGTTGGCCGAAAACCGCGACGGCCTGCCTCGCCGCTTCTCCGGGTAGCTCGGACTCGAGTTGGCTTGTGGCCGTTTCTGGGATTGCGGGTTGGGGGTGTGCTCGTCCGGCGGCGTAAGCGCAGCTGGGTTGGCATTTACCGACGTGCGAGGGGGGATGGTGGTCGTCGAGAGCCTCTGCATCGGCTGCGAAGGCGTGGGCGTCGGTAACTGGGCAGCTGGTTGCGGTTGCTGCGGGGTCTGCGTGGGCGTTTGCGTGTACATGCTCGAGTCGAGCGTGGGGTCGATGGTGACCGAGTCGGCGTTACTCGGTCTGCCTCCCAGACTGCCATCGAGGTTCCTACGCCTCGGTTTCATGATACGCTTAGGAGCACCGCCGGAGCCGACGACGTCGGGAAACAGAATCTCCATATACTCTTCGTGGTCGAATGGCCGGCCTCTCAGCGCTTTCGACAGCGGCTCCTTCTACAAGTCACTACGGTTAGCGATGGGTTCCGTTATGTAGATAACGCCCTTCTCCCGACTCTCCTCCCTAGGGTATCCTGCGGAGTGGTTGCTCACTGACTTCGAAGTGCCTCCTCCACGCCTCCTCGCTTGCCGTGACCATCCTAGAACTCGGGTTGTACAGGAACTCGGGGTCCTCCCGCAGTCCCCTCCACATGCGAAACTTCTTGCGCGCGTTGTCGGCCTTGTTGATCAGGTGGCTCTTCTCGGGATACGCGCCGTGCTTGTCGCGGAGGGCAATGGCCGCGCGCTCCCACGCACCGGACTTGAAGCTGTGATTCTCCTTAAAGCCCATCTGCATCGACTCGCACAGCGACCGGAAGAAGGTCTCTTCGTAGGCTAGGTTCCAGCTGAACCGCGGGGTTCGTCTGTCGGCATTGCGCCGGGAGCGCGACGCCGTGACCTCGACGCCGTCGTCCGACATGGTGAGCACGGGCAAGTGGATCTGGCCCGCGGATTCGAGGTCGGGGTAGAATAAGTCGGGATAGCAGGAGAGGCGGTGGCGGGGATGGCGGCGGCGGTGTTGGTAACGACGGCAGCAATGATGCCTGGCGAGTTGGAAGAGGACATGTACTGGGCGACGCCGAGCTGATTGGACGGGCCGACCCGACCCAGCTGGGATGGAAAGACTGGCGATGGGAATTCGCTATTTTGCCGTACTTATCGCCGCCAAGCGGGATGTTTGGATATCCTTAGCGGTCGGGAGGATGTATGCATGGATGTGGGCAGCTCGCAAGCCCCGGGATTGCTGTGGTCAGATACGGTAGAGCGGGAATGTGAGGATGGGGGCCGACGGGGTCAGTACGGCAAGTTGAAGGCCAGTTTCAAACGGTGATGGGGGGAAAACGAAATGGGACCGGGTGGTTAAAGTGAGTGGGCAGATCAGATGGCAGATGGCGGCTGGTGGCTGATCTTTTTCATCCCCCCCTCACCAGCCCCTCCCCCGGTGGCTGGGGAGAATATCACGTGATATATGTGTAGAGGTACCTATGGTTAGGTACCTACCCACGTATACCTTAGGTAGATAGGTAAGTATGTATTTGTGTAGATCCCCAAGTGCTATACGGAGAGATGGCACGATATATACCAACAATTAATAGTTTACTCAAATAGTAACCACATCGTATTTTGAGGTTGATTTGCTTGAACGGAATTATGAAAACACGTGTAGTAGATAGGTAGTGATTCTTTCTAAAGATAGGAACAGTCCCTGGCATACTCATAATGTCGACAGTAAGTACCTAGGTAGGTACCTAATATACTGGTAGAGGTAGGTGGCTTACGTAGCATTGGGCACATACGATCAGCAGAGAGCAAAGTAGGCAGAACCACTCGGCACCAAGAAAAAACCATCAACCCATCTATTCTTTTCCGCCTTGGGCAGCTTTTCTTCGACAACCCGCCGGAGCCGTGGTCTGAACGGTGACAGACGCTCGATGTGAACTGGCTCGAGACCGTGGGATCAAGCCCCCGAGATCACCTATCAGCTACATTGCCTTACGCGCCCAGCCTACCCGATGGATGCCAACAGTAGATGTTGGCTCTTGTTTTCCAGCCGAGCCTGGTTAGCGATTGGCTCACGAAATGGTCGTAGGCAAATCGGGAGTCTCGCCTCCCTCAGCCAAACAAGCCGTTTCCGCCATGTCGTCGCATAGGAAGCTATATATATGAGCCTACATTGCCAGCTAAGGAAGTGTAGACATCTCTATCTTTCTGCGACAGGTATGGAAAGGGGTTTCCATGCGATCTTTCACGGCAGGTTTGCAGCCGTCCCCAGCAGACATGTGGTAGGGGGTTTTACATCCATTTCCAAATCCGTGCGAGCGAGGGTCCCTCACCTTGTCCGTCACCTCTCCCCCTCCCTCTCTCTCACACCGTCACCAAGCCCAGGTTGCGCCTTGGGTTGCTCTCGAAACAAGCCGGAACCTCGGTGCAGAGAGTTGGGATCCAGTCCTTGGCCGCTCATAGGCGGGAGGACTTGCCTCTCTAGCACCGCCATATCTTCTCGCTTCTTCTTCGCAGTCCCACCGCTGCTTACCTAGGTACGTCTTCCCTGGTCTCTGCTAATGGAGGGGGGGCCATAGTAATCTGCCCCAGTTACCCCGTTGTAGTTCCACTGAAACGACCCTCCTTGGAAACGACGCGATTAAAACCCAGCCTACGCGCAATATTTACTATATATGTATTGTTCATTATACTTACCTACTTTTCTTGTACCTATGACCGAGTCGGTTCGCTTCCTACGATAGGTATTCTTTTTGTCCTTCGACGCTTAAAGTTGACCTCTAGTGAGTTGGTGGTGTAGCCCTTTATTACCCTCCTTTGGCCTGTTCGGACTATGGGTTGATCATCATAACATCGCACTCGCTTGCTGATTGCTCTGCCAGCATACGCGCGTCAAAGAAAAGAACTCGCTCCGATAGTAATGGCTTGCCTCCACCCGCTAGGTCTAGTGAGCTTGGGACCTAGGTAGACGTCGCCTTTGCGGCGCTTGCTTCGGGAGCTTTGCCGGCAAGAAATTCCGGCGCGCTACTGGACGGGTGCGTCGGCTCTGCCATCGCGGCGCAATGGGACAGGAACCGTCAGCCACGGCGCGAGAGCCCCTGCATTAGTCTCGAGTGCTCGAGGTCCAGTGAAGGTGACTCTATCCGGCTCCGAGTCATGATACCAGCGCCGCCCATTACGAATTCGCCTGGTCTGTCCTGGCAGGCCCCCACTGGCCATGCTACACCATCTGTTTTACCGGTTGAAGAGACGATTCCTAGTGGATCTCGTCTCCTACGCGCACGGAGGGACCAGGGCGGCGCAACTCCAATTCGCATCCAGGGTGCCAACCGTTCATCCCCACACGAGACACGATCCGCATCACATCTATGATCGGCCTTGGCCGGCTTGGCTAGCTTGGCTAGAGCTTGTTTCCGATACCCATGTTGGTCGAATGGTGGTCTACTGGGGCTGCTCCTTACGCTATGCTAACTATTACTTGCCTACGCCTAGGTAGTCTCCGTAGTGCCTCAATTTTGTCCCTCCCTTGTGTGCTGTTGGCTGTTGGCATAGGTATAAAAGCCGACCTCTTGGCTCTCGTCAGTTCCCTTTTATTCTTATCGTTATTCCACCCCCGACCAGCTCGTTGTCCGAGACAACTTTCATTCAATCGTTGTATTCGTAGATTCCCTCGTATTTGTTCCTCCTTCACTACTTGGTCCTTCTTTGGCCTCGTCAGCTTTCCCTCTTTGTGGCCTATTCGACTTCTTAACCGACCTTTCCTGGCTGGACTTGTGTCTTGAGCACACCTGTTTCCTCTCGCTAAGCCCACCTGGTGTGGTAATACGGACCTGTAGATTTCTTCTCTCCTTTTTTTTTTTTTTTACCCTTCCTTTTCTTCTCCGCGGAGTCTAGAAGGATGCCGTCTTTGGCGAATGTTGTCTTGCTTTTGAGCCTGCTAGCCCTAGCCTCTGCGTCCCCAGCGACCATCCGGAAACGAGGCGTGTACAAAGTCGAGAGAACTATAAACCCGAACTATAGCGGCCGCAATGGTCCGAGAGCTCTGCTCAAAACCCTCCGAAAGTACCGCATGCCGGTGCCAGCCTCACTTACCGATGCAGCCCAGCGACAGAACGATATGATCACGAAGCGGCAGCCGCGCGGGAAGGGACATGGGCGTCATGGCGCCGGCTCAAATTCTACTACGGTTGGGGCCCTGACGAATGGCACCGGCCTCGTGTCCGCGACCCCCGAGGCCAACGACGTCGAGTACTTGTCTCCTGTGAAAATCGGTGGTCAGACTGTTAATCTCGACTTCGACTCTGGGTCGTCTGACCTGTGGGTTTTCAACTCGCTGCTCAGCGAAGCAGCAACTACGGGCCATCAGATATTCGATGCAAACAAGTCCAATACGTTCTCTCGTATTCAGGGTGCCTCCTTCGAAATATCCTACGGCGACGGCTCGGGGGCGGCTGGAATCGTCGGCACCGACACCGTGGACGTTGGAGGTGCTACGGTCACCAAGCAAGCCGTAGAGCTGGCCACCGCAGTTTCTCGGTCGTTCGTCGAGGACAGTGCCAACGATGGTCTGCTGGGCCTCGCGTTTAGCCAGCTGAATACCGTACAGCCAACATCTCAGAAGACATTCTTCGACAATATCATGACATCCTTAGCCGAGCCCCTGTTCACCGCCGATCTTCGCCCCCAAGCAACAGGTGCTTATGAATTCGGTCGAGTAGACACGACCAAGTTCAGTGGCGAGTTGACTTGGGTCCCCGTCAATACGACGGATGGCTTCTGGCAATTTCCGAGCGAGAAGTTCGCTATCGATGGCGGCAACCCACAGACCTCTACGGCCGGAGCGCAGGCGATTGCCGACACCGGCACGACTCTGATATTGGCCGATCCTGCAGTAGCACAAGCATATTATGCTCAAGTCGACGGCGCGCAGGAGGACCAGCAGCAGGGAGGCTTCACGTTTCCCTGCAACACAGAGCTACCTGACCTTCAGTTGGACATTGGCGGAACCATGGCAACTGTCAAAGGTGACTTGATCAACTTCGCTCAAGTTGATGCTCAGAGTAGGTTCCCAATGCGTACCATCCGTCGCCAAACGTCACTAACTGATACAGATTGCTTTGGTGGCCTTCAATCCACACCAGTTGGCTTGCAGGTGTATGGCGACATCTTCTTCAAGAGCAATTTCGTCGTCTTTAACGGCGGTAACGCGTCACTCGGCTTTGCGCAGCACATTTAAACACGCCCATCATCTGTACTTATAGATATACCATTACCGCACGGTCCACCGGTATGGATTGTATATATAGTCTCGGGGGTTTCAGTCCTCGAGACGCAAACTTGCAAGCATGGGTGGACCCGGCTGAATGGACCACGGGACTCATCCAAACTATAATGAATGACATCTATACAGCCGTCTAGTAGTAGGGTGGCGCCTATAATTTTGATTTCGCTGGTGATATCGGGTCTAAGGTTGCGAAAAAGGTCTCTAGTCTTTGCCCTGTAAAGATGCAGACAGGGAGGAGAGCAAACAGAACGGTAGTATCCCTCCTATAACGAGGGGTCTTACTTAGAGACCTAGGTACCACGCTGTGTATATATATTCAAACTGTATCAGTGCCGATCTCTACTCTCATTCATAACTATTCTCTGTTAGCTTCGTGATTATGGTCTTAGAGAGTTACGAGGTAGTTAAGAACCGCAACGAGCAGCGAACGGGGTCAGATGGTCGAGTCTGGGTCCATCTACTGCTCAGAGCGTCTGATATCATCTTCAGCGCTCATTTGTCTGCGCTCACCCTCCATCCTAAAAGGAGCTTTACGCACATAGGTACGAGACTAATGCGCCAGACCATACGGCGCCCGGACGCGCCCGCACTCCCCGAGCTATTACCTCCACAGGCATCCCGTGAAGTCTCCTCATAGACGAAACACTTGACGGCCTTAACTAACTTTGCTTATTTTACAGCCACATGCTGCCGTGCTTCGATCCTGAAGGCTGACTACAACAGGTTTCCTCCTAGTGTTGACTAAGCACAGATCCTTGCGCCTATGCGGGCTGCTCTGACGCATCCGGTTGTCTCCCACAGTCGCTATTATCGCCGGCGGCCCCGGTGTTAATACAGCCTCGAGCCGAGCAGTGGGGAGCACCGCAGTCGTCGCCGACGATCGCCGAGTCTCGCGCCCGAAGGGCTCGCTCGCAAATATTAACAGCACTGAACGCCACGGTGCTGGCTCTAATATGCTAATATGCTTGGGGGCCCTGCCGGATCACTGCATGGGCTAACCAAGACCTAGGTACTGCTTCCTTACTAGCTAGCTCTATCTGTAAAACAAATGCTGTCTACCTAATAAGCGTCTGCATGTAGACGCGTATGCGTGTGTGATGGGCAGGTATGAGCATCGCACTACGTTCCCAAAGGCGCTATCTAGATCTCCTACATAATCTAAATAGAGAGATGCCCAAACTTGATCGTCCAGTGGAGGCACTCGCCTCCTGATATCGAGCGCATAAAATGCTATCGATATTTTTGTTGCCCCCTAGTACGAACATCCTATTACCTGATGTCATTTGTTGGCCGCTACTTAAGCGTGATGCCACGTCCCCCCACTGAAGAATTCCGCGACTTACTGTGATGCTCCGTGCTCAGATGCGCGGCCCCATACTCGAACGAAGCAGGTTGAGTTGCCAGGGTGGTTCAGCTAGTTCTAGATAGTTTCCTTGGGTATGCGCCTTATCCTTAAGTAGGTAGGTAGTAGAATTTCGACTTGGGGACATTGTCACGCCAGTTAGTGAGGCGCGCAGTCTTTTTCAGAGGTGCCCGGGGACATCGATAGAGGAAGGTGACGACGTCGAGGCTCTACCGGCCGGTATGCATATGTGTGTGGTGTGGTATGGAATGGAATGGCATGGGCGTAAGTGAGTGAGGGTCAACGTCGCAGGCAGTCTAATTACGTACAGAGTACTACCCAAGAGAGAGGGAGAGGGAGAGAAAGGAAAGCTACCATCAGCTAAACACGAAACTCGCAGGGCGTGCACTGGACTTGTAATATGGGTACCAGATCGCGGCCCAGGGATAAATGGTGGATATTGTAAGATGCTGGTGGGAAGAAGTCGTCCTTTTCTCTCTAATCTATCTGCAACTTGTCGTCGTAGGCACTCGGTAAGGATCTACGTCCGCACACATGCCGAGGGCCCCGATCCCTGATGACAAGAGGAGGGAAAGAAAAAAAAAATTTACAGGGATGAATTAACTGAGCGAAATAAACGCCAAATCGGACTGTAGTCAACTAGCAGCTGTATTGCGCAGCCAGTTGGCCGAAGTCGGCTTTGGACGTGGGTTCTCATATCCATGTGCGTCCATCAAAGAGATCGTCAGTCTCGTCTTACTTACCTAAGAGGTACATACCTACTCTAGGTTGAGACGCCGGCCGATCCTGGATAGGCATAACCAGATCCGAATCTGTTCTGTGCTCCGTCGCCGATCCCCCCCTCCTCTCCATCACTTCTACATACCTAGGTAGGTATGTAGGTAGGTGATGTAAATAGGCACTTGACCTTCGCTCGCTCTTCAGGCTCCTTGGGAGGTGGATGTCCATGTCTCTTACCTCTTACCTCTTCCTCGGCACTACCCCCATCGCCGAGCTACCGCACCTACAGTCACACTTGTCTACCCGTTGATGCAAACCCTTTTGCCCACCCATCCCAACCGACCCGCTGACACATGCTCCCGAACCAGAAGATCATAAGACGACTCGTCCACCACATGCGACGTCCGTATGATTTAGTGTCCTAGGTGCCTTTCTAACGCCGACCCGCGCGATGCGACGCTGCTCGCTTGAGATCTCAGGTTCTAGGTAGGATGCCGAGAGGCAACGGGTGAGGCGAGAACCCCGTCCTGCGAGGTGCCTGAGCCGGGGAGGGCGATGCTCGGGTCCTCCGCTACGCTAAATATCGCGCTACGACTTTTCCTGCCCTTTCTCCTCCGCATGTGGCTCGGGAGAATCGGCGACGGACAAGACCAACATGTCGCCATCACGTATGTACGTAAATCCGCCACGGCCGTCATCAGTAGTAGGGATCCCTGTAGCTAAGCCTGCTCAAATCCTCCATCAACACTGTTCAATCCCCCAAGATTTCGTCCGAGTTCCCGGCAAGCCGTGACTCTTAGACATGCTTAGACATGCTCCATAGCTTACGGGACCTCGGCCCAACGCCTCACGCCTCTTTCCCTTGCCAACTTTTTCGGGGGCGTGGGGCCTTTTTAGAATGTATCAGCAACGAGAGACTAGCTAGGGGGTGACCCTTGATGAGGTGGCTAATTTTCTTTTTCTTCTTTGTTAGCGCTTGTAAGTCTACGGCGCAGGTGGGCTCGGAGGTAATAATAGGCTGTGAGGAGAATAGAGAGATACTGGCGCGAAATGTGTACTGTGTAGCTGGTGTCCTTGTTAAGCCAAGTCGGCAGAAGCAAGGGGCCACACACACCTCATGGCAGACTACAAAGAGAGCAGACGTTGGACAACAGACGCGGAACGGTATTACAACAAAGTCAGCCTGCTTCTCGTCACGGGTTTAACAGCACCTCAACCGACCTTCGTGTATAAGCACGAAAGGAAGTACGCGCAAGCCCAACAAGCCAGTCAGCCAGCCAGCCGGTCTGAGACTCCCTCCCCCAGCCCATCTCTCCCAGCCCAGACACCATCTTGGCTCTGCTACTAGTAGAAGCATGTACCGTCGTATTTGTAATGACGAGCGTGTAGCCAAGACCAAGCTCCAGCCACTTGTTCCCTGCCCCCGCCGGATTCCCTATTCGATTACATACAAGCGCGGTTTATCAGATCCGTTTAAAGTTATCTGATCCGCCCTCGGTGGCGCTAGATAGTTGTTGATGGACCCTAGTTCTCCGTCTCTGAGGCGCCCCCCTCCTCACCATCCCCCCCCCATCGACAGGGTCCTAATGCCGAAAAGGAATGTCGCTCCATCGAGCGAGCGCAACTCGACTCGGCGACCCCAGTTCTTGGTAGACCATAGCAAACGCAGCTGCCGTTGTCGGTAAGAATGGAGACAGGTATGGAACTATCATCATGTGCTTGCTGCATCATCCCCTTTCTCTACCTCGCTCTCCGGACACTTTGTAGGTGTCTAGCAATTTCGAGCCCACCATACACGCCCCCTGTGGCCATGTCACCGTCGAGACCTCCGCGCCAGTTGCCTCATCGGCGCTTCCAAGAGAGGTAGGTAGCCCGGCTAGACTCTTCCTGAATCCATAAATACATTTCCATAGCCTAAGCCGTAGACCTGTACTTACGCTCTTATTTTCACTCAGTAACTCTCGCCTCGTTCGTCCAAGCGCTCGCTCGGGACATCCGCTTCCCCAAAGAATCATACCAGAACCCTTCCATTCTAGTGCGTCGGAGACCTGGGCTTAAAACTGCGTCCGTCTAAGTATCACTCTGCACCAGTTCATGGGGGGCGAAACTGTACGATCAGTAGACTCTGCTTCTTATACGATATCGCTATTTGAGCACTTACACATCTACAAAATTCAAGCTACTTGCGAAGCCCTAGTCCTGACCGTCGATCGCGGGTTATGTCCCCAGAGCGAGAGGAGATGGTAATGGGCCGAAATGGCGTGGGACACTCCCATACCGACTCCGTTATCACGGACGAGGGTACTTCGAGCGGGCATTTAACGACGCCTCCGACGGATACCGAGGAGGATGGCCTAGCAACGGAGCAGTTGGAACAGATATGGGCTTGGAACACGCCAGTTCCTGAGACGTTGGAAGTATGCATGCATGACCTGGTAGCAGAACAAGCCCGAATCGATCCCGGCCGACCAGCTATTCACTCGTGGGACGGCGCGTTTACCTATGAGGATGTGCAGTCGAAGTCGGACCGGTTTGCTGCTCATCTGGTGTCGGTAGGCGTCGGCATCGGGTCAACCGTGCCGTTATGCTTCGAAAAGTCGAGATGGACAGTTGTGGCCGTGCTGGCTGTCATGAAAGCCGGAGCAGCCTTCGCGCTGATGGACCCGAGCCAGCCGGAGGGGAGACTCCGCACCATCGTCGATCAGACCGGCGCCTTGACGATTATAACATCCAAGCTACAAGCAAATCTAGGGAATCGTATCGCGCCGAGTGCGACCCGCCTCATCTTATCCGACGAGGATCTCGGTACCTACGATGCTTCTGCGCCCCTGCCCTTCGTGCCGGCGACTTCGAATCTCTACATCCAGTTCACGTCCGGGAGTACGGGTAAGCCGAAAGGTGTCGTGATAACACACGGAAACTACTCTAGCGGAGCGATACCGCGTGCCGACATAGTTGGATACCGTGCGCATTCGCGTGTGCTCGACTTCGCGTCGTACGCCTTCGACGTTTGCATCGACTGCATGCTCTGCACCCTCTCGGTTGGGGGGTGTCTGTGCATCCCGTCGGACGCTGACCGGGTGAACGACCTTAGCGGCGCTATTCGGAACATGAATGTCAACATGGCCCATATGACGCCGTCCGTTGCTCGCGTCCTCGACTCCGACATCATACCCTCGCTCGAGGTGCTGGGACTGGGCGGCGAAGCCATCTCGGCGGGCGACGCAACATCCTGGAGCCAAACAACGAAAGTGATCAACGCGTACGGCCCTTCCGAGTGCACCGTCGGTTGCGCTGTCAACGGCGATGTCGGCAAGGAGAGTCACAAGGGACATGTTAGCATCGGCAGGGGCGTAGGAGGAGCGCTGTGGATTGTAGACCCCTCTAACCACGACCAGCTCGTCCCGATAGGCTCCGTGGGCGAGCTCCTAGTCGAAGGCGCCATAGTCGGGCCTGGATACCTGAACGACCCGGAGAAGACGGATGCCGTGTTCATCAACGATCCAAGATTTCTACTTGCGGGGAGCCCACAGCACGCCGGCCGGAAAGGCCGGCTATACAAGACCGGCGATCTGGTGAGGTACGACAGCGACGGCACGATTGTCTTCGTCGGCCGCGGCGACCAGCAGGTGAAGCTGCGTGGCCAGCGGATCGAACTTGCAGAGATCGAGTACAACATGCGAGACAAGCTGCCACCGGGCACGCGTGTGGCCGCCGAAGTGATTAGGCCTGGCGGACCGGCTGGAGAACCGACTTTGGTTGCTTTCATCGCGGAACGAGCAGGTCTCGTGTCCGAGTCGGAGTCTCTCCTCGGCTCTCTACCACCCCAGGTGCTGGACTGTCTTGCGGATATGAACAACACACTATCAGAAAATCTCCCCATATACATGGTGCCGGCGGCATATATTCCGCTCAAAATCATGCCACTCCTTGTATCAGCAAAGACTGACCGTAAACGACTCCGAGAGCTCGGGCACTCACTAAGCAGGAAAGATATCGCTAGCTTCGCCGCCGCGACGGTTCCTAGAAAGGAGCCCTCGACTGCGATGGAAAAGAGCATCGCCCAGCTGTGGGGCCAAATTCTGGGTCAAGAAATCGACGTCGGCGCTCACGATAACTTCTTTAGCTTAGGAGGAGACTCGCTTCGCGCGATGAAATTAGTCGCTCAGGCCCGAGCGCAGGATATCGCTCTAACGGTTGCCGATATATTCGCGAACCCGGTTCTGTCGAACTTGGCCCTCGTAGCGAGGCCCAGGTCTGGAGACACGGATATCGAGGTCAAGCCATTTTCCCTCCTTAGCAGCGGATGGTCCGAAGAACATGCCCGGCGCGACTGTGCTGCCCTCTGCGACATCGACCCGTCGAAAATCGAAGATGTGTACCCGTGCACGCCTCTACAAGAGGGGCTAATGGCTCTGTCAGCCAAGGTGAGCGAAGCCTACGTTGCGCAGCGTGTAATCGAGCTCGAAGACGAGACGGCGGTGCAGAACCTTGCGAAGGCGTTCGAATCAGCTTCTGCGAACTCTGCGATTCTCCGGACCAGGATTGTCCAGGTGCCCGACTACGGCTTGATGCAGGTTGTGGTTAAAGACGACTTTAGCTGTAAGAGCTTATCAGGGCAGAGCCTCAACGACTACCTAGTGCAGGATAGGAGTGACCCGGTCCAACTTGGTAGACCTTTGGTTAGATACGGGGTTGTTACGAACGAAAGAGACAATGGGAATTCGTACTTCGTGTTGACGATGCACCACGCGCTCTACGACGGATGGTCGATGCCTCTAGTAGTCGAACGTGTTAACAGGGCACACAACGATCTGACTACTGAGAGGCCGGCTGAATTCAAGCACTTCATCAGCTACCTCGAGACCATGGATCGTGGGGAGTCGGAGAAGTACTGGAGAGAGCGTTTAGATGGGGCCAACGGCGAGCAATTCCCTCCTCTTCCCTACCCAGGCTACCAGCAGCAAGCCGACTCCCTCCTAGAACACTATATACACACCGGGAAGCCCATCGCTGGCATAACTATCGCCACTATCATTCGTGGCGCCTGGGCATCCTTGGTCTCGACTTACACGGCATCAAACGACGTCGTATTCGGAGAGACGCTCACTGGACGCAACGCCCCTATCCCGGGAGTCGAAGAGATCGAGGGGCCCATGATCGCCACGATACCGGTCCGAGTTGCCGTCGACCCGAACACCACGGTCAAGGAGTATTTACAAGAGATTCACGACCAGTCCGTTGCTAGTATACCTCACGAACACTTCGGCCTGCAACACATCAGGCGCCTGAGCCCAGATGCTCGGGAAGCCTGCGAACTACGAACCGGTTTGGTCTTGCACCCTAGTACCGATGCCGACACGGAGGCTTCCGGCGGCAAACAACCGGCCGACGGGTTCGTCCCCGCTGGCGATGCGGAGGCGGCGCAGGAGGCACTCAAGTTCAACACGTACGCTCTGATGCTGGTGTGCTCTCTCGACCCGCAAGGATTCCTAGTCATGGCGAGCTTCGACTCGAAGACAGTGGCAAGCCCGCAAATGGAAAAGATGCTTCGGCAGTTGGGACATATTACGCAAGAGTTCATCAAGAACCCGGACGCAAAATACGGCCAGCTTCAGCTGCTAACCGACGGGGATACGGCTGAAGTCGCTCGCTTGTCTACAGTCGGCGCGACGAGCTCAGCCGTAGCGTCTCTTCTCCCGGCTGGTTGCGAGGTGTCCGAGACGTGGATAGTCAACCCGTTTAACACGGAAAGATTGCTACCCCCCGGCGCGGTAGGAGAGCTCCTAGTACGGTGTACTACTACTGGTGATGCTGGCCTCGAGTCGGTTCCGCATCCCAAGCAGGCTAGCAACAATGGCAACGGCCAGATTTACAGAACTCGCAAGCTCGCAAAGTACGACACGAACGGCACCATAACCTTGGTTGAACGTCAGAGCCACGCCAACACCTCTAGCACCGGCCCTCGGCAAAAACACGTCTCGGCAACTTCGGCGAAGCAGAAGAGGCTGCGGCAGGCCTGGAGCCGGATATTGAAGATCAGTGAAGACGAGATCGGGCTGACCGACAGCTTCTTCCAGCTCGGCGGCGATTCCATCGGAGCCATGAAGATTGTGTCGGAGCTTCGCGCCGACGGCTTCGAGCTGACCGTGCCCGAGATCTTTAGCCACAGGACGCTGTACGACATGGCGCGGGTCCTGAGAGAGGGGAAGCCCGCGGTCGAATCGGCGGAGCCGCCCCCGCCGCCGTTTTCACTACTCGACGTCCCGGATGCCGAGGCCTTCATCGCCGAGGTGGTCCGGCCCGTCCTCCCCCGGGACGACCTCGTGATCAAAGACATCATCCCCGCGCGGCCGCTCCAGCACATCGCGGTCAGGGGCACCACGCGGCTCCCGCGGTACTCGGCGCGGTACGAGCTCTTCCACCTCGACGGGCCAGTCGACCGCGAGAGGCTGTTCGCCAGCTGCCAGGAGCTCGTGGCGCGGAACGAGGTGCTGCGGACGGTCTTCGTCGAGCGCGGCGGGTCGTGCTTCGGGGTGGTGCTGGAGTCGCTGCGGGTCGCGGTGGAGTCGTACGAGATCGAGGGCGACGTGCCGTCATTCTGCCACAAGCTCTGCGACGTCGACGTGCAGACACGCATGCCGCTGGGCTCGCCGTTCGTCAAGTTCCTCTTCGTGCGCGGCGAGGCGTCGCGCAGCTGCCTCGCCGTGCGCATCTCGCACGCGCAGTACGACGAGATCTGCCTGACGGGCCTGCTGCGCCAGCTCGCCGCCCTGTACGTCGGCGGCGCCCCCGTCCCCGACGCCGTCCCCTTCTCCTCCTTCGTCTACCACGTCGTCCGCAAGGCCATCCCCCGCAGCATCCCCTACTGGCGCGAGCTGCTCGCGGGCAGCGCGCTGACCGTCCTGCGCCCCGACCTCCCGGTCTCCCCCGCGAGGACTCCCGCCGCCGTGGTCCGCACGCTCGACATCTCGGCGCGCGCCCGCGACGTCACCGTGGCGACGATTCCGACGGCCGCGTGGGCGCTGTGCCTCGCGCGCCGCCTCGCACTCCGCGACGTCGTGTTCGGCGAGGTCGTGAGCGGCCGCAGCACGGACCTGGCGGGCGCCGACGCCGTCATGGGGCCGACGTGGCAGTACGTGCCGGTGCGGGTGCGCTTCGGCGAGGGGTGGACGGCGGGGGACCTGCTGCGGTTCGTGCAGCACCAGCACGTGGCGAGCGCGCAGCACGAGGGCATGGGGCTGGCAGAGATCGCGCGCGCATGCGGGCCGGGATGGCCGGCGACGGGCGACCCGGGCGCCGCGGACGGCTGGTGGTTCGACTCGGTCGTGCACCAGGATGTGTACCACGTCGAGGAGCTGTCGTTCGGGCCCGCGACCGCCTGCCGCCTCGAGACGGTCTACCCGCACCTCGAGCCGCTGCGCGAGTGGAAGGTCCAGGCGTTCGTGAACGGCGACAGCCTGACCCTGGAGATCGTCACCTTCGAGGACTGGATCGGCGTCGCGGCCGAGCTGCTCGACGACCTGGAGCGCATCGTCGAAGGCCTCGTCAAGAGGCCGAACGAGCCTCTCTTTGCGTAAATGGGAGAGGAAACATGGGGAGGAAGGGAACAGTGTAAAACCATCAGTTTGCGTTTCTTGATATGTTAGGTATTTTTCATCAGCTTTTTCTACAACTTGAGGTGTCCGCATCGAATCTTCGTACATATTTTACACACGGGATCGGAATAACTATTATCAAATCCACTCTTTTCCCATGTATGTCTGTTTTATATCCCCCTTTGCCGGCACGGATATATTAGCGCAGTTAATTCGTTGATGAGCCTTCATCTGTGGAACCACGACGGGAGTTGAAGCCTATTCCCCTTACTAGAACCCCGGCCCTGATCTATGATGATCCCAAAAGCCGAAGAACGCTGAACTATCTCATCCCCACTAAAGTCGGTATTTTCGGTTTGGCCGTGGGTGGCAAGGGGATGGTCGTCGTAGGCAAAGGTAGCGTAGCACTTGAGATGCGTGTTGGACCTGGTAGTTTCGGGATGTAGTATTGTCGCAAACAGCGGCGGTGAGTGGAAACGTTGGCGACATCGTCGTAGAACCTTGGTACGGTACCCGAGTGTTACGAGATCAACCCTTGGTCTTCTTTTTCATGTGAATAAAACATCTCCTGCCATCTTTGTAGTAGGCGAAATAAGACCGTGTGATATGGGCGGCGGCTCCTAAGATGATCTTTTCTACCTGTAGCTTGAAACTCATATATAAATAAGACTATACGGGTTGCATCTGCCCGTGATAAATAGACACACAAGTATATCAAAACAAATAATAATAGTCAGTAATCTCAAGGGGGTAAGGTCTAAAACACGCTGCCCAAATCATATCCGGTCGACCGTCGAGACGTGATGGTGCCGACCCGACGGCATCCACTAAACGCCACATACACATGAAAATGCCCTCTGCTAAGCTTCGCGACCGATTATATTCTCGCGTTGACGGGCTTTCCGTTGGCCCTCGCTTTCCTGCTTCGGTAGGTGTCGCGGTAGCTGTATCGCTCGTACGTGCCAAAGCCGTAGAACCCGACCCCGATCACGAACCAGATGCTGGTGAGGATCAGGCCGACCGGGAAGATCAGGATGTTGACGCCGGGCAAGACGAAGGCAACAGTGCCGTTACGCAGTCCCGCCATCAGATCGTCGACCGCCAGCGTGGCGATAGAGAGGTCCGACATGACCACTTCCTTCGAGAAGATGCCGTTGACGAAAGAGGCCTCGTTGTGATTGACCGTCGTGCTGACTTGCTGGCCCACTAGGTTCCTTGCGGATAAAGTGATGACAGGCATCACCAGCGCTTCCAGAACGCCCCTATTCCCAATTATTAGCATCGCCGCTTTCCTCCTACGCCCGCATTGGGCGGACGGTCTGTTCACTCACATCGTCATGGGCTGGTTCATCTGTGCCTCATCGATCTGACCCACAAACATGTATGTCTGGAGGAGCGTGGGAGAGGAGGTTGTTTGTCGCTTGGTGGCGCCGCTTCGAGCATTCGTTCCCTGGCTAACCGGCGAGACGGAGGCACCCGTATACTGCAGTCCGACCGAAATCTCCTGAGGGGGGATCCCCTGGAAATCGCCGGAAGGTGTCGATACTTGGAAGAGGCGAAGGTCAGCCATGAAGGCACCCGTGTCCGTCTGGAGGTTGAACAGGTTATAGCAGACCGCCGTTCCGGAAGGGTTCGTGGCGGCCTGGAGTTGCGAGAGCGACGACATGCAAGCTGCTAACGTATCCGTGTCCCACTGATCCAAGTTGATCTGTGTGCCATTCGTTACCGCCGGGGTTTGCCTTTTCTTCAACGCATCGTCGCTCCCATCATCCAGTTCCGGTTCTAGCAACGCCGCGCGCGGCGCCATCATCCCCCCCATAGCAGGCTCGACGCTGGCGAGTGCTGACGTGGCGAATAGCGCCGCTAGAGCTACGCCTGTCCCGACCATTTTGACGATGTCTGCCCACTCTCACGATTAGATATTGATAATCTTCTTTTTTTTCTTCCCTATTCGTTGAACGCAGATTAAGCCGGCCGGCGGTCGAAAAAGAAGATACTGTGCGTGCGTGTGCTGGTGTAAAGAACGTCTGGAGCCCGTCCGTCTGACGAGATCCTTTGTCGAGTTGCGAGCGGAGGCTCGGATAGCGGCGATCAGGTTAGGGGTCGAGCGAAAGGAAAGAAGGGAAAATGGGACCGGCCCGCGAGAAGGAAAGCGGCTATGTTTTGTTTCGGTGAACTACGAAAGAGGAAGCGAAAAGGAGGGAACGGCGGATATCACCTTGATACCAAGAAACTTGGTATTAGCGGCGGGGGCTCTGCTATGAGACCAGGGGGACTATACTACCATATGTAGTAGGGGTCCGCAGGAGACAACCCCCAGAACCCAACTATTCATGGCGTGAGGTGGGCCGTCAAGCGATCTCTCTCGTGTGGCCTTGTCAGATCAGGACGCGCAGGGCCTGGGCGATCTGTAACGCTCTTCTCATACAGGTAGCAGGAGGAGAGGATGATAAGAGCAGGGCGTCTGTGTATGTACATACGTATGTCACGCACCGTCTGCAACATCGAGCTTGAGGGTCCTGATACAAACGCCAGAGCGACGAAGCGTCACCCGTACATCATTCAGACACCCAGGAAGTACCCCCCCCATACTACGTAGCAGGTAAGTATGGAGACTGGGACCTGGGGGGGACCGGGGGCCTGACGAAGAATTGAGGATACGACGGCACGAGTGTGGACGAATCGCGAGAAGTCAACTGGGCCTTTGCCAAGCATGAGGTAGCGGGACAGGATACCTCTTCGTCGATGTTGGTCCAGCCACCGGCGCCTACTGCAGGAACACGACGGTGGGAAGAGAGAACAGCGTCGACACTACGTAAATAGGTACCAAAAAGATAGATACTTAGATAGCACTCGTAGGCTTCCAACTCCCTCCCCTCTTCCGAAAAAAGATAGGAGGAGTAGCTTGTATTTCCAGCCCAGGATACAAGGGAGGGGGGTGGGCGATGGGTGATGGTGCCCTGACGTGCTGCTAGTTCTACGTTCATACAGGTTACAACCGATTGTCGGATCAACTGACGATGCGACATTGCTGAAGAGCGAAGCCGTTTCGAGACGCTGCCGGCCATGAGACAAGATGCGCGACACTGCGACGAACCCAGCCAACCCAGCCCTGCCCCTGGCTCATTTTTGCAGGCGTGGCCCGTCCGTCGAACGGGCCATCGAAGCCCCTAATCGAGACCCCCTGGTCCCTATCGACTCGTTCTGAGGAGGTCAAGACGTCGTCCAAGGCTTGACTTACTCGGCCCCTGTCTTTCGTGTCGCAGGCCCTGGCAGCCAAGCGCCGAGTATTACTGCTGGCGGCTTTTGCTTGGCTTCCTCTCGCCCTCCATCCGCAGCACATACCTACATGGGCATAGCCTATACAGATAGGGACCACAATGTTATGCAAATATTGTGTCAGCTCCGTCGCCCCAAAAATGCGGGAGGAGAACGGGGCAAAGCCAAGCCAGCTCATCGCCATTCCTAGCCACGAGCATGTGTGTACTATACACATGTACGCCATGCTGCTATCTTGATGATTATTAGTGTGCGTGTGTGTATGTCTACGTACGTGCATGTGTGTCCGTGTGTGCGCGCGTAGTTGTTCCCTTTCATCCTCTCTCCTCCTCATTCTCATAAGGGTCCGTTCGTTTTCCGGTACGGTGGCTGTCCACATCCAATTAGTTCGCCGAGATGAAGAACGGGGCAGCCTAGCCGAGGCGCGCGCTTACAAGTCGTCTGATCCTTTCGATAGACGGATCTCAAAAAGAAAAGAAAAATAGTCGAGGCCCGTATCGCACGATGACTACCAAATCCCCCTTGGAAACATTCGGTCTTTGCTGAAATTCGACGAAGGAACAGGGCGGCGCAGCCAGCTACTTTTGCGGTGTGTAGCATCGTCAGCACTGCACAGAATAGTTTCCTGAAGGAACAGGTAGGGCGAATCCGCCGACCCTGAAATAAACAAAATTGACCCAACAACGTGGCCGTAGCGGCAACGTTGTCCAAAACAAGTTTCGCCTCACCGGCGCAGTGCACACCCGTGGTTGCGACTCGGGGTGATGCCACGATACCGGCGGCGATGCATCGCCGGACACTACTACCACCGACAAGATCATGATATCGCAGTGATGATAGTTAGTCTAATCCTACCCAGATCCTCTTGCAGATAATGCCAGCGGTACAGATCTGTGGCTTATTTGCGGCGGGATAATTACCTGTCTCTCCAACCCCCTCGATCCCGGAGAAGCCAGGGAGGATTGTAATAGTAGTAATGATGCCATATTTACTATTTTGCTCCTGGCACCAGCTAAGAGATAAGCCCTCGGCGATGGCGGCTATCTAACGCGGCGATGGGTGGCAGATCCTCCTAGGAGCCTGGCGAGGGCTTATCGTCGCCGTCGCAATCATCGACAATTAAGCCGGTCCTCGGCACGACACGACTCAAAGGCGATAAAGCACAACGGGCTACGGGCACGTTAGCGGCACAGCGCTGGATTACATGAAGCGGGATCAGCACAACAACACATCAAACGCAAAAGCCTAGGTGTGCATCGGATACAAGCCCGAAATTTCGACGGGACTCATCTCATCTTGCTCTACGCTGCGCCACGTCCCGCGGCTGGGGTCGAATCCGATGGTCAGTTCACCTCATGCGCCGCAACTCCGGCTGCTCACACATTAGGGGCCAGAGACACAAAGGCCTTCGAGAAAGGTAATTAACCGCGGCCCATGAAGACCTAAGGGGGAGGGAAGCTGACTCGCATCAGGAAATAGGACGAAGTAGGCCACTACGCTGTCATAATTGCACAGATCACCGCCGGCTCAAGACGCGCTTCTATGGGTGGCTGCGTTGGTAAGTATAGCAAGGATGAGGCTAATCCGCTCGATGATATTGCGTATGCTACAATCATCTCTGCGAAAAGAAGCTTCAAACCCTTCGGCACTAAGATCCTACGTACGGCGAATCGTGAGAAGCCGAGCAGGGGGCGAGCCCAGGCCGAGAACACACGACTTGTCCTGTGTATGTGGGCATTGCTACTGGTCGCTCTCTTCTGTTTACTCCGATAGTTACTCTCAAGGTATCTAGAAACCTATTATTGCGCTTGGAAACCGATGCTCTCCCTCTCCGCACTGCACTACTCCAGCTCCTCCAGCTCCTCCAACTTGAACTAACTTGCCCCTCCCCCCCATCTACTCTACCGTGTGATGCGCCTCCGGGGCATCGCAACGAGTGTGAGATGCGCCCGCGCCCAAGCGCGAACTATACGGCCGTGCCGGCCCGACCCTGTCTATCTCTGACTTATAAAGTTGACCGCGGCGCGGACCTGGGGCGCGCGGTCCTTGACCACATGTACGATATTGGCGAAGAGCAGGTAGCTGCCGACGACCGCCCAGAAGCCGACGACGATGGAAAGCGCCAAGCCGAGCCAGGCGTCGACGAGGTGCGACAGGACGAGACGCCGCACCGACGCGCCCGGAAGCGGCCAGCCGAGGATCGGCAGCCGCGTCTCCAGCGCGCCTCTCTTCTTGTCGCGCTCGGATTCCTCGATCGTGTCGAGCATGGCCCAGGCCACCTTGTTGCCGATCCCCTCCCACGTGGCCTGGCAGGCGGCCGCGCGGCCCGCCTCGGCAAGCTGCTCGCGGCGCCTCGGGTCGCGGCCGAGCTCGAGGACCGTCCGCACGAAGCCCTCGAGGTCGTCGGGCGGGACGAGGTACCCGGTCCGGCCGTGCTCGATGATGTCGCTCGGCCCGCCCTCGTCCCGCGCGACCACCGGCACGCCGCTCGCCATCGCCTCGAGGACCACCAGCCCGAACGTCTCGGTGACGGAGCAGTGCAGGAAGACGTCGGCGGACGCGTAATGCGCGTTCAGCTCCTCGCCCACCTTGAAGCCGGCGAAGACGACCTTCCCCTTCTGCGCGAGCGACCGGGCCGTCTCCTTGACTTCCAGTTCGATGACGGCGTTCCAGTTTCCGCCGACGACCACCAATTTGAAGTCGAGGCCCCTCTTATCCAGCTCGGCCGCCGCCTGCGCGAGGAACCCGAACCCCTTCTCGCCGGCTAATCGTGAGCAGGTGAACAGGATGAGCTCGCCATTCGGCGCCCATTCCCTCCGCAGCTGCTCGCGCCGCTTTGACGGATTGAAAGCTTCGGTATCGACCCCTCGCCTAAGCGCCTCGAGCTTGTCGTCCGGAACGCTGGCAGCGTGGTTTAGGTATCTCCGGACGGATGTGCTTGGGTAGAAAATCGTCTTCACCGACGGATGCCGGAAGAGGTAGCCCTGGACGAAGGCGAATACTCGGTTCGCGATATCGCCCAGCGGCCAGGGGAACAGGATCAAGCAATACCTGGCGAGGTCGGTTTGGAAATTACATATTATGGGGACCTGCGATTCCGACGTGTGCTGTCGTATCTGCAGCATCACCTGGAAGCCCAGCGACGCGGGGCTGGCCAAGTAGATGAGATCCGGCGGCCCTCCGAAGGTCCGCCTGTATAGCTCGGAAAGGCGCACCGGATAGGCCACCGAGAGCTCGGGGTTGAAGGGCAGCGGGTACCCTTGTAGCCGCACCTCCTCGTTGAACGACGGCCCTTCGCCTCCTGGGGAGTTGATGGGAGAGAAGGTGTTCACTTTGGTATGGTTGTGCGGCGCAACGACCGCGACCAGGGCGCCGTGGGATCGCAGCTGGTTCACGAGCATTACGGTCGTGCGCGACACCCCGTTAACAGGACCGAGGCTCTCGGTGCAGAGCAAGATGCGCCGACCGCGCAGCCCTGGCGGGAAGAGGTTTAAGTCGTGGGATTTGGTCCCCATCGCTGATGTCTTGGTGGATCGGGTTTCTGTATGATGCCGCGCTCGCTTGCGACCTACGTATGCAGCAAAGGCCAAGCCCGAGAGGGAGAGCAAGGGTTTGGGCAGTAAATGCTTCTCTGTTTCTTCTTCTTTTCTCCCCAAGGAATCGTGCACGTTGTGGGTTGTTGTGGTTAGAGCCCCTAGGTGTATTGAGGGAAAAGAGGGATCCGGGCCCAGTAGGAACACATATCACGGTCTGTGTAGGCAGGGTTTTCTCTTCAGAGCACACACCGGCAAGCTTGAAACCCCCGGCGACGCCGCCTGACAGGACAACCGCACGAGAGGCAGCAAGGTGAACAAGGCCTGGGATCAATAATGCCCCGTGATGGATAAATGGCTTGATTAGTTGGTCGGGTGGACGGTGGGCGGCGAGCGCGCGCGGTCAGCCGTTGGCCAGGATAGGATATGGAGAGGGAGGCAGAAGCACGGTAGAGTGTCGAAGTCACGGACCCCAGGTCACGGCTCGAAACAGACCGGTGGTTGACAGGCTCAACCGCAAATGATATATCGTTACCTAGGTGGGTGTGTAGTTGCACCCTGGCCCTTAGGTTGCGCAGGCAGGTCGGGTCGTGGTGTGCGTAATGGCGGTTCACTTTCGCGGCCTCGCTGCCTTAATTATCAGGCATGCAAGACGTGTTGAAAGCTGAACCTAGTTGATCAATTGAAGGTGTAAAAACTGAAGTGCTAAAAGGGCTTAAATACAGCGTTTTTCTTCAATCTAACCGATCACAGGCCTCCATTCTGGATGCCTGGGGATCCACAGTGGTTGATCAGGCAGATCTCTGCAAGGTATTTAAGCATAGCAGGTAGTAGATAGGTAAGTGTTAACAGGATATATAAGGTCTATACCTACCTACCCGCCTGTCCGTCTCTATGTGTCTACACGTTGCCTTAGCAGTAACCTCCACTTAGAATGCATCTGGTTCACGAGATGATGATTAGCGTAGGTCAAGTTAGGTACCTCTTGGCTTCTGACTGCAACCTATCGTTCCGTATATGTTTATCTGTATTCCCTTTTTCTTCTCTTCTGTCTTCCTGCTTGGGCGCCGGGCCTCGGCGGGGCACAAGACTGTTCTCTATCAGTCCTCGTCACGCATGCACCGTAGGATTTCTGATGCTTGGCGTAGCCTGCAATGGATTGTCCGCTTATCGTTTTATTATCGCGTCAGATGGACATCCCACACATCCCCGGATTTGGCCAGTGTATTCGTCATTCCCTTTTCTATTTTCTGTCCTTAGCTACCTAGGTATTATTTCCTTGCTTCCTACCACCCTACGTTATTCTCTTCACCTCTTTTTTTTTAACCTGCAGAGGAAAACCAGAAATAAGAATCACGAACCCCTAAAAAAAAAACCCCCCCACCTTCATCACCCTTATCTCCCCCCTCTCTGTATTCCTCAGGTAGGTTTTCATGCGTACCGGCTCTAGAGTCTATGAGTAAGTATCTGCCTTACTTGGCGACCTTTTTTCCCCCCTCCCCGTGGCCTTCGTGATCTCTACTGCCTCCGTCCGTCCTCCAGGTCGCGATGATCCAATGGGAAGCTCTGGTGGCAGCACACGCAAGGTTGCCAGCGCACCAATCATCTGCTTTGTTGGTGGCACATTTCTCTCTACAACCCTCTCTTCGATCCGTATGCGTCGCCGACGAGAGCCAGACCCGCTGTCGACCCGCACGATTAGAATCCGGGGTCTTCTATGCGTTCATACGTACGTAGGTATGTAGGTATGTGCATGCGCATCGCGACCCTCCCACCCTAATGTATCCTACCCAGGTCAGGTCTGGTTTGGTCTGGTCTGGCTTGGACAGCCGGGCGTGTATAGGTAGCCATACCCATACTTACACATCCACATACATCCATATGCCCGCGGTTCTCTCGTCCGTGGCCCATCACGTATTAGCACGAGCTGCTACCCATAGGCAGGACTCGACCGACCCCTTCGTCCACTTGCTTGCCTGATGGAGATGGGGGCGGGACGAGCCTCGTCCTTGTTAGACCCAGATTTGCGGTCATCAGCGTCACATGCGTCTTCGGCGTCAGCTATCTGAAGTTATCCAGATTGCCCCGTGCCCTACCATGTACGAATTAGCATCCCCGGTTGAACCCTCGTGTGTCTGGTACACCTATCTGTTGGTTATCTACGCGCAACAGCAATACGCACTTGTGACGGTCAGAGAGTATTGTTATTTTGCCCCTCCCATCACCCCCCCCATCCTAGCTCTATTTGCCTCTTCTCTATCCCCTCCCCTTCTGTCCTGGACGCCGCAAACAACGTCACCCCCCTTGCCCAACTACTACTTCACTTCCCCCTCGCAATGGAAATCCTAGTAGGAGGTACCTTGACGTACCTATCTATCACGGCCTGTCCTACTAACAGATCGACCCGGTAAGCGTCGATCGTCCCACCGGCGAATCTACCTGCGTGCTACCTTTCCGTCTAGTTATCGTGTAAATTGCAGCATGTGTACGATACAGTGGTGGGTAGAACGTGAGTTCCTTACCCGTCTCGAGGGGCTCCGCGAAGTCTACCCCCTTCCTCCCCCCTTCTCTCTCATACACTCTGCTAGTATAAACCTAGGTATACATGGGGCATACCTCAACGTGTTATTGTGCCTAGGTCTAGGTACCTTACATATGCATGTACTCGGTCGGCTCGCCTGGGACTCAAATCCCACAGACGATCGCGGGCATGTGTGCTTGCGTTCGAATTTCCCCGTCTCGGCGGCCCCTCCGCCGTCGCTATCGTCGTCTAGGGCTAGCCGGTATATACCTATGAAGGGTTTTCTTGTTTATATCCGTGTACTCGTATACATGTATATCTATACTCCATATTGCTACTCGCATGGTACGCGGAGTCTCCGCACCTATACATCTTTTCAAGTGTAGTGGTCTAGATATACTTTACATTGTGATGTTGCCCTGCCTATAGCTACCTCCTATCTGGGTACCACTATGTTAAGTAGTGTGTTTCCTCTCTTCTCACCTACCTATATTCCCCCCCTTCCACACCTTCAACTTTGCATCATCGACTCATGGCCTCAAGCTGAACAAAGCACTGGTTCTACACTTTGGTTATAGTTCGCCGCATGCGCCCTCGGCAGGGTCCCCGGTAGAGGCTTGACGCGATCGCCCACTCTCCCTGCCTCTCCACCATCTTATTACTCTCTTGGGCTCGTATTATACCTGGACTTTCTCCCCCGGAGGGCTGGCAGCTGCCAAAAGTTACACCTTCATACCTACCTACCTTCGAAGTGGCGTTCCGGTGATACCTGACTCCCTCTGGATGGTCGTGTTCGTTGAATCAGGCCTTATCTAAGAAGACCCTTCCCTCGACTGGTCTTCCCCCCCCCGCCTACCAAACCTAGACTTAGAGGCCATCATCGGCTCACCTGCCCAAGTCATCGCCGACTTCCCTCAGCACCTCTATTTGTTCACGATACCATTTATCACTCGGTGAGTCAGTAGTCACGGTCCCTGATCCCTTGCTGGTCTGCCCCCTTACCTACCCACACCTTTTTCTCCAGCGACACTACGCTGAGTCTTTCCTGTCGCGTGTGTTCTTTTTCCATCGCTTATTATCTCTTTCCCTTTTTTCTTCAAGGCCATGCCCAAACATCCTAGCCCTGTATTGATCTATTGCCGGCGCGTTCCGCACCGCACATTCCAGTTTTCAGCATGGAGCTAATGTCATCCAGGGAGAGGAAGCGGCATCGCTTCTTCGCAAACTCCCTCAGAATCCTGCATTTACAAGACACCGTCAGGTATAGCGCAAGTTCAGGACGTAAATCAGTCGCGATGGGATCCGTCAAGTCGTCCGTTGAGCCTGATGATGCTGCATTCGGCGATATGGACTCAACGGCCCCAACCACACCAGATGGGAGTGGATCGTCGAGTCCTGTGCTCCGCGCGGAACATTATGTAGACATCGTGGGTTTCGAGCGGCCCGATTTGCCGCAAATAATGATGTCTGCCGTTCAGGATATGGCGCGCCCCGTCCGCAATATATGTTGTGTCGGCGCCGGCTATGTCGGTAAGTTTTGGAACACCCTCTCTAGGCCTACTTGTTCGCCTTCGTATCGTGTCCTAGGACTGAACAGGAACCCAGGGGGCCCGACGGCTGCGGTCATCGCTTATCAAAACCCGCATCTGCGTGTCACCGTAGTGGATAAGAATGAGCAGCGGATACGAAGATGGAACTCGAAGCATTTGCCAATTTACGAGCCGGGCCTAGGCGATATTGTTCGCATTGCCCGTGATGGATCGAGGGCGTGCTTCTTGCCCCCGAAGGAAACCGACGATTCGAATATCACCAACAACAGTATCAATGATTCGGGAGCCTCCGTGCCTGCCCGGCAGCCGAACCTATTCTTCTCTACTCAGGTGGCTAGGTGCATCCGCGAGGCCGATATCGTCCTCATCGCAGTCAATACGCCAACTAAGACGAGAGGCACCGGGGCGGGTAGCGCAACCGATATGACATCCTTCGAGGCTGTCACCAGCGAAGTTGCTCAGCACGCCCGACCTGGGACCATCATCGTGGAAAAGTCCACCGTCCCCTGCAGGACAGCCGAGCTTGTTCAGAAAACGGTAAGCCAGCACTTCAAAATCCGACGGACAGAGGTATATATACAAAGGATAGCTAACAATATCTTTTGAAGATGGCGGTTCACCGCCCCGGTGTTCATTTCGAGGTTCTCTCCAATCCCGAGTTCTTAGCCGCTGGTACGGCAATGAAGGATATCATGCATCCCGATCGCGTGCTGATTGGATCCTCGACGACGTTGTCCGGCCGTCGCGCTGCTGAAGCTTTGGTGGGGGTCTATGCCGCATGGGTCCCGCGCTCGCGCATCATCACCACTAACGTCTACTCGTCGGAGTTGTCTAAGCTCGTGGCGAACTCGATGTTAGCGCAGCGCATCAGCAGCATCAACTCCATATCCGCGATCTGCGAGAGGACAGGCGCGGATGTCGACGAGATCGCGGCAGCCATCGGCTGCGATCCTCGGATCGGGGACAAGTTCCTGAAGGCGGGCATCGGCTTCGGCGGGAGCTGCTTCAAGAAGGACATTTTAAGCCTGGTGTACCTGGCGGAATCGCTCGACCTCGACGAGGTGGGCGAATACTGGCGGCAGGTGGTCAAGATGAACGAATACCAACGCGATCGCTTCGCTAAACGAGTAATCAAGTGCTTAAATAATACGTTAGTGGGCAAGAAGATCACCCTGCTAGGTTACGCATTCAAAGCCAACACTTCGGACACGAGGGAATCGCCTGCGCTCGAGATCATCAAGACACTCTTGGAGGAGAGCCCCAAGGAAATCGCCATATACGACCCCTGCTGCAACCCCGTGGTCGTCCGGGCAGAGATCAAGGCGCTTCTCAAAGGCCAAGCCGCGCTCAAGGAAGACGGGGGCGCGATCGAAGTCTACTCGAACGCGTACACGGCCTGCTCTAGCAGCCATGCTGTTCTCATCACGACCGAGTTTGACGAATTCAGGAACATCCCGTCGAAGGCTCCGTCGAAAGCGCCGGCTCGGGCAATTGCTGCGCTGCAAGCGGCGAAGAAGGTCGACCCCCGACCGTCCCTTTACAAGCCATCGGAAACAGACATCCTCGACCTCCAGAAGTTCTTACTGCGCACGGCTCCCGCGGCGATGTACCCGGACAGCGACCCGCTGCAGCGATATAAGCCGGAGCCGCCGTGCGAGAGCGACTGTCCCGACTGCGAGCTCATCAAGACGAGTGGCTACTCGACGGCGGGGAATTCGAGCGAGGACAGGAAAAAGGAGCAGCTGGACTGGAGCAAGATCTCGTATCACATGAACAAGCCGAAGTGGCTGTTTGACGGAAAGGGCATTATCGACGCGAAGGCGATGGGCAAGCTAGGCATCCGGGTGGAGAGCGTTGGGCGCGTCAGCGCTTGAAGCGGGGAGACGAGACACTCTTTTCTTTTCTTCGTCCCCCGAGCAGCCCCTTTTTTCTTCCCCCCTCCTCCTTCTCTTTTTCTCTTGGTCTGTTTCTCGCACGAAAGATAAGGCTACGGCCGGTTCACTGTCGCATTGCATACCCCGGGGATGGGTTGTCTTGACGCGTGTTCTTCGCAGGTCTGCTCTAGACGGGAATGGATGCAAATAAATCCATAGATTCCTAGACGCTCTACAGATATCCTCAATTGATTTTTCCTGGTTTTTTCTTCTTCGTGGATGCGATGGTGCTATTTTCCCGGGAACAAGCATATTACCTAACTGCACCCTGTTACTTTCGAGGGTTCTCCCGGATTCCGCGACGCGCATGACTTGGTCACAAGAAGCTTGTGGTAGATGGTTCTAAATATAAATATACCTATACGCATACACGTATTTACAGACCCGGCCCCGTTACTCTCCTGTTATGCCGTGTGCATCTGCCTATGATTATGGTGACCGTCTACGTTCAATTCTCCTATGTATATTTCCCCTAGTTGATCAACACCAGTAAGTAGACCGTAGCGAAGTCTAAACCTACGCATTCTCATCTGTAATACACACATAAGAGAGACGGCATCAACGGTGAAGTCGCCGTACACCGAGGTTACCATCCCCTGCCTTCTCCTCCACGACCCCTCCCGACTTCGAGGTGGAGCCAGGGGGTAAGAGTACCTACATGTGAATTGTCGACATATTTATTCCTTGACTGGTCTGCCAGATGAAACTTAGCCTGAATGGGACCGTGTACGTACGTCATGTCCATGCCGTCGGAAATGAGGGAGTGCCTGAGCTTAGGGACCATAGCTACGGTAAGTAAACATTCAGAGCGTCGTCTAGCTTGGCTGTGCTTCTCGTCAGTCGGGGCGGTAGCGGAGGACGGCGGGCATAAATCAAGGGCCGAAGAAAGCGCCGAAGCGACGAGCGCGGAGAGACGCGGCGAATTGGACCTCGGTGCATTGTCTGCCTCGTCGCGGTAGATAAAACCGATTAATCGAATCGAGCAGTCGATTGACTGATCGGCTCGTGTGTAAGCGGACGCTGCCTGTATAGAGCGCGATAGGCCTCCTTTCCAATTCTACAACTCCCACTGCCACCACTACCACTCCCTGCCATCTCGCCTCAACTACAACTACACCTAACTTGATTATTATCCGTCCAGCCCACTGGAACGCCCCTACACCGAGACACCGATGATACGCTGCTGACCTTAACCCTTGGCCTCCTTGCTCTCTGCCCCTCCTCCCCTCCCCTCTCCCGTCTTCTCCCTCCTCTCCCTCCGCCCTGAACATGGCGCGACCGCGGAGTGCGTGTCTGTGGGCCACAGTCCAACTCTCACATCTTTGGGCGATCCCACGCGCGCGGCAACCGTACGGCGCCACTGCTACTGCCGTCGCGTCCACATTAAGGATTGCGCCCTGCCTCCAGCGACGCTCCTATAGATACTACTCGACCGACCGGGGGGCGGCTCAGCGAGGCGGCTCCAAGGTTTTCAAGTCCGCCGACGAGGCCATTGCAGACGTTAAGGATGGTGATGTTATCTTGAGCGCCGGTTTCGGGCTGTGTGGTGTAGCGGGTACGTATGAACACACCAACCGAGGCACCGGTCGGCAAACCGTCCGATTGGAGGGGTGACGCGGGAGGGAAGAAGGAAGAACAGACTGTCACAAACTACCCAACGGCCGCAGATGGTGAGACTGACCGGTAATGCGACTGCAGAAACGCTCATTCAAGCCATACACAAGAAGGGCATCAAGGACCTGACGGCCGTCTCGAACAACGTCGGCGCGGCAGGGAATGGCTTGTCCCGGCTCACTAGAGACGGCCGCCTGAGTCGCGTCATCCTCTCCTACCTGGGATCGAACAAGGAGCTCGAGAAGCAGTACCTAACGGGCCAGACTGCGGTGGAGCTGTGCCCGCAGGGTACCCTGGCCGAGAGGCTGCGCGCCGCCGGCGCTGGCATCCCGGCCTTTTATACGGCGACGGGTGGAAGTGAGTACTGCGTTTTGCTTCAACTTTACTTTGCTATCGCGACTATTGGCAAAGAGGGAAACATGGCGGCTGACGAGTTCTCGTCTTTTCTTCTTTCCAACAGAGACCTTTGTCGAGACGGGTGAAATTCCCATACGTTTCACACCCGAAGCTGTGCTTGAGAAAGGCAAGCCGAGGGAGGCGCGGGTTTTCAACGGCCGATCTTACATCCTGGAGACGGCGCTCCCAGGCGACGTTGCCATCCTGCGCGCCTGGAAGGTGGACGAGGCGGGCAACTGTGTTTTCAAGTAAGTCGCCGTCAACTATCTTCGTCCCCGTCTTCCTCCGTAACGCCTACGCTAAAGCGTTTGTGCGCGCGCGCCGCAGATACACAACCAAGACGTACGCCGGGCTCATGGCCAAGGCGGCGCGCATCGCTATCGTCGAGGCCGAGAATATCGTGCCGATTGGGTCCATCGACCCCGACAGCGTCGACCTGCCTGGCATCTTCATTGACCGCATCGTGCCGGCGACGGCGCCCAAGAACTTCGAAGTGCTAAAGCTGGCACCGCCCAAGGAGGACGCGGCGGCAGGCAAGCAGGGCGCGCCCCTCGACAACCGGAACCGGATCGCGCGCCGCGCCGCTCGCGAGCTGCGCGACGGCTACTACGTCAACCTCGGCGTCGGCATTCCGACGCTGGCCGTGTCGCACCTGGCGCCGGGCGCCCGCGTCTGGCTGCAGTCGGAGAACGGCATCCTCGGGATGGGCGCGTACCCGGCGACGGAGGCGGAGGCGGACCCGGACCTGATCAACGCGGGCAAGGAGACGGTGACGCTGGTGCCGGGGGCGTCGACGTTCGACTCGGCCGAGTCGTTCGCCATGATCCGCGGCGGCCACGTGGACGTGTCGATCCTCGGGGCCTTCCAGGTGTCGGCGTCGGGCGACCTGGCCAACTACATGATCCCGGGCAAGGTGTTCAAGGGCATGGGCGGGGCGATGGACCTGGTGTCGAACCCGGACCGGACCAAGATCGTGGTGGCGACCGAGCACGTCGACAAGCAGGGCCGCAGCAAGGTCGTGCAGGAGTGCCGCCTGCCGCTCACCGGCCAGGGCGTCGTCAGCACCATCATCACCGAGCTCGCCGTCTTCCAGGTCGACCGCGTCCACGGCGGCCTGACCCTGACCGAGATCGCCGAGGACACTGACCTCGACACCGTGCGCCAGAAGACCGATGCTGAGTTCAAAGTCGCCGACAACCTCGGCTCGTTCTAATTACTAGATGCTATTGCTCGTAGATGGATAGATACTTGCGTGTGCATGTATGGGACCCGACAAGGCGAAGGACGGGCCATGTATTTATTATGTCGGGTTCCTTTTGCGTTCTCGGTACATAGAAGCGGGTGGCCGATGAGAATTGCTAGAGGTAGGCATCTTTGGGAATATCCGTCCTTGTACGTACACGCATTGTCATTGCCTACACATCTATCTCGTTTGGTTCGTTTTTCCCACCGGAGCAACTGTTTAGGAAAAGGGGAATAAGGCGAGGAAATACGCGAGGTAGCAAGCAGGTTAGATACTTAGCAGGTAGACCAATACTTACATGGCATGTGATGTGTGTGCATGTGTGTGTGTGTGTGTGTGTGTGTGTGTGTGTGCTGCATGTGCACCCCTAATCTCGCCGTGCCGCTCCATCTACCACGTAAGCAAGAGAGCAACAAGATGCACCGGATGCAAGACAGGTCCAGTTCGTGGTCCCCGAAAGGTTGATGAGATTCTTATGCGCATAGCCAGTTACCATCTATCTAGCCGCACACCCTAAGGACTCGCCGCTCGCTAGCCGCGCACGCTCGTCTAGCTACAACTTGGGCCGCAGGCCGGGCGCGAACGTGGTTCCTTGACCGCCGGTGATGGCGCCCACGAGGCTGTCGATTTTCTCGAGGAGCCAGATGTTGCCCTCATCGGAGGCGAGCCAGGCGCCGCCCTCGACGGGCTCCTCGCCCTCAGCCTTGGCCTCGCCGTTCTCGAACGCCTTGCGCAGGCCGAAGACGTGGGAGACGACCTGGGGGCCGACGCCGGTCTGGGCGCGCAGGCAGGCGATGGCGACGAGCGAGGTCAGCACGCGGCCGACCTTGGTGCCGGGGCCGCCGGGGGGCGAGACACCGCGCGGGTTCGAGAGCAGGTTGGAGTAGTGGCCGTTGAGGATGTGGACGGGCAGGTCCGGGTGGGACTGGGCGAGGCGGTCGAGCAGCGTGCGCTCGAAGCCGCGGTAGACGCCGTCCCAGAGCGCGAGCCCGTCGCGCTTGCGCACCGCCAGGTTGTCGGGCGTCAGCTCGCGCGTCGGCGTCGTGCTCAGCGCCGCTGCCACGTCCGGCGGCAGGCTCGCCCGGAACGCCCCCAGCGTGTTGATGCTCCGCGGGATCCCGTTGAACGAGATGCACTTCAGCCCGACCTCGCGTATCAGCTCCGCGACCTGCACCGGCGTGTACGACTCAGCCGCGGGCATCGAGTTGGCCAGCAGGTAGGTGAACGTCATGGCCTCGGGGCAGTTGAGCGTGGCCGAGACGGCGGTCTAAAGGTGGGGCGCATCGCAATTAGTTCGTTGTTTTTTTTTCATCCTCTTTTTTTCATTCACCTCTCTCTCTCTCTCGCTCTCTCCGAGTTTTCATCCGTCTGTTCGTTTGCTTGTTCCTCGAGTTTTCTTACACGCGACGCCCCTTGGCATTTACATCGTCTACCACCACCGAGGAGCAAATGGGTAGGAATGGAGATCGACGAAAAGGCGCATGCAGCGTTCACCTACCGACAACGTGACCCAGGCCGGCAGCCCGACCTTCTTCACGGCAGCATCGCTCGCAAACTGGGCTATGGTGGTGGTCGCGGCGTCGGGGGCAGGGGTGTAGCCCGGCCTAGCGTGGCTGGCGTTGATGAGCGCCTTCACGGCGTCCGACAGCTTCGACATAGCTCTCCAGACGCGAGGAGGGCAGCAGGTCTGGCAGCACAGCGGGCGGTCGGGTGGAGGGACGAGAAGACGCGGGTGCGCGAAGCTGTCTCAGTTAGGGAGGTAAGACGACGCGATGCGGCAACCAATTGGTCCCGTTCGGGCGAATAATTTCCGCGGATCGTCTCTCGCCGTTGTCGTCGGACGATCGTGCCGGGCGGCGATGGTGTTGTAGTCAGAAGTCAAGATGATAGGCCCGACGTCACGTCTGGGGAGCATGGGATTGAGGGAAAGGTACTTCTCTGGGCGTGCGCGCGTGCGGCTATTCCCTGCTTGGCTTGGGGGGACATAGGCACGGATATAGGGGGGGTCGACAGCAGGCTGTGGCGGGTGATTCAGGCATCTCGGCCGCCCAGCGCAGTGCAGAGTAGAGCGTGTGCGGCGGCCTGGACTGCCTAGCGAGCACGAGCCTGAGAGAATGCCGCGGTAAACAAGCGAGGCGCTGCGATCGGGGAAAAAAAACACACGTAGAATCGGCGATTGATGAACCGCCGATCCGCCGCTCCCCCGCCCTCAGATAAGTCGCAGTGCAGGCCGGGACAAGTCGGCTCTATTTTCAGTGCCACGCACCACGCTAGATAGCAGGTGCCGTACAGGTGCCGTAGTGGTGCGCTGCACGCTGTATCGGCCCGCGGGCTCAGGGGGACCAGGGTCCTGTAGCCACCAGCAGCCTCCTACACGCCTAGAAATAAGGGGCTAGCCAAGGCTTCCTTCCTACGCCCTCCTCTCGGGCGCTACTTGTGATGCCGGCCGACACGACGCCCTCAGCAGACCATCTTGCCATATTTCCGCACCGCCGCTGGACTGCGACCGACCAGGAATTAATATAAGACTGGCTCTTCGGGACGCCTCGGGAGCAGGTAGGTAACAGTTATCTCTTGAAACCAACCTCTTCTCCCGCCCGCCTTCATCTCGACTCTCCTACTTACCTACCTTAGGTACCTACCTACCTAGGTAGCCAGGCCTTACCCAGGTAACCAACCCGGCGCCGTATCGATACCGAACCTCCCTCCCTTACCTGATGGGTGACGCCACAGATAGATATCCGGTTACGATATACTCGATAGGTACCAGCCGGCCTTAGGGACGAATGCATCCGGGACTCTGCTGCATTGTCTCGACGTCACACTCCGCGCGCGCATGCACACCTCATCATTACTCTCCTAGCATTGTCATCGTCCGCAGCACCTTGTCGCCGCCGTTTATACTGCTCGGTGCAAGTGCTCTAGCATGTCTCTAACCTGTACGTGTTCATCGTTCCGTATAGTCTATAAGAGTCTCCTCCGAATACCCAACTGCCGGTATAATAGCCCGTGAGCAACAAAAAGACCGATCACCTCCCAGCAACCCCTTCCCTCTCTCCCCTTCGACAGCCCCAATCATCACATAAGGTAATGCCAAAACACATGCTGTATCATCGGAGGGGATATCTCTCGTGGATGTTTACCTCGTCACCGTGCTTAAACGACAATGCAAGCCCATACCAAGCACGCCAACCCTCTCGAGCCCTTTTCGCCGCTGGACCTGGCTCGCTTCTTACAGGACGAACTTGAACGTGGGGTCCCGGTCGTCACCATACCCGCGATACTTGTCATACTTGCCATTGGCCTTATCGCGGTTGATCTTCCAGCAATATAGCACGTTGCACAGGATCCTGAAAGAGCTGGTTAGCCGACAATACGTCCTGACTGGGATGCTTATGGCACCACAGCACAGATAACTCACAAGAGCCAGCCGGCGCACAGCAGGCCCAAGACGATCGTGTGACCCTCGCGGTACGCCGGCCCCTGCGTCCGCGGGTATATGAAGACGGCGACGAACCCACCGCAGTTGGCGATCATAAGCTGCAGCGCGCTCGTCGTAGCCCGCTTGTAGTGGCCGGCAGAATTCTGCAATTTCCTTGGTCAGCCGAAGCTCGCGACCGGCAGGAGGTGTCGGCGCCGGGGTGAGACCCCGAGACTTACGTTTGAGAGCCAGCCGAGCACGGGCGGCACGCTGCTGTAGAGGCCGGTGGCCATGAGGAAGGTCATGCCGTACTTGACCTTATTGTCTTGCGTGTTTGCGATCACGGCGTACCCTACGATCGCCAGGGGAAGCGAGCAGAGCATGACAATCCCCCTAACGCGGAAGCGGTCCGAGAGGAATGCCGTGCATACTGGTACCACGTTGTCAGTTCGGCATACGAGCGCGAGTGCGTGGTGGGATGCGCATACCTGTGACTACGGAGGCGGCCGCGTACGGGATCACGGACCACAGTTGGGCCTCGTTTGCCGTATACCCTAACCCGGTAATGATTGTTGGGAGCTGATGATCGTTACTCGTTAGCACGCCGTGTTGAGAGGTAGGGGCGGCGCTCGTCACTTACGAAGAGGCCGAAGCTATACAACCCGCTCAGGATACCAAAGTATGCGCAGGCCGTAAACCAGGTCTGCGCACTGAAGACGCCACGAGCCACCTCGGACCAGGCGAACTTCTCGTTCGATTCCCTGGGGACTTGTCAATAACGCATCACTGGAGTGAGCTAGGCTTGGGGTGGAACGAACTTTTCGCGGTTGCCATCGCTGGATATATGGAGGCGGGCGACGGCGAACTCACGCTCTTCGGTCGTGAGGAATCTTGCGGTGCTCGCACCATTGGGCAGCACGAAGTAAGTCGCGATGCCGACTAACACAGTCTTTAACAAGAAGGTCAATAGAGGCACATGCATTAACCACTGGGGAGCTAGGGACGTACGAAGAGACCTTCTATCACGAAAATCCATCTCCATCGGTTGAGGCCACCTCGTGTGCCGATCTCGGACAGGCCGCGAGCCAAAAGACCTGCATTGCTGTCAGAAGTTGCCCGGCCGTGTTGGCAGACTTGAGGGACGACTTACCTCCAAATGCGCCCGAAAGGGAGGCTGCGGTGTAGAAGATACCGATGCGCAAGGCGAGTTCTCCTCTCGTGTAAATGCTCGACAGGTAGAGAACCTAGAGAGCACTATGTGAGTAACCAGGTTTTTCATTTCTTTTTTTCGGGGAGGGGCCTTCTACGCACCATTCCCGGTAGCAAGCCACCTTCCGTTAGTCTGCGACATTGCAAGTTAGCAATATCCGAAAGAGAGACATCGGCGTACTCTAAAGTATGAGGAAGAGAGGGAGAGGGAAACGAAGCAACCGGGTCAAGATTGCTGTGAAACTACGGGACCAGAGGGATTGACTGACCCGAGCAATGCGCGCACGCCAACAAACCCGGCAAAGTTGTGGACGAACCCGAGACACATGGCGACTAAGCCCCAGAGGACGGTCAGACAAGGTAGCCAGACCTGAGGTGTCAGCTTCTTGAGGATCAGATTGCTCGGTATCTCGCTTAGGATGTACGTTGCGTAGAAGACAGCGAGGCCCTGGTCGTATTGGAAGCCCGTCATGCCGAGATCCCTCTCAAGGTCATACAGCCGGGCATTCCCCACGTTGGTCCTGTCCAGGAACGAACAAAGGAACAGGAGAGCGAGGATGGGAAGAATCCTATTATCTCTCGGTCAGATGTTGTCGTTATGGCCATCGTTAACAGCACCATCAATAACAACGGCGGCAACGCCGTCGCCGTCGCCGTCGCCGTTATCATGGTCGTTGCCATCATCAAGATCATCACACACGTTTTACAGCGCAGGATGACCGACAATAGGAGAGAGGGGAGGGAGGGGGCAACGGGGGAACGTGGTGTGATACCTCGTGTCCAGCTTCCAGAGAACCCTACGCGTCAGTCGCTGATCTACCAGAGAGCCGGCTGGGGTGACATTTCCCTCTCCCTTCTCGAGTTCCTCCACCGTGGCCTTTACAGGTACATCGCCAGAGTCGGAGGCCGACATCGTGGATAGCTCTGTACGTTTGGCGTCGCAAGTCAAGGTCGAAGAGGCGGGGGGGATACCGACAGAAGTCCAGTTGGATTCAGTCAGTCGGTTGCTCTGCTGGATATTAGGAACGCTGTACGCCGATCTTAAGAACTCGTGCCCCGACGACTAAATACAGGAACTCGGAGAAAGTCAACGAGATATCAGTTGGTCAGACTGAGAAGAGCCAAGGTCTTAGCCTCGCTGTGGGGGATGGGATTACTACATTAGCGTTGGCACTGCCAGGTGAGGGAGACAAGGGGGACGGCATGCCGCGGAATCCCTTTCAAGTTAGGGTGTGGGGTGGTAGCGAGCTTGGTTGGGAGTAAGCCGGCGACGATCGCCTTGTCGAGCTTGGTGGAACTCACAGCGAAGCCCTCATGCGGGGGGAGGGGGGAGACAATAAGATGGGGTGACGCCTGACGGGGCTTGTTCTATCACCGAGGAGGTCCTGGCCATCCCCCCCTCCGTCCCGACAACCAGACGAATAAAGCCGCGCCCTTACTAAAGGATCCTCACCACATCACCTCGCGAGCAGCTATAGCTGTGTAGGGCTCGACATGCAGTGTTCGGGGAACCAACAATGGCGCCTCGCGATGCTACCCTGAGATAACATACCCCATGCACATGTGATCGCGATGCCAGGGACACACTGCCGGTGATACTGTGGCTGGCCAATGGCTACCTTCAATCGCCCTCACCGTCTGTTTTGTCCGGCGTATCGAGGAAGTTCGTCTTACCCGGAGTGGATCGCGACGGCTGGGCTATGCGAGTTCGCGATAACGTGCTGGCTGCTTAACGTAGGCCAGAGACTGATTCGCCCGGCCTCTCGCTTCCTGTCGCTTCGTCGTCGCAGTTCTTCCGAGAGCCGTTCTAGAACGAAGACGACATCGGTGATATCAAATGGTACCCTGTTCTGATTCTTTGTACGTCGCAGCGAATGCGGAACACACGCCCGGAATCATAGCTCGATAATTTGCATCTCTATCTTGAGGTATGTCTGTCTGCCTGCCTGTACGCCTCCGTATCTGCGCAGCTTTTATCGGCTGCAGCGGCCCTAGCGATGAGACGCAACCTGCACGCCTCGACTTCCCCGCCTAGAAAGCACCTCGTACAGGGGAATAAAATACCGGAAATTCAAGAGCCGTGGTAGGCGGCACATTGAGCTGTACATATTGTCACCCTCCCAGGGAAGAAAACAAAAAAACAACAACAAAAAGTAAAACAATTCCCCCCCAAGCCTGTGATCGACATTGTTGTCTTATACATTTAGCCCCTCCCTCAGTGACCGTAAACGCCAAACTACCACGCCTCCGTCGCTGCGGACTCTATAAAGATTTGTAGCATACGATATATATGTATAACTCACGGTCCAAAAGTTGACCAGTCCATCCAGTCCAGGTCGGCGCTCTGGAACTGGAAATCTTCCCAGAATGCGTTGAGGCCAAAATCGGGATTGTTGATAGCCTCGTCCAGTTGGTTCTCGTTGGACATGGTGGAGAACAACAGGTAGTCCGGAGGTAAGGTAGTGGTCGGTACGGGTATCTGCAGCGTCCCTTGGTGGCCGGCCATGTGCGCGGCGTTGAGGTCCGTGAAAATTGAGGCACTTTTGGGCATATCCCCATTGAGCTCCGGCGGCGCCTGCACAATCTCCGAAGACCGCGACGCAGATTTCAAGATCTGCCTTAGCTGGCCGGCAAAGAGGCAAGAGAGCCCCTTCCGCTGGATCGGGGTGGACCCTATCCGCTCGAGCACATCCGTCGTCTCCGCGATCAGGGCGCGAATACTCGGGGCGAGACTCGATCCCCGGCCGTCGGCGACGGTACTGACTCTCAGCGCGAAGCAAGCGGCGAAGGATATCATGATGGCGGTATTGTTAGGCATCGATCTCAACTGGCCTTCCCCTTGCACAGCCACTCGCAAGACATTCAGCGCCGAGGAGAGGCCGGCAGCACGGAAGAAATGCCGCGCCCCGACGGGCGCGGTACCGTGGTTGATCACGGAGCTATACAGCGACAATCGGGTATGGGATGCGAGAATTTCCACATACGGAGGCAACGAGTGTTCTAGATGAGCAAGTCAGAACATGGACTAACGACGGGATACCGGGTTGAGAGCATCAGACGTACGCTCCCGGTCTCCTATTTGAAGGTGCCACGTTTGATACCATTTATCAAAGAAGTCGGTGATCTCGCTTTTGACCCTAGCCAGGCGTCAGCTGAGTTCTATCGTTGGCAGAAGAGCCTGACGCGCGTACCTGTCAACCACAGATGACTCACTGTTGCCGTTGGCGTAACTATCACATATCGCTCGCACATTGGAGATGAGGTTTGCCTATGGACACAGGGGCACGGACTCAGTAAGGAATGACCCAGAGTGGGGATAAGGCTAAGAATTACCATATCTCTTCTTAAGACTGCAACTGACACGATGGAACCATCCCACCTGTCTGCCAGCTCGCTCAGGTGCCACTGGTCGCAGTTGTCAATAAGCGGCGACATGGGCAAGACGTAGTTTCTTCCCCTGGCGAGGCACACCCTAGACTTCTCGTCAGTCAGATGTTCTTGCGCGAATGTGAGGAGTTTCGCCCTTACCCTCTCTCGAGAACGAAGAGGGACAGCCAGGTGCGCTCCCTTCTTCTCAGAAGCCTTCGTCCCAGGAGAGAATCAGGATCGACATCGGCAAAGCCGTCCATAGCCAGCGCTTTCCGGCTAGAAATGCAGTCGGAGACGGGGATTATCTCTCTAGGACTGCGTGGTTCCGTGGATGGTGTTATAGTGATTTTATTTAAGGACAAGTCTAGGGCTATCGTCAAGGCCATAGATAGATAAGTCGACGTTTCGTCGTCCGCCCAATGCTCACCGGCGGAGATCCACGGTATGTTAACCATGAAAGCCAAGACGATCTCCACCGACTTATACCGCTTCTCCGTGACGAGGTTTGCGAGTTTCTGTCGGTGGTTGAAGAGCCGCCGGTACAACGACTCCATGGACGGGGAAAATAACGCTGACGCGGCGCATATCGAGGTTAGCAGGAAGGCGGATCGACTCCGGACAAATTCTACTGTATGTGTGACGGGGTCGATTCCCCATCGTGTATGTGCGAGTTTCTCGTGGAAGCTGAAATAACAGTAGTCAGTTCGCAAAGTCCTGTACCTCTGCGTAAGTATGGGAGCATACTAAGAGAAGAGCGCCTCGGCCTCCGGCAGGGAGACGAGTCCCAGCTCGATGGGGTCGAGATCTTCGCCAATATCTAGTCGCGGCTGAAACCGTCCAAAGAACCTCTGGAGGTCGTCCCCTTCGGCGATCACACCTCGGTTCGGGGCGAATTTTGACGGAGGACCGGCACGGCCCGGCCGTTGCGAGTGAGGCGTTATAGATGACAGCAGTTCGGATGTCCGGGCGAGCAGCTGGAGCGGGTTCTCAGCGTCGTCCAGGCTGAGGTGGTCCTCTTCGATCTTGGCCTGCACGGCCGAGTCGTCACGTGAACAAGTTTGCGAAGGCGAAGTGCCTAGCGAGGTTGAGGTCTGCTGCGGCGAGAGGGATGACTGCTCGGGGTCGACGCCATTCTGCGTGGTGACACGTCGCGGAAGTCCACGCTGGCCGTTCAAGAGCTCCCTGCTCCTCTCTAGCAGGAATCGCAGCTCCGTGGCATGTTCTACGGTCTGAATCTGATCGATAGAGCCAGCGTGCGACCTCCTCAACGCTTGCTCTATCTGGAAGACGGCCTTCTCTAAGCCGGAGTGCTTGCTGGGTGAGGCATTAGCCCGGCTCTCCCCGCCGCCACGGGGATTCTATGGGCATATCAACGAGTTTGAAGAGAGGCTCAACTCACTTCTTGACTCCCTTGTGTCGGCCCACGTGGAAGAGCGGCGCGGAGCACTGAATCGACCGCTGGGTGCACCGAGTACAGGTCGAGGACCCGCTCGGGCGGACGCACTTCAGCTTGGACTTCTTGCAATTGAAACAGGCGGCAAGCCGCTCCTCGTCGCGTGCATCAGGCTCTGATTTCGGCGCCATTCGATCCGGTATGCCAGCAGGGCAGACAAGAGGCGGCCATAGATGTCGTGAAGGTATAGCTGGGGTATGTGTGTATGCGCGCGCACGCAGAGGAGGAAGATCGGATATGTCCAATGTCTTAATCCCCGGGGGTTGGAGCGGGTTGGAGTTGTCGCATAATCGTGCGAGGTCGTAGTAGTTGTTGGGGCGGTAGAAGTAGCCTTGGCCTCCATCCATTCGGCAAGTTCCCTCACATCCACTGACCCCACCCCTCCCCCCTTTTCCTCCCCGCACGTCACGTCGTCAAACCGGGGGGGACCGGGGCGTTAGTTAGGTACTTAGGTAAGACGTAGGCTAGACACCTATTAGGTAAGTACACCTCGCTCCCTTCCATCAGCTGAGTGTTTTAGGCTAGGTAGATTAGGGCCTATGGGCACACTTGTAGGCGCTATCTTCTTCGGTTAGGTACCTATAGGTAGGTAGCCCACCTCCTATTAGGTACCTACCTGCAAGCACCTTGGATCGGTAACCTAGGTACCTACCTACCTGTAGGTACCTACCTCTCTATCCTAGGACCCGTGATCACGTGGTGCTTGGCCTAGGGCTCCCGGTTCCTATGAGTGCTGCCCAGGAAAAAACCCCCCCAATAAAATAACAAAATTAAAATCACAGGCGAGAGAGGAAGAACGGTAGGTAATCGGGAATCCCCTCCTCGTTGTCGCTTTCTCCACCTATCTCGCTACATACCTACCACCTCGTAGTAAGTGATGCCGGTTAGACAGACGTTTGGAATTCACTCAGGCACATTGCGTCAAACCCCTGCTCCGCGACGCGACACGTCTACCTTCTAGAATTACTAAGTCCTACCCTACAAGATCTGTTCTACATTTCTACCACCTCGTAGGCCGATGCTACCGTCCGGCGGGGCTCGCACGCAGATCCAATTCGCCTCGCCGTCGATCTCAGTTAGTCATGGCCTTGTAATCATTCCCGGTCTCGCTACGGCTTGCTTGGACATGCATTCCCCGTCCGGGATTTCGATGTACGGCTAAGAGAGGCCCCACTGATCCGGCCCTCCATCCATCCATCGACAAGCAGAAAAGAAACTGCTCGTCGGATACCTCCCTACTCTGGGTGCAACAAATTGCGGCTGTCTACCGTACCTACATTACCCAAGCACGCAACTCGTCTACCCTACTATGTACCTACGAATGCATTATACCTCCCTCTAAGAAGGATACGAGGATACGAGGACACGATCGAGCTGATACGCGATACCGGCATACAGTAAGACTTGCAAGAGAGGGTGGGGGTCCTATATGTTGCCCACCTCCGAGACTGGTAACGCTCGTCCGCCGCGGTGCATGCGTCACGTCGTAGCTGAACTGTCTGACACTGCATAGCTGCCTTACTCCTCCCCTCTGCGCTGGAGACCGTCACGAATTGTTACCGATAAGAACACCGCCCATTGCGAAATTCCTCGATCCGTTGTGTCGAGCTGAAGACGAAATCTGCCCGCTCATGTAGTAAGACTGGCGACTCTTACGCAACCTTCAAGCGAAGCTAGCAACCGCGGACGCCATATCTAGCACGCCTGTTACCTGATCTGCATCGCTTGCATTACTATAGCATCCAACGCAGCCGTGGCGTCGCCTCGATGGCGTCCTGCTAATACGTCCTGTCGAGTTAGTCTCCCTATTTCCAAATCATCGATAGGCAAACGGTTAGACCAAAACGTGAGCTATAATCGCGACTGCAGCGACGAAGCGAGCCTGCGTGTTACTATCGCGATACATCAGTATCGCCAAGTGTCGCGACATACCACCCACTTACCTATCACGGAAATCAACCCCGCGAATACCGTCTCGTAGAGTTATCACGAAGCTGATACAATCAACTGCGTTTCGTCGTGATCTATCTGCTACCTTTTGTCAGCCTTCCTTTTTCGGCCTCGCTCGTGATTCTCCAACATCGAACTACGGCATATTCGACGTCGTGACAAATCCAGGACCTGGGTATATATCCTGAGGAGGGGGGGCGCTTCGTGGGTTACGATAATAAGGGACTCCATCCAAAGCCGCCTACGCTTGCTCGAGAGCCGAGTAACCTCTCCCGGTGCTCAAATGCTAGGGTACCACGCCCTCCCTCGAGTAAATATCGAGGACCTTCGAAAGAGGTTACGTCTAACCAACCAAAAGGTAGGTCGCTGAAGACGTTCACCACTCCCAGTGGCCCACCAGCCATCAAATAATCATAGGTACCTAACATCGAAATGTCTAAGCCCTCGAAACAATGACACAGGTATGATAGACTTTGGTTTCCCTTATCTCAATAAATGCGAGAGGGAAAGAAGAAAAGTGGAAACGAACAGAAAAGGCCAAAAGGAAAGCCTGGTGAGCGTCTCTCTAGGCATACAAATACCTATGTTCAAGTGCCTTAGCAGGAGGACAGCGGAATTATTATGTCGGTGTTAAGTTAAAACCACACTGGACCCGCGGGATTAATGTAGGTATGCTCCGCCCCGACCCCTACTAAATCCGTCGCCTCCAGGCTACAGGCCTACAACGTCTACCCGTAGCCCGTTCACCACCCTCTGATAGGTGTAAGTTGGGCCGCCGGGTATGGGACCTTTCAGACTGCGCAGCGGCACGGGTAGAATTCCCCGGAACGAAGCGGATTTCCCACGCGATCAATTCATCCGACAACAGCTCACAGCCCCGGAAGGCAGCAAAAAGCTGACGCTGACGCGAGCAAGGGAGTACGTAGGATATGGGCATCACTCTACTCATGAACACGTCGTTGAATCTTGATCGCCCCCGGGCACCACAAAGGTATCGTATCAATACTATAGGTATCGTCTTTAAAAAGATCTCCCGGCGCCATGCGTGATCCCTTCATAGTTCCTCCTTATAGCCAAGTAAATCGCTATTCAGAATCGTCATAAGGAAGATATCACACGCTCCATCGAACCCGTTCTCGTTTAAGGAAAAATTATTTGAGCTCGACCTATTGTGGAAGCAACTTCTCATATATACCTAGCCTTTGCAGCAACTGTCTCTCTCTCCCCTATACAAGGGTTCTTCGCAGCAAACATGCACCTAATACTCACGGGAGCGACAGGCCTGGTCGGCTCTGGCGTCTTGGACGCGATGATCAAGATGAAGGATATCACCAAGATCTCCGTGCTCGCCCGGCGGCCGGTGCAGATGGCCGAGGATGCCAAGGACCCGCGCATCAACGTCATCATCCACCAGGATTTCACCAAGTACGATGCCGACCTGCTCTCCCAGCTCAAGGGCGCCACCGGCTGCGTATGGGCCCTGGGTATCAGCCAAACCCAAGTTGGAAAGGAGTGCGTAGCCGAACAAACCCCCACCCCCTACGACTGGTCGCAGGGACACTAACCTCCGATGCGCAGAGAATACGTGAAGATCACGAAAGACTACGCCCTAGCGGCGTCCGAGGCATTCCAAACACTAGCGTCGGAGCAGCAGCCTTTCAACTTCGTGTACGTCTCGGGAGGGGGCGCCACGACGCAGCCGGGCCGGTTCTCGGCCATCTTCGCCCGGACGAAGGGCGAGACGGAGCTGGCGCTGGCCGCGATGCGGCGGGCGAACCCCCTGTTCCACGCGAGCTCCGTGCGCCCGGCCTTCGTCGACGCAGCGAGCCACGACGCCATCAAGCCGTACATCTCGGTCCCGTCGGCGGCCCTCCGGGCGGCCGGCTACGTGCTCGCGCCCGGGATCCGGTACGGCCTCAAGAGCATGTGGAGCCCGACGCCGGAGCTCGGCCGGTTCCTCGCCGAGGTGGCCATGGGCAGGTACAAGGACCAGTTGAAGGCCAAGGACATCCAGATGGAGGGCGAGTTCCCGATACTTGAGAACACGGCGTTTAGGCGCCTGTCGGGCCTCGACCGGAGCTGAGTCCGGGACGATGTTAAAAAGAGATTCCGCCTCATGTGGTGCCACCTGGTGTGACGTGCCGAGGAAGTCGTGTTGTATTATACCCCGCCCTGTATCACAGATAGGTAGATAAATATCCCTACATTGCAGATAAATATTTCCCCTCTTTGGTTGGAAACCGTGGTTCCTATGAGAATAGGAAAACTAACGAGTATTATTTCTGGCGGCGGGGAGCAGTATGGAGCGTACATACCACGCTTATCCTACGCTCCCTCACCCCTATTGTCCATGCGTACCCATTGCGGCCGACAGCCCACTCATATTCGCATTCACGGGTTTTCAGCCTTTATGAACAAGGTCTTATACGGAGGGTCTGGTCTTTAGAATTTCACGCTAAGCGTACGTCGGCCCCCTCCACCCCCCTCGAACCCGAGACGGGAAAGAAGCCGGCAGCCGGCCTTGTGGACCAGCTCGGTAACTATTCTTAGTATTCAAACCGCCATCTCGGATCCGAATCGCCCTTCCAGTCTGTAATCTCGCCTACGTGCTTGATCTCCCCCGCTATGCCCTCGCGCCTCTTGTTCTCCTTCTTCAGCCTCAGCCCCAGGATCGAGACCACCACCGCGTTCGCGAGGAGGTACCCGAGGGCGCAAGCGTGGCCGACGACGAACCTGGGGCCGTCATTCGCGCGGTACAGCTGGGTTCCCATCACGGCGCCGAGATTGCCGATGCTGATCTGCATCGCGTTTGCGATCGCTCGCTTGGTCTGGCCGGACACGTTGATGGCGGGCCAGGACAGCACGAGTCCGGTCGCCGGATATATCCCGCCAGCCGCAAAGAACACCCCGAGGTAGCTGACTCCCGGCCTGCCCACGGGGTCGGTATTTCCTAGCAGGATGCTATAACCGATGGCGCCGAATACGGCAGAACCAGCGATGAACAATGCCCTCTGGCCAAGTCGCTCCGAGAGAATGGCCACGGCCACTGTCGTTAGGAATGCGAACGCGTAAGGAGGAACGGTGAGCAATTGCGCCGTCGCCGCTGTATAACCGAGATTGGCGATGATAGTCGGCTATCGGAAGTATTAGTTTCCTCCCACGTGAGGTCACAGGACTTGACATCGGTCAAACATACCATGAAGAGGGACAGTGTGTAGAGGGGTAGGCTCATGGTATGGAACCCCAGCCCGTAAAGCCAGCAGTTAGGATCCTTGAGCGCTTCCACTACCGCGTCCCAAGTAAAACGCTCCTCGTGCGTCGCATCGCTGTCCGCTGCAAGACGTTGGTGGATAAACCTCCGCTCGTCATCGGTTAGGAACTTGGAGGTATCTGGATAGTTGTGAACAAAGCCATACGCCGCTATCGCTATGAGTACGGTAAGGATTCCCTCCTAAATTTTTGCTCGGTTAGAGGCTGCACCCAGTAAGTAGTTGGGTGAGACGCACCAAAATGAAGATCCAGCGCCACCCATTTTCCCACACCACGCCTCCCATTCTCCCGATACCCTATGTTTGAGTCAACAACGGGGTATTCTCTAGGTTTGTTAGAGTCAGGCCATACTCACATAAGCTAGAATGCCGCCGAAGGCACCGGCTAGAGAGGCCACGCTAAAGAAGAGGGATATCCTGTACTGGCGCTCGCGCCTCTTGTACCACATCGAGAAGTAGAACACTACGCCAGGAAACAGGCCGCTCTCGGTCTATGATGTGTTAACACCCTTTCTTTCCAAATACCCAAGATCTCACCGTCCTCGAGCTACCCTATTCGGCCAAGATGATTGGGATAGGAGGGATGACAACATACTACGACCATGTTAGCCTGCGATAGAACCCTCCTGGCCGGATATGACTTTATACGTACCAACACCGAGGAAGAACCTGCTGACAAAGTAGCCAGCCAGGTCCTGCACTACGCCCATCAGGGTAGCTACGATACCCCAGGCTATCGTCAACGTCGGAAGCCATATGCGGGGTGTCGTGCGTTTGAGCACGATGTTGGAAGGGATCTGGTCCATGCATCAGTGTGGCACCGCAAGAGGCGCGGGCGTCTGCGACGCAGAGTTTCCTACCTCGAATAAGACGTATCCCACAAAGTACAGCGTCAGGCCGGTGAGGTACTGATTGCCAGCTGGACGGACCGGTTAGCGACAAGACAGCGGCCCTGGACAGCTCGGCATACTGATGTGAAGGTCAGTAGTAAGGCCTTCGATCCTCGCATTGCCGACTAGATAACGAGGTTAGCAGGCAGTTTATTGGAGGGAGCGTCTCGGGGGTGGTGTATAGAAGAATATCCATCTTCGCCCACTTACCATTGCTTCTGTCGAGGAAGGAAAGCAGATACAAAACTCCGACTGCGGGCAGCAGCCTCGCGTCTAGTTTTCGCAGCAGCGCGCGCTCGTTGATCTCGGGTCCGGCGGTCTCAGAGTCGGACGCGGCCGAGACGTTGCCCTCGTCTCCTCCGACTACTTTCGTATCTTTCTCTGACATTCTAATATCGGTTGTCAATTGCAACCTCCGGACTCAAAGCGGCCGGTGTTTTCGTAAGCTCGCCTATCTCGCCTAATGGTACGATGCGGCAGTAATAGGTAATATAGAAACGGGAGCCCGACCGCCAAAGATTATCATACCTAGGTACTACTTAAGCAACTGGAGAGCACAACCCGACCCCAACTACCACCCCGGCTCGCGGCGTCATGGCGTCATGACATTGGTATTTGACTTGATCTCCTCGACAATCGGCATATATGTTATTTCAAGGTTATCAAGCCGGAGGTGCGACCTTCCGGGACGCCATGATTGGCGAGCGTCCCAGTACGGCGAATCACGACATACTGATCCTGCCTGGCGTGACAGATGTATGTTGCCTTGTTTGAGCTAAGCAGCGTCTCATCGTCGTTATTACGTGAAAGGGTCTCTCTATTCACGTATAATGCTCCTGGACAATGTTTACTCATACGGGGAAGAGCATATAGGTAGGTATAATTGGCCATCCCCACAAACGGCTAGCAGAGCCTAGGCTTAGCTGACTGCTAATATTGTACCCAAGCTTGTGGGGGGGCCAAGTGACAAGCCGTGCCAGGGAATAAAATACGGGCCTAGAACAAGGCTTAGTTATACCTACTACATTCTCCAAAACGTCTGACATACCTATCCCGCATCTTATAGCGTCGGACGAGCCTACCCATAGGCATAGCTCTACACGATGTCGTCTTTTAAGAGTTTCATATAGTGCGACTATAAAACTGCCCTGCACACACATGCTAACTGCAGGCACAGTAGAAGACCAAAGCCTATAACCGATTGGCACTCTAACTGGAGGTATGCCAAAGGTTAGGAACTACGTGAGTCGAAGATATCGAAGCTCAATCGTATATCAGCATGCGACTGGGCGAAGAGGCACATCCGGTGTTTGTCAACTTTACTATCGCAATATGAACGGAGGCCGAGAGAACTCCCTCCTGGTATAGGGGATTGTTGTGGCCAGGGCGTCGCTGTATTTGCGTGTGCGGGATCCCGATAACCCTACAGGATTCTACCCCGCCTAGATAGGCGTTTCCGAGGCGAGAAGTGTGGTAGGTTTTGATTCTGATATGCTTCGGGTTTAAGTGAATAATGCTATTCGGGGTATATTAGCAGTGTGATTATTGTGTATGCGTGAATCGGACGGGGCACTTGTTCGGTCTTGTGCAGGAACAAAGTCGGCGCGGAGATATGCGACGCAGAGGTAGGTGGCAACCCGGAGTCTGAATCGGAGGTGCATCACTCGAGCTTTGTCTTGGGGGGTTTGGCGGGTTGAGAATCCCGAGAATCGGCTCTACAACCCCCCCCCACTCCATTTGGGGCATGTGTACCTATCACGTATCGCCTTACGTATGCCACGCCTTCTGGCTCTAGGCGCTAGGGTAAAGCCAAGCCTGATAAGGGCGTAGTTCGACATCGGGAGGCCACTAAATAAACCCATATATGCTCGAGGAAGATCAAGAAGGACGCCGTGACATGGTGGTGATGGCTCGGTGACTGGCGCGTGGGATCTTGAAGTGCACCGGCTGTTCTCTTCTTCCTCGAAAGGAAAACGCGATGTCGCCGTCCAGGTCTTCTAACGTCCGGCACGCTCGCCGACAAGGTACGTCTCGCAGCACACACCCAAAGACAGTAGTTAGGCGACAGGCTTAATATATCCATCGTTGCGAGTAGATGTATCTACAATCCTCGAATTGATCCGGGAGCTGGCCGACTATGAGCACGAACTCGATGCCGTCGAGGCGACAGAGTCTACGCTCCTTTCCACCATAGCTTTCGCCCCCGACAACGTCGAATCCACGCCCACGGCCCCAGATACGGAGCCCACATCTCCTTCGAAGCCTGCGAGGTGCCTGCTCCTCTTTAACGAAGAAGGTAGACCGGCTGGCATGGCCTTGTACTTTTATAACTACAGCACGTGGAGAGCGAAAGCCGGTATCTACCTCGAGGACCTCTTCGTCCGACAGACCGACAGGGGGAAAGGATACGGGAAGAGGCTGCTCGTGGAGCTGGCGAGGGAGGTCGTGGCGACGGACGGCGGTAGGCTGGAGTGGAGCGTGCTGAAATGGAACGAGCCGAGCATCAAGTTTTACGAATCGATCGGGGCCAAGGCCATGAACGAGTGGGTGGGCATGCGGGTCGATCGCGAGGGGTTAACCAAGCTCGCTGGCTTACTCGGCCCATCCGTTTCTGTCCCGTAGGCTTTCTATGCGACACGTGAGACTGCGAGGAGTAGGATCCTGTAGGTATTTTGGGGTGGTGGGAGCCAGGGTAGCTAGCAAAATTTACCTATGAAATCAGCTAGCTCCCGCTCGACCTGCCGATCGGTCGCCCGTCGATCGGCTGGGCACGCCGGCTTTGTCGACGCCCTGGAAGAACTGCAGATCCTTTTTTTGAGGACGCGGCAATGCTATCTCGCGCTTGCCCCAGCTGACGGCCAATTTCCCCGAGCGCGGGTTCATTTCTACTTTTGGGGATGTCTCCCAGACAAGGCTGTAGATGCCGCGACGTAGTATTCTCCGATTAAATACCCGGAGACCGATAGGTCGACCATGTCCCCGGGGATCGTCATCCTCGCGGCCGCTGAGACTCTTCATCTTCCGCGAGCTTCCCCTCTCTACGGCTTTCACCGGTTTGGTAACGTAGCTCGTCCAGTCAAACCTGGAAGGGTCGGGTTGGGGATAGTGTGATTGAGCCAACGCCCGCCTCGGCGGCACTGCGTAGTGCTCGGGGCCGGCCTCCCCATTCGCCAAGGTGCGTAGATTGTCCCATTCACCGTGCGGCAACGGGGGTAATAATTGGTGAAGAACACTCGCCCAATGCTTCTTCAACTTGTTCCTCGCTAGCTTGTTGGTAAGAGGCCGGCCGAACGAGTTCTCACTTGGGATTGCTCGCTTGGGATCGATGATGCGCCGCATAACGACGGGCCACATGCTGCTCTGATGCTCGGATTGCGAGTGGGCCATCGCCTTGAGCTTGTCCACAGACCAGTTGTCCAACCAGTCCGGCTCGCGCGGCCTGCCGTCTGGAAATTGGTGTATCCCCGCCGATTCGAGCGGATCGGCGGCGATCCTGGCTGCCTCGTCTAGCTCCGCAGAGTTCGCAGCAGGCCGGCTGGCTAGCTCAGACGAGGCTAGGAGACGACGGCGCTTCCCAATCCTCCCCATTGCCAGGAAGCAGAGGCGTAGCATCCGCCGGACGTGGCCGGCATTAGCGGAGCGGAGGTAGCGTAGGGAGCAGTGGGCATCTTTGATGTGAGGCTTGGGGTCCGGCTTGTAACGACAGTCGCGGAAGCGGGCCTGGATACGAGAAGTTATCCACGGCCGGCAGAGAGGAGGGAGGTATGTGGCCTCTCGGAGCATGTGGCGAAAGAGATGGAGCGGATGGCTAGGGTGAGGGATCTGTGGAGCCATCGTCGCGGTAGTCGGCGTGGGTGGTCGACGTAGTCACGGTTTAGGCGGGATGGGAGTCCGAACTAAGGCAGCGTATAGCCCTGCCTTGGGTGCCTGATGTGGGAACCCTTGAAGTATGTCGTTAGGAGGTAATAAATAGACTGCCTAAGGTTAGGTTGGCAGGCAGAGGAGCAGGTCATCGAGACAAAGCTTCTCTGCCGCGGATGCTCCAATGGATGAGGTGCCCTATCGTGTTACGCGGACCCAATATTACATAACCAAGACTGCCTACCGAGATAGGTACCTAAGTATACCTGCCTTAGAGCCTTTGGTGTAGGTACCTAGGTAGTTGTCACCTCCGGTCTTGTCTTTTTGTGTTAGGTGCAGATGGGCACATATACCTTAGGTACCTGCCTAGGTACGGGGCCTAAGGTAAGCAATGTCGACAGCTGCAAGATGTAGGTAGGTGCTGGATACCTCCTGCACGTCACCTGCAGAATCGCAGATGGAAGGGAAGGGACCGAGGTTGGTAGAAATCTGCATCAGAATCCCCCTTTGGTGGGATGTAGACGTCTATAGAGGGTAGATTAGGAGGTACCTAATATACCCAACCTGCTGCCAACACCAGGCACTGATTACACGTATACCTACCTAAGTACCTCTTCGAAGGCAGGTTAGGTACCGAGGTAACTACCTACGCATCCCAACACCGCGGCGATTGCGTTATGGATGCCTGAGGTGTCAACCGGGTGCAACTGCCCGCTTCGCACTTCCTAGGTAAACATAAGAGGGGGAAAGGACAGGCGCGATGGTGGGGGAAGGAAGAGGGGGTCAGTTAACCTGCCTAGGAAAGAGGAGGGAGAAAGGAAAAAAAAAAAAAAAAGAAGAAAAACAGAGTCTGTGCACCGCGTTTATTTCGGGTCGGCCTTCCACAAATCAACTTCCGCTCCTCCCCACGTCGGTTCTGCTCACAACACGCGTATCTGTGCTGCTTACCTAATGCCGTCTTCCCCCCCCGACCACCCGGAACTGCATGTCAAGTCAAATCACAATCCATATTTTGCTCTCACACCCCCCTCCCTCCCCCCTTAGCCGCGAGTCACGACCTCACGATTACACGAAACTGACACGTCCCGTTGTCCTCGCCCGACGTGCCGCGATATACGTGCGCTATTCCTAATTCTTACCCTTTAATTGAATTCCCTCTTTGAGACCCCTCTCCCGGGTCCGCGACGAGGTCGGGTCAAAAGATCGTTGCGGTCGTGGTCGACGTGAATTGCCTGGTAGCGCGTCTGTGATCGTGTCACTGTCACTGCCGCCGTCACCACCACCACCTCCACCACCGCCGCCGCTACCGCCGACGCTGCTGCTGCTGATACTATTACCGCTGCTACAACTAACTACCTCTGCCACCGACCGCCGCTATTGTCACTGGCCTTGTGTCGTCATTGTTGCCATCGCCCCCTCCTCCCCGAGCTGTTGGACGTTGTTATAATCCCATTATGACCTTTATGCGGCACTGCCAAGCCAGCCTGTAGTTGTCGTAAGCTACTCGGCCTGTTGCCGACACTCCTATTGGCAATCCAATCTTGCTTCTTCAACCCTCCGAACGCCTCTGGGCCCGGTTTTGTAGAGGAATTGCAATCTCTCGCCGTAGGGGAGTCGGCGCACTATCGTTCTTCGGGTCGTTGGATATTTCTCACCGTCCTATATCGGTTAGGCCTTGGATTCCCGCACATCCGATCATCGTCAACCTGCTGATGGCCTCGGCCACGACCCTCATCACCCACCATCCACCCCAGTCCCAGGGCGCTATCGCCTCAACACCCGCTCCCTCCCTCCCGCCGCCTCCGACCTCCCACCAACGACCGTTCGCCTCTGCCGCCCCGCACCTCCATATCACCCTACCCGCCGATAGCAGCGGCGCCGGCCCTGCCGCTGACGGCGTCGTCAGGATGTCGCAATCACAGCCTTCTTCCCAGCAGTCTTTTACCATGAGCCACCCCCCCCAACCGTATCGGCAGTTCTCCGACTCGAACATGAGGATGGGTAATGGTCAGGCCCACCATCCCGACGAACCACAGATCTATTCGGTTGGTCGTCCCCAGGGCCGCCTCTGTTTGCACAGATAAGCTCGCAATGCTAACCTATCGTCTTTAGGCAGTCTATTCCGGCATTGATGTATACGAAATGGAGGTCAATGGAGTGGCTGTCATGCGACGTCGCCATGACAGCTGTTTGAACGCCACCCAGATCCTCAAAGTTGCCAACATCGACAAGGGAAAGCGGACAAAAATTCTCGAGAAGGAGATCCAGACTGGCGAGCATGAAAAGGTACAAGGTGGCTATGGCAAGTATCAGGGCACGTGGATCAAGTTCGAACGAGGGGTAGAGGTGTGTCGCCAGTACGGCGTCGAAGAGTTGCTTCGCCCCCTCTTGAACTACGACATTAGCCAAGGAGGGAGCAAGGGCGACCTCAACACCCCAACTAAGGAGCAGGCCATGGCCGCACAGAGAAAGCGCATGTATAGTGCTAGCAATGAAGGACGCGCGAATGGACTGTCTGGTACTTTCTTTAAGAATATCTCGAGTACCGCATCCAACGCCGTCGCTGCCATCAGCAAGGCTCGTTTCGATTCCCCCGGTCCTAGAGGACGCAACGGTCCGACGAGGGCCCCCAGCTTCAGCCGGCAGTCGTCGATGCAGAACGTCGACGACTTCCCCGGGAACTCGCAGCAGAGCTTCGCCTCCGACTATGGGCACAATGCCGACACGGCAAATTCGACCCAGAACACGCAAATCTTCAACGGTGACGAGCCGCCACGGAAACGCCAAAGAGTCGTCACCCCTGGCGATAGCTTCGGCTACCCATCCCAGCCTATGGACACGTATGCTAATAATTTTCCCGGCTCTCCCACGGAGCCTAACGAGTCGTTCGTTTACTCCCAAGCTGGTATTGACGTTCATGAAAATGATGTTGCGCCTCTCCCTCCTCTCCATTTTGATCTCTCCCCCGAGGGCGAACGCAAACGAAATCTCCTCATGGGCCTCTTCCTAGATCCAAACGCGACCGCCTCCGATTACGCACAGAATGAAGCGCTTCAGACGTTGAGCCCCTTAGATCTCGATGCGCCGATCGATACCTCGAGCCATACCGCCCTTCACTGGGCCGCTACGCTAGCCAGGATACCCCTCTTGCGAGCGTTAATCGCTGCCGGTGCTAACCCGTACCGAGTCAACGCTTCTGGAGAAACGGCCCTGATGAGAGCCTCGGCCGTAACGAACAATTCCGACCAAGTCTCATTCCCTGAATTGCTCGACGTCTTAGGTCATACCATTGATATTCGTGATAATAAGGGCCGTACAGTTCTACACCACATCTCCGTCACGAGTGCCGTCAAGGGCCGTAATCATTCGAGCAGATATTATCTTGAGAGTCTGCTTGAGTGGGTGGTAAGGCAGGGGAGCGCACCAAGTAGCCAAAATACGGCATCTAATGGCAACACCGCCCAACCCAAGATGGGCATCGGGCGGTTCATGAGCGAGATTGTCAACGCGCAGGACAAGTCAGGAGATACCGCTCTGAACATTGCGGCCCGGATCGGAAATAAAAGCATTATCTCGCAACTAATCGAGGTCAACGCCGATCCTGGCATCGCGAACGCGGCCGGCCTCAGACCAATTGACTTCGGAGTGGGTGGTGACGCTGGCGAGGATGCCATGAACGGCGATCCTACGGCGACCGATAAGGCGCACATCATCGGTAACAGCCAGAAAACGCGCCAGAGTGGTGAGGATGTCATCACCTGTAGGTTCACATCAACACTTCGGGCCCGGCTGTTTTTGTCTTGCGGCTAACATTTCGTAGCCATCACGCATCTCTTAAACGAGACCTCCACTAGCTTCCAATCGGAATTGAAGAAGAAGCAGCAAGACCTTGACTCCCTCCATGCTGAGTTACGGACGACATCTACGCAACTAGGCGACGCGCGGCGCCAACTCGAGACTTTGATAGCCACAGCTAAATCGCAAGTCCTCGCTAGTCAGAAGGTCGTCAATCTCAGCCAAGGCCATGAGGAGGAGCAGAGACGTCTATTCGCTCTAGAACAAAGTCACGGCCGGTTAGAACCGAATAATTGGGAATCGGAGCTCGACGCGGCATTGGAATCTGCGAGAGAAGGGACACCGAATGCGAACCTGCTGCCTAGCACTGCGGTCCTCCGCGCCCGGATACAAGCGACTAGAGACCGCACTGACGCGATAAGAAGCAACGTGGGCTCACTCAAAGGCCTCAGTAAAGAAATTGAGGTCAAGTATCGGCGGGTCGTAGCTCTCTGCACTAACGTGCCGGAGAGAGAAGTAGATGTTTTCGTCGACGGTCTACTGCGCGCCGTAGAGAGCGAAAGAGGCGAGCTGGAGATCGGCCGCGTGAGAAGATTCCTAGGCGGAGTGGATGGTATCGCGCGTGGATTGTGACAAACTTCTTGGAACGTGAATGCTATATTGCGAGGGGTCATCGAGGGCGGATGTGTATGATACGACATTCGTATTCTGTTGTTAGATATCGTGGGCCGCTGCAGATACCACTCGCGATTGCGACAGAGGAGGCCCTAAGACGAGGGCGGGAGCTGTCGTCGTGAGTATACGGCGACGGTCCCCTGCGGTCACTGTACATACCAGGGCTCTATTGGGCAAGGGGAGGGGGGGGGGGGGGGGGGGGGCGGCTATACGGCGTACGCCCTGAGCTCATTTCCGTATTACTCGTCGACCTAACCATACCTCTACACCTTTAGCTATGGTACGTTATTAAGTACGGGCGGTACCTATATAGAACACATCCGCGTCGAGAAGCATAAGGGGGGGTCGCGGGACTGAATTGCGAGCTGAGAAAGCGTCAAGAAAATATTTGAATTAATTCCTCGAATCATTATGTTCTAGTACTGCACGCCAGGGTATCATTTTATATTATCCGTCCTACCTATCGGGGTCCCGTAAAGCGGGCAAACGAGCAGAGAAGCTGCTGGTCACGAAGCGCATGGGATCCCCCTCCCCTCACGTTCCTAAGCGTATAATGAAGTGGGACATACTGCCTGAGATGCAGGCGTTTCGCACCACTGCTCGATACTCGAATTATTTCGCCAGCACCATCGCCGCCGTGGCGCCGGCGCCCCATCCCGGCCGACCGCGGGCTTTCCGTACTAGGCTGCGCACCAGCACCCAGGCAGCAGCAGCCTCCCCGTCAGCCTCTCCCTCGTCGCCGCCGGCGCCACGGCGACTGCGGGTCGGGGCAAAGACTTTGAGGCGCCCCTCAGAGATGACGAACCCATCGCAGGCGGCGCGCTGGACGCGCACGCCCGGGTGGAACAGGTCCAGCCCCAGGTGGTGCCGCAGGTAGATAGCGAGGGCCTCGGTGAAGGGCTGGTCGATGGCGTCGTCTGCCGTCCCGTTTGCGTCGCGGTCCCGGCCGGGGTTCTGGCGCCGCCACCCCCACCCCTCTTCGTCCCTTCCGCCTGCCAGCTTGCGGCGCCTCCGGGCCTGCTGCTCGTCGGAGAGGACGGTGGTCGCGCCGGCCTTCCTCTTCCCGCCCGCCGCGGCTGCTTGCGGCCGTTCCGAGGCGAGCCTCTCGCCCACACGCAGGAAGCGGCGCACGTCGGCGGCGGGTATGGCGACGTCGATGGTCTTCAAGCCCAGCTGGGCCGATGCCGGTTCCCGAGCCTCTCCGCCGTCGTCGCCACTGCCGTCGTCGCGCCCCGACTCCCCCAACCTCGGCTCGGGAGGTTCTAGGTGAAAGCCTAACAGGAGGAGGATATCCTTGGTCAAGGCTGGCGGCTGGTTGCTAGTGGCGAGCCCGGTATTCCGAAGCCAGGCTTCCAGGCTGCCGACGAGCGTCCGGGTGCCTAGGGCTAAGGGGCTGATGCGGCAGTCGAAGGTGGTGGAGAGGAAGTCGATGATGACGGACTTGAGCGGCGCGGGCATCCGGAACAGGAGGAGCGGGAGGTGCAGGAATGCGTTTGAGTCTACTCCACTCGCCTGCGACTTATCCCCGTCTCTGTTCGCCTGCCACGTCCACGAGGGCTGGCTGCGGGAGTCGGGCGCATCTCTGTCCTCGCGGGCGAGGTCGGGCAGGAGCAGGGCGCAGAAGTGCGTGTTCTCGTAGCGGAGTTCGACGCACAGCGCATTCAGCCCTTCTCCGCGCGCTTGCTCGCCGTCGTCGCTAGCCCCGAGCTCTAAGCTACGCTGCCGCCGCGGAGCCCCCCCATCGCCGAGGATGCGCCGGACGTCGACCCACCGGAACTCGACGGCCTCCAGCGCGCCGCTGCGGCCCAGGGACGCGGTGGCGGCGGCGTCGCCCTCGAGCCCGACCTGCACGCCGCGCACGACGTCACCGACGAGCGTGTCGCGGAGGCGCCAGGCAAGGGCGCGGAGGCGCGGCGGGGACAAGGGCTGATGGCGCTCGAGGTAGAGCGGGGAGACACGGTACGTGGTGAAGGTGGTATTGAAGAAGCGCGGCGGCGGGGGGTCGGCCTCCGCGTCTGGTGCCAAACCCGAGGAACTGTTGTCGGGGCCGGAGGTGATGGATGACGGTGCGGCCTCGTGGGATCTGATGGGTGAGGGCGGGGAGTGTGCTGGGTCTGGCGGCGGCGAGTCTGCCGCATTGTTCCGTCGTCTTCGAGGAGGCATTGTGGGGAGCCTTTTCTCCTGGTCTTAGGTGCAAGGTAGGAAGGGTAGCGAGCTCGAGTAGCGCGTGTGCTGAGAAGCTCCGGAGGGGCTAGGGTTGGCGACTTGCAGTATTGGCGCAGGTTGCGGAATCGTCCCAATCCGAGGAGAATCGCCGGGACATTGGACGCGTCGGATGATAGCTAGACGGGGTTCAACGCGTGTTTCGATATGTCAATTGGTTTCCACGTAGAAAGAAGCGCGTTATGCGACCGTGAATAGGGCGCCGTATGGGCGGGACCACGGTAGAGTGAGGAACAGACGGGGGTGGTCTCTCGCGATGTTGGCTGGTGAAGTTGCTGGGGGCACAGCTACGGCGGTTGCTTCACACGTGCTTTTAGGTACGTACTTCAGCCTCTCCGCCGATAAGCGACCGCATGTATTATGTCAGAAAGCATATAGCCTATCCCCTCCTCCTCATCATCTCCATCCCGATTCTTCTCAGCCGCAGAGCACCTCGTCCCAGCGAGCACCCAATCTGACTGCACATCCCGACCACCCCTAGAAGAGGAGGGGCACTGCAACAACAAGTACGAGTGGGAGTTTGGCGACAGCCTCGTCACCATGGCCTCGCCCTCTTCCTCATCATCGTACGAACTCGTCGAGCCCACCGAGCCCGTCTTCCACAAATTCCCCTTTCTCCCTCCCGAGATCCGCCAACAGATTTGGCTTGAAGCTATCCCGTCTCCCGGCATCAACTTCTTCAACGTTCACTCTTTCCCCAACGATCATAGGAACGCCAACTGCAGCACTTCTCCGTGCTGGCTGTATCTCGACCTACGCCGCCTAGCCATTACCGATGATGACGATGCCGTCGCCGAGTACGATCCGTCTGCCTGGATGGCCCGCAGCGTGCTCCGCCGCACTTGCCGTGAAGCACATGCCATGAGCGCCATCCCGCCCTCGCACGCTGTCACCCTCACCTTGACCCGCCCGAGGCGCGGCCTGTTCGTGCGTGCCGGCGATGACCAGCTGCGCCTAATGACGCCCCTAGAGCCCCGGGACGGTGGGAGCTCGTCTATGTCAATCACTCGCGCTGCCCACACCGAAGAATATCCACCGGTCGAGCCGCTAGAGCGGCGGCGTGTCCAGGTCCACACCAATGATGTTCTATGTCTCTCTGTTGAGAACTGCAGCTTCAATCTGCCGTATGAAGAGACTCCCATCCTCGACGATAGCGACGAGCACCTTGGATGGTCATTTGATCCGCAGCTCACACCCCGACTTCCTAACGAAATTCCGACGGGTCGACTCTGCGCGAGCATGGCACGCGGCCACAAGACTGCACTCAACGCCGTTTGCAGTTCGCTATGCAGCATTCTCTCAATCTACGACCGGGGACGCTCTGCTAACCAACCTCTGGTGCCTTTGATCATGGTCGACGCGTACAAGCAGGAACTAGGTAAGCGTAATATAGAGGAGCTCACCACCGCCGTCGACGTGTTTTGGGATCGCTTTGGCGACCGCTACATGCAGATACCATGGAGGCCGGCTGAACTGATCGTCGAATACCGGCTGGTCAAGATATGGCCTGAGGAAAACGATATCAGGGAGAGGTACTTAGCTTCCGCGATACTGCACTCGCCGAAGCGGCCTGCCGAGTCTTAGCGTCACCGTGGGTTCTACCACTAGGAGGTGCGAGCTTCTCGCTGGTCCGATACCGAATACAGGGCTGGCTAGATTCCAGCCGCTGGACGAAAAGGCGTCGAGAGGCCGGTAGTCTCTGAAGGGCATTCCAGCATCAGTCTCCATGCCTTTACTCGTTGCCGTTACAGCTAGAGACGAGGAGATTCTATTTTCCATAGCCATAAAAGAAATCGACTGCCTACAGCGGACATGGACTTTTCTAAGTGCATGCACCCTAACCCGGACTAACGAAACCGGGCCAGGGCCGGATATGCGGGCCTGCCGTGTTTACATGTCCAGGAGCATCCTAATCAGTCAAAATACATACACGTAAATAAACGAGGCGGCCTGGTTGTCTAGCGGATGCAATACCGAGCCATTTTGGTCCGCGGAATCCCACCTCGCAATTTCTGTAGATAGCGTAGCCAACGCCCCTTTCACCGTGGCATGCTCGTATTAAATGAGATCCTGTCCGTGGAGCACACAGGTGGCGGCTTACATTCCGGTGTGATGTGTATTGCATCCAGACGTAAGCAGCACACCGGTGCTCAAGCGTATTGGTCGACAACAGCCTCTCGTCGCTGTTGCGTAACCCTTGAGGGCAACGAGCTCAACTAAAGAAGACGACTCAAAAAATAACGTCTTTCGCATTAGCTCGCGGGTTCAACTTCGTAAAAAGAAAAGAACCAGGTAGGTAATGCGGTCCAATGTACACGTAGATGCCTCTCACGTGTCCGCTAGCCGCCTATATACCCAATCAACGCCATACGATGCAGAAGTCGAGTATTGTACAAATAAATGGCATGCGTGGTACACCCGCTCCTATTTCCGCGCCAACTCTTCTGCTCTGCCATCCCCTTCTTGCTCTGGCCTGTCTATGTCTCTTTCGATCCCGTAGACTCGGCGACCGCTTCGGGGCCGCGGGAACTCGGGAGGAATACTACCTTACGAAACCAGCCCCGGGCCCCCGTTCGCGTACAGGCCTTGCCACCTGTCCTCAACAGCGGCTACCTTGACCCTTACGCTTTCGATCTCTACGTCGAGCTCTTCGATGTTCCGCGTTAGGGCGCTGACCTCCTCGAATCGCCTGGCGCCGTGCGCGCTGTTGATCATGGTTTGAACTATGTATCGCTGCTCCTCCAGCACGATCAGCCGCTCGCGCAGCTCCTTCTCCTCTGTTTCCAAGGTAGATACGACCGTGCTGCCCTCGCTGGTCTGACTGGCTGTTTCGAGCAAGTCGCCGTTCCTCAGCGGGCTTGCCACGTGCCCGTTGGCGAGCAAGCGGTTCTTGGCCGAGCTCGAACCCGAGCTACTGTGCTTCAGTATCCGTGGCAGGTTCTTGAGCGGCAGCATGTGCATGTGGAGGAACGAGGATGCTGCTTGGTGTATGGCCTTTTGTAGATGCTGTTGCGTGGGACTCTCCGTCTTCATGTCGCGGATCCGCCGAGCCGCCACATCGTACTTAGTGAAGCTATCGGTGAGCCGCTTCCTGATTTTAGAGGCCTCTTGGATTTGCGCGTGACTCGGCGGGTTGTTCTCGTCCTGTAGAGGCAAAAGTGTCCTCTGGAAGGCGGGTAGCAACAGCTCAATGCCGCGTTCAAACTGTTTCAACGTCTCGTAGGCCCGTTGGTCGGGCGATTTGTGCGCGACGGATTCGGCAAAATCACGATGTGAGAAGATGCTGGATTTGCAGTCGCGGCACAAGCGAATGTCGACACTGATGGAGTGACCTCGTTCCAACTTCTCGGAGGCGGGAGCGGTGGGGTGCGCGACGTCTAGACCTACTTCGGAGGAGCACGCGGTCTGGGGATCGGCGCATACCACCCGCCCGCATACCCGACAATGATGCCTCCTGAACGTCCACGAAAAGTCCTGGTGGCAGAAGGGGCAGTTGGCCACTTTCCCGTCGTCTTCCCACGTCACCACTGATTGTTCGATCGCCTTCCGCTGGTTCCTCTGGCCTGCCAATACGGGAGACAGTAGAGTGCCCCCACCGCTCGCGCCCGCCTCTTCAGACGAGCTAGCGAGCAGTTGGGTCAGTTTCGTGAGTCTCTTTTCTAGCCTCGATGTCTCGAGCGTCTGTCTGTCGACTCTCTTCCTACGTATCGCCACAAAATCTTGGGTGTGGTCCCGGACCAGCCCGTTGCGGTCGTTATACCCTTCTCTCGACTTGTAACAGGTTTCGCACACCCTATACCAATGACCCCTCACAGGTTCGTGCGACGCCGACCTTGATAGCTTCATCTGGTACATGGTGTGTTCCTCGCAGAATAATCGCCCACATTGTCTACAATTGATGTTGCCGTTGACAGCCCCTAATCTCTTTCCACACGCGGGATCTGTGCACAGATCGCTTAGGCCCGGTCGTTGCCAATGTGATTTGGTGATTATATCGTCGGGATCTACGGGCCTTTCGGGGACCGGGGGTCTGGCCGTCCTCCCCACGGTAGGCGGCGGAGCCGGCGGCGATTCGTTAGACTCGAAGACTTCAAGACCCCGAAGAGTCTGGTTGATGAGCGAGAGTGGTTGGAATTTCTTTGCCCGGAGAACTTGCTTGTCTATCCAAGATCTGACTTCGTCCTGCTCGAGTTCGGGAAGCTCCTGGTGGGCGTCGTCGATGTGCCGGTTCAATTGAAGGAGGGTCAACATCTCGTCGTTGCAGATGGGACACACGAGCTTGGGTCCGGCTTGGCCGCTGCTGCTCGGTCCGCCCAGGCTTATGTTCGAGGTCACATCTTGGGAGAGGTCGCGTAGGGGGCTCGGAGCGCCAGGGGAGAAAGAAGCGGCGGGCGAGTCGATGGACAAGGTACTTTCGGACGGAGCAGACGGGCTCGCGGCTCGCTCTCTCTGGGCCAAAGCGGGAGCGGGGGGGGCGAGACCCTTCCCGCTACCCAAGATTCTCCCTCCGCCGAGTTTGCGACGGGACATACTGCAGGTCTTCGTCTTCTAGAACTCGGCCGGACGCGGTATCGGCAAAGACATGAGGGTGGTGTGATTCGCAAAGGGTGCCCCCGCCACCCCCGGAGTCTCGGGGACGCCCGCGCGGGTTACTCGAGCTATGAGAATTTGGAGTATCGTCCAGGGGACAAGTTTCCGCAACGGGCAAGTCGGGTCTGCCTATTAATTCCCAGAGAGGGGGCGATGTGGTGGCAGCTGGGAATGCGGTAGGCTCCTCTGTCTCCCGTGTCTCTCAGTTCGCAGTTGGGAATTCGCAGTAGTTTAGAGAGGAGAGGAAGCAGGCTGGCAGGAGATTGCGGCTGGATTGAATGAATGCTACGCAACTCCATCACCTTGGGTACCTCCTAGGAGGGTACCCAGGTACCTAAGGTAGGTAGCCTCCTAACCCACCCACCCTATGGTAGGTACATTATTGACCTGCTAATATACCACCCACCGGCTCGGCGGCTCAGCCGCGAACCTCCTTATTATGGTATCCTCATCCTCTTGTCGTCCCCCGGGCGCCCTGCCATGGTATTTTTGGATAGACGAGTGCTCCCACTAATGGGACGAGTACTTGCACTATAGGTACATCTCGGCGCTGACCGCGCACATGTGCGTCAATAGCAGCTTCATGTAATGTATCTGTAAGGTAGCGCACACCTATCACGAGATACTCCTAGGTGCCCGGGACAGGTACCTACCTCATAAGTGCACATCCCAATAGCACCTTATCTATAAAGTAGCGACCTGGAAATGACGTATACCAGGTAACTGAAGAGGTATTATACCTTACCTAAGCTGCCTTCGTGCCTAGGTACCTAGGTTATCGAGGCACCTAGGTATCGAGGCACCTATATTACGCTATATATTGCATATACGCAATTATAGTAGTAAGGCCGATAGGCAGGGCCAGCTCCTGCGAGGGCCGCGCCCCTGCTAACAACCCCAACTCCGTCTCCTCAGCTCACCTCTACTATCTACCTGGCTTGGATTCGTCGATCATCACCGTCGTAATTGCACTCAATGCCTCTCCTCTTCCGCCTGTTGACTTCCATGCTAGCTAGAGCTATGTACGGAAACGGCAGCGTGTATTTTTTTATGCTTCAATATGTGCATAACTCCCATTCATCGCATACACATATACATAAGTAGGTAGGTACCCACCTAAGGAGGCGGGCAAGTCGCGTTCCCCTCGGGAATCCGAACTTACATAAGATAGGTACCTCTGCCTCGTACATTTCCCCCTGCTCGCATTTCGGGAATATCCCATCCCATTGTGATCGCATTCTCTCCATCCGAGCCTCTCGATGCGCATCGGTTATCCCTCCTCCCGAGTCTCTCTGAGCTCGGCCTTCTCGCGAGATAGGTACACGCGACGCAGAAGTCGAGGTTTTACATGAAACGTACCAGAGACAAGGTCATGTCTTGATCGCAGCACTACTTCCTTTCTCCCGCCCCATCGTCCTCCCGCAATAAGAATGGCCCGCCCCAGCAATGACCAGTTCCCCAAAGTCCAAGGCGGAGGCAGCTTGATTCTGGCCTGGCAGATCAGGAATAAGAATGTGCTGGTGGTTGGCGGTGGTGATGTGAGTTCTTCGTACAACATGCCCCAATCTCTCGGGGCCCTTGGATCACCTTGCTGATGATTTCTGTGCCATCGACCGAATACAGGTCGCCGCTGGTCGCATCCTTAACGTTCTGAACGCCGATGCCAATGTCATCGTCGTGAGCCCATCCTCTGGTCTCAACCCCGAGGTACGCCACCGCATCGCCAACGACGAGGTCGTCCATCTCGACCGTGTCTTCCACCCCACAGACCTCGAGGCTTTGCCCGTCAGCAATGCGCCCCCAGACATGGTCCTCGTCGCAGTTGACGACCCCGCCGTCTCGACACAGATCTGGAAACTGTGCAAGGACCGTCGTATCCCCGCTAATATTGCTGACGTTCCCCCCGAATGCGATTTCTATTTTGGAAGCATGCACCGCGATGGTCCCTTACAGATCATGGTCAGCACCAACGGCAAGGGACCGAGGTTAGCTGCCAGCATCAGGAAGTGGATCGGAATCCAGCTGCCCAAGGGTGTGGGCAGTGCTGTCGAGAGGATAGGGGAACTGCGTGTCAAGTTGCGCCAGATAGCTCCTGGCCCCGAGGAGGGACCCAAAAGGATGCGTTGGATGGCCAAAGTCAGCGACGCCTATAGCTGGGACGAGATGTGTGGGCTCACTGACGAGGACATGGATAATCTCCTCACATTCTACGATGGGGATGAGGTGCCCCATCTTGACTTGCTAAAGGGTATGCGAGGCGGAAAGGCCCTTGAAGACATAGATATCTTCGACGGATCCTTCGGCTTCAGCGTTGTTGCCTAGTCTGTCCGAGCTGGGACCAGCGATCGAGACCCCAATTCGCCCTGATGGCGGCGCGATGATCGCCTGAGAGTCTTCCGGATACCATGTTCCATCGTACCTAAGCTTGACGCTATCCCAAGGGTCGCGCCGCACTCTCGAGCAAAGGCTTCATACTCAAAGATAATATCCAAATCGGACAATGCAGTCAGCTGACCTACTCCCTTCAAGTCATAAAATAGTTAAGGCGAGAGAGGCTAGGAATTATCTTGCCGGAACAACGTTACTTGTAATATCTAACGCACTACCCGACATGCAAACTGCATCGTCTTCCAAATAGGCGAGGGTGGGCTACTACTAGCATGCATCACCATTAAGCTTCTATTCATTAGCGCATACCCGTCATTCCTGTCGACTTGTTGAAACGGTTGAAAATTTCCCAAGGATTCCCGCTCTTCTCATCGACTATCGATGGATACGTGTAAAAGAGACTGTTGGGGATGGAACTCTTCAATTACAATTTACAGGCTAGATCTCTCAATAATAATTCAAGGCACCAATGCGTCGTACCCGTATCTTATTATTATTCGATATCCGCTCCTTAATTACAGGCCGTCGAAGATTTTAGAACCATTCGACATCCTGACATGAGATAAAGACCTCCCACTGCTGCTGGGGTCTTACAGGACTATCAAGATCACTCGCCGAAGTCTTTTATGGGTCAGCTTTTGTACAGAGATATTCCCCGTGTTCATGTTCAACCTGCCCGGATCCCCTGGGATGATAATACCATAGTACGTTTCGCTACCTGCCGGTCAATGAATGGCGTGGTTAGCAGTATAGAATAGTCAGTAAGATATGTCTTCAACATCGGGAGCCCATGTAGCCACCATACGTCGTGGGATGATTTGCCCTAGGATTCCTCCTCTACATGTAGCTAAGTAGGCGTCATAGGAAAGCAGCAAAACATATCCTTTGCCTTGTTGTCACAGTAAACATAGATGCCTACACTTCCTTATTTAATAATGTTGGCCGGAGACTTGTATTATAGCTTCCTACCCGACACTTGTTACTTCCCAGCTTAGAACTGCCTACCGTTCATGCCCAATATGCAGAATTTCCCTCTTGAAGAGGGCATGTAATACGCGCACTAGTTGGGAAATATCGAAGCCGCTAAGATAGGACTGACTGCACGACAAGAGTGCCGTATAATACTTGCTGCCTTGTCCCATACAAGCTTGTACGGCGTTCTTTAATTGTGGGCAAACATGAACCTCGGAGGAATTTATGTGAAATAGGTGCTACGATGGACAGCAGAACAAGATATCACGGCACAATTTCTTCTCATAGGACGCTGCTTGGGCCCTGCCGGGATTACTGCCTGCGCTGATAACAACGAAGATGTGTGGCTGGAGCTAGCAACCGGTGGCTACGAGGCATTTGCCTATTCCTCCGTGGCCTGAGGGGGAAGTCATTCGACGATGAAGCGCGGATGTCTTAAATGAATCGGATAGCACGCGTAAGCCCGTCGGGATATTCTATAAGAATTGTGTACAACTAGCACAGTATTCACCTCGCGGGAAATGTTGAGTGTAACAACCAGAGATTCCAGGATCCTGTTTCACCGTCTCTTCCTCAACTATCACCCATAAACCAACCACATACCCACACGTCAACTACGATGTTCATGTGGTGTTATAGTAAGAAACGCACATGCCCACCAATATAGGCCGGTGTGTTGACCGATGTTCCGAGCATGGGGGCTCCCTATAATATGCGCGTGGCGCACCGCGAATTAGCACATTCCTATTGGAGCGGTTGATGCAGTACAGAGGCGGATGTTGATCCTCACAGGGTTAGGACGTCACGGTGGGAGATGAAAGGAGTTTTGAGCTCTGGTGTAAGTACATGAAAGCGGAGCCTAACATCCTGTCTCTCGCCATCGGCGCGAATAGTCCAGATTGTTCGGCTCCGATTTATATATGCTCGTAGAAGTCCGGTTCGAGGTAAAAACCCGGTGGATACGACTCAAGTTACGGCTATTATCGAACTATCTGAACATGTCCTTCGTAATTGTAGAGGCCTGCGAGGCCGTATATTCAGCTGCATTTGCAAAGGTGGCCAAGCCTAGAGGGCTAGAGTAAACGCCCTGCTTTTACGTACGGCCGAATCTACTTCGTCTACCCGGGACCGGGACACGAGACGCCCATCGGGACTAGAGAGGAATAGGATCAGCTGGTGGTGATATAAACACTCTACGCAGACGCGAATTCGTCGGAGCTAGAGAACGATGCATACTCTTTCTTCTCCTCTTCCGCAGCCTGGCATGCTGTGACTTGGTCCAGGACATTGCGGTATTTCGCCTAGTTCGGCTGATACGGTGGGAAAGAGGCGGTCAAACGTTCCTCATGGTCGATGGCGCTCCGAATGGGACGACGATCAAAGCCACCCAGGACATCAGAGCAGCCAATACATTCCACGAGATCAGCCTGGCTACCACATATGTGAGGTGTGATGGTCAAATTTTAATGGACGGGGCTCATCTTTGACCTACTTAAGAGAGGGGTTCGAGACGTGGTGAGATAGCTTCGGCAAGATTCAACAGAAGAAGCAAAAAGACGCCCTCGCGGATCTATTTGGCTGAGCATTCTGAACTTGACCGGGGATTCCTTGCGAGGCCTCCTGTAGGTTGGGGCCGGCCGTGGCCGGTTGGTCTGGAGCTGTGCAGTTTATCAGAGTAAGCTCGTAACTGGAAGGGGTGAAAACGGAGTTTCAGAGCTAGGCAGCAAAGAGGCGTCGTTCTAAAGTTCTCCCTCCCTCCCACGCTGTCTGTTTTTTTTTCTCTTGCTTTCTCTTTTCTTTTCACCACAACACATGAACTTTGCAAAGGGAATATACCTACCTAACGTTGCTATACTAGTATCTGCGCCGCTGATATTCTGCATCCCACTAGTGTCTCTTGCGGAGACGAGCAACCCTAAGGTTGGGTGAATGTATCACGAATTTATCGAATTAGATGAGAACGGGAGGCGATGAGTACAGACTGTGTTTGAAATCAACGAGATCTCCTACCCGTCGCCCAAGATCAGGCAGTTCCTAGTCCCAGATCCAGTGACCCCTTGCCCAAGAGTCTAAGCGTCGGGTGCTTGCATGAATCGGAAACAAGCAGTATTAAGAAGCGCTCTCTCGCGATTATCCACATGTAGGTGTTCACTCGATGCCATCTTTTACCCCCGAGCCTCGAAGTGTACTACTTGTGGCTGCACCGGGGCAATGTGACGATGCGTCCGGGAACGGACGAGGACCCCACCGAGGTTACGGCCCATCCTGGAAAGAATCGAGAAAGCTTCATACGTCGATGACAGATATCTGACCAGCGCCTAAAATGAGGATGGTGAACACAAAACCCACGTGCGGCTAGGGTGCGGAAGACTGAGACACTGGGCTTATTGCGTCCCCCAAACAACGCTGGAGTGGTGAGATGACGACGGATGGCCTTCCGGCCCAGATCCATCAGCGTGGTAACTCATTCCAGACATCGTGTGGGCAACGAGTCGCCCCTCTTCCATCGACCCGATTCCCTTGCCTCGCGACACATGACGAACGAGTGCTACCGCTGCAGAAACCAGCCGTGCCCGCAACCTTCCGGGGAGAGGGGGGAAGCGGGGTGGGCTACTGATCAGACTTGCGCGAGCTCTCCCGCATCATCAGACCCCTGGGGGAGACGGCAAGCCGCATTTTCTTGCAATCGACGAGTCATTACAGGTTGTTGAGACCCAGCAGTCTGGTAACAGTCTCACGGAGGAGCCAACATCAGGTCACCGTCTAGCTTCGAATGCCGTGAACCCCTGGCCGAACGCCACTGAAGACTGAGAAGACCTTAACATTGCGTCTTTTCTTTCCCGGCAGCGTAGAGGATGCTGGGGGGGAGGAGGTAGGTAGTGCTGCAGCTTTCTACGCGCCCTCAATTAAACTGGGGCACGTAGTATCTACTCCCCGAGAGAAAACGCGGCCTCGGGGCCAAGCAGGATGGCCATTCATTGCTGGCTCGAGGCTCGGCTACATGCAGTATCTCGCGGCGGCGTACTGTGTAGGTTGGCAGGAAGAAACATCCTCTTGCCGTCACCGGCTGAGGCATCCTGGTCTACTCCTGAGCCGAACTGGCCTCCAAGTCCGGAACAACGAAAACGCCCGCGGGGGGGAGATCACCGTCACTATAGCCCGGTGATCACAGACGTGGTTAGACACGGGAGCAAGTCTGAGTCCGTGTGGGCACCACTAACCCCCTTACGATTTCCGTACCGTCCGTCTACAGCGATAGGGGATCTGGGTCCAGTAAGGTAGTAGCCCATTGTCATCACATCTAAGCACACGCCACCGTGATACCGATCTGTTCGCGATAGGCCGTCGGAGAGAGCCAAGGGGTCAAGGAAACACGAGCCCATCACCAGAGACAAAGGCTAAGCTTGTCTGTTGGTCGCACTGCAGGGTACGCACATCTGTTTTACGGACGTAAATCCTGATGAGGTCGGAGCACACGCATCGCTGCAGGATCGACGGACACACGGAGATGAGGTGCCCAGGAACGGATAGCTGCTTACGCCGTAAGCATCCTACCTGTTAAGCCCAACCTGAAGGCGGTTGGCTTTACGACCGAGCCGTCTCAGAGTAGAGGCCAGCACGGAGATCTCGGCTGGTTCAATAGGTAGCTCGTTCCGTGGTAACTATCGCGGCAGCAAGAAGGGGGCTGGAGGGGGAGAGCTGGCGAACTGCTGCGCCGGCATAGTGTGGTGGATCCACGTGGTTGGTTGGTATCTTCCCCTTTGACGGTGGCATCGATCTCCCCAACCTGATCGATCTGCGTACGACGGTAAACATGGGGAAGGACTGGGGGCCGAGATGGAACGGATAAAGCCACTGTGACAGAAAAAAACCCCCCCAGTCCTGCGGACGAGGGTTCAGCTCTCGGTATGTGGTAGGCCGTCTGATGAATAGAACCTTTCTAGTTAAGCTACCTCCGCGCGAAGCCTTCATACATCCGTAACAGCACGCAGACTTACGACCAAGATACCGAGATGGTTAGCTGCCTGCCCGCGCAGCAGCACCGCCCGGCACATGAGAAGCCAATGACATAGGCACTAAGGGTTAGGTATATAACGTGAAGGTACGGCTGTATAAATTCGGTTGAGAGACTCGACGCAGCCGTCGGGCGCCAAAACTCGACATTTATAAACCGGCTACCAAGGTCGTATGGGGGTTGTGTGTGGTGGCTTGGAACACCACGTTGTTGTAAGGATGTTAATAACGTGCAGGATGATGATCTCACGTCTCAGCACGGCGAGCTGCTGCAAGGGCACGACACGGCTTTGATCAGGTGTCGGGATACCTGGTCTCAACCTTGCGATGCTGCCGACACCGAAAACCACTTGGTAGTTAGAAATTGGCAGGGCTCTACCTCGCTTGCTGTGTCCCCTACCCGGCAAGCCCATCCTAGGAGTCTTACGAATATCACCAGATGCATCTTAACATAGGTACCCTAGGGAAGATGATCGAAAATAAGTAGGTAGGTACCTACCTAGCATCATGCCATACCTACTGATATTGCTGGGGACGGGGATGCCGCATGCCTTGTTCCTCTCGATATACGCCCCGAGGACACGGCTAAGGGATTGAGCACATGCACGACGAAAAGAAAAAGAAAAAGAAAAAGAACCGCAGCCTGATACTGCGGGTTTGTGGAGGTTCAGCACACCAGAACTGGAGTCTCGCATCGGCCAAGGATGCCAAAAACGGCTCGGCTGGTGCTACGGGGCGAACGAGCGATGTAAGTACATACACGCGTCGTCGAGCGGTCGGCTAGGCCTTCACGAATAAGGGAATAAGGGGGTGTTGGGTGTTATATGACAGCGGGAATTCCGTCCTGGCTATTCCTGGCTTCTGCTGTGTCTGTCGTACAACATATACAACATACGTAGCGTCGCGTTGCATTTCCCAAGCGCCAGGATCGGGGAAGCACCCAGGAGAAGGGCGTGCGCGAGATCTAGAGGAAGACAATATACCGCCGCATAATCTCTACGCACCTAAGCGTGTCCCTCGTCTGCTGTTACTGTTCTGGACCAAGCTGCTGTTGGCGATAAATGAGATGGGCGTGGTCAGTGTCGCCTGCTTACAGTACGTATGGACACACACACACACACACACGACACACACCCACGACACACGCACACGACACACATATACACACAACACACATACACACGCACGCACGCACGCATGCTCTCACACACGCTCACACACACGCTCTCCCTCTCGTCTGCACGCGTCTTCCCACACCAAGGGGACCTACGGGGGTAACGCGCGCGTGGAGCCAGCCGTCCCATCTTCTCCTCCTCCTCCTCCTCCTCCTCTCCTCTCCTCCCCTTCCCCCTCCCAATCTTCCTGAGCATGCGGACCATCGCAGCGCCGGTGTAACCCATCCTTGTTTTTTTGCTGACTTGACCTCGCGGACCTTACCCTCAGAGGCACACACACCTGCTGCGTGTAGCAGATCTTGTCGTGCGTCGTATCGGCCAATCTGCCATAGGTATTTCTGCGAACAAGCACACACACACACACCGCACACGCTCTCCCACTGACTCACCCACTGATTCACCCACGCGCACGCTCGAGTGCCGGCGAGAGGGATAGATCGTCCAGGCCTTCCCCTGGTCGGTCAAATAAGCTCTGAAACCCTGCCGGTACTATGGTTTGATCCATTCTCGGCCTGAGCCGAATGGTATGGTTCCTCGAGCTATATGTGGCTGAACTGCTGCACCCATGCATCGAGAGCAGAACATGTGAGCGGTAGTATTCCAGCAAAGCCTCCAATGGCAGGCTGGTATGCACGGGGGCGACACCCTTGCTCACGCGTATGAGATAGGTAAGTATGTAAATATGTATGTACATGTAGCCCTCCTATTCCCTACCCTACCCCCCTTCCCCCCCCTTCACTCCCCCCCGTCTCTCTCCCCCTCTTCGCCTTTTCGCTCTGACCCCACTGCAGGTCATCGGTCTCCCTTGTCAGGATCGGAAGAGGCTTACGTCAAATAGAGCGGCTGATCGCCGTCATGGGGCCGTCGTATTAGGCTTAAGCATGCCTACAGATTTGTTAACCTTTGCCGGATGGCTAGCCAATTATGTCTGCACTTCCCGAGAAGCCTCGAAAGGACGGAATGCTGCCGAAACAAAGGTGCGCAGTTATGTGCGGATAGATAGGCATAGGGCGCGAGGAGGCCGATCGGCGACAATGGACATAGTCTCTCCGGCTATTGTTTAATGGCGTTGGCCCTTACTTGAGCCGACTTATAATATGTACTATTCTGTCAGCTTATGTTTTAGCTCGATTCTTGGTCGATCGTCTATATGCGTAGGGATGTCTTGAATGTTTCGTGAACGAACCCCACTGTCCCGAGCCGCTGATATTATCTCTGCTATGCAGAAGATGACCGGTACAGCCATGCCTATCTCGGACGTCGATCGTGTGCGGGCCGTCCGCCGATTACTACTACTTCTGCATGATTACGACTTGGAGATCAACAGGTTGGGGCCCGCTGCATGGCGACACAGGTACGGTACCTCGTCCGTAACCTGGAATCCAGGAGACGGGGACGTGTCACCTACAAGGGACTCCCATCGCGAATCTGCAACAAACCCTCGGGTGGGACGGAATCATATATCGATTTCCGACGTCTAGGAACCTCAACTTTGACTACCAAGAGGAATACAGAGTGGAGACGAGAGGGGAGGGAGAAGGGGGAGGGGAGTACCCATGGAGAGAGAGAGAGAGAGAGACAGAGAGAACGAAAGAGAGAGAGACGGAGGGAGGCAGGGGAGGAGGCGAGGGAGAGACACCGAGAGACGTTCATAGCCGTCGAGGTTAGCATGTGCGGGAGATGGAACCAACCGGACTTTGGACCAGACTATTGGGACCCGACTCGCTGCTTCTTGCCGAGGTCGAGTACGACATAGGCTAACTACGGACTTTGAATCTAATAAAACGATACCGCACCGTGCAAGCTCTATTTAGGGAGAGAGGCGGGCGGTACCCCGAGGAGAGCTCCTCAAGACCTCGATCTACATGATCCGTCGCGTGTTCACCTCTGCCATTGCCCGCTCAGCAGCGACGACATGGGGAGGGGGAGGGGTGGGGTGGGCGCTGTCGTTAACCCGGCGCAAGGATCCTGCTATGGACATCATGGCGGCCTCCTGTACGACACTGGAGACGCACTCGCACAGCTCTGCACGGGTATGGCTAGCCGGTATGCTCCTACGGCGTCGGATCGAAATTCTCGTTGCCCTTGAGCTAACCATGTACGGCCGTACCGAAGATCTCCAGGAGAGGTGTGACGATCAGGTCGTGTGCGATGCCTAGCATTGATGAATCATGGAAAACAGGTGCGAGGGTGTCGCTAGAAGTATTGGGATGCTGTGAGTGCGGGATGTCTGTCGCTGTCGCCGTCATCGTCGCCGCCGGGCGGCCACTAAGTTCGTCGCTGCGGAGAGTTTGGAAGGTCGTTTCTCATGTCATATGACGACTCGCGACGGGTGTGGCCGACGCCATGGCGGGATTGAACAGAGGGGGGGACGGCGGTACGTTGTAGACCCGGGGCGGCTACCGAATTGACCTAAGGCCGCATGGATGCGTCTCGGCCTAGGTGCCTTGCCGCCGGGTTCGCCTTGGTTTTTAAGGGACGAGGGCTGGTAGACGCGAGACGACGAAATAAAACGCGTGGCCACTCGAGGCGCCAGGTGTTGAGCTGAACAGGGCTCGTTTGACGAGTAGCACATTGCAAGTTACAGTAAGACATGCGATGTGGTTATACAAGCTGTATTCGACGGCACCTGGTATGTAGATATGGCAATGGGGGGGAGGGGGGGGGGAAGACAGTAAGCCTTGCCTACGGAACGTCATGAGGAGGAGGAGACGCGAGGTGTAAAGTATTTCCCGTATACGTATAGACGTAGGTGTAGGTGTCGGTATCGTATGTGCGAGACCTCCTGGAGGCGCGCCGCATCATTAAGGCTCCTCTGACAGGGACCTCCCCCACCGCCAAGGGCGATCATCATACGAGAGCGCATGCGAATGTACTGATCGGAGGGATAGGGCAGCTGGTTAGACATACATACATACTTACCTACATACGGGCGTATGTATGTAGGCCCATCTGTATGTAGGTATGTAGGGAGATAAGGAGGTAGGTGTGTAAGTGAGTAATAATAGTATGTATGCACATACTGGATAGCCAGCAGATGCGTGCTCTGTGCCGTAAAGAGGCTCTTTGGGCCCGCCTTACTATTGCAGACATCCGTACATATACCGGCCAAGGGACTGGCCAATGGCATACAGACGGAGTCATTCACCGGCTCGGGTTCTATACCTATGCTCTTTCAGTGGACTCGAGGTCAGGACGGGAATGGGATGGCATACAGTGTATGAGTATTCTATTTTATTTACTTTCCTCTCGCGACCCGATTTCTGTGCCGTGGTAGAGGGCAATTGCACGGAACGAATGGCCCGACAGCGAATTTACGCCTATTATGCCATTCTCGAAGGGTGCCGTGGCGCGAACGCTGGTAAATTACCTACCTACGTGGCCCCCGGATCGACGCCTTACACGTCGTGATACCAAAACACTCGAGTATTGATACTCGGCGGCAGCCAATTTTATCGCACAGTATCGACAGCGGTGCCGCTGGCGGCCTGGTTTCGAATACTACGGACCTCTCCTATCGCCATTCAGTCCTGTTCTGTCAGGTCTTGCATCTCGTGTTGCCAGAGCTCCTGGACTGTAAATCAGAATAAAAGTATGTCTCTATCTGCAAGGGACGTACTGTATATGTGCGTGTAGACACGCATACACATACATATCCTAAATCCATACGTTGATCGTGTATATATATAATATAGAAGTGTACATATGAAGGTATGTAGGTATGTGTGTGGTGTCCGTATGTATGTATGTATGTGTGTAAATAGTTGGTTGCCCCAGCGGGTCCTTGGCCCGAGGGGGCGCGCTCACAGTCGACCCCCCCCCCTTAACCCCCCCCCCCAGATGACACCCGCGGCGCTGGTTGTTCGATATAATATCCAAGTGGCGGCTGGTGATGCTAATCCTTCTCGGTGATAATTTTGAGACGCTCCAGCAGACAACCTTTCCTCACCATGCATCTTGGGTGTCATTTGCCAGCCTCTCCTCGCAACGTCCTGCTCGCGACGGCTTGGTATGCTGCTCTTTTTTCTTTTTCCCTTTCCATCCACCCCCCTCCGAGGAGCAAATCAACTTCATTTGCAGAAATGCTTGAGAACATTCCTCACTGTAGGAGAAAGTGCCAAATGCCGTTAGAGGGGGGAAGATCTATCGTCCGCCCGCTAAGTCAACCATTTGCGTGCACGATTCTCGGAGGGAGTTCTTGGTTGGTATCTAGATCGGCAAGTCTAAGGGGAGAGAGGTTAGACCCCAAGTCCGTTGAGGCCGACAGGAATCTGTTTAGCTGGCCTGCCCGCCTGTACATATGTCCATACACACTTAAGAATGCGCATAGGGGCGCACGCCCGCACACGCCGACAACATAGGTATACCTACATACACTTGTATGTACACGTATACAATACCCACACCCTTGGATGTGTTCCTCCCCTGTCCGCTCGGCTCCCAAAGCAAGGGTTGAGGTTCCACTAGGGCGCGGCTGATGCCGTCGTCTATGTATCTATTTCCTCCCTCTTTGGGAACCTGCCGCTATGAGATGAGCAAATCTCGCCGAGTGGCACGCCTGCTCGTTGGCTCGGACAGATCTGCTACGAATTAGCAGTCCCTATAGGCGTAGTAGTAGTCCACGAGGGTAGGATGCAGCCCTCCCTCTACGACGTCTCGCAGGTCATCCCACCCTACCACACACACACACACACCTACCTACACACAAGATGTACCCCTACCTCGCCCACCCTCAGACCCCCCGGCCAGCCGGGGCATTCAGATGTTGTATATACCCCTCCAATTGGCCAGGTAAACATCACAGCTGCCTGTGCTGGTGGGAAATATGACGAGCCAATTATATCCCCGGTCATCCGCCCTTTTCTGGTAATAGCCCTGCTCAACCCTGCTCATCGATCTACGGAGCACTAGCACGCGCGTCCCATCTTGAGAGAGGTGCCAGACGGTAGTATTTTGTGCTAGACCCGGTCGAGCAAGAAGGGAGACATATTAATGATGATATTGGTCCGGGAGGAAAAAAAAAAAGAAACAGACCGCGAGCGTGGTCCATCTAATCCATCCTCTCACGTCATAATCTAACTATCTAACCTACCCGCTTCTATAGTTCGATCCCACAAGTGCTGAGAGGCCGCTCTCATCCGGTCCCGCTGCGGCGGTGCTGAACATCACGTCGAAGGCTAAACCGAACTACTAGAAATATACCTGCAGATGAACGTATTTCTTATGCATATGTCAGTTCACTTGCTCATCTCCCTACATGTATCCTACACGCCTGCAACTTTTCCGTATTCTGGCTGATCGATCTCCCGTTGGTGGACTGCCGAAGTCCTCGAATCTCAACCGATTTGACTAGCCCTGCCATCTGTTTCTATTCCGACTTATACAACGTTGTGCAGGTCTGCCTCCTACGTACTTACGCTGACACCGAATCGCACCATCTTTCACCTACACACCCCTCTCTCCTATATTGTGTAAGTCTACTTATCCCTGTCTTGTCATTCCCATCTGTTCGTTACCCTTTTCGTCTCGATCGCCCGCTAACCGTGCGCCTTTTCCTTTTTTTCACTTTTTTTTTTTTTTTTAAAAAAAAAACCCCCCTTTCTATTTGCATTGTTTTTCGACCCTTCTGGTAGTCCTACGTATAGGCCGTACGCGGCAGTACTCTCGTGGATAGCCCACCATCTCTCCCTTTCGACTGCTGTGGGGGATTCATACCCACACGCTCTACCTTAATAGTTAATTAAGCCTCTGGGCCACGACCCCATGGTCTCCTCCTCCCCTCCGATCACAGACCCTTGCATGATTTGCAGCCTTCAAGACATCAGAATCTCGCATTTCAACGGCCAGCATCCCTGTCAGTCCCTGCCCCTTCAACGCCCTATACCATGTATCAGTACTGCATTGCTGCCGCACACACACAAGCATCCGCCCGATTCAACATCACTTGCGCACGGAATCTAGAGAGAAGGGGAATGAATAGTAAGAGGTATCGGGGGGTATTTGGGTCGTAGAAGTCTGCAGCCGCCTCCCGGTGGCCAATCCTGAGAGGGGACCATAATTAAAATACGCCAGGAGAGGGAGACGAAGAGAGTGATAGGAAAAAGAAAAGAATAAATATTAAAAATAAAATAAAACAAAATAAGGCAGGGGAGAGGGAGGGGGGGAGGCATGGGATGAGCAACCGAGAAGGAAAAGGTACATCGATAGTATCCTGTGCAATGCAATGGTTTCTCGACCGGCCACAACAGAAATCTTGACTACAGCCCCAATTACTTACAACGGCGATCCGAGAAATGTGTCTCGCAAGTGGCTCTTCCCATTTCTTTATCTGCTCTTGTTCCCTTCGAACAACTTCCTCCCATCTTTACCTAGTTTATGGGACAGCGTCTCACACACACACGCGCACATACACTCTCACACCTTTACACACACCCACCCCTCAGAGACCTACTTTACCAAATCCCACTCGTTTGCTGACAAGGTCTCCGACAAGTCGTAGTTCCTTAGTCCGTTTACCTGTTCGTTGTTGGTGTTGGCAACTCGTGTCTTTTGGCTCAAGATACGACACGAACCACGCCGAACACGCGAACCTCCGCGGATACCTGCGTTCCTCTGATTGCAGCCCTTCCAACTCCTCCTCATGCGAACACGTTCAGGCAGGCTGCATACGAAGTTTAGTCTCCACTCTGAATGATTCTACGGGATTTGTGAGTTAAGAGCCCTTTGTCACTGGATCGTATCAAGTCATATCTCACTTTTCTACGCCGCAACCTGCCTACCATGGCCCCTAACGTTGGAGAGCAATAAGTGGTATTAATTGGCTAGCTACCTGGCTTTAGCCTCGCTCGTATGACCGACCTGGAGATAGTTGAAGCTGACACGCAACCAGACGAATACGATAGCCTAGGCGCCGCGTATCGTCCTTTGTCAGGCGGGGGGGAAGCTTGGGATAATTCCACCTTCCGAGACTCGACTCAGAATCAGTTTGCCAACGGCCCTTCTTTGCCCACTGGACGGTACGGGTCTCCTACCAATTCCCGCGAGCCGACTCGTCAAAGACCTGTAAGCGTGTCGGATAGGGAGAAAGGAGGCGGTTCCTTCTTAAGCCCTCTCACGAACAGGTTGTCGACAGTTCCCCAGAACTCCTAGCTAGGATTCAAAAGCTTTCAGCTCCAGGAACGGTCTGTTTCCGCTTTGCCAACCAACAGCTAATCCTCCTGATTTCTTCTGGCGGAACGCTCTTGGATGTTTGTTTCATCGGCCCTGTCACCAGAGAGGCGTCCGTCGAATATCAACCCCAAAGATTCTGCAGTACATAAGACAGAGGGAGTGCGAGAGTCTAACCAACAAGAACGATTGGTAGCGAACGGGGTGGCACTCTCGTAAGGTATCACATAGGGCATCTAGGGGGGAGAGTGCTCTCGGAGGGTCTGTACAGGCAGGACCCCTAATTTTCCTCCAACATAGGTCCCGAAACAGGCGTTCGTTTCGGTGCGAAAACCCCTTTCCACACCATCCCAGACCGACTAAAATCAGACAGCTTGATGTCGGCTGTCAAGTTTGAGTATCCAAGCTACAAGCTGTTCGAGGTGAGTCAAGCGGGGCGCGGAGCATCGACGGGAATCCGACCAGGAGAGAAACCGGCAATCTAGTCCCGCGATATGTATGCTAACGTACAACCGCAGCCTCAATATCACTCTCAGAGGCCAATCATCGTCGACGCTGACGCGCTCGAATCCCCCGAGACGGTGATTCTCAGGTACGAGGAAGAGGCAGCTGCTAGAGCGAACGGAGGAGACCTTCGTGGGGATTCCCCGCCTGGTCTCCTGGCTACATCGGCATATTCGAAGCCCCAACCGCCCCCGATGCATGGTAAGCATTCTAAATATACATACGCGTGTGTGATCTCGACAAGGCGCGAGACGCGAGGGAGGCCGCAGAGTGAGTACAGGAGAAGAGAGAAACGATGAGTCTAATCGTTGGCCGAACACTAGCATTTGATTCACCGAGATCGTATCAAGACCCTCAGTACCAATACTCCGCCCAACAGTTTGCGGCTCAGCAATCCGAGAATGCCGCTGCGCAACTCAACCAGATGGCCTTCGCGGCTAATGGGTCGGCGAGCCCGTATATGGCACCGGTCGTGGCCACGGTGATATCGTACCAACCAACATCCGGCCTCTTCGGAACGAAAGTTTTGGTTAAAATCTCAGCTCCGTACGATCTGATCGCCGTCACGGGTCACTTTTTCCTGGCCTTCGGTTCCCACAAGAGCCCGGCACACGCTATTAGGGACACCGGTGACGCGAGCGGATTCGGCTACGCCGTCAGCGGCGAGGCGCCGCACCTCGAAGACACGAGGAGTCCCAGCCCCAGCGTGCCTTTATCACTGCTGATCGAAAACGCGAACGGGCAGACTTTGGCGACGATTGACGTCGGCACGTTCACATATCATGACACTGCGGCTGGGACGGCGGATGGTCCGCCTGAGAGCATCACGCGGGCCAAGGGGGGGTCGAGGTCACCTGAGCAGAGGCAGAGCCCTCCAAAGCAGGAGGACTCGGACCAGTTGAACGCGGACGCGGCTACAAATACATACGGCTACGCTCCCGCCGCGCACCAGGAGGTTTCATCGAACTATGACACCGGCTACCCAAATAACGACAGCATGATAGGAACTTATCACCGTTCGTCCTACGCGGTCGACTATCCCCGGCCTCTGCCGCCCCCGCTCAAGACCCCTTCATGGAGCCCTTACAGCCACTCCCTCTCGGCGGCGCGGAGCCCTGCGTCGTCGATCAATCACACGACGATTACTAGATCTAACAGTATCACTACGCTACCGGTCCCGACATCCAGCGCGCCGCAGCTGATCCGAACCAGCACCCTGCAGGCCTCCGGGTCGTCTGCTGGCGGGCAGTTCAACCCCTACGCGCTCTACTCGACGAAGGCGGTCTTGAAGATTAATGGCGATCTCGAGTCTATGGTGTCGGGGTGGACGCAGGAGGAGTGGGAGAACCGGAGACGGATCGTCATGTTCAGCAAGAAACAGCAGGGTTCGACACTGTCGACGTCGTTCAAGCCCGTAACCGTCAACGAGCGACCGCCCAATAGCATCTGCATAAGCTGCATCTACTGGCTCGAGAAGGACGAGTGTTTCGTCACGAGCGTCGACACCATCTCGCTGTTGGAGCAGCTTGTTGCCGCGCCGGGCCGATTTACGGTAGAAGAGAAGAACCGGATCCGACGAAACCTGGAGGGTTTCCGCCCCCTGACCGTCAGTAAGGCCAAGCCTGACAGCGAGGAGTTCTTCAAAGTTATAATGGGGTTTCCGAATCCGAAGCCGCGTAATATTGAGAAGGATGTCAAAGTGTTTCCCTGGAAGATTCTGGGCCCGGCGCTCAAGAAGATCATATCCAAATATGTGCGTTTTGTCTCTCTCGGCCTCCCCCCCCCACTCCCTTCTCCCCACTCCCTCGTCTCTTCTCTGCTATCGACGCAACCCACAAGATTCATCCCCAACACACACGCGCCAACTCCCAACGCGTGCTGGCTAGCTAACATCTGAATCTAGTCTGCATCTCCTTCATCGACATTACCCCCGGGCCCGGGCCCTGCCTTGCTCCCCCCGGTCAGCAGCACGAGCCCAGGCCTGTACGGCCCACCGCACACGCCTACCGTACCCGACAGCAGCTATTCCCACCACGACTCTCACTCGATGCCCTCGCCACGCTCCTTGTCGGGAGGGGGTCCGCCGGCATGGGGGGCGTATCCCGGCCGCACGATCTCGCCGGGGCTCAAGTCCCACTCGCCCCAAGGCATCCAGATTCCCAGCCTGCCGGCCTCGTACCGACATGCAGATACGAGACAGCAGCCGCAGCAACACCTGCCCGCGCCACCTGGCTACGGCCTGCCATCCCAAGCCCCGCGCTGGGACCCGACGGCGGGCGCGGCCAGCTACGGCGACGCGTCGACGGCCACCCCCAGCTACACGACAAGTCACCACCATCACCCCAATCATGTGTACGGCACTGGCACGTACGGTGATGTCAGTCACCGGGAGTAGCGGCATGACTGGCCAGGGGAGCATGGGGGGAGAAGGCGGGTGGGACGCCCGGCGCGCGCGCGCGCACGCGTGTGTGTCGCGGCAGCCTAAGCGTGACGGTCAGCCATCCACCGTCAAGAGACCGAAGAAGAAGATAAGGGTTGGCTAATAACGCGGAAACCGAGCTGGGGCATCCGTACCATACCACAGCCCAAAGCAAAACCGCCTTCTCGCCACCCGCCTGGCGCTGTCGGTTCCCACTACATCAGTACGAGGTGAAACGGGACACGATCTGCACCACCCTGGGTTCTTTTCCTCCCCGAAGATTGTATGCGTATCTGAGTGGGTGTGGAGGGTGGTGCGTGCGTCGAGGTGTGGCTCGCGATATGAGCCATCTCCAGCTCGGGAAGAGTAGGGGAGTATGCCAGTATGCCAGGTTTACAAAGGCTTACAGGGCGGTAAAGGGAGGGGGATGAAAAGAAGCCTTTGCGATGAGATGGTGTGAATGTGTTTACGGGTGCATTTTTAGGTGTGTGGGTGGGGGGAGGGGCAGCGTAAGGAGGAGGGGGGGGAACGACTAAGAGGAAAGGGGGGCAGACCAGGAAGAGAAAGGGGGGGGAGGGTGGAAGTGAGGGTGGGGGAAAATCTAGCTAAGGTCAGCTGTTGTGGCGCCCACCAATCATGAAGCTATCCGGGACTCCAACTTGGTTGCACGATGCAAAGAACCTCCCCTGGTCATCTCCCGGAATCCTATCTACTTTCTGGATTCGTTTGGGCCATGGGGACGGCCACATCCTCGAAGACCTGCTCTCGTTATATTACATGGACATGGACCAGCACGTACCTATTACCTCTTGACCACCACCACCACCACCACCACCACCACCACCACCATCATCGCCAACATCACCACCACCACCATCCGTCACCACCATCACCACCGCCATCGTCCCCACCCCTCCCCTCCCCGTCTCCCCTTCTCCCCCTCTCTCTTCTCCAAACCCATCCGCCACCACGCCGAGCGTGTTCGACCCACTGTGGCTAACATCGCCATCGCGTCTCATCTCCTCCCGTGTCGAGATCGGGTAGTTTTCACAGTCATGATCGACCCTGCATGCCCAGCCCGCCATGCTTGATTGGTCACAGGCTCGTCGACTCGCAGATACATCTCCATGTGGGTTGCATGGATGATGTGGATGTCCGCCTGTGTGTCTGCCGGGTCCGCGCCGCAGCCGCTGCATGAAGCATACAATCCGCATCACGCCGTACCGTACTCGAGCGCGAGCAGATTGCTGTTGACACCTATTTTTATTCCTGCTTGCACCCCTTCCCTCCCCGGCCCGCCTCGGGTGCCCACCTTTTCGATGCATCGAAACTCGATGTTTGGACGGGCTCGTATCATACACCACACCTACTGGAATAGCTTGACGGTTTCAAGACGGCGGCCTGCTCTCCCCAGAGCAATCTCTTTTCCTGCCTGGCCAGGTGATACACCCACAATGCATATACATGTAACCCCATGAGCAGGCTTTGGCCGCACTGGCACGATCGATCAACCGGGCTCCGCCAAGGTCGCTGGTCTCCATACCCTCCCTGCCTGCCCCGTGGAGATAACGGTCACGAACTATCCGGCACTCCCACAGACAGCCCTGGCCCTCACCGAAATGCTCAGTGCGATGATACCCGGGTACCTATCTTGCGAGGCCGATCGATCGTCAGTGGTGAGCAAACGCTGGCGAGCGAAGACGACCGCCTACTCCGCATCCGACAATATCCTCCCATTTCCCTCTTCGTAACCCTGCATCAACCGGAGGCCCAACCCTCGGGCCCGCTGTATACTAGCGACCTACCCTGCCATGCCCTTCCCACCACCGCCCTCTCTCTCCGCCTGGCCTGGCCGTCCTATGCGGGACTGCCCTCCCTCGCAGGAAACGGTCTGATGAGGTCCTCAGGCTCCATTCGCTTCTCCCGCTTTACCCTATGACCTTCATACTCGTCACGAAACACGGCAATGTACGGCTTACCTTATTTCCTTGATGCATTCGGCGCACTGGGCGTTCTCACCATTTCGGTTGGCTTACCACACCAAGGCAATCCGGCGTCTGTTACCATGGTTGTTATTCACTTGGCGACGATTGGAGATCTGATTCCGAACATCATACTCGACAGGCTAAACGATAGGACTTGAATGCTAGCTAGGGAGGGGCACATGTGGCAGATTTCCTGGTCTTGTTGATTTCGGCATTGTCTTTTTTTTATTTTCTTATCTGACGACTTTCTGTACAGGCGCGCAGACGCTCAACTTCTTGTCCTATTCCCTCTCGCACAGTCTTTCCTCTACGTATTCTTTGCGGTCTTCTCTCTGTAGTTGTCACGTTTTCTTAGCAAGCTTGAGCAATCCTGTGCTCTGAAGGGAGTTCACGACGGGTAAATGGGAACAAGGATCATATGAGCGGGTCGGGAGAGAGGATATTCGTGCATAGGGATAGGAGGTGGAAGGCTCACGATGTAGCGGAGGGTTCTCGGCTTGCCCCCGTACGGCCTATTGTAGCGGTCGGACTATTTTCTCTAGGAACATTTTATACCCAGACTCCCTCGTTATTTCTGTAACTTTACCTAACGTCTCTCTACTATCTCCCTGTTTTCTCTCTATCCTGTTTTCCCTTGCTAGAGTGTTATCTCGAAACGTGAAATGCGTTCCGTCTGGGTTTATCTAATGGAAAGGTGCATTGGAACAAGGGCATCACGACTGGCAGATTCTGGATAGCAAGCAATATACAGGTTGTAAAGTAACACGAGAATGGCGAAGAGCTTTATCTTTATTTCGAAAACCGAAGGCCAGAATTCACATAGACCTCCGGCAGGAAGCGTCCGAGGGGATAATTCGGGGACCTGCCAAGTTTTCCACTACCACCCGGCTTTTCATCGGGTCGTTACAACTAAACATCAGCTGCAAGTCTCAAAGGACGTGAAATAAGATGCTTGGCATTCTTCTGCTTGATGATGAGCGTTTCTAGACTTTCTCTACGCACTCTCATTGTGAGGTGGTAACTCGTCGTCTTGGACTAAGAGATGTCCTGCGATATCTGTGCCTTAGTTTACGTCCTTCCGCCTTACTCTCCAAACGACTACTTTCCGAGGTGGATAGTTCATATTAGATGGTACCGACAACTTAGAGAAGTTACGCCAAATCTCTCATCATATCTAGCAACCTTTGCCATCTATCATCGCCCTCCCACGACTCTTTGGCTTTCCCCATGACACTTCTCACCGCACTTCTCGCCTTGCCCTTCCATCGGCTGCCAATGCTATCGACACGAGGTCCGTAATTCTCGTATGCCGCGACCAATTCTGATGTCCTTTGTACGACGGAATCCCATCCATTTTCGTCGACTAACCAGTTTCTTTGCTGACCCTGGGCACTGGACGCGGACAACTGGATCCCGACCCCCCCGACAGCCGTTCTCCATGCCTTCTCGGCTGCCTCTAATGCCCCCGTCCAATCTCTCTTCCATGCCCGAAGCCGGCATACCAGGGACCAGCATGCCGACTGGGTCGTAATAAGGGGTACGATGTCATCCTCGAATAGCGAAACGACTTTTCTCTCGATGCTACCCCTTGAGGGTTCGTAGATATCCGTCTCATCCTCACCCTTGGGGACAGGCGTTTGGGTTACCTCCCTAATGAGAAGGGTTAGGATGTCTAGGTCCAACGCTTCTTCCGTCCCGCGAATGCGGATAACGTTCCTCAAGCCGAGGACCACATCTTCCAGGTTTGGACTGGGTGTCAGACTCGCGGCGAGGGTGACTACATTGTCCCAAATTCTCCAGTTCGAGTTGGCGAGCGTCGCCCCCCGCTTGAAGGCTGCCAGAGAGTCACGCAATAGTTCGCGAGTAGGCCTGCCCGTGTCTTCCGCTCGTTCTCCAGCGTTCGTGCCCCAGGAGTTCCCGGAAGTACCGTTTCTGACCAGGTCTTGATTTTCTTCGACAGCCTGCCGATACCAGCTCAGAAGGGCGCTTCCAAGATTGTTCCACGTACGCGCGTCCTCGCCCCCGGAAGCGCTATTTGCCGCCGAAATTGCTCTCTGGAATGCCTCGGCCGCGTCGCCATAATGCCCTAGACGCAGCTCGATATCACCTAATCGACCCCACATGTCCAGGCTTAATCTATTCACACTTACCGCGAGCGCATAGGCGTCTCGGGCTTGACTCCACTCTTGTTTCCGTAGGTGAAGCTCTCCGAGGGACCGCTGCGCCCTCGAGAAGCGCTGTTTCGAGATGTTCCAGGCTCGATGGTAATGCTGAGGGTCATTTTCGATGTCGCCTAGTATACAGAATAATCGTGGGGCGTTAGGAGGTGGAGGCGAACGTTCCGGGCCGTAGAAATCAGCGACTTTTAGGGTTGACACGTCAAATTCCGCGTCGTCATCCAGGTCGCTAGCTTCGGACCCCGGAGGCCCTGCAGCACTGGGTGTACGGTGGAACAGCCTCCATCGTATGACGGCTCGAGCTTTGTCTTCGCCTCTGCTTCCTCGACCATTCGGATCCTCAGCCCCTGTGGTGGTACCAGCTAGGCAGAGGGCAACTTCGGCCCAGAGACGCAGCCGTTTAAATATTTCGAGGGCGGATACAAGAGACCCGACCGTGGTCCAGGCGTGGGCGAGTTCCGACTCGAGATGCCAACGTGGAGGGCATGACAAAGCATTAACATACCGCAACCTCTCTGACGCGGCTGCGGACTCGGTAGGTTTCGAGGCTGGGAAGAATGATACTGGATTTTGAGTGCTAGTAGAGCAATCGGTCTCGCGCGTTATTCGGACAACAGGGGCGTGATTGGACCCGATCACGGAGGCATCATCGTCACCGATGCCGTTTCTGGATTGGCCAGCTTCTCCTTGCGTATCGGCGATCACTTGGTCCACCACGGCTTGCATCTGTAGAACCCCTCGTTCGACTGTCCGGCTTCTGCTCAACTCTATCCGTGACCTTACGAGCAGAGCTTGGGTATAGATTTGCCAATTTGTCGATTTGTCGTCGATAACTCGGAGAGCGAACGGGAGAATTTCTTCCAAAGTTAAAGAGTCCGTCGGGGAGAAGGTGTCTCTGAGGGTCGCTTCGGTTAGAAGTATAATATGGTCCTCTGGTCGTAGTTGTGGCTGGTTCTGCGGATCGACGTCTTGTAGCTCCGGAGGAAGAGACGACGGCAGATCAACCGGATGGTTGCGGTGGAAATCAATTTTTTCTAACAACGTATCGTCGTTCAACGGGAGTGCGACTGGTGCTACGCTAGAACCACGTTTTTGGCTAGGCGACGCAGGGTTGATGGTGAGGCTCTTGGCGAGGACCACGAGTTGGCTGACGTCCTTTTCTTGAAACCTGGTTCGCTTACCCAGAGCGCCAGATAGGGCATACGAGAATTCGCTGGTCGTTGTGGCCGACCGTAAGGCATCCCGGGCCTTCTTGTCGTCGCCCAGGAGGATATGGCAAGCCGCTTTCTCCAAGAGAAATTGGATGCGCGATTCCCGCGGCCACAGAGGGCCCGAGATTCCAGTCGCTCGAGCTGGTGCAAGGACAGAAGACTCTGCTTCGCGCAAGCTGATCTCGATGGTTTCCTGGAGCGTGGGCACATCGGTCCAGCGACCACTCTTCGTGAACAGGGATCCTGACCCCAACGACGGTTGGGTAATGAGCTTATAATGCCAAAGGTGGATCCTCAGACGAGTCCAGGAGAGGTGCAGAGGGAGCGAGTGTGGCGAGCTTGACGGGGCTTCCGGCAGCTGGGTGCGTAATACGAGGCCGGACGTGAAGATGAAGCGGGACAAGCAGAAGAGCTCAATACGCGGGATGTACGGATAGGGTGAAACGCCATCTACGTTGAGCGACTGAAGGCAAAGATTTCGAAAAAAGAGCATGCGACCCCCTCGACGAGTGGTTGTTGGCACGGCCGCAGGCTCGCTGCAAGTATCGGCCTGCTCGAGAGCCGAAAGGAATACAGTTTCAAATGCCTCGGGATTATCGAGTACGGGCCCGGCGACGTTTGTCTGCAAGAAAGCGCTTAGAGATGCTAAGCCTAGGCGGATTGCATGCGTGACGCCGAGGGGCTCTTCGCTGTGTAGGTCCCTCGTAACGCTTCGGCCAGCCCCATTCTGGGATGGTTGCGCGACCGTGTATCTGACGAATTGCGTCACCACGCGCCGGGACGGTTCGCCGTGGAAGACGTCGAGAAAACGCGAGTTTTCAAGGGACTTCTCGACGGAAATAAGTTGGGACGGAGGCCAATCTTGCTCAGCCATGCCGAAGCCACCGGATCGAGAGGTAGTAATAGTGTCAAGATGCCGAGTGGCATAGATGTGTGTGCTTACGTAGGTGAATGGCAAGATCGATGGGTGGAAGGCCAATGCACCAGGACAGGGACCAGGAACACGAAGCTACCGGTGATGAGATCGGTCACCAGCGGCATGGCGATAGGAAGGTGGACGAGGAGAAGAGGCATGGATGACTATAGGAAGTAAAGGATGGACGATGACCATCAGTCACGAAGGATTGGAAGCCCAATCGATAATGGTGGGGGAGGGGCTACGCCAACCCACCTTGCCTCTCCACTTTTTTTCATTTTAAAAAAAGGGATATTGTCAAAAAGTTGGTCGTTAATTTTGAATTCTTCTCTCTAAATCCGAGCATAAAAATTTTTTCCGTAAACAAAAAACTTCAAGGACGGAGGGACAGAGGCGGGGGAGTCGGTGGCGTTTAAATTGTGGCTTCAACCCCCCCTCCCTCTGTAGTTTGGCAGCCTCGCACTCCTAAGCATGTAGGTAGATTAGTAATGGCTATGCACTAGATAATGTGACTTGAATTCCATACTTCCTAACCTACTTACAGCCCCGTCGTCCTACTTCTCAACATGTTAGGAGTACGTAGCTGTCCGTGTCTCGACGCGCGATCTCATCATCGCCCGGGGACTCTTGCTCACAACATCGAGGGCGGAGGGGTCGATTCCACCCCCTTTACTTACATACTGCTACCAGTTAGTTTAGAGCGCACCGGGCTTGCTCAACTGCTGTTGCCGTTTGGAGACGCCCGTTGTAATCCATCGTGGCTGATTGACAGTTGCGCGCAGTATCTAGAGCGAATACAGCAACTACTACACTGGAGCTTTCGATACCTTCATAGTCCCTTCTTCTCACGGACGGATGCGCCTGTGTTGGCACCCCCAATTTACGAGGGAGGCCTTCATTTCTTCCCCTTCTTGCGTCCTGGCACTACCTTGAAGCCAGCGCCCTGAATCGAGCTGGCGTCATTACCAGGCTCTTTGTGGTTGCTCTTCTTAGCAACCTCGTTCCACCCCCCTGCTGTACTCGACTGCGCCTCGCTCGATGGACTCTTGGCAGGCTGCTTCTCCACGACGCCCTTGTCTGCCAGCTTCTTGCGGCGGATGAACTCCTCCGCAAAGTGGCGTCCGTCCATCGTCTTCGAATTGGCGTAGATGGCGTCCGAAATGAGATCGCCGACGAGGGGAAATCCTATCAGCGTGTTGGCAAAGGCCTCAACTGGTCATATCGCTGTTAGCAACGCACCCACCGACTACCGTTATTTGCCAAATCGCGCCACCCTGTTGATTGCTTGGCATTGGAACTTACTGTCAGTAACACCCGTAATTCCTTTGGCCAGCTGGCTGTGGAGCCACTTCGTGAATTCCTCCATGGCTTCCGTGTGTGTGGGCCCGCTTGTCGAACCTGTGGGCTTCCCTGCTGGTCGCGGCGGGACGGCCGCTGAGGTGGGCTGCGACTTTGAGCTCGCAGAGCTGGCGGCTCGCCCCTGAGAAGCTGGTCCGGTTGGCACTTTCACCTTACCACCTGCCCCTACGGTAGCCCATCCCGAGGTGCTGGGGCCGGGCGCCGGATTGGGCACGGGTATGGCGTTAGGCTTGCTGGCAAGATCGGCATATCGCTTTCCGCTGCCGGACGTGGCGGGGCCAGTCTGATGGGTTATTTCCTTGGCCTTCTGCTTCCGTGCCTCCTCTTCGCGTTGGATATCGGCTAACGTTTTCTTCTTGTCTGTCGCTTGTGCTTGGGAGGCGTGGCCAGGCGCTGGTGTCTTTCCCGGGGTCGGCTTGGACCAGGGACTGTTTGTTGCTGCGGGAGTAACGGGCGACGCGGTCCCCCAGGTGCTAGTCATGGGTAGGCCAGGGGCAACAGCTGCAGCTTTCTCGCGTTCTCGGGCGGTTTCCTGTTCCAACAGGATACGGCGGGCAAGAGCAGCGGCCTCCTCGGCCTTGGCCGCTTTGAGAGCTTCCGCCTGCTGGATTTCCTTGAGGCTGGGTCCTTTGTGTGATTCTAATCCACCGTCTTTGGCCCACGGGGCGAGAGGCGGAGGCTGCGTAGCGTTGGATGATGCCATATCGGGCGTACCGGATCGGGAGCTCGTTGCGTATTGCTCTGGCAAGTTAGATTTGACGCGTTGAGGGGCAGGGGCGGGCAAAGGAGTGGCAGAAGGAGGTGGAAAAGGGAGGGGGAGCCCGGTGGGTTTTCCTGTTTGTGGTTGTGCTTGCTGGAATTGCTTAGCCAGGGATGTAGATTGATCTCCTTCGGCGTGGCGTAAGGTGGTTTCTGCGCTCGGGGACGATTCCTTATCAGGCCCCGACTCAGACGAGGGTACTTGTGGGGTTGGTTTAATCTGTGGGTGCTCGCGTATCGGGGAGGCATGCCGCTCGTTCAATTCCACCTCATGCTGAGCTCTGAGCTTTTCAAATTCTTGCAGACGCCCCCGAAAGCCTTCTGTATCTTCGACTAGTTCGCTGGAGCTGGGTAGCTGACCGCGGACGCTCGTTTCGGAGCCTGGGACGCCAATGGATTGTTGAGAGTGGTTGGCTCCACCAACCGCCCCTGAGTTGTGGAGGCCGGCCAACATCTGGCGTTCTGGGCCTGATAGACGCGCGAGCTCGTCTTCCCTAAACATGTCGAGCCCCTGCCCAGAACCACCAGATACGGCGGCTGGGTGGGCAGCCGGAGCCTCGAAAAAGGAACCCGCGGCCCCGATGGCGCCAATATGAGGCTGCGGCGGCATGTTGATGGCGGGCGACGTGATGCTACCGAAGCTCGGCTGGCTCTGTAGGCTATGAGCGCTAGAATGGTGGTGAAGTCCAGGCACAGCAGGCATGGGTACTCTGCCGATCGACTGCTGGGTAGCGTAAAATTCGCGGTGACGGGCCATGAGGTACTGTTCTTCTTGCTTACGTCGCTCAAGATTGTTCTGCTCCTCGGCAGTCAACGTCCTCCCGAAGCTAGGGAAGGCACCGATGAGAGGAGGCTGGATGACTCCGCTAGAGTTAGCAGAGAACGGGCCGGTTTGCGATGGCGGCCCGTGAGGTATGCCGATTTGGGGGACAAGAAATGGCTCGCGAGAATTTCCAATTCGTCGGATTAGCTGCCCCAGCGGCTCGAATTCCGAGTCTTCTAGCTTCTTTACCCGGAGATCAGGGGTGAAGAAATTTGCCTTGTACCAATCATTCATCTCTAACCCGGTGAAAGGACCCTGTTGGTGGCCTTGCGGGTCGAGATAGACCCATCTCATCCGATCGGGCATCACCATAGTACGGGACTGGACTGAGGGAAGATCGGACGTCTGATTGGCTGAGAACGACGGTGTACCATTTGGGGCTGTGAAGGCTGGGCCGTGAGGAGCAATCGAGGTACTGGTGTGCAAAGATTCAGAGCTCCCTGGCGCCCGAGCGGGTTCTGGTTGTGTAAACAAGTCGAAAACCCCCCGGGTTGCTCGCATAGGGCTATCCGTTTCGCGGGCATGATCGCCGGGAGCAGTGCGGCCGATGGCGCCCAAAGGGTTAGGTTGACGAAGATCCGGAACTGAGTCGCCCAAGTTCTCGCTCTCTTGCGACTGCATTTGCGCCTGCATAGCTGGCGGGAACAGTGATCCGAGCTTACTAGCGCGACCAAAGGATCCCGACCCGCCGAACCCGGTCGTGCTTCCGGGCCCAAATACTCCGCCAAGATTGCCGAGGTTCGGGGATTGGAGATCGCCAACGGGGCCAAACAGTGAGCCACCAAATCCTGTAAAGGGAGCCCGCTCGCGGTCCGGAGTATTTGACGACGGCCAGCTAGTCAAGTTGCCTAACGGCGGGTAGGGCTTCGCACCGACGCTGGATGTCTGGCTGCGATCGCTTCCATCAAAAGCTGCGTGAGCAAAAGGGCGTGGGAGGCCACTATAGCCGGCAGGATGATCCGGGGGATTTCCTGAGCCGTGCTGCCTGTCTCCGGCATCCTCCTGCTCGCCGCGCTCACCAGGCGGGCTCCGGTAAGGGTTTGTCTCAGACGGGCTCAAAGGGGATTGATCATGCTCTGGATGCGGGCCCAAGTTGAGGCTAGACATCCCGAAGTCTCCGGTCGTGCCCTTTACCGGAGTGTCGTACGATGCATGCGGAAGCGAATGTGACATCGGGGGAGGGCTTGTGTCTTGGGCGCCTCCAAGCACTGCACTGCCCGAGATATTGTCTTCCCCAAAAGGATCGGTGTCGGTGCGCTGTCTAGGACGCCACGAGCGGCTGGGATCCGGTGCAACGCCCTCGTTCGGCTTGAGACCGATACTATCAGAGCTTTCTTTGGGGAGTAGATGAGCCAAGCGGCTTTCGCCACGTGTATTGGCCGCCCGCTTCTCCCCGATAGCAGAACCAGGAAGCGCAAAGTGCCCGAAACTGCCTAGGTTCGGTAGAGCACCTGCGTTTGACGGCTGCCACGGAGATGTTCCACCAAATCCGGGGCCGCCCGGGTTCGAGTTGTTACGCATCAAACCGCCGAATGACAAAGACTTGGTAGCGACGTCGCGCGGGCCCGCATCTTCCTCAGGCTCCTCAAAAGTAGAATCTTTGGTGGGATCCGTGTTCTTGCGGCCGAACCAGGACGACTCGTCTCGAGAGGGCCGCGTCGCAGACGTCGGAGAAATCAAGCCACCACCGCCAGAATATGGATTTGTATCCGTGGTTTCGCGTCTTCTTGTACCTGGTCTTGAGGCGGCCGAGGGCGAAACTAGTCCGAAGTTACCAACGCCTCCGTGAGAGAGGGAAGTCTTCCGGCCGTTTAATCCTGCGCTCGAATGATTTCCATCCTTATTCTGAACTAAGGGTTTCATGGCCGAGTTGACGTCAGAGGCGAACAACTGGTTCCAGCCAGGTCAGTATACTACCCTGTAATGTTCACTCGCATGGCCGGCGCTTGTGTCTAGACAACGATAGGCCGAGATGAGTAGAGGACGAAAAGACACACCTCTTTCTCTTCGGGATTCATTTCCTGCAAACCGACCGCCCTAGTAGAGCCCGGCGCATCCCAGCAAATATCTGGCTCCGGGGGTACGATATGAGAATCTCCAGTCTTGCCCCATCCTCGTGGCGTCGCGCCATTGGTATGTCCCGGGTTCCATCCCTGCAGAAACAAGGTCGAAACATCAGGCGCCTGGGAGTTGGAATCCTGCGTCATGTCAAGAATAGCGAAGAGCTCATCTCTAGTATATCTTAGGCTTTCGATGCCGTTGACCTGATTAGAGCTGGGCGGCATGGCGGAAGGCGTGGCAGGGTCGACGGAGGCGGACTGGGGGGGTTCGGAAGCCTGTATCTGATTCAGCGGCTGGCTCCCAGGAGTGGCGGAAGTTCGGCGGAAGGTGAGGGTTCCTCCGTTGGTTGATCGGCCAGAACGTGTCCTGCAGAGTTCCGTCAGCTCGCCCGCGCGTCTCCTAATATCCTTTCACCAGCGACAAAACGAGGCTCGGGGGAACGAATGAGGGGGCCAAGCCGAAAGGCAACTAGCGCTGGCGTCGTGCCACGAAACGACCTCGGTGATAGGGAGGGAATGGGGGAGAGCTTGGTACGGATGCGTGTGAAATTTGCCGGGCCTGCCTCGACGGCGTGCCAGCGAGAGACTTCGAATCCACGGCTAGGTTATTGAACGTACCAATCGCCGCCAGCATTCCCCCGGCCATCACTTCTGGCTCCGGGCCTGGTATCGCGATTAGAGTTCTGTCCAGCAGCAGCGGAGGCAAAGCTAGAAGGAAGATTTGACGGCATTGTGACGAAAGACGGGAGGCCGCAGCGTGATACGAAATCTTATGATTGATGAGGCCTATCGCGGGGTGGACTGGATGAGCGCCACAGGCTGTTATAAATTTTTTTTCCTTTTCGAAGAAATACCCGGCGCTCCGGGATGTCGGCCTTGTATGATTATCGGGCTCGAGTCTGGGTTCGGGGGTTAGCGTTGCCGTGGGTAATAGAGAAGCAGCGGGACTAGTAATAGGAGTAATAGCAGCGGTGGTAGGAAGGGAGGAGAGGATGTTGAAAGCGAGTAGCTGCAGCAGTGGTGGCGGCAGCAGAAGTGGATTGACGCAACGGATTTCACGTGAGGGCCTCAGACGATGAGGGAGGGGAGAGACTCGCACGGCGTCGACGGGTGGACGGTTGGTGGTTGACGTACGCGAGGGTGAAAGGTCGTTCTGTAGTTCGCACAGAACAATGCCCCAGTTCTCGAGTAGCAATGGCTGCTCTGCTTCGACTGGGAGGAAAAGCGGGGTTCGGCTTGCAGATGAAGCCGACGGGTTGTTCTGTAGAGATGCGATGCGTGCTGTGAGTGTGGGTGTGGGCGTGCCGCTGGTATGTCTGTCTTCGGGTGATGACTTGGACGGAAGTTGCTATTTTTTTTTCAATCTCGACGAAATTTCAGGTGGACGGAGGTCAAGTTCCTGGGGCTGCTGGCGCGAGCCGGTTGCAAGCCACAGTCCGGTACCCCTATGCAGCGCTAGAGGCTGGCTGATTCAAGGCTGGAGGGCAGGAATAGGTACCTGTACCTCCTGGCCGTGTACCTAAGGTATACGAGGCTCCTTATTCAACCAGTTGTACCTTAGGTACCTAGGAGGTAGGTACGTACCCGAGCATAGCGCCTTGCCCGAACAACCTTAGATGGGTACCTCTAAAGAGGTACCTAGTAAGTAGCCCAGGTACCTCAGGTAGTTTGGCTGGCAGTATGACGCAGGGTTGGGGGTACCCACCTCTACCTAGAGGTACCCAAGATACCTAAGGTACCACGTACCACTTCCCTTAGGTTAGGAGGTACCCAAGTACGTACGTCGTGCTGGGCAGGTACATCGTCATGGAGAGACTAACGGCCCGACGAAGCATGGTGCGGGGACCTCGTTAGGGCTTGTTGTTGTAGGTAGATACATACACCTACCTAATACTGAGAACAAACGCTCTCTTCTAAAAATCCAGACCCGATTTCAATTCCTCTCGAAAAAACATACCTGCCTAACCAATAGCTAATAGAACAGGTATCTACTATACAGAATCAAGGCAGCCCTACCTACATGACAGGTGCCTCTTCGGAATGCCGCTTGCACTTATATACAGGTGGACAAGGAGAGAGAGAGAGAGAGGCACAACAACTACACCATCCTTACCAGTATCATTCCGTATCTCCTGCGTGTAGGCACCTCTATGTATATCGCTGATAACCTGCACTCGTCAATACAAACGCATGTACTCCGTACAGGTTGGCCTGCTATGAGACCATTTTAAGGCACCAGCGGCATTCCTATAATTTAAAAAAAACCAGCGAAGGAAAGGGATGGCCTATAATATCCCTCTTCGCTTTCAATAATAGTGCCTACCTACCTAGGCACTTAATTTAGGCCTCTTTATATGCCCAACAACCCTATGGGAACCCGAGCCCTTATTATGCCCTATATCACTACGGGCCAAACAATACCAAATATTAGTCGAGTAATAATATTCAAGCCTGTTGATGGAGCAATGGCGGATAACTGGACAGTAGAAACACTCCCTGTTTAGCACGGTATATGAGGATTTCTCATTTGTTTCAATGCCGTACTAATATGCAAAACTGCCGTATCTGAATCGGCTTCCTTATAGTTAAGAATGCACTCAAACGAAACTTGCGTTGGTACGCACCTGGCATGGCGCATGAACTAAGTGCCACGAGACAAGCAATCCCGACGTGACCCAAACTTAGAGATATAAGATTCAAAATGAACTTCGGGGCGTTTGGGCTAATGCTGAATTTAGGCGTAAATATCTAATGCCTAGGCAGAACAGGTATTGAAAGCGCGGTGGTTAACTTTGAGAGACTTTTTTGCGTTTTTGACCAGTTCTGCTTCATATATATAATAGGTAGAGCCGAAGTTGACCGGCCTATTCGGTTCAAGGCCGAACCATGCCCCCGTATTATTACATAAGACTCAGTAATATATGGAGAGCGAAAACACATTACTAACAACCTCCCTCCGTGAAGGATTGCACCGATTACGTACGTCCTTATATCTTGTTATCATCTCGACGTATTGATCGCAGGAGGAGGCGCCGCATCGGCCGGGGAAACTATTCATCTAGCTTACAAAGCTCTATGCTAGGTAACTCTCAATATATATATACTGACATCCTCTGCACCTTTGACCGGGGAACTCTGCCTCTTCTTTTCCCCAAGATCCCGTTTTCGCCCCTTCTTACAAGAGATCACTGATTCCAAGGCCTTCCAAAATGACCATCCACCGTGTTACCCTATTCATCATCCCCAAAGAGGAGGATATCGACTTTCTCCTCACCCAGTATCGAACCTTGCGCCAAGAAGCTCTACGAGTCAGTTCCCTCACCTTTCCCAGACCTGTATCACTCCCAGCATCTCAGCACTGACATCGTTTCTAACGCCGCAGAATGGCGCACCTTACATTGAGTCTGTCATCGCCGGCCGAGCTCTGCCAGATGAGAGGTCCCGAGGCTATACTCTAGTCGCTAAGACCACCTTTCGCAACTTGGATGACATGAACTTCTACGACAAGGAATGTGCCGCCCATAAGCGCTTTAAGGAACTGGCTGGCCCGAGGAGGACTGGCGATATTCTGACGGTGTATTATGAAGACGCTGTTTCTGCGTAATGTTCTGATGCTGCAGATGAAATCGCTTGCGAAATTCCACATTGGAGTCGGACACGGATCAAAGATAGCAAACAACCTAGCCACAGTTATCGCGTTCAAGCAGTCTCTCGCAGTTCAAAAATAATCTCACAAAAGCCTCCCTTAGTATTGTAATCACTTCCTATATTTTGCTTTTATCTTCTTCGTAGCGACAGTGATACCTGAAGCAGAGTCATCTGAGCCTATCTGAGAGTCGAGGAACATGAGTACGACTGAAATGAGGGACAAAAAAATCTATAGAGGTGGTGACCGTAGAAGAAGACGGCAGTGATGTAGCCGCCCTAAAGAATTGTCACAACTTTGCTTCGTGAGTGGGCCATGATCCTTTCCAGCAGCCCAGCGTACGCATCTGCTACCCCCTCCATATCAACTGCGCTGTAAACAGTTGAGTCGTACTTGAATTTGAGGTTGTACCCAGCTGCGGTCTTGGACACCTCCAGGTGGAGAGCGTAGTCCATCGGCATACGGACCTTTGAGAGTGCCATCACCATCCACCTCATATTCTTTTCGACTATGCTGCTCGATGGAATCGGCTGGTCGAATGGCTGGAACAAGAACAGTGCTCTAGATGCCACAGCATCCCTCTCTTGTCCCAGGGCCCTGTAAATGTCGTTCAAGCCGACGTTTCCGTTCTCAGTGGTCTTCCAGAATAATGATTGTGTTGCTTTCAAAAGGTCCCGGATTCCAGTGTCGGCAGTGAACGATGTGCGGAAGGGAAGGAAATTGGCACATGTCCCGGCGATAGTTTGGGCGTCCTCCATGTCTACATTGCGGCCCGTGATGAGGTTGTCATATGTGACGTCGTGCCGGCCGCTCAGTTGACACAGGAGTAACGAGAAGGCTGTCTGAAAGACGATGGAGACCGTGATACCCGACGCGGCGGCGAAAGAGTCAACTTGACGATCGGCAGTCTTTACCACCAGCCCTGAGGTAGAAGGGCTGTCGACGTTAGGGAATCGCTCGGGGGAGTTGTCCAGGAGCTCTGTCCAGAACCTCAACGATTTCTCACGGTCGGTGGAATCCATGTATGTTACATATTCTCCGAATGAGACAGTGTAGGGCGGCTTGGTACCTTTGTAAAGCGCTTTGAACTCATCGTCGAAGATGCGCAAGAGGGTCCCGTCATACATTGCGTGATGGATGTGGATGAGCAGGTCGCGGCTCCCGTCCGGGAGAGTGAGGAGTCGGTATTTGATGAAAGGCTTCCCAACCACGAAGCCTTCGTCCCACGTACTATCGATGAGCCGCTGTTTCTCCTCGTTGGTGCTGCACTCGAGAATCTTGAAATCCAGTACTGGTTTAGCGAGCACCACTTGCTTCCATGAGCCGTCTGCTTCAAACCACATCGATCGCAGGATTTCATTGCGGGCTGTCAACTCCGTGGTAACCTTCAACCACAGGTCAAAGTCTATAACTTCTGGCAGTGGTCTTACTGTCTGGCAGTTCCAGAATTGCTCCTTTCGATTTGCTCGGGTCAGGAAATCCTCGATACCAGGGACAACCGGAAGCACGGTCTCGACATCCGACTCCTGCAGCCCAGCCCGGGAAAGGACTGACGAGACTTCGGGCGTCACTCCAATTCTAACCGTCGGTATGTGCTCATGAGTCTTTTTGAGAGACTTCATCCGCCCCGCCATATCCTGCAACAGGGGGAACGCGAGCACATCGCTGACCGCTAGCAAAAACCCGCGGTTTCTACACCGACCGACCAGGTTTATGGCAGAGATGGAATCTCCTCCGTGGGCGAAGAAAGCGCTGGTAGCGCTGATATCCTCCGGTGTCTTGTTGAAGAGCTCGGACCAGAGTGCTTGTAGAACCTGTTCCTCGGGCGTGGCGGGTTCCACGTACTCGGCACTGTCCTCCATGCCGGAGTAGAGCTGAAGCGTCTCGCGTGCCATATCTCGTATCCATGCGCTGAGCTTTTTGCGGTCCGCTTTACCGGAAGGAAGTAGCGGGAGCGTGCCCACCGGGATCCAGATCTTCGGCACCATGTAGGGAGGCAGTGATGTTAACTTGATCTCAAGGCTTGTCAGAGTCTCCGTGTATTCCTCAGGTGGAAGCACCCCCCCTTCTTTGCTCGGGTCCATCACGCAGAAGGCGATGAGTGCCGGGGAATTCTGGACCTCCTGGACGATCACAATGGCGTTATGGACCGACCCTGCCCTTCGAATTGCGCTTTCGATTTCGCCGAGTTCGATGCGGTGGCCGTGTACTTTGATCTGGCTGTCAATTCGGCCAAAACACTCGATTCTCCGATTAGGAAGCCACCTGACCAGGTCACCGGTTCGGTAGACCTTCTCATTGTTCCGAGTGACGAACGCCTTCTCGGTTGCTTCGGGACGATTGAGGTAGCCACGGGCCAGTTGAGGTCCGGCAAGACATAGCTCGCCTATAGCACCGTAAGGGACTTCGTTAAAGCTATTGGGCTCGAGAATAAGGGCTTGGATGTTGCGAAGAGGGTGGCCGATAACTTTGGAATTTGCCCCCGGTGCTATGTAACCGGCGGCGGCGAGGATAGACGCTTCGGTCGGGCCATAGCAGTTCATTACCGTACAGTGAGACGACCATATCTCGACGATGTCCTGGGGAACTGGCTCACCCGCTAGATAGATCCCTTCAACCCCTGGTACATTGGTAGGGTGCAACAGCTTTGCCACGGTCGGGGTCAGGAATAGTCGATTTATCCTCATGTCGTTGACAACTTGTGTCAAGTTGGACAACAGCGATTCCATCGACGCCATGCAAAGTGTAGCTCCAGTGCTAAGACTGCAGAAGACATCCCCGATTGAGACATCGAAGACGAAATTGGAGAACTGCAGAACCCTCCAGGTGGGATCAAACGATTCTGCGTGAACAATGCTGTCAATTCCAGCAGAAATCGCACCGTGCGGAACCAACACTCCTTTGGGCAGGCCAGTCGAGCCAGAGGTGTAAATGCAATAAGCCAAGTTGTCAGGCTGGGTATGCACTTCGTCGGGATTGGAGCTCGGAAATTGAAGCTCATCAATACGATAGAAATCCACGACTTCGGCGCCGTGGGCCTCGTTGTCGAATATGCTCCGCAGGTTCTCGTCCGTTAGGATCATTGTTGCTGAAACATCTTCGACAATGAAGTTGTTCCTCTCTGGCGGATTGTCCGGATCCAGGACGACAAATGCGCCTCCGGCCTTCAGCACGGCGAGCATAGAAACTATCGCTTCGACAGACTTAGGGAGGCAGATCGGCAGTAGTCTATCCGGGCCCAAACCCTTGGCCTTGAGGAAGTGGGCAAATCGATTTGCGCGCTCGTTTAATTCCCGGAAGGAAACAACCTCTGAACTTTCGAATTCTATAGCAGTTCGGGATCCATCGGTTTCGGCAATGTTTTCGAACTTTTTGTGTAGAAGACCGTTTACTGCTTCGATAGAGGGACTGAGCAGGTCGAGGTAGCGTCTCTCCGGCTCGGGGATGATGCTGATCTCCTCTAGTTTCTTGTTGCTATTTGTGGTGGCAATGTCCAGTATGTTGACGACCTGATCAACTATGAATTGAGCTCTGAGGGGGTCCAGGGTGCTGCTGAGACCAAGGTCGAACGATCCCTTGGTGTTTTCTTGAACCTCTAACGAGGTATAACCCGTTTGCCATATTGGCTTCTCTCCATAAGGATGAAGAACCTGCGTATGACTGCTAGCCGGGTTGCTTACCAAATAGTTAACGAGGGTATCGAAGAGATCCGGAGAATGCCCTGCGGCTTGAAGCGACCTCCTTAAACCGAACTGCGACTTTTCAGATACCGTCCAAACCGCATCCCGCATATTCTTGAGGCCCTCTGCTAGAGTCGTGGCTGGATCCAACTGAACCCTGAGTGGTGCAGTGGTAAGAGTCGGCCCGTTCAAGTCTTGTATTCCCTTCAATGGCACATCTCGACCGGAAAGTGTGATTGCGAACGTGACATCCGTGTTTCCCGTGTGCTTCCAGAGTGTAATAGCCCACGAAAAGTAGAGAAGCACGCCGACAGAAACGCCTAACTTCAAGCATGCGGCGTGGATGTCAGTAGTAATGCGTGCCTTCGCAACATTGGCCTGTGCCGGTTCTGAAGCAATGCGTGTTGCAACAGCTCCGTCGAGGTAGCTTGCCCAAAAAGTCTTCATGCCGTCTTGGTCCTGCTTCCCCAAGTAGCGCATAAAGTTCTTGAACGGTGCCCTCTGGGCAACGGTGTGATCCTGATAGTAGGCGGCTACATCCTCGAACAAGAATCTCGAGGACCAAAAGTCGAAAAGAGCATGGTGAACACTGATGATGAGCAGAGAATTGTTGACGACGGTAGCGCGAATGGCCGGCTTGTCTACACTCAGAAAAGGGTGCCTTGGCTTGGAAATGTATTCATCGAGCGCCACGCCGTCGACGAATTCCCACGGTAGCTCGAAACTTTTATTTACGGCCTGGGTAATAGTGACTCCGTTCGGTACAAAGCTGGTTCGATATATGGGATTCAGGTCGATAACTGCCTGGAATGCTCTCCGGAGTCGTGATATGTCGAGATGTGCGATGGAGAAGATTCGATCGTAAACGTAGCCACCAACAGTTTCGTTCGCGGAAATGATTCCGGACTGCAACTCAGAAGCCGGATAAGCGTCCTCGTAGATTTCTCTGTCCACTCTAGCGTCACTGGGGAGGAGACTGAATGCCACATCATCCTCGCCGTCACCTATTTCACTTTGGACCATCGTTTCCGCTGCTTGCGCCAAAGACACGGCACGGATTAAATCTCCGAGGCCGATGGCCCATCCGACCTCCACGAGAGCTGCTATAACGGAAAGGCCCTTGAGAGAATCACCACCGAGTTCGAGGAAGGAGTGCTGCGTGCTAACCGAATCGACTGCCAGGTCAAGGACTTTGGACACCACACCATGTAGTGTTTCCTCTTGCTCCGACAAGAATTCGACCTTTTCGACTTTTCGAGAGGAACTTCGCAAAAGCTCTGGGCGACCCAATTTCTGGATTTGGGAGCGAATCTTCAAGATGTCTGTCTTGCCGTTGTGGTTGAGAGGCAGTGTATCGTAAGAGAGCCAATATTTCGGTACCATGTAAAGGGGCATAGCCGCGGATGTTGCTGTGCGGAGATCTGTAACAAGGCCCGCCCAGTCGGCCCCGGCTTGGGACACAACGCACGCGGTTAAAACCTTCTCGCCATCCACGTTGGCAGCGACGACTACGGCGTTGGTCACGCCGTCCTGCTTACGAATGAACTTTGCGATCTCCGCGGGCTCGACCCTCTGCCCGTTGATCTTGGTTTGGAAATCGATGCGTCCAATTATTTCGATAGACCCGTCTTCGTGGCGAATGGCCGAATCACCCGTCCGATACAGCTTGAGACCCTTCCTGAAGGGGCTGTCGATGAAGGATTTTGCAGTGGCGGCCGGTTTGTTCAAATACCCAGTTGCTAGTTGGGGCCCCTCCAAGCAAAGCTCCCCAGGAACAGAGAGAGGCGTGAGATTCAGGGTATCCGGGTCCAGGATGTATGCTGCGGTGGTGTCGGTCGGCTCTCCAACGACGCTTGGGTTTCTGTCCCCCGACTCCATAGTACGCCCGAAATTGAGCTGTGTGCATTCGCTGAGCCCATAGCTATTGCGCAAGTCAACCCGATCTGCCCAGCGATCGACTACGGATTGCTCCAAGCTCTCTCCCGTTAGCGTGACTCGCTTCAGGTTCGGTACGTCTAGCGGGTTCACCAGCGCAATCGTGGAGGAGGTGATTCCTAAGGTTGTGATTTCCATCTTCTTGACGATATCAGCGAGGGAGGTCTGCAGCCTCGCCCGAGATGCCACACAAAGGCACCCGCCGTGAGCGATAGTGGACAGTATCGTCCTTTGCGCCGCAGAAAAGATCGGGTTATAGAAGAGCAACACCCGGTTGTCTGGAATTGTTGGCGCACAGGTAATTCCGGCGGAGGCAGCTCGGTGGGACAGGATAACGCCCTTAGGGGTACCGGTCGACCCCGAGGTATAGATGACATATGCTGTAGCCTCGTGGGAGATTTCCAATTCCAGATTGGAATCCTCGGCAGCACTCTGAATCAGAGATTCGATATCAAGAGTTGATACCTGCGGAAGGCCGCGGTTGGAGACGAGCCTGTCGACGAGAACAAACGAGGCGCCCACGTCCTCTATGATGTAAGATTTTCGGGCCGCGGGCTGGGCGGGATCGAGAATGGTGTAGGCAGCGCCGGCTTTGAGTATCGCGAGCAGAGCCACTACAAAATTGACAGACACCTCCATATGAACAGGGACGATTTTGCTCTGACCCAAAAGTGGAAGAAGCTGCCGAGCGACGCGGTTGGCGATCGCGTTAAGCTGGGAGAAGGTGATTTTCTCATCACCGCTCTCGGACTCTATAGCTATCCCTTCGCCATTGTGTGCAACTTGTTCCTCGATCATGCTGTGCACCAGTCTAGGTTCAACAGACTGGAAAGCGGCAGCACCAAAGCTGAGAAGTATAGCCCTTTCGGTAGCCGATACCAGGTTCACGTCCCTCAGCAACCGTGACGGATCTGAAAGCTGCCTCAGTGCCTCCCAAAAATGCCCGAGAATCACGTCAGCTTTAGATGGGTTTATGGCTGGGTGGTGAATCATAGTAGCCTGAGCCGCCGCCAGACAGACAGAAACTTGTATCGGGGCCCCCTTGACTGAATACCGACAACCTGGGACGTCCAAGTCGGTGACGTAGAAGCCAACTTGAAGCTTATCGATTCCGCCAATATGTGCGTCGATTCGGGCAAGAGGCGAATTATACATTAGATCAGATTCCAGCCGCCTCGTCAATTCATGTATCGGCTCTCCGGGGTCGAGGGTCAAAGAGAACGAAACGATCGTTTCTATGGGACCAATGATTTCTGAACCGCTCTCAGCGGAGCCGTCTCTAACGTTCGTGTAGAATGATACGCTCTCAGTTCCCACGTGTCGCGAAAGCACATAGGCCCAGGCTGCTCGAAGGAGCGCCTGTATGTTGATCTCCGGCGCCTGGATGAGATGCATGATAAGGCCGGGGTCTCCATCGGAAGAAGTAGCGATGATGGGGACGCTGGGGTCAGGTTGAGGAAGAGAGACATATTGAGGTGTTTCGCCCTGTTGTATTGAGAGCTGTTCACCCTTCGCCAAGGATTTTGTGGCGTAGAAGCTGAACGGGACTCTAGCCGGAAAGCCGTAGCCGTGGTAGAACAAGTTGAAGTCATGCCAGATTATGGGGAGCGACCTCGTATCTAAGAGGGCTCGGTTGAAGTGCAAGGTGAGGGTGGGGAAGCTACTGGTAGCCTCGCCGTAGACTAGGTATGGGATGTTCTTCTCGACAGGATTCCATACGCCCAACGCGATGGGTATGATGTGTTGATGGATGGCTTGGTGTGTAGGTGCTGTGCCGTTGTCATTATATTCAATGACTGTGCGGAGGATGGAGTGGTGAGCTGCCAGAGCTTGCCAGGTCATCCGGAGGCGATCAAAGCTGAAGCTCATATGCTTAGGTAGCTTGAACGTATATGATGCCCAGAGGTCACTCTTATCCACCGAGTTGAGGATCTGGAGTTGGGATGAGGTTAAGGGGAGGGTTTCTACTTGGAACACCCCGTCGACCAGCCTCTTGGCGTCGCTCCATGGCGTGAAGCTGGCTGCTAAGGGGGTCTGCTCGTCGGCCGGCTCTAGCCCCCATATATGGGCAAAAGCCAGATCCTCGCTAACGAAACGCATGTTCCCCGACGGATGGACTTTAGAGATGAACGATATCCAAAAGAGTCTGTTGGAGAATATGCTTAGGGGACAAGCGAGAGTACTGCCGGCTCTAAAGAGGAAAGACCAATACAGAAAGGAAGCTAAACTACTCCTATAGCTATAGACTATATGTGTTCCGGACAGACATATTTATTCACTTCCTCTTCTCTCATTTTGCCGTCCTGCTCTGCCGCCATCTTTCATGGATCTGAATCCCTCAAGTTTGTCTATTTCCGTCGGGGGCGGGAATCCCCCCGACAATACATCAACCTATACATCCAGCTATGTTACAGTATCTCGGCATCGCCGTCGAGACTAGATACTAAAACGTCGACGCACATACCTTGGAGGTATCTTCGAACTCGGTGGCAAGTCGTGCCGCGCCAGGAGTTGCGACTAGTCAACCATGATTTTAACGAGGAACTAGAGGAGTCATCCCACACCAGGGGGTCACGGAGAAGGTATAGAAAGTGTGGATAGCACCGAGGCTTTGAGTCCTGGAGTGGATATGGCTTACGAAGCGTTTGAATCCATGTGTCGGTTCTGCAGGTTTGAGAACCCATCCCGGTCAAAATGTGATGTTATTCTGGATTGGCCAGCCGTCATGCAAAAGGTCTTACAGGATTACACTTCACGCCTGAGATCTGCCACAAACAGGTCCACAGAGAACCACGAGGGCGAAACGTGCCCGCCAAGAGCGGTCACTAAACGTGCTGAGGCTCTGCTAGTAGGGCTCCTCTGCGAAGACATGCAGGGCCTGAGAATCACATTACTATCGGCGCTCGACATAGGCTAACGTGACTGGGCGGGTTAGGATCATTGGCCCAAACCCCGCCAACCACTTCGCTGCCTCTGAAAGATGGAGAACAACGTATAAGCTTATGTGGGAATCTAATGTCAATCTTGCTTAGTACCACGGAAGGACGTCCATTTGTGGTTCATCCGGCTGGTCCCGGCTCCTGCAGTCAGCATAGAAGGAATCCGTAGTATTCATGGATCTCTCTCTTTCTCTTTCTCTTTTTTTTTTCCCCTCCCGAAACCTCTTACGAAGTATGCCTTGCAGAAGGATTTGCGGAAGACGTAATTAGTCATCCCTTGGGCACACATCAGAAAAGGATTTATTCCTAGCTAGATTGTCACTAGAACGGGTCTGGATGTGACATCCGGGCAGCTCACCATCTCAGCTCGATGTAATCTTTTCCTAGTTCCTGCATGCTGCAAGCTCGACCGCGTCGCTATGGCACGTTTTCTGAGGAAAATCTCGTGATCGAGACCCCTAACCATGTGTTCAAGCATAGGGGAAGTTTCTGGCAAGGGCGATGGTTCACATTCCTTCGTCTCTTGCGAAACAACAAGGTGGAACTACGCCTGCTCTACTCCGGTATATAAACGACGTCTTCATCTTGACTAGATGACTCGCTCGATTACAGCAAGCACTCAGTCATCTATCATCTGCCACTTCCGCAAAAAACAATCTCTATCATCCTCTCTCAGCCTCTTCAAGAGTCTCCTTCACCATGTCTGCCAACGACAACTCTTCCACTGCCGCTGCCGGCGCGCCCGCACAGGATATCAACTACACCGTTCGATACCCGAACCAGAGGGCTGTCTTCCCTTACATCGACCCCAAGAAGGCGCCTGCCGAGCTTGCCCAGGCCTTGAAGGTCCTGCCCTTTGAGCGCAACGTCCTCAAGCTCCTGGCTCACGCCGAGGGTTTCTTCCCGCCGATCTCTCAGCTCCTCGGCACCATCTTCCGCATCACTCGGGAGCTTCCCACCTTGGAGTGGCAGTTGGTCGTCCTCCGTACAGCCGCTCTGATTGGGGCCCACTATGTTTTTGAGATCAACACCCCTGTGGCTCTCGTTAACGGCATGCCTAATGCCAAGCGCCTTCTGATCGCTTTCGGAAAGGTGGACGACACCGAGTTCTTCACCGTTCGCGACCGCATCCTCTTGCGCTACGTGAAGGAACTCGTTGAGGACAATACCGCCTCCGATGGGCTCCTTGAGGAGCTCCGAGCCAACTTCACCACGCGAGAGATCATAGAGGTCATCGTCATCGTCGGTCTATACACCATCTTCGGCCGCGTCGCTAATGTCAGCCGAATCGACGAGGACCCTGAGATTCCTGGACTCCTGGACTCCCTCACTAAGCTGACCGGCCAGAAGGACCGCGGCGAGTAGATGCGGATCCGCTACCGCCATAGCACGTTTGCAACCCTGGGGTGGGGAAGGGAGGATTGGTGAAATTGTGCAATCGCGGTGTGTGCGCGTCGAGAGTTGAACTTGTTAGCGGTAGATGTAGGGTCGAGAAGAGTGAAAATATAAGTGAAAAGTTGTCTACCTTAATCAGCATCTTCCACGCAGCATATAAGACTCCTGCCGGTGATAGTAATGCGTGGCTGACACCTCCGATCGTGAAACAAGTGGCAGTCTCTCATTCCGAGACATCTTGGGAAGGTAAGGGAGGGGCGAGCGGTCGGGCGGAGCGTGACGGAGACAATGAGGATCGCCCGGGGATAGAGGTAGGGGGTCTGGAGGTAAGTCCGGCAGGGAATTCTACTAGGGTTGGTTGCGCTTTGGGTACGCTTTTGGGGTTGCGCTTGGGTTGCACTGCGTCGTGCAATTAAGCATAAATTTAGCGGCTGTCGTGTTACCTGCGGGTGATTACTATACCGAACTTCCGCTAAGTGCACGTAAAATGCATCCCTCCCCCCCTAATACCACCTGCGCACGCATCGAGGTACGTGCAATGCCTCCCCCATATTTGCATTCACCACCTGGGCCCCTTGCGCTACTCGCCATCTATTGTTTTGCCTTGGGGGCAACGGAAAGGAAAAGGCACATAGCGCCAACGATACCCGCCGCCAACCCCAAACCGACAGGGGGGATTCGGGGTCGGGTGGACTTACCAACTGCGTCTCCCCGCAAACTTTTTCTCCATACCCGTCATGTTTTTTTTTTTTTTCGTTGAAGGGGCGGGGGGGATCGAACGCCGTTGTGCACCTGGAAGTAAGGAATGTCTACTCATACATGCCTACACATAGACATACCTACCTACCCAGGTATATGAATGCTGCATATACCTACATGTGGTACATACCTACCTACCTCTCGCGTGCATGCCTCAAGTGCAATAACCTGCATCCCTGCCGGCGAGCCCCTGTTCTTAGGGGCTTGATGTGGGATGAAATGCTGGATTTAAGTTCTTATACTAAGAGTAACTACCGGGAGCGCTTTGGACCCTTAGGCACAGTAGGTATGGCTAAGCCGCTCGAATACCGTCGAGCACGCGGCCGTCAGTACCAAGAGTAGCAAGCCAGCGAGGGAGCCGATGCGGTCGCTCCCTTAGCTGCTGCTGGTGTCCGTTCCCGGCGGGTCCATTCCTTCATAACTAGTATTTCTACCTATTATATCTCTCGTGGAGGACCGTGGGGTGTACCGTGTCCTTGCAGAGTTTTTTCCCATGAAAATTTTCTGGCATGGGCATCGCGGGATACGTAGTCGCCGTATTCGTCAGCGCGCCATGGGCACTAATATGTGCGAGACTGTTGCGCCATTCCTAGGACCTATACACAATGAACGACACGTGAGGGGGAATATTGAACCGGCAGGCTCAGCGCTGCCATTGGCCGGCCGGAGCCAGGCATTAGTCAGAGTAGGCTTAAGTGATTTTCTGCTGCAGGGAGCCCGGTGGATCGCGCCGTTGCGGCAGATTCTACCTAGGTGGGCAGCGGGTGCCGGGTAGTTCCGTTATCCGTTCGACCAGCGGCTTGGCGTCAAGGGAGCAGGCAGGCTGAGCCGCATGCGTGAGACCGATATCACGGTTTCACCTGGCGCGGGACGATTACCTAAGGAGCTGACATGGGAGGGTGAAATATACCCCCTTCGGCGGCGCTCCCACGCGGTGGCGTTGCGCGTCTGCTCGCACGTACCTAGCATGTGATTAGCCGTGCGCGAGGGATTCCGTATGCTTGTAGTAAGATCCGTGGACATCGCACTGGCGAATTCATCCACCCGCCGCCCCCCTCGCTCCCCTCACTCCCCGTGTCCCCACGCGCGATCGCCGGAATAGCCTAGTAGCGTGTGCGTGATGCCGGCGCGAGGATCTAGAATCGCGAAAAGCCTATGCCTGAAACTGCAGCGACAGGGTAGGTTGCATCAACTACCTGATGTCTACCTAGGTGTGTCTACGATCTTGCAGGCCGCTGCGCGCATCGCAGCCTTATTCTTCCCAGATGCGGTGGCCACGTTTCATCGATTTCTAATCTCACACGCTCTAGCCCAGCAAGGGTGCCGGTTAATCACCAATCTCGCCACGGTCCGGGGCAAGGGTCATGACGGGGGCACGCCGGCGCGCAGATGGATACGTAATATGCAGGGAAAATTTATTCGCCGTATTCGCATGCCCTAGCTACCTACCTACCTAAGCTACCCATCATCTACACACCTACAGCGCATACATCAGGCCGGTATAAGCCTTCGTCGGGCAACGACCCTGCCCGTTGCCTCGCATCCTGGTGGCTTACTCTGACTAACCTGCCCATGCCGACAGCGCCGATTGGACAGAATGCGATTTCGCAAACAAACTTGTTATTGTAGTAGTGCCATGATATACACCCAGAGTCACCGCTCTCGATGTCGGAATGATGGTGTTATTATTCGGTCTTTCCAGACTGCGACATGGTGCTGACGCATGCAGGACTGTGATGTATCTACCGTCCGCTCATCTTAGGTAATACCTAAGCCGTCCGAGATCAGGAAGAATTATGCAGGGTTCTACAGCGGTGGGTCAGAAGCGAGGGCTGAGGGAATCCATGGGTGCAAAAAGGGCGGAACTCATCGCGCGGTGGGCAATCTACAGCATGCCCAGGGATCTGCTCTTGCGTGCTTGGCACGCACTATTGCGACCCAACGTAGCCAATGGCTTGGAATCTGAACTTCGAACATGGTGCTGAGGGGAAAAGTCTACCCGGTATTTGAAATCTAGCAGGGGCGAAAGATTGATTCGACCCACGATGCTGTTCTCCCCCCGACTTTCAACTTGTAAGCTCGCGGGAAAACTTTTGAGAGACTACATGTTAAAACTCAGCTCTAGAGAGCTGATAGACGTGATGGCACGGCAAGAGCAGCAAGGCAAACCACAAGTCGCTCCCCTTTCCTAAAGGCAGACAAGCACATTCCACTCTGTGGTCATCAGCTGCCAGATAGTCTCCTTAGGCGTAGCGCAACTCATTCGTCCTTGCCGTCACCGTCATACACCAGAGTCTAGTTCTGACACCACAAGATGGGTTCCATCGAGAAGCCGGCAGCTTCCGGTGTCCAGTCCATTTTCGACGGCCCGAAGGAAGAGAAGACCGATGTGACCGCCAATGAGCTAGAGAAGGAGTTGCATTCCAGCGGGGAGGAGAGCTCCAAGGAGGATGTCACAGAGCGGAAGATCACCGGATTCAAGGTGAGGGAATCCATGCCTGAAATTTTTTCCTTGGAAAAAAAAAAACAACCCCCCCAACCCCCCAACGGTCGTGGGCTAACTGTTTCGGTAGTGGATTTTGGTGGTGACAGCGATTCTTTCCAGCCACATGCTGTTCGCCCTCGATAACACCATTGTTGCGAATATTCAACCGGTTTGTGATCCAGCGTCCCTCTTTTCCGGGCCCGGCGCTAACAAGTAGTTTGTCCCGACATAGGCTATCATCTCACAATTCGAGCAGGCAGAGAAGGTCGCATGGCTTTCTGTTGCTTTCCCGCTCTGTTCTTCTGCACTTGTCCTGCCATGGTCCAAGTTCTACGCTACCTACAACGCAAAATGGCTCTATATCGGAGTGAGTGTAGCTCAACGGCCCTAGAGAAGCAGCTGTGTCCATACTAACTCTAGCCTCTCTCAGTGCGTTACTCTCTTTATGGCCGGCTCCGCACTCTGTGGTGCTGCACCTAACATGGACTCAGAGATCGTTGGGCGAGCTTTGGCCGGTGCCGGAGTATGTTCCCTCCCTCATGTTCTCTCTATGAAGACCAGCTAGCTAAATGTCGTTGAAGGGAAGTGGCATGTACTTTGGTGTCTTGACATTACTTAGCGTCAATACCACCGTCTCGGAGCGTCCATTCTACATTGGACTTACGTATGTCTTCCTGTTAGCTTCTACACCATCCCACTCTTGCTAATGTTCCCGACAGGGCCGTGTCTTGGGGCATTGGAACTGTGACGGGGCCAGCCATCGGTGGTGCTTTCGCTGAAAGCAATGCAACCTGGAGATGGGTGCGCACCCCCTCACCCCCCACCCCCCAAACCATCATCACTCCTCTTTTACCTGCTAACTCTCACTCGTAGGCCTTCTATATCAACTTAGTCATCGGTGGTCTCTTCGCTCCTGTCTACGTATGGCTTCTGCCGGTGTTTGACCCGCTCCCTGGTCGCTCCTCCAGCGAGAGACGCAAGAACATCGACTGGGTGGGCTGTGTCCTCTTTGTCGGTGCTCTCGCCTGTTTGATCATGGCTATCAACTTCGGAGGTGTCGAGTGGCCCTGGAACGATGGTCGCGAAATTGCTCTCTTCGTTGTGTCCGGTGTTCTCTTCATCGCATTCGGAGTGCAGCAGTGCTTCTTCATCCTGTGCACTGCGGAGAACAGGCTTTTCCCCGTGCATTTCCTCAAGCGCCGTTCTCTCTTCCTGCTGTTTATCCTGAATAGTAAGTTTCGGACCTTGCTCCTTAGTCGTCTTCCGCCTTGCGACTAACACAACCAGCCTGTGCAAGCAGTGGGCTTTTCATCTCGGTGTACTACATTCCTCTTTTCTTCCAGTTCACCCAGGTATGTATCCCCCAGTTTCGCAACCATTCACATACCCTGGTCTAACTGTTGCGTAGGGAGATACTGCCATCTATGCTTCGCTTCGCATCCTACCCTTCGTTCTGGTCCTTATCTTCGCTATTATACTCAACGGGCACATGATGACGGTATTCGGCTGGTATTTCCCCTGGTACTTGTTCGGCTCCGCGTGCGAGCTAGTCGCAGCCTCCCTAATGTGTAAGTATAGCTACCGCCTCGTTCCTGAGATATTAGTGGAAATAACCCGTGTCCTAATTTGCCTTTCTAGATCTTGTCAAAGCGGATACCTCCGCCAGCGCTATTTACGGATTCACGTCCCTCATGGCTCTCGGCGTTGGTGTCTTCAACCAGGCCGGTTACAGCGTTGTCCAAGCCAAGGTGAAGCCGGAGGAGATCCCGTGGGCTCTCGGTTTTATGATGGTTTGTGAGTATTGCCAGCTTCGATATCAGCATACCTTTCACTCTAACAATACTTTTAGCTCAATTGGGCGGCATCGTCTTGGCGCTTGGCATGGCGGGAGCCATATTTGTTAACCAGGCGACCAGCGGTCTTTTGGCCCTGCTCCCAGATTTGGATGAACACCTCGTCAAGAATGCCATTGCCGGAACAAGCAGCAGCTTTTTCAACACGCTGTCGGAGGAGCGACAAGCCGCCGCCTTGAATATCATCGTTCAATCCATCGGTAACGTGTAAGTTGGGGATAATCGAAGTCTCTCTCTTGAATGATCGCTCACCGAACTTCTAGGTATATATTGTTAATTGCCGCCGGTGCCATCGGTGTATTGCTCTCTGTCTTCCTCAAGGTTTGCCCTCCCCCTTTCCATCTCATCGTGCATCATTGACCATGTACCACAGAGAGAACGCTTGTTCATGACAATCGCCGCCGGTGGTGCGTGAGACGTCCCACTTGCATAATTGCCGCTGCGTTCAAGGGTCATCATGCCAGTGAGCCAACGAGTATAGACTAGGGGTGCGAGTTTTAATAGCAGGACTAGTGGCGAGTGCTGAGAAACGGCGAATGGAGAAGTCTTGGGCGGGAATTACTCCTGTGCATAGTACCCAAGTATTACCGTCACCAAGAGCTGTACACTAGTGGACCTAGCTGCCGCGATTAATGGGAAGTTAATGGTGTTGGAATAGATAGGGAACGATAGGCACAATAACTGGTTTCTACACGGGGGAATCTGTGTCGACATATTGAGACGCCCTAGGTAATCCCTTGTGCTCCTTTGCTCCTGGAATCCCCACCCCCCCTTTTCTCCCCCTGGAGATCGGTAGTGAAAGGTACAGTAAAGGCTTCCTCTGCTTGGTCGAGACGGGAGTATTCCAAAGCAGCCAGGGTCAAGATGTTGGATATGATCGCGGCACTTATTATGTAATAGTGGATAGGATTTGTATCAGGGTAAGCAAACTCGTATTCCCTTGTCTCATTCCATTCTCACGGGATTTCCTTCTTGTTTCCTCGTCAGGCTAATGCGTGTGAAGGGTGGGTTAGCTACAGGAAGAGGGTGCCTGAACCCATTACTAATATGCCTGGCATGATCCTCACGGGTGCCGGCCCAAATGACTAATGTTCACAGCTGCTGGGGCAATCAATTGTCCTGCTCGTCTTGGCATCAAGGAATTGAAATAAACCCGGAGTTGTGCGAGTGGATCTCATAACCCCCGCCGCCCAATGAAAGCCGAAACTGGGGAATTTGTTCCAGATCCTTGGCGATGACGACGGGATAGTGGACATGTAAATCATCGTGTCTGCGGTACCACGATGCCCGACTATAGGTTTTCCCTGATATAACGGTGTGAGTGGGCACTCTAAAAATGGCGACTGAATGTCCCCTGGATCGCTATTTTATCACTCTTCGGTATTGAAGTACAGCACATGGGAGGATGCTGGTAAATGAAGTTGGCGATGGTGACGATTTCTTGGCATCGGAAATTCTCCAATCGTACGATACGATTTGTATCTGAAAGACCCAGCGCCAGCCAAGACTGCAATATCGTTAGACTCTTCTAGATGAGTAGTACATGGCATTCAGAAGACATCATATGTCACAAAAAATGTACCATTTCGAATCTCTCTATCGTTATGTTAGGCTACGTGCCCTCATCCAACAGCGACCGAAGCAGTTACTCTCAGAAGTGTCTAATTATATTACACACTTGAAAGAGTTTCTCATCTCAGTGACTATCTAACCGATTGTTCTACTTAAGAAATATGATATACTTGATGCAATGACTTATACAATGATACCTAATCTTGAATCTACTTGAGGATGCCTTTCTATGCAGCTGAGAACTTTTCTTTTTTTATTAGAGTGAACATTACATCTACTGCAAGTCCTCGTATAGAACCCCTGCGTCAGCAATACCAACCATAAACCAGCTAGGCAGGAACCTGCGTAGTATAGTTGATGTCTATAAGTTGACTTGATTCGGCTAGTTGCTTAACTTGGCGAGCCTGCTTGGCAGCCCTGCCTACGTGTATAATGACACCTCTCCCAAGAGTACCTTAGACATCCATATTTACATACATGCATGCGCAGAGTTATCTCCACTAGTGATGTGTCTGTACCCATATGCTATCTCATCTCCGTGGTCTGCTCTTCAACTGAGACGCACCTGGGTTTATTGATTAACCTATTCACCAGGAGCAGCCAAAGTAATGCTAAGGTCAATGATTATTAGAACACTCAGTAACTTAACTACCCGTCTTATCAACCACACGTCTCAAAATGTTGCCGCGCCCGCGGACCGGTGCGATAATATAACTGTCAAGGACACCACTTGGCCAGCTTCTAGGGGCATTAGGCATACAGAATTTGAGCTACTAGCTAATGGATTGAAGTCCGTAATTGGCTATCGTGGCGATGGGTCAGGACCTAGCAACGACATGCGACCTGTCGCTCTAAGCCCATGTAATACCCCTCGGCGTCAAATGTGTGTAAGTCGAGGAATCATTGTGTGCGTAGTTCCATATCGTTGGTAGTGCCTTCGCATTCGATACTGCGTCAGAGAGACAGAGACAGAGACAGAGACAGAGGCAGAGGCAGAGGCAGAGAGATATCTATAAGTCTACGCAGCGTAATAGTACGCTAAAGCATCGATAATTTACCGAGATTTATAGTAGCACACACAGTGGTCGATCTGGGGGCATGTGATAGCGCGACCTCCCTATAACAGTCCCGGATGTTCCTAATAACTCCACTGTCGGCACCAGTGCTTCATCAAATCAGGGGTTACACCTCTGACAGACTTCATCGTTGGGCTGCGTTGCGTTGTACGCTTCATGTCAAACACCACGCTGCTTTTCCCCGCCTGATGAGCGTTAGCCATCGTTCGATAAGAATCGATCAACTTAACCCCTGGATTCTTATGCAGCACCTCGGTACCCTCAGCCCGGCTCTTCTCTAAGCGGTCAACCCAATCCCCAAAGCTGATGAGTTCCTGAATGCGGTCTTTGCCGTAGAACTCTTGGACGGCAGGCGCGAGATCCGCCCATGTAGTCGCGAAAGGGTTGACACCATGGTAGTAACCGCTGATATCATCGGGGTCGATTCTCTGAGACACGCCGGCAACTTCAAGGACCAAGCTCGCAATGCGTTCAGCTGGTGTCCAGTCAACCCGGTCCATGCTTCCGAGGTGGCTAGGCAGAGCTCCAAGATACAGGCTGCTGGCAATGATGGAGGGGAGCCACTCGTGCTTATTCCAGCAGCCCGCCGTCGATTCGGGGCCAGCGATCTGACCAACACGGATGATAGCGGTCGGAAAATCCGCTCTTTCGGAGAGATCCTCCAGAATAAGGCTGCCGATCATCTTGCTGCGCCCATAGCCCATCCCGGGAAGACTGCAGTCCTCAAGCCTTTCTTCCGGAACGGGTCCCCTGGTGCTATCCCAATTATTCGCCGTGTCGATTGACGAGACAAAGGCGACGGCCACTCGTTTAGAGGATTTTGCAGCAAAATCAGCGATGTTTCGAACCCCTCCAAGGTGAGGCTCGAACGATTCGACCGGAATATTGAAGTTGACCGGCCATGCATTATGGATCACGCGGTCGGCCTCTTCCAATAATCGATCATAAACGCCACGAGGGAGGCCAAAGCCAGGAAGCGACATGTCAGTATGGAAGAATTCGGCCTTCGATCCGTAATCGCCAGAAAGCCCCCGTTCCTTGACAGCAGTCGCCTGCCGTGAAGCCCCGCCATCCTCAGACCTATTAAAACAGATGACCTTCCTCACCACCGGGCTCCGCACCAGCAGATCTAGTATGTAAGATCCCAACATGCCTGTAGAGCCAGTGAGGATAATTGTTTGATCGTTATCGCTCGGGTCCCCTCTTCCTTCTTTTTTAGCCGGGAGAGAGCGCGTGTATTTTTCCCACAGCCCTTTCATCATCTGAATCTGGTTCTGCTCATCACCCTCAGGCAGAGACAAGGCCCCCTCCCGGAGAGAATAGATGTATCGTGCTAGCCTGCGAGGGGTGGGGTTCCTGTAGAGGGCGCGGGCAGTCAGGGCTGATGAATCAATCTTGATGCCAGACGCTTCCAGCCCAGAACGGAGGAGTTTGGAGGCGTTGATGATCTGCAGTGAGTCGATCCCTGCCGAGAAGAAGTCGGTATCCTGCCCGATCAAGCTCTTGGCTCCAATTCGGGTTCGAAACGTGTCTTCTATAGACTCTCTCAACGCGTCCTCTGAACTAGCATCAATCTGAGGTGGACGCAAACTGAAAAGCGCGCTGGCCTCCTCGTATAGCTTATCAATTTCAGCGTCGTATAGTTTCAGCGTGAGAGCACGTTGGACTGTGCCTTTACCGGCGCGAAGAAACGGCTTGTCCGTGTTGATCAACTTGACGAACTGTCGTGCTATCTGCCCGTGGGAAACCGTTACCTCGTTCGCCCGCACAATGCAGGGCCAGATGCTATCGAGCAATTTGTCGGCCTCCTGATCGTTCGCGGGGGCTTCGAGGGGTTCGATGAGCAGCCCAGGTTGAAAACGGTTAGATCCCACAACCAACGCACCCTTGACACTAGGATGATCCCCAACAATTTCCTCAATGGTTACCGGGTTCAACTTTTCTCCGTTCGAGAAGACGATGATGTTGTCAGATCGCCCGTAGTGGATCCAGTGGTCCGGGAGACGAGGATGTGGCTTGAAGAGATCATTCGTATCATACTCGTTCAGGTCCGGGAAGGTGTAGAAGATTCCTTGCAGTCCCGGGTGCTTGTCTTTGCGGACAGCGACTAATCTATACACCTCGTCATCCCCCGGGACTCTACGCCAGTCCGCACCGAATAAATCCGAGTTGATAATGAAGTACTGCCAAAGTTCGGGGGTTTTCTGGGCGTATATGGGATAAGGAATCGACCTGAAGTAGGTTAGTAGGCTGGACTAGTCGTGTGCCAGAGAGTAGCCTTACTCGGTGGAACCAATGAGATTATAAAGTCGCACTCCTTTCTTTGCCAACCTGTTCCCTGCGTCTCTGTTGAGAGACCCTGATATAATTAGTATTCCATCAAAACTTAGGAGGCACCTCATAGGAACAACGAAATAACGAACCTCCGCCGAATGCGACAACATTAAGCTGGGCTAATGGTTCGATATATTCGTCACTCTGGCTCATCTCCTCCAGGACTGCCGGCGGAAGTATAACCCCGCCCACGTTGGCGTTTTCTAGATACTCCACCACGAGGTCCGTAGATAGGGGACGATCGCTAGCCGCAAAGGCGATCCGGTAATCCCAGTACATCGAAAAGGCGAACAAGTACAACCCGCCAGCGTGGAAGAGGGGCACTGGCAGCGAGGGTCAGTTGGACAAACAAGTTTCGAAGAAGGGACGAACTTACTTGTCAGGAGGGTTCTCTGTGAAGACTCCGCAAAACTTCGTAACCAAGGTACTGCCCCGTGGAAGTTTGATAGGTGATGGTGCGAATCACCAATGGCCAGCATCCCGTGTGTTCCGACAATCGGCTTTGGGATCCCAGTGCTCCCGCTTGTGTGCAAGACTACTAGTGGCTCCCATTGAGCTTGCTCAAACGATTTCTCGTAGGGAAAAGACTCCACGGCCTGTTCCGAAAACCATTCCTCAATGGAGGCAACCTCGATAGTGTTCATATCACGTTGCTGTAGCCAAGGGCGAACTATGGCTCGGTATGACTTTGGAAAGGCTAGAGTATTACAGTCCGTCTTTTCGAATAGGCTGAGCTGGCCCTCTTGGGAGTTTCGTGGGGAGATGAAGAGGGCCTAGGAGTAAATCAGCTGAAAGGCCGCTCTACTTCGAAAGGATGCTTACCTTGTAGCCAGCCTTCACCGCACCAAGAAGCAGGACCACGTACCGCGCGTCATTAGGGCCGATATACGCTATCGTCGGAAAGGCACCGGCGGGAGGGCGTCCACACACTTCAATGATCCTGTGCGCGGCACGATTGATGGCATCGGAATATTCCTTGAATGTGACGGCCTTCCAACCATCTTTCGGATTTGAGGAGCGAGGTATAGAGAAAGCCTCCCGCCCAGGGTCTCTGGTCGAGATCTCATCTATCAGATGCGGAAGTAGTCGGCGTCCGTATTCCGGCCGGCCTGATCCATTCGTGTTCTCGTCGTCCATCTCGCCGGCTTTGCCTAGTAGCGGTAGAATAAAGAACGGGGTTCTTGAGATACTCAAGGGAAGGGGCACTAGGCAAGATCTTACAACCGGTAGGTCTTTTACCGCAAATCTTCAACCTCGTATGGCACGAGAGATAATTCAACTAACAAGGAGGGCTATAGGTATATATAGCTATGCTAGATATCGGATTGGATTATTCTAATATGCGGGAATTGTCGCGTCTTCGGCCTGAACCATCGCGCTTTCGGGGCTCGTCGCCATTACGTGATAGACGAAAGCAAGTCTACGTATTTCCGGGCCAGGCCACCGACGAAACAAGCGATTCCGAGTGCTACCACGCCCCCTGGATGGGTACTCCTCAAGCCAGATATAACGCAAGAGGTTGGGATAGACTTAGGAGAACAATTGATACCGGAACTAAGAGCCAGATGGCGAGTTGCACGCATATGATTTGTCGTCCCTAGTCCAGCTAGATAGCATTAGATACCGTAGAGCCCCGTATGTGGAACTCGTCTCCCGGCGGGTTTAAGATGGAGAATTCGTCCACCGACACTTTTACACAAGCGGGACTAGTCAGTTCTTCAGATATCTGTGCGGGCTCGTGGGCAAGGTATACACGGCATGGCTGGAAGTAACAATTTGACGATTGCATGTAGACCTCGTGATGGTGTGAGTGTGGTGGTGCTCGTCATCCACATGCTCTAGGACGAATTTCACTTATTCCCGAGATGCTCGGATATTTGCTGCGTTGTAGCACTGTGACCCTCAGCCCAGGCCAAACTGCAGGTCATCTAAGATAGACGGCTCGGTGGATAAGGTGGATGGCAGAAGGGTGAACGAGATCGGCAATCAATTTATATTCGCGGGTTATTTCCGGCACCTGGGAAAGGAAATAACTCCATCTTGGTATGAACCGTGTCCTTGGCCTAGACGGTGAAGCGATCCATGGCATGTAGATTTATGGAAATGGATTGGGAGTAAAATGCGTCCGCTCCATCACCGAGGCCTACGTAACACAGAATGCATATTGATATCAGAACATCGCAGGAGGCAAAAGCCGTTGTTGTATCCCCTGTTCACTCTAGAGCGGGCACCAGAGCTGCCAAGCATCGATCCCGTACCCTTCTAGTGTTGATATCCCGGCGTTCCGCTTTAGCGCCCGACGCGGCGCCCCACTCGTTCTTCTGAGTCGCGACACCATGCCACCGAGAGTACCGAATCATCTGTTCAGGGTCGAATCCAGCCATTATATCCACCTCCGACAATGCCGGCATCCAGGAAGACAGCGGCCAGATGAACGAGGGCAAATTTGCGCATGTACCTACCTAGAGAACGTACATCAGGTATGCATGGCTTATTTTATTGAGAAGTGCTGCATAGATTTGATCGTATTTTTCCACAATATTGAGGCCAAGTCTGCATGCATACATGACCGTACACCTACATTGTCCAACACCATCTAAAGGCTAGAATCTACTATTGTGAAGACGCCGCTAGTTATTCCGTCGATACCTATACAGTAATACAACTAATCGGTCGTTATACGCTTTGTTGTCGGGTCCGCATTGGTTGCCGTTGAGAAGGCTTTCCGTAGTCATTTGCGGGTTTCTAAATAAGCTACTAAGGAGGGGTTGAATAGTCAGTGCCGTTAACATGTGCTAGTAGGCGAGTCGCCTAGGTGAGGGCTGTTCCCTGCTGCCGATGTCAAGGAGCCACATAGAGTGTCAGAAGTAATAGCATCATCTAGTCCTAGGCTAAATATGGTAAGCTAACTCTTACGAGCAGATGAGCACGTATAGGAACTAGACGCGGGAAAGTGTATACCCCAAAATTTGCCGTGTCATAATGTAGGGTTACATTATGTCGACTTCCTAGCGATGGAAGTGTGGGATGGTTATTGCAGTTGATGTTGCTTCTGGGCATGTGAAACACGCGATAATATAGAGGACGATCTAATCGGTCGTGTACGTACTGACGTACCTCACGTTATCATATCACCAAGTATCCTGCCGCTTACTATTTACAGCTAGTTTACTATCCTGCCTCCACTCATTCTGCTTAAGATCGTATCCAATGGCCCAGTACTCATCTAGCAAACAGGTGTTGACTTTAGATGCCCGTTTATGTGTATAGTGTATGAATGAGGTTTAAAGCATTAGGAGTAAACAACGCCGTCGGCAGGGCAGAACGACGAGATTAACGGATTGCTGTGACGAGAACAACCATAGACCTCGCTTCTGGGAAAATGAAACAGTTAGGGCTCTTTACACTACCCCCAAGGTAAGAGAGCAGGATTATTGCCTTAACCAAGCCGCGCAGATCCAGGTTTGAGTAAGGAGACTTTACTATGATTGGCATAGCTAACAGGTAGGATGCACCATCTAATACTAAAGGTCGCCTTACAGATTTTTATAGGTCTTACTACCGTATAGTATTTTGTTACAAAGGGGAGTTATAAGGCCCCCGGAGATATGGGTTATTCAAATGTTGAGCAAGTATCAAACGGAATATTAATTCGTTTAATTAGTTGGGATTAATACAAACCAGGACAATCAAATGTACTTGTTGCTCAACCCCCACCTGACTTTTCAATTTATTTTATGACTTCAAACCTCCGTCGTAAAATTTTGTCGAAGATGATAAAATTTCAGTTGTGCACACACATGTAGCATCGTTAATACATAATACGCCGCGTAGTGACCTATAGGTATTATAAGTTTATTTATTCAAACAAGGACCTACAAGGGTCTATATTTTCACCTAGCGCCGAAATGATGATAGAGGACAAGGAGTTTCTAGTATTATTGACAATCTCGTCGATGCCGGCAGTAAATTATCTGATCTGATCATGTAGCGGCTATTTGTCGTGAGCCCTTATTATCCGTTCTAGTTGATACCTTCGGGGTGGTCATCCCCTACGGGCTAAAGGTTGTTCATAAGCCCTTGTAATAAATTTGTCCCTGGTAGAACCCGGTGCTTCATGACACTTTTCCTATAAGACGGAGACGTTGCGTTGTTCGGCTTTGGTATAATCGGCTACGATTGCCTTAATTATGAACTACGATTTAGCCTCCGTACTGAATTATTTCCCAAGTGCTTTTCATCTACGTGGCTCTCCTATGCCATATGATATGACGAACCTCTGAACCTATTTATCTCGTTGTGTTGGCTAGTATGTGAGTTTATTGTTACGATTCCTATATAATATGATACGTAGGTTGCATCGTATACCAGCGTAAAGCATTACATATCTCACCCTACTTGTCATCTCCTAGAAGCTGATCGATTTCGGCGTGTAGTTAAAGCTAGGTGACGCGCGTCGTTCCACGATAGGCTCCGTCGAACAGAAGGATCATGTAGGAATTCTGCAGTCAGTCTTGACAGGTGTGATAGCTTCGGCACGAACCAGCGTCTCAACCTCGATCACTAAAGTTAACCTAGAGCTTTATGCATAACGTGTCCTAGCCGGGGGCTTGTGGCCTCTTCAGCAACGACGACCACACACCATGCATACCTCCAACCTAACTTCTGGAGGGGCTATCATGGGAGTGGCGTAGCCTACGAACGGCAATAAAACCAACCCAGCAAGCAGTAGTAGGAAGACAAAGTCATGGAAGGGAGAGGGGACTTGGGGTGGCAAATCCGCGTATCTAGGCGACGGTAGCGGCGACAGAACCCGCTGCAGCCGCATTTTAGATCCAGGAGTCGGGTTACAGCGTCTGTATTTTCCTATCCTAGTCTGGACCGGGAAAGAGCACCAATGGTTCGTGATCCGGTAAATTAGAATATCGTTGGGGTATAAAGCTGCTGTGAGGTGCTTAGAAGGGCCGACTTTTTTGGACTGAACGGCGTAGAAGGTGACATGGGGAGAGATCGAAGCGTTCGGATTCAAGTGAGAAGATTATCAATATCTTCGCCATGCAAACCGTGAATGGATGGAGAACCCAGATTTGCTTCAACAGCCCACGCCTGCCCTTAGAACATGTCCGGCCTATTTATCGGATCGAGAGTGATATCAACACCGGCCCTGCCTACGGCTGCTTTTTCTTTCCCCTGTAGAGATATCTGCAAAATGAGGTTAGCTGTCGTGGCCCACCCCTGGTGTGCCGATGCAACTTCGGTATTCATATTATTTCGAAAAAGACGCGGTGTGGATAGCGGGGCACTGACCGTCCAAGAATTCCCTCGACGAGGCTAACACCGACGATAATACCAGTACCTATACCAACATTGGACCAGCCCACGCGTCCACGCTCGTATAGGCCCCACGCCTTGTAGCCTACGTACCCGCTCAGTCCAACAACGGCAGTTAGGTTCGCAACCACCAATGCCGTGGTAGCGGTGTTGCCTAGTTCACTAAACCACTTTGCGGCGGCGCTGTCCGCCCTGCGTACCCTTCCCGTGCCCTTCTTTTTAGCCAGATGTGCCTCGGCCCGGGCACGTTCGGCAGCGCCCTCAAGCTCGCGGCGGGTGGCTTGGGTTTCGGTCTGGATGTCTTGCTCTGAGAAGTCAGATGGCACCGTCCGCACCGATGGAGTATCGACGTCAATTAAGGATCCGGTGCTTGCCGGCTCGGAGGGCACAAGTTCGGGCGGTCGAGGAGCAGAAGCCTAAGATATCCAAGGTAAGCTCCCATCAATAAATATCCACCACGAGATGGGGGGCGGGGGGAGTGGATGCAAGGAGCGAAACCGGGAGAGGCGACGGGTAGCCGGGACGGAGATGGGGGAGGGTCCAAGGGGATGCCCTACCTCGGCAAGGGACTGCCGATGGCCGGACGCAGCTACAGAAGCGTATGACACTGTTGTAAGAGGTCAGCTAAAGGCCCAGAACCGAGGAGGAGGGGCCAAGCTCTTACTCTTGATAGGTACGCGGTGGCAGTGGGCAAAGTGGAAGCGGGAAAAGATGTCGGTATTCGCAAATGACGGCGAGGATTACCATGAGAACGGGCACTGCAGGTCGCTGGAGGTACCAAAGGTGCCAGCAATGAGGGTGCGGCGTAATTTGGCGGCGTGGAGAATAAAGAAGAAATGGAAACGACTTGTGCGGCAGCGGGAGGAAACCACCTAGGTTATGATCGCGACTGCCCTGGCGGACAGCCACGTCTAAGTTGCCAGGTACAAATAGATGACGTATTTTCATCCCCACAGCTGTGTTGTTCTATGAGTCCAGCCGCTAACGCGGTTTGTGTCGTGCATATGCGGTAATCCAGCTGTCAATTGCCTCACTTTATGGGCTATCTGGTATGTATGAGAGGTACCTATAACCTATAGGTAGGTACCAGGTACGTGGTTTAGTGGGGCGTATCTCACCCCACCATCTGTAGGCAGGTACCTACCTCCTTCTAAGTGCCTGTCGTAAAGGCCCGAGGTACCTGAACCTATATGGAGTCTGTATTGTAAATGGATGTTCAAGGTACCTGCCTCTACCCTCTTCTCCGTATAGACCTCGAAGTTAGGCGCCTCCTACAGTTGGGGGGGGTACTTAAGGTGGGCATATAATGGAACTCAACATGCAGCTTACCTAGGTACCTAGGTAGAACTTACATCCCTGGTATTCGTAGGAGGTCAGTAGCATTATCCTAAGTACCTATCCTAAGTACCTACCTATATTAGGTACCTAATTTAGTCTATCTTTTCTACTCATACGTATGCGCGTCACGTGCCTACAGGCATTACCCCTTAGGTATTTTGTCCAACTCGAGTTTTCATTCCGCCCCGCCCCCTGTCCCCCTCTCTCCTCCGATATCGAAATTCACGTAAACACGACCTTCCCAAGGCTTGAGTGCCGGGATCCTCGCATGCTTGCCAAGAGCCAGCAGCAAGTCTCCACCATCGCTGCTACGTGTGCTGGCCAGACATCTCACAACACCATCAGCACTGCCGTCGAGCGACCTTCTAATATCCGGACAGTCCCGGTCCTGCTGGGAAAAGTTCATCACTACCACCGCCACCCTTTTCAACCCTCTACCGTTTATGGCATTGTCACGGCCATCCACCTGGTTGGGGCCGCCTCCGCTTCCTGTGCAGCTTTCTTTCACGTACGCGAAAATGGCCTCGTCATCGGCTTCCAGCAGTCGAAACGTCCCAAAGACGAACAAGTCTTTGTATTGCTTTCGCAGCCGTAGGATACGCTTGTAGAAGCTTAGGATGGAGTTCGGATCCCCCGCCTGCCTTGCGGCGTTAATCGCCTTGTGGTTGTCGTGGACACGCATCCATGGGTTTACGCCTTCGCCTGTGAACCCCGCATTGGCGGAATCATCCCACTGAAAGGGAGTACGCGAGTGGTCTCGGGCGAGGATGCGCAAACCATCCATCGTGTCTGTTTCCCTCTTCCGGTCCCCGGACGCCAGAGCTTCCGCGTAGTAATTCAGCCCTTCCACGTCTCTGTACTCGTCGATCCCCCACGTTGCCGGCATGTTCGTCATGCCGATCTCCTGGCCCTGATATAGAAAGAGCGTCCCCGTCGACGTAGCCTGCCAGAGCGCTAGCGCCTTCGCGCTGGCCTGCCACAATTCTGGCGTCGAACAGTCTCCAAACCGGCTCACTGCTCGCCCATTATCGTGATTCTCGCAGAAGACGGTTGTCCAGCCGTCCGTGCCTTCGATGAAGGTCTGCCATCTCGACACGGTGGCCTTGAGTTCCGGCAAGGTGAAAGGCACATACGTGTACTTTGATCCGAATAGGCCGCCCGTACCTAAACGAATCACGGAGAATTCAAACACCATATCGAGCTCCTCTGCTGCCGCTGATACGTACGGCAAAACTTGGCTCGGATGCGGTGTATTCGATAGCTCGCCAACCGACACGGCGCCGTAGGGGTCGAGGACCTTGGACCGCATCTCGTGAATAAATTCGTGGATCCGCGGTCCGTTACACCACATCTCCGGAGCCGGCTGGTAAGGAGAGCCGGGGACCGTAATCGGCACGTCCGCGTACGCGGTATTTTTACTGTATTTGTTTACAGTGTCGATCCTGAAACCGTCGATCCCCCGTTCGAGCCAGAACCGCATCGTGTTGCGGTAAATGGCTTCGCGGCACGCCTCGGATTCCCAGTTGAGGTCGGGCTGTTCTGGAGCATACAGGTGCAGGTAGTATTCCTGTGTATGTTCGTCCCACGTCCACGTCGGGCCAGCAAAATACCCCTGCCAGTTTGTCGGGGGAATTCTCTGCCCGGCTGCATCGTATCGCGCCGGCTTCCAGATGTACCAGTCTCGCTTGAGGTTGACCTTGGACGAACGAGACTCCTTAAACCACTCGTGCTCGATGGAGGTATGATTCACCACCAGGTCCAGAATCAGCTTCATGCCACGAGCATGGCAGGCTTCCATAAGCGCATCCACATCTCTGACGGTGCCGTATGGTGCGTAGATCTTTTGGTAGTCGGACACGTCGTACCCCATGTCGGCTTGCGGGCTCTCGAAGACCGGCGAGAGCCAGATCACGTCAACGCCGAGTTCGTGCAGGTAGTCAATCTTGGAGATGACACCTGGAATATCGCCCCAACCATCCGCGTTGGAATCCTTGAAGCTTGCCGGGTAAACCTGGTAGAAAGTAGCATCTTTCCACCATGGCACCTTGCCGAGGCAGCCCGTTCTACGATATAGGCCGTTCATGACCCTCCGATATTGCCGGGGAACCCGTCGTTCCTCTGCTATATGACCGGGGAATCGAAGAAACGAAGACGAGGAACGGTGAATTTCGGCAGCACTATTCACAAACAGACTCGCGATATGGGATTATGCTTGGCTAAATAACGAGTCGGAAACACCCAACCCCGAGTCGTGCCCGTAGCGCCGTGCCGGGTCGGAGCCCTCCTGTTCAATGCCTGCCGCCATTGTTTAGTTTTCTCACGAGGAGTCGTTACTCCTAACAAGAATGCTACCCGCCAAGCTAGTCTAGGGTGTTGCGCCGGCCTGGCAGGGAAACTCCGCCAGGTCCGACTTACCAATAAGAACACCGTCACTCCGACACCCCAGATTATTCTATGTAGCAATATTTAGTCGCGGCTGAGAATCTCCACTCTCCAAGTCAGGTCCTCCCAGCGACCGAACGATCTTCTATCCGCTCTGCCGCACCCCAAATGGGTCAACAGTCGGTTCATTTCTCCACGTGGAACCAAGATAGATTCCGTACCCATCACGCATACACGGCGGGATAGTCCACCCTCGGAAACTGTGGGCGAGGCTGGGGATAAATAACCACACCAGCGCTCCTAAATGCGATGTCCCTGCGATTCCTCACCACACCAATAAACTCCCTCTCCGCATTGCGAAGCCGTTGAAAGACAACTCAATATGACGAGTGAGAAGCCGGATGTATTGGGCGACGAGACAGGCCCCGAGCGCATATATAGTATGGATCCGACGCGAGATAAGATGCTCATCTCGGAGGCCAAGCACGCTACCAATGCCGAGCAGCATATGACGCTCCTGGAAGCCATCAGGCTATACCCGAAGGCAATCGGGTGGTCGGTTCTGCTCTCGTCGACGCTCATCATGGAAGGGTACGACCTAGCGTTGCTCGGAAACCTCTACGCCTCTCCCGTGTTCAACCAGAAATTTGGCACATACAGCGAGGAGAAGGGCAAGTGGGCGGTTTCTGCTGCTTGGCAATCCGGGCTCTCTAACGGCGCGCGGGCGGGTGAGATCCTTGGCCTCATCCTTGCTGGTTGGGTCTCGGATCGCTACGGGTACAAGATGACGACGATCGCGTCTCTGATCCTAATGATCATGTTTATATTTGTGCTGTTCTTTGCCCCTAATGTCCAAGTCCTTGTTGTTGGTGAGGTGCTCTGCGGTGAGTCAATCGGCGCGCGAATCAGGAATAAGCCGATTTCCCCTCGGGAGCTAACCTCTTCCTAGGTGTTCCTTGGGGGGCCTTTCAGTCCGTCACCCCCGCGTATGCATCTGAAGTGGCTCCCATCGTCCTAAGGCCATACTTGACGACCTTTATAAATATGTGCTGGGTCATTGGCCAGTTCTTCGCAGCTGCTGTAAACAAGGGATCCGTTGACCGTTCGGACGAGTGGGCATACAGGATTCCGTTCGGAGTTCAGTGGGTGTGGCCCATACCTATCCTCGCCGGGCTTATCTTCGCACCCGAGTAAGGAGCCGAGTCAAGGTGGAGAGGGCAAGGAGGCAAGCTAATACGTCGGTCTGTTAGGTCGCCGTGGTGGCACATACGGCATGGCAATCAGGAGGCGGCTAGGGCGTCTTTACTGAGACTGACATCTCGCAATGATCCAACGTTCAATGCGGATGAGACTATTGCTATGATCGAACACACCAACGAGCTCGAGAAACGGATGAAGCAAGGTCTCACTTATCGGGATTGCTTCAGGGGTATTGACCTACGACGAACGGAAATTGTCGTGGGTGTCTGGCTTGTCCAGACGCTCGGTGGCCAGAACATCATGGGCTACTTCGCTTATTTCTTGTAGGCTCGCGAATTAAATTCCTTCGACAGGTCGCTGCAAAAATATTTCTAACGTGTTACAGGACCCAGGCTGGTATGGAACAGTCCAACTCCTTTTCGCTCTCCATGGGACAGTACGCGCTGGGCATGATCGGCACAGCCGGCTCCTGGTTTCTCATGTCTCGCGTCGGCAGACGAACTATTCATTTCAGCGGCCTATGCTGCCAGCTTCTTATCTTGATTATCGTCGGCTCCCTGTCGTTTTCCAGCGAGAATGGCTCAGTATGGGCAATCGGTGCGATGCTGATCGTGTTCACGTTCGTGTACGACTTCACGGTTGGTCCCGTCACATACTCGCTAATCTCCGAGCTGTCCTCGACACGATTAAAGGCCAAAACGATCGTCCTCGCCCGCGCTGCTTATAACGCTAGCAACATATTCGTTAATGTTATAACCAACTACCAACTCTCATCCACAGCGTGGAACTGGGGCGCGAAGACCGCCTACTTCTGGGCCGGAACCTGCTTGCTCTCCGCCGTCTGGGTATTTTTTCGGTTACCAGAGCCGAAGGGTAAGTTTAACGTCCCCTCCCTAGCTTCAAGGTTCGACCTTACCGTAGTACGGTCTGACTCTAACGACTCCTATCTCCATCGTCCAGACCGAACATACGCCGAGCTAGACTTGCTTTTTGATAGACGGGTTCCGGCACGCGAGTTCGCCAAGACAAAGATAGACCCATTCGCCCAGTGGTCGGACGATGCCGTCGAAGAGATACCGACCAACGGTAACCCTAACAAAGAACTACAGTAGTCGTGGCAATGGGTTCCGGATACTGTGAGTCACAGTGAAACCATCTAGGAACCCCCATGGGTCAAGATAAATACGATAATTCCAAAGCCTCGATCTGGCTGCTCTCGCCTGGATCTTCATCAGTTGCCGAATCCCGGTGTTTGTTATAAACAGGTAAAGCGTACATAAAATTACCTCAGATTTCTAGCGCAGCTAGCATGTCAGGCAGCGTCTGTTGAATATGCTTCGCTAGCAAAGCATCGTAAACCGTAGAACCGCCAGGCAATTGTTGCATTAGTTTTCTGATATATCTCAGGTCTTCCTCGGCCGCCGTCTCGGTGATTTCTACCGGCACACCAGCCAGAACGTTGATGACGGCGCAAGCTACGTCGAACACCTTTTCCGTGATCCCCACCCCATGCACCTGAACGCTGACAACTGGAAGATCGCGCGTCGAAAGCGTCAGATCCTTCGCCACTTCCAACGGATAGCGATAGGTACGACTGGGCAGCGGTCCCTGATCTACGAGGTGACCAAGCCGCAGGCGAAGCTGCCAGAGAATGATGCGAAGCCAGAGCTGTGTTATGCGGAGGTTGGCCTTCTGCGTCGGATGGAGGCTATCCGGACTAGAGTGGTTAAGTGCGGTGTTGATAGCTATTTCGACGCCGTCGAGCGCATCGGCGGGTAAGGGGCGAGAAAGGACTTCTTGATTGAGCAGAGCTATGAAGGTAGTGTCTAGAGACTGAAACAGGGCCGCCAAACACCGAAACCCGGCGAGCGAATTGTTTGCCTCGTTATCTGAGGATGGAAGCGATGGACTGAGAGACGTGACTTGGAGTGTACTAGGACGCCGGTAACGGATGGCGTGCGACCTCTCGGATATCAGAAGCACCCAGAATAGCCGCTCGGCGAGCATCTGTGACAGGGTATCCATATCCTCGGGCTTGATTAGGAGAAGGAGTGTCGTGGCCTCGCGAATGAAGAAGAAGGCCTGGGAATGGTGAAACAGGATAGCATGGCACGCGTAAATGAAGAACACGAGCAGGACGGAGTCGAGCGACGGACTCGATTTACGTGTCAGGTGACGATGCGCGGCCAGAGCCTCCTCGAGCAAGAGCCAACCGTAGGCGGCATTGTCCTCGACCACCATGGATTGGCCCCACGACTGGGCTCCTGTCTTCTCGACCTGCAATATCACCATTGCGCACACGCCCAGCAGAACGCAGTATGCCTCGCTCCCGGATTCGGAAGCGGCTCGGGTTTTGAGAATGCCGACGTACTCGGGCGTCAGGATCGGGATGGTCGGGGCGAGATCCTCGAAAAAGCGCCTCGAGCAGTAGTCGACGACTTGGTGGGGGAGCAGACCAGCCTTCCTCTCAAACGACTCCCTCGGGAAGCTCACGAAAGTCTGCGGGCTTGTAGGCAAACCCGCCGGGTTCGCCAACGCCGGCGTCGCGGCGGGACCGATCAAGAGTGTGCGTCCAGAGGCAGGGAGCGCGTCGGCCCCCGACGCCCCGGAAGCGGAGCGGACCTGCGACTGCTTCGATGGCCTGGGAGCGACGCCGCTGCACTCGTCTGCGAGGTCGGCCCGAGCGCATCGCAGACATGGCCGCAGGTTGCTGCACGCCTTTTGGAGCTTCCTACATCGCTGACAGGCTCGAGAGACCTGCACTCTCTTCGTTCGAGGCGGTGGCACCGGGCTAGATCCTGTCGCGTCCGGGACACGGGGCTGGGAGGTCGAAGGTGGAGAAGGGCACGTCTGGCCGTGCCGCTGTTTACCCTGCTTGCGGAGCGCGCCCATGGCTGGCGAGTTGACGGGTTGGTTTGGGCCGCACAACGACACACCAAGGTCTGCGATCAAAATTGTTGTCTGGTTGCTACGCGTGTCGGTCACAGGTAGATGCCTAGACATGCAAAGAGGGCATCCCCATATCATCGTTTTTTTTTTCTCGCATGTGTAGAGGGACAGTTGGGGTTCACCGAAGCTAGCAAACCGTGGGCATTTTATCACCCGCACTCTTCATTATTTATCGTAATACCATACTTGCACTATTCTTCTCCATCATCACATGCCCCTAATTTTCGAATTTATCGACCGGGCTGCGTATGTAACCTCTCATCACCTACCTACCTAACTGGTCCAGATCCCCTCGACCGATCTCTCTTTGGGTCATCACCACCCTCACCGCCATAGTTATCGTTCCTATCGGCAAGGCACGCGCGACCAATCTGCGCGAAGAGGTGGTAGGCGTTTCTTCAGGAATCTTGTGCGATTCGCAAGTAGGTATTTTACAATATTACACACATCATATATACAAGGCTCGGTGCTACTACCGAGCGCACCGTAAACCCCTCTTTGGTTATATTATTATATCCCAATGGCGCCACTGCCGATCTCAGCTCTGCCCTCTATTGGACGGTACGGAGCTGCCGCGTGTCATCGGGATCCCGAGGTGCCTGTACTTTCCCACTCAAGGCTGCGCCGGCGGAATATTCTGCTTCTCCGTCTCCTTTATCAACTGGGTGGCCTCCGCCCCTGCTACCTTGTTTTCCTCGGAGCCTGTTTCTTTCGTCTCCGCAGTTTCAGATTCCGGTGCTGTGGTAGCCGGAGGGTTCCGGGTTGGGGCTGTCGTGCCGGCTGCCGCGGTATCGCCGGGCGTCGCTGTAGAGACCTCGTCATCATCGGGATCGTCCAATTCTTCCCCATACACCTCGGGGTGAAGTCGGAAGCAGTCTTGCATGTGCCTGTTCAATTTGTCAGGGCGCGGGTACACGGCGTTAACAGTGTGAGTGGGATTTACTGGAATTTATCGATGCAATCCATCCCCTTGGGTTCTTCCTTTGAATAAACGAAGCAGCTGAATGCCGCTCTGAACTGCTCGCCACAAGGACCATGAGCCATACCCCCGAGGCATGGACAGTCCCAGTTAATCTCGCCCGTCTCCGGGTTGAAGGCGCCCTGCTGATTTGCCTCTTCTTCTAATGCTTCCGGGCTTCCCGCAGGGGGTGCAGCATGAGCGGACGTCTCGTCGTCGTTTGCCGGCGCCGCGGGGGGGGTCTCGGGGGGGCGCGTAGCGGTCGGCTGTTCGGCGGGCAACAGGGCCTTTTGACGACGTGCTTCAGCCTCTCGACGCTTCTGCGCTATGACGGCCTCGATCGTGGGAAGATCATCATCGGAAAATTGGGGCGGCGGCTGTATCGTCTTGGCTATCTCCAAGGTCGTAGAGTTAGCTAATTGCGCATTGACGGTGGGAGGAGTGAGGGATGGAGCTGAAGCGAACATCGAGGGGGTTGTCCACGTACGCAATGCTTCTTCGGCGAAGACGGCACTCGTGCTATACCAGGATACGAGGGAAATAGCGAGCGCCCATCTCGCGGCCGAGTTCTTCCAACTTCGCTTCTTGTTCGGGGCCGATGTTGAGGCTAATCGTCTTCCGCTGGTCGGGAGCGCACTCTGCCGAAGCGAGTTTACGACTCGTGGCGAACACCGTAGGGCGGGTCTAAACATGCTCGCTTAACGCCGGCTCTGGGTATTTCGCCAAACGGATTCGTTGTTAAAAAAAGACAGACGCAGTGATGTAAGGTCGGCGTCGGAGGGAGGGAGGGAGGTAGGTAAGTAAGTAGGTAGGTACCTATATAGAGGGGAGAAGAGACCTGGAAGAGTTGCTATCTTAGCACGCGGCCTGGGCGAAGAGGCGGGTTTGTAAGCTGGTTGGCCTGCGTAGGTGTACACGTATACGAGTAGGTGTGAATATGAGTAGGTGTGAATAAAAACTTAGGAAATGCCGCCCTCCAAAATTTTGCGATGTCATCGAACCCTGGCGTTGGGGTTAGTCTTGTCGCTAACCTAGCCTGTAGGTACCTAACAGGTGATAAGAAGATGGTAAGATGACTAACGAAGACGCTGATGTTTCTTGCAATAATATTGTATGCATATCTGGACTTTGGACCTGGGTACGGAGGGCGACATTTGACATCATAGGGTAGGTAGGTACCTAACCCAAACGTAATCGGCATTCGAGCAATTCTCCCACCGAAATGCCATCGTCACTTATACCCGTATACCCCTATTTATGTGTGAAGGCTGCACCTCATGACGTCTTCCGTCTTCTCTTTTTAAGAAGCTTTACATTATTGTAGGTATTGCTTTACGTACATGCATCGTATCCTGCGTATTCTCTCGGGCGAGAACGGCAGCTCTATCTAGCCTCGCGTCATCCTCCGACTTCATACCGGTGCCCCGGGACAGCATCCTCAATGTCTACGCCACCATCTGCTATCCTCAATGTCGAGCTAATCCAACCATGTCACGTACTCTATTTGTCTCACTCGATTCCTCTAAATTCGCACCGCTTCTACTGCTACCGCATCTGTAGCTAAGTCTGTCAACCCTTTCACAGCTACATTTTTTTTCTCTCCCTCACTAAATCCCTGTTTAATAATCATACTTAGCCCCCACCGTCACCGTCACCGTCACCATCATGAGCAGTAACGGAGGATCTGCTGTTACGTATACGGAATGGCATCCTATCCGACAGCTCTTATCCTATGCTGGATACGATTTCGCTTTGATCATTCTCAACCAGCCAATTCACGATGAAGGCTTGTTTAGCGACCTCTGGAGAACAGGTACGCCCTCCCGCATCTGGTGAGAGTGGATGCGTACTTTGTTTCTCCCCGTCATTCTAATCTCCCTCGTAGCGAAAACGAGGGTCGCGGCAGACGGCGGTGCTAACCACGTGTACGATCTTTATCGAAAGTCCCCTTCTACCTCTGCCGGTGCATATGTGAGTTGGACGACGCCCGTGGTAGTCCCTTTGCATCTGCCCGAGTCTGGTGGTGGACTGACTCCCCGTGCAGATAAACCTTAACACTATCATCGGGGATCTAGACTCGATATCTGACGAGGCGAGGAGCTTCTACGCCGCGAAGCCGGCGTGTTGCACCATCATCCGTAATCCAGACCAATACTCGACAGACTTTACGAAAGCCGTGAGGTACGTCCGCGAGAAATTTCCCGGTAAGGATATCCTTTGTATGGGTGGGCTCGGGGGCCGTGTCGACCAGGGACTGAGCCAGCTGCACCACCTGTACATATTTCAGACGTCGCCGACCTATGCCGACGGAAAGATATTCCTCCTCTCGGGGGAGAGCTTATCCTTCCTCCTCAAAGCCGGGGGACATCGCATACACGTGCGCGAACCCGGCGCCGTTACCACCGACTTCGTGCGCGTGACTGGCGATCCATTCGCCAAACACGTCGGTATCATCCCCGTCGGCAGGCCTAGCGTCATCACGACAAAGGGCCTCGAGTGGGACGTCGAGAACTGGCCGACCGAGTTCGGGGGCCAGATGAGCACAAGCAACCATCTCCTACCAGAGACGAGCGTCGTCGAAATTGAGACTACGACAGATGTGATTTTCACGATTGCCCTTAAACGGGCCCCGGATGCGAACTAGACTGTTCTCTTTGCGACTTAGCGGATACCATGTCGGGCGAAAGGTGCGCCGTGAGCACTATCCGGCGATGGGGGCCGGAATCCCCGCGATCGTGTCTGGGTTTTTGCTTTCTGGCAGTTCTCGGCGGAATGCTAATGGTTGGCAGCCGCCCGATGTCGAGCGAACGTGGGTAGAATAACGACGTCTTATGAGGGTGAAAGCGAATGGAAAGTGTATATCCGACTAGCACCACAACTCCCCGCTGAACACTGCACAATATTGGGTAGTGAGCTTGGTGACATTTAAGAAGCCCTTCGCAAGCAACTCCATTTTTGCCACGGCGTAGGCAACACTCCCGTTCTTCTTTTTGAAGTCCGCGAGCTACGTAGAATCACCGTAGGAAATGGAGACACAGCCAGCAAAAGACGATGAATATCACCACCCCGACCCAGAAGATCCACTTGTCCTGCTTCGCTCTTCGCTCGATCATGCGGATCGTGTCGCCGCTGACGCCGAGCGTGTTGGCCACGCTGTACAGCCTCTTCTGGGTATTCTTCAGCATCTCCCGCTGCGTGCCCAGGTCGCCGAGCACGGCCTGCCCTCGCGCGATGTACTCGTCGAGGGCGGTGTTGGTGCTCGCGAAGAAGTTCTGCTCCCGCAGGGCGTGGGCCTCCCTGGTGTAGTCGTTGCTGCCCATGCTCAGCTGTCCACCGCTGCCATATCGGTTCAGGGGAGCAGAGGGTGGCGACTGGTGCGGTGGCGTCGGCGCGTTCGCGTACGGGTTCTCGGGGGTGGCGCTAACGAAGGGCCGGCGACCCAGCAGCTCGGTTCGATTCTGAGCGTGGAGGGCGTCTTCGTGGTGCGTCTTCAGCTCCTCGAGCTGCCCTCGGAATGACGACAGGTCAAGTCGAAAAGTCTTGATGCGCTCGTACGCCTTCTCCTGCTTGGCCGGGTTGAGCTCTTGCTTTGCCAGCGCGCTGTACTCGTCCAACGTCCGAGAGAAGGCGGTTAGCGAAGCCGAGATGGAGCCGAGCGCGGCAGGCGTCGGGGCCGCGCTCTCGGGAGACGAGGAGAGACTGGCGAGATCCCGTTTGATGGATGTCGATTGTTTCAGCGCCGAGTTGAATTGCGTATTCTACCGGTGGTCAGGTATACCGATATCCATAGCCCAGGACGAGATTGCACGCGAGGAGAACTCACCATGTTCGCGGGAGATGTGTGAAGATGATAAGCCGTGGGAATTGCTGGGCAAGGTTCGGGCAATGGCTAGGTCGTAACCGAGTGTTTACCACCAACATATAATCATGTATTGAGGTGGGGAATGTATCGGTACGCCGTATTTAGTCTCTTTTTTTCTTCTTCCTCTCTCGTCGTTCCACTCTGGCAGGGTCAGAGGTCATTGAGGTGAGTGACGAAAATAGAGAGGCGATTCGCGAAGGGGTGGCCACTAGGCAGAGTGGTAGAGCAACACGTATCAGTAAAATCTACACCTGGGCAAGGTCTGTATCCGGGCGGTAGGCACCGACAGCGCGAGAGAGGTACCTCCGAAGGTTACCTGTTAGAGGTATGTGTCCACATATATATCGGATTCCGTTTTCTATTGGTTGACCTAGTTGCCTCTCGTCGTGAGGTACCTTCGTATGTGTGTTATTGCAGGTTGCAGGTGGTTACCCGAGTGGCCCGAAGAACCGAATCTTGGTGGGTTTTGGGTTACCCCGAGAATGCGGGCTATGGCCAGAGCACGTGTGCATACCAGGTGGTTAAGCACCTAGGTAACATGAACGGGAGTTACCTCTACCTACACGTGCCTACCAGAAGCGCCGTAAGTACCTAAGGTGCCTAGAGAGGTACAACGAACCCGAGGACGCTACTGGAAGGCATCAACTGGAATCGCCTCGCCGAGTTCTTTAATTGCCAGGGCGAGCTTGAATCTTGGGTTAAGTTCTAGGCCAGTAACGCAACGCCAATATCATAGTGTTATTACCAAGTGCCCTACCTAAGGTGGCTACCTCCTGGTGGCCTGCCTATAGGAGGCGCCTTGGGTACCTTGCAGAACCTACAGTTTACTCGTAGAGGGGCTCGAGCATCATATAGGTGCTAGGTTAGGTACCTAAGGTAAACGTGTACCTGCATGCACCCTGCCATTATACCTTAGCCACCTCAGGTATATACTGCAAGCTTGTAATAGGCTTGAGATGTCCCTCCATCGCCTCTCTAAGTATACCTACTTATCATACCCACCACCACCACCAACCCCTGGAACAAATTGCCATTAGCAGCCACGGCTTGCCGTATATCGGACACAAGCAGAACATGATAGTGTGTTAGTTTGTTAGCTAGCATATCGACCACCCTTGCGATCGTTTCCTACCTATACCTATTTATACGGCTCTCGCATAAACATAGGCACGGGCGGGTGGCGGTGGTGGTGGTGGTGGTGGTGGTGGTGGTGTTGACGGTTGCTTGGTATCACCGCGTTCTTAGCGGCACAAGTGGCGGAGCGAGCTGAACCAGGCCTCCCCCTTATTGCAACCATTGACGGTGCATTGAGGTCCTAAAGCCAGGCTAACGACAGTGCTAGAGTAGTAGTGAAATGAGGGCAAAATAGAATCCTTTGGGATCCCGACTGGCATCTTCCCTTATCTCATTCCTTCATCCTCCCCACCATATCCAGGCGAGCCCTCCTGCCGCTGTCCGGTCCCTGGCTAATTGGCGTGCTCGTTTCAACATTCCACTCGTTTGCACGCCTAGCCGAAGCGAGTAGTCGAGTTAAAACACCCTCTTGGATATGTCCGCTCCCTAGCGGTGATCAGAGTCGACGAGTAGCGAGCCCTCAATGACGCCGCCCGAATACCCGGCCACCGCCATCCCGGGCCGCCCGAAGCCGCCATTCCAACCACGGACGGGAACGGAGAGAGGTATAGCAGGAGCAGGAGCAGCAGCAGGAGGAGGAGGAGGAGGACGGGGGTTAGGAGAAAGGGGAAGAATCGGGGCAGCGGACGCGTCAGCAGCGATGAGATCATCGGTGTTTGAGTTTCGAGGATTCGACTTCTTTGCCAACCGCGACATTAATGAACTTAAGAATGCGTCGCGCGCCTACTTTGCGCCCGCCCCGTCCGTCGAGAAACACCAGCGTCTGCCGTCTACATGGCTGGGCGATGCGACGCCTCCAGGGACTCCGCGGCATTCCGGCGACGGATCCCCCTTCGGAGCGACCCGTCCGCCGCCTTCTCTCCCCGTGATGCCGCCCCGGGGTGACAAGAAAATACTGGGGATGAGGAAAACCCCGTTCTGGTGGCTGCTGGCGCTGTTAGGGCTCTTGTTGGTAATTGCGATCGGTGTCGGCGTCGGCGTCGGTGTTAGTAGAGAAGCGTCCGGCGGGTCTGACAGAGACGCTATCGCTGAGGCTGTGACTGCGTCGTCGTCCAGGTTCGTGCTCCCTTGAGAGCGCCACTCGCCGTGGTATCTGACTACACCTAGACGTGATGCGAGAGGTATCCCTTCGCTAACCAGCCCCTTCTAGCTTATCGCCTACGCCTGCAATTTCCGGCCCGGTCACATCGGCAGCAGGCGATGTTTCTATAACCTCCACGCTAAGCCCTTCCACAACCTCGTCCTCGTCCGGGTCGACTTCAACCCCTACCGGTAGCGCAGAGGGGAAAATCGACTGTCCCACTGCCAACGGAACCGTCTACCAAGTTCCTGGGTCGGACAAGCGATTCTTGCGCATTTGCGGCATAGACTACAGCGCAGACGAGGCGCAGGACTTGCGACAAGTACCTACTGAGACCATATTAGACTGTATGAAGAACTGTGCCGGCACGTACCAGTGCACCGGTTGCGCCTGGGGCGTGCTTGAAGGAGATACGGGGACCCAACACACCTGCTTCCTGAAGGGCAACTTGAGGACTCCTCATGAAGCGGATATAAATTGGGCCTTTGCTGTACTGCTATGAATAAGATATGCCCAGTTTCGCGTACGCATCGTCAGTGTGGGTGTGACGCCGGTATGTAGCTAATAATAACCGCTTTCGATGGGTCGCGTAGGCGAGAAGATCCCGGGTATAGTCACGATCCTAGGGACTATGCCTTCGCGACTATAAACTACTGGGGGATGAAATTACTTTGTAGTTGCCCGGGCGATCAAGAGCCAGTAGTTTTGCTTCGGTCTTGCGACAGGTACATAATATAAGACTACCCTGGAGCCACCGTACCCTACAAACAAAACCAGGGATAGACGAATAGCGAGCTGCTATGTCGTTGTTTAGTTCCACGGTCCCTGTCACTAGGGCAGATATAGAGAAATTACATCGAGTCTTGGGCCCGTTCATCATGCCTGAAGATCATTGCTCATTCACAAATAGACCGGCCATACCCATTCCCGTGCCGATGCACATGCTCGTTAACAAGATCTTTTTCTTCGTGCGCCTTAATTCGCTCAAGCCCGTTACAATCTGCCGGGCGCCTGTCGTACCCAGGGGATGTCCGAGAGCGATGGCACCGCCTCGCGGGTTCAGCTTGGCCCAGTCTAGCTTCAGGAAATCTCTGCAGTAGACGGCCATGGTGCCGAAGGCCTCGTTGATCTCCACGACATCGACGTCGTCCAGAGTGATATTGTGCTGCTTGAGCAGCTTGGGAATCGCCACGGTAGGGCCGATACCCATGATCCTAGGAGGCAGACCGGCAACTGTTGAACCGACGTACTTGGCAAGGATCGGCAAGCCGAGTTGAATTGCCTTGGAACGCTTCATGAGCACGACCGCAGCGGCGCCGTCGGTCACCTGGCTGGCGTTCCCGCCGGTGGTGATCGGGCCCCAATCGGGGAAGGCGGAACGGATCTTGCCGAGCGCAGCCGCCGTGGTTCCCGGGCGGATACCTTCGTCCTTGGTCAAGGTGACGGTCCTGGTCTCGCCGTCCGCGCCTTTGACCTTGGTGGTTATGGGCACGATCTCATCGTCGAACCAACCGGCCTTCTGCGCCGCCTCGGCTCGCCTGAAGCTCTCGGCTGCGAACTCGTCGACAGCTTCGCGCGAGAGCCCGAAGTCCCTGGCTACATTCTCACTTGTCCAGCCCATGGCCATCATACAATCAACGGCTTCTTGGCTGTGCTTGGTGACTTCCTCGTCGAAGGGCTGCTCCAGGCTGTCGCCCCCGATGCTCATCGACTCGGTGCCGGCAGCAATACCTATCTCGATGGAGCCGGCGATGATCTGGTGCGCGATATCGGCCGTAGCCTTGAGGCCGGAAGAGCAAAAGCGGTTCAGGGAGGAGACGCCCGTCGTGTTGGGAAATCCGGCGGACAGGGCGGCAGCACGTGCCTTGTACGCTGCTTTGCCGTCCGACACCTACAATCACACGTCAAGTATCTTAGCAACTTATTCCTCGATGCCTGCGTAATCCGAACTTCTGCTGTTTCTCTTCCTGCCCCTGCTCTGTGTCTCACTGTCATTTTCTTGGGGGTGCTTATACGTACATTGCCCATGCAGATGTCCTCGACGAGGCCCGGGGAGAAGCCCAATCGTTCGCGAGCAGCCTTGAGGATGGCATACATAAGATACTCGACGCTAGTATCCTTAAAACCGCCCTTCTTCCCCTTGCAGAGAGGCGTCCGGATCGCGAGAGTGATGACTATATCGTCCGGGTTCTTCGATGTGCTAGAGGAACGAGCGTCAGCATCAGCAGTCTCGGAATCACAACCCCCCGCGCGACAATATTATGGTGGGAGGAACCTGCTCACATCGTAGCCAGGGGAGAACCCGGCGACAGGTGCTTCAAAATCGAGGTGACCCGTTCTGTGGCCATCGTGGGCAAACGTGGAGGAACAAGAGGCAGACGATGTTTTGGAGAGAAATTCGGGGGTTCCGGGGAGAGGATGTCGCTGGACGGGGCGAAGACAATATCGCCGATAACAAAGACACAGACGCAGGAACTAATGGATGGGAACGTTAAGCGGCATCGTTCCAAGTAGATAAAGAAAAGCGCCAGATTTGGAGCATCGTAGATCTTCCAGTCTTGCTTGCTGCCTACCCATTGGTTTTTGCCGAGGCCTCTTGTAGGCGCCTCGGCCATCGGCAGATTGAGGGCCTCTTGGTGGATCCATCCAGCGCATTCGGTATCTCCCTATGGCAACTGATTCTGCCGCCCCACGGGGTTAAGGCCCTCCCTTAGGGACCTATAGTACTACCCCCTTAAGTAACGCGTGTTCGCTACCACTTAAGTCACATTTAAGTCTGGGGTAAGCTCTGCGATACCCGCCGGTATCCTATTCAACGATGGATAACTCGAATTCTACGGATGAATTCGGTGCTCCTATACGCGCTTACTTAAGTATGCATACGGCGTTACGCACCATGCGGCACTTACATACCTCCATAATTCTCCGTACGGAACGGTCTCAGGTCACGTAATCCCCAGGTTGGCTAAATTGGCCAATGTCTGTTAGGCTCACACGCCCCCCCCGGGAGCTACGAACTTCTAATTATATACGCTGGGATAACCCGATCGTGTACACACTGGGCTTGAAACCCTTGACTAAGCGAGCGGGCCACGCCCTTTACTGAAATACAGCTCCCCTCTCACGCTAGATCTAAGTGGCTCGGAGACACTACCGAACCAGTCAACACAATCGTCGCACCACGACGGGTATAACCGCCACAACTACAAGACAGCAACGCAAGTAATCAGGGCCAGAACGGCGACGCCTATCAGGGGTGTCCGGCCGATCCTCGCACTAGGTGCGGCCGATTTGGGGTCCACGCCCGTGGCGCCCAGTCCCAGGTACCACGAGCCGATATCTGTCAGCCGCCCGTCATTGTTCAGCATAGCAGCGTTGGGTCCAACATTGCTGACTTCGGAGCGAAAAGAGCCGAACAAACTATAACGCGCGACCGAATCCATGCGATCAAGGTACTCGGCAGAGGTGTTATAGAAGCTCTGAGTTGCTGCAAGGTCTTGATGGTCAAAGTTATACTCGGTGATCCATTGCGGGACATTTGGGAATCTGCGGGGAAGACGGGTTTTAGCCAGTGCTCGCAAGGAGGAGGAGAAGGAAGCATACTTACTCGGCAGCGTAGGAGCCCATGTGACTCGCCAATCCCTCAAAGTTTCCATACCAGTGTATTGTTACGAAATCATACGTGCAATTTCTCCTCTCACCGTCGCGGCTGAGAAGCTCAGAGCAGTTGCCCAGGAACTGCTGCAACCATGGTATTCCTCCCGGTCCCCCGGTGCAAGCCGGCAGCCCCAACCTAACCCCTCTCGCGGCCAGGGGATGGACATTCCTTAGCCAAACATCCGCGGCTACCGAGGGCGCGATACCGCTCCCGCCCCCGTACGGGGAGTCAGGCTCGTTGAACCCTAGTACATGCCTGATGTCCCGCCCGGAATCGAGTTGGTCTTGGACCGAGTCGAGGAAGGCGGTGTCGTCGGTAGCGCCCCATATCATGGGGACGAATTCGAACTGGTCTTGCGGTGCGTTGTCAAACGCCGCCGACGGCGTCGATTGATAGTTGTAATACCAACTGAGAACGGAACCTGGCCGCACCCAGATGTTGTCATCTTCTGGGCTAGCGGAATTCGGAACAAACACCAAGCCGCGTTTTGGCGGGGGGTCCTGCGCGAGAGCGACCGTGTGAATCGCGGCGGCCAGCGCGGCCGACGAAAGACGCATTGCGGTGGAAGGGCGGACTGAGAAAAAAAAAACCCCCCCCCAACAGGAGCTGTCGATCCTTGCGCAAGGGTTGTCGGGCAATGCTCAGCGCCGTCGACTCGCTCGGCTTCGATATCTCGAAGAGGATTTGAAGCAGGGGATGCCGGTAAGAAACCAAGGAGGAGAGATTCAGATGTAAGCCAGAATAGAGGTACCTGATATATCAAGTCGTGATCGGGTCCAAAGTCGAGAGAGCGTAGGTACGTCGTTGCGTTTGAGACGGCCCCGACAACCTTTCGCTCGGACACGAGCAGGTGCGCATCTAGAGCATCTCACGGCAAGTGAACGTTCGAGCCGCTCAAGCTGGGAGCTAAACAAGGCATGAAATAAGGACTAGCGACGGCGAAAGGGGGCTGTCCTGCCTGGCCGCTGATGATGCCAAATGCGAGGATTCAGCAGCGCCACATCATACCCATGGTCTTGGTGCTTATGAGTACATTGAATGGACACAAGGTTGCCATTCCGCCCCGAAGACGCCAATGGGCCCGCCTAGATGCGTTCGCATACGTCTGTGAAGCGTGTCCAGCCAACGGCACTGCGCAAGGCCGTCGCAACGGGGTTGCCAGGCGAGTCGAAGCTCAAATCAGGTATGTTAGAGGCGCTTGATAAGAAAGGAGGAAGGGAACCATATGCAGGCGACCCTCGTAGAGCGCTCTGTCGGACGGGAAAGACATGTGAGCGTAAGACCGTATTCGTACATGACCCCCCGGGTATTATGGGTAGCAGTCGAATGCTCCAGGTAGCTGTTCCTCGTATCAGCTTTTTTTTCCTTCTCTTTTCAACGTGCCCTGCCTGTGCCCGTTTAATCTATCCGTATATGGACGAGGTGGTAGACTGCTTGGATTAGGACAGTGGATTTCGAATGAGATAGGTACCTATACTCATGTTTCAGCTCGGTGCAAAGAACGGTGTACGTGGAGTGACGAGTCCGAGTTTCGTACTTCCCTATACCACGTTCACCTCTCCGTGCGCTGGCGTAGGGGCTAGGTATATTTTGACCCCTAATTCCTAACGATGTTGATATACCTTACCTACCTCTTACGTATCCCTCTACCTTATATACACAGTAGGTACCTAAATCGCTATGCGTGCCTACATGCCTCTCCATATGTACGTAGGGATTCCGGGAGGTGGGGTCGATCCGCCTATCTTGAGCGGACATGATACGGTAAGACGGTAGATGTGAGGATGAGAGAGAGTACCAGGTTAGGCATTCATTTTTCGGGCTTCAAATTTGCGAACTCGACAAGCTTCTGAAATCCTCGAACCAACATACCTTAGGTACCTGCGTACGGCCAGTTTCTTGTTACCGAGGGGCATAACAAATCCGCACTACGTTTACCTCCTATGCATATACGTTATGTAGGTATATGCACGGCCTAACGCCGTCGCCCTCTCTGTGTGCGTGCGGTGCGTGTGTGATCAAATTGTTGATCGAATTGTTTACTTCCATGCAGAGAAATGTACTACGTAGGGGACCTGTCGGGGCCTTAAGTGATAATACCAGGCTTGACCCGTGTCTCTGGTACGTCTGTATTAGTAGGTACTTCGGGGGTCTTCGCCGATAAGCCATGCTCGATGTGGTATCGTGTTGGTGCGTCCACACCCCTACCTATAGCAGCCAAGATAAAGGGACAACAGAAGATGGACGTGGGCCTGTTAGAGCGCACGACGTCCTCGTTATCTTCGCCGCTGTCTGCATCGTCATTTTATCAATATTCTTATTTTCCTGGGCAGGGAACGACATACCTATCGTGCACTATACACTCTTCCCACCCCATCGGCGGCCTGGCGTGATAAACTATCGACAATACCTTACGATGTCCTGACCACCGATGCATGCTAATAAGCCTTCCTCCTCGCGCTGTCAGCCGAGATAAATAACCTCCCATGGCCGTGCTACGCCGTTTCCGCGTGTTGCTATTAGGGGTTACCTTGCTCGTCGTGGCCTTTGTGCTATTATTCGGGCGCGCGAGACCGCCGCCGACGAGACCGGCCGTCGTACCCCCCGCTGGGGAACCCGCGAAGAGACCGCTCCCCGCATCGTCCGCGCATCCGGTAGACGAGTCGTGGACATTCGACGTAGAGAGGGACGGCCTCAATTACGGACTCTCAGAAGAACAATGTGAGGTGGGTTGAAGCTTTCGTTTCTACCCTGAAATGTCCCGCAGCGGCGGCCCGCGACAGGACTTCCTACCACTACGAGCTTACTGCGACGCCCTGGGCACTCACATCTAAGATAGAGCGCGTTTCCCCAGCTGTACCAGGAACTCGATCGTGCACGAGACTTCCTCTTGAGCGAAAATCGGCTCGTCAAAGAAGCCGACGTCCGCGTCGACGCGAAGGGGGATTATACAGGTCTTCCACACGGCGAATTTCATGTTATGATTTCGAATGGCGAGCTTTACGTGCTCGAGGAGAAGAAGGGCGAACCGGACCGGTCTCGCGGCCTCGCGGCTCTCGCAAGTATGCACCGCGCCATAACTGCCCTTCCCGACCCTCGATCGCTTCCGAACATCGAGTTCGTGCTCGATATCGAGGACCGTGCAGCCAGAGGGGAGAAGAACCCCCAGCGTATTAGGTGGGCGTGGGCGCGCGAGGAGACCGACCCTTGGCTTTGGGTCATGCCCGACTTCAACGGATGGAGCTACCCCGACGATGGAATAGGGTCGTATGTGCAATTCCGCGAGGAGGTGGCGGAATTAGAGGCGCAGTATGCGAACGGGTGGGATGACAAAGAGGAGAAGCTGACCTGGCGAGGGAGCTTGGCCGTTAACCGCAAGCTAAGGATGGCGTTGGTGGACGCGTCGGCAGGGCACGACTGGAATAACGTCAAGATGATCGACTGGCACGACCGCTCGAATGTCATGCCCATGCGCGAATTTTGCCGTTCTAAGTACGTCGCCCATACCGAAGGCAATTCCTGGAGCGGGCGACTGCGGTATCTACACAATTGCAACAGTGTTCCGATCATTCACAAACTGAACTACGTCTTCCACTATCAGCCGCTACTGAAGGATAGCGGGCCTCGCCAGGTACACCCTTCCTCGGAAACTCCATTATAATACCTTGAAGGCTTGCAGCTAACTTAGTGCGTGTGTGTTATTGTAGAATTACGTCAAAGTAAACCGCGACTGGTCGGATCTCAAGGCGCAGATGGATGGCCTGATCGCAGACCCCGAGCGAGCACGGCGGATCGCCCTGGAATCGACTCGGGTCTTCCGAGACCGCTACCTGACGCCGGCTGCCGAGGCCTGCTACTGGCGTCGCATGTTCCGCAACTGGCGTGCCGTGATGGATTTCGAGCCGCGACGGTACGAGACCAAGTCAGACGGCACCAAAGTTAGGCGAGGTGTGAGCTGGGAGCGTTTCGCCTTCCGACAGAAGAAGACTTTCGAGCATGGGTTTTGGGAGTCGGACGGTGGGGACCAGTGAGCCGAAATCTCGCACCAAAACAGACACCAAGCGCACAAAGTATTTACTCGATACCTAATTTTCAAGACATCAAGCACTTAACCAGCCTTGGGCTTCGCACTACCTCAGGTGGTGGGACAATCTAAAAATCGCTATTGATGGGGCTCAACAGCCAAGCCACCCCCGCCCCGTTCGATAGTGGACGATACCAAAGCTAACTTCCACTAAAGGCTGCTGCTACGTCGAACGATGAGCCAGGGATGCAAAAAAACGAGGCATAACATCGATATCAACCTGTACCTAGAGTACGGGCCGAACGAGTAGTGCCGCGTATAAATATGACTGCGCCTCTTCCAGCCAAGATATTATTTAACCCCTCAACACGACTGCGGATTCTCTGGTCCGTACGCGATCGCACAGGCAGTGGGACAATGGTACCCGACCCTACATATTGCAGACGGCCTCCCTCTCAACCGCCTTTCGAGCGATCGGATCAGCTTTCAGTGAGATTGTAGATCTTCTGAATGCTGTGTAGCATGGCCTCGTGGTCAACCTTGAGGTCCTTGAGCAGACCGTCCTCGAAACCGAATACCCATCCGTGGACGATCGGGAAACCGTTCTTGGCGTAGGATTGCTGAACGGCAGCAGTCTTGATGACGTTGCGGCACTGCTCGACGACGCTGATCTCGACGAGGCGGTTGTAGCGCGTCTCTTCGTCCGCGATGGCGTCTAGTTCCTGCTCGTGCAGGCGATAGACATCTCGGATATTCCGTAGCCAGGGGTTGAGCAGCCCCAAATCCCTGGGCGTCATGGCGGCCTTAACGCCACCGCAGCCGTAGTGCCCGCACACGACGATGTGTTTGACCTGCAGGTGCCGGACGGCATAGTCAATGACGCTCATGGCATTGAGGTCGTTATTGACGACGAGGTTGGCGATGTTGCGATGGATAAATGCCTCGCCCGGCCCCAGACCGGTGATCTGCTCTGCGGGGATCCGCGAATCGCTGCATCCGATCCAGAGGTACTCCGGAGTCTGGCCGGCAGAGAGCTTGACAAAGAAGTCGGGATCTCTCTTCCGCTGTGCGTCTGCCCAGACGCGGTTGCGCTCGAAGATGCGGTCGTGCGTCTGCTTGAGATATCGGGAGAGGTCTTCCTGAGACATGACGCGCCAGTCGCTGGACGAGCTCGACGGTCGTGGGAAATTCGGGAGGCGTCCGGGCGGTCCGGAAACGCGGGTTCGCCGCGTGAACGAGAGAAGGTGGTGGTTCGCACGGGCTTTGCAGAGCATCGGGTGTCATCACATATCGGGGGAGGGGGGCTTGGATTGGGAGTAGGGGAGGATTCTGGCGGAGCCCTTGTCCGTGAGAAGCCGCATGAAGGATTTGTCGAGAGCGGCGGAGAGGCACGGAATGTCGTGAGCGAACGCCATGCACGTCACAGGGAGGGAAGAGGGGGGCGCCACGGAGCAAACCCGCGGTCGTCTCGCGTTACACGTACCTGGGTTGTCGTATTCGACTCTTGGTTCGCCTCTGGTTGTGGTTTACGGTAGCGGTACGTGGCCAGCTAGTGTCTTAGTAGCGCTGGACCAGCCTGCTACTTGGCCGCATTGGTCCTGTTCTTCGCCACGCCAATGTCTCTGGTAACACCGCCGGTTTCCGTTTCCTTCGTTTCCGTCGCTCGCCGGGACCGCGGTACCTAAAGATGCCTCTTTGTACCTGTAGGTTAGGTACCTCTACCTCGGTAGTGCCTGTCCCTGACTTCCACTCCCTCACTTGAGTTACGCGCTGCTGTAGCAGTTGAACCGAGGTACGTAGGTACCGAAAATACCTCAGGCCTGATGCAATGTTGAAGGGACAATTTATCACGTACCTTTTCCGCGGGAAGGTAGAGACGGTAGTCGTATTCTCGCCGTACAATTCTCTTGCACGCATTCCTCTCCCGCGTTCAACTCCCATTACAACACCTACGCCCGGCGCTTGAATCACACCGTCACCACATATTGTCACATCACCAATTGCACTGCTTCTCAAGCCTCTCCGGCCATGCATTGTTTTATGTTACCTGTTGGTCGGCGTTCGGGTTTGCCGTACCTACTATATACTGTGCTCATACTGGCTAGACCGGCACGATGAGGTTTATCTTCTAGCGCACCGTCGTGTCCGCTTCCACCTACTCCCCACCCTTAGGGCACTTCGAGGGTGCCTGCTTGTCGAATATCGCGACTGCTCGCGCCGACGCTGATCCTGAAAGTGCCGGAGGGAACCACCCATTCTTGCTTGGCTGTGTCCCAGATACTCAAGTCCCGCCTCCTGATGTCGAAGGTTATGATGTCTTCGGCCCCGGGCTCCAGAACCAGCTTCCCAAAGCCGCGAAGCTGCTTCGGCGGCGTGCCTGCGGACGTCGGGAACCCCACATATAACTGTGCTACTTCTGCACCTTTCACGCCGCCCGAGTTGGTAATGGTGACCGTCACGCTCGCTACGATCTCCCAAAGGTCCGCGCGTCCTCCCGGGATGATATTTCCCGTCGCGGGCCCCGACGTCGGCCGCCCGTCGACAAAGATATTAGAGTAAGTGAAGTTGGTGTAGGCTGCAAGAAGAGGTTAGCCAACCGGGATACCTGGACAGGGTTGCGCCGAGAGGCAGCAAGAGGAAAAAAAAAAGGAGCTTACACAATCCGAAGCCGAACTCGTACCGCGGCTCGATGCCGTCGCGATCAAACTTGCGATAATCAACAAATAGACCCTCTCGGAAGTCGTCATCTCCCCTCGAAGGGCTAGTGCCGTAATCGTCGGCAGACTTAGCGATCGTGTACGGTAACTTTCCGGAAGGGGTTGTGTCGCCGTAAAGGATGTCTACCAGAGCGTTGCCATTCTCTTGGGAGGGCAGGCCGGCCCACACGATGGCTTTGACGTTAGGCTCAGCGAGGATCTTTTCGAGAATTACCGGCCCGACGGAGTGTACCACGACAATTACGTTCTCGTGGGCCGCCGCAACGGCCCTGACAAGCTCGTTGCCACCATGCCAAGGGTCTAGATGGTTGCGGTCACCCGCATGGCCCTCTACCGTAATATACCCTTCGCCGCTATCCGAGGTGATGAAAACGATGGCCGCATCGGCACCGTTTACTACGGAGCCGACGGAGCCGACGTTGTCTGACGCGGACAGACTGATCTGTGTCCCTTCGGTTTGGGCCCGGGCTCTAATAGCGTCGGCTGGCGCGCTGAAATATGGGTAAGGAGCGGTCCCAGAACCCCAGCCCATTCCGAGGGCACCAGAGTTGCAGCCGTGGTCCGTGCAAGAGTTGATACCCTGAGGGTTAACGACGGCGGCGGACCCGACTAGGCCGAGCTTCGAAGGCTTCCGAAGTGGGAGGACGTTACCTTCGTTCTTCAAGAGCACGATTCCGTCCCTGGCGGTAGCCCGGATGTTTGTCTTATGCGTACCCTGGACGTTGGCCCTTAGATTGATAGAGGGATAACTGTTGTCCTGGCCTACTAGATACCAAGCTGCCAGAATACGGCGGACCATGTCGTCGAGACGCGATTGTGGCACCTGCCCGCTGCTCACAGCTTGGGTTAATGTCGAACCCCAGTAGATATTCCCGCCATTGAAATCTGTGCCGGGCATGGACATGTCCAATCCCGCCGTGGCAGAGGATGCCGTAGAATGCTGCGCGTTCCAGTCTGTCATGACGTATCCTTTGAAACCTAGCTCATTCTTTAGGAGAGTATTAAGGATGCGAGGGCTACCATAACCGATCAGTCATTTGAGAAGCGAACCGCAAAGGGTAGGAAAGGGGGTGAGAGGTGTAACCCTAGGGCTTTCAAGGGAATAGGGCGGAAGATGGCGTTAGGGGCTCGGATTACGGTGAGGTATTGATAGCTGTCAGCAGCAACTCACTTCTCGCATGCCCAGGTTCCGTTAATCTTGTTGTAGGAACACATGACAGATGCCGCATTCGCATGGACAGCATCCGCGAAAGGCCAAAGATACAGTTCGTGGATGGTTCGGTCAGCGACATTCGAACTCATCGTCTCTCGGTTAAGCTCCTGCTCGTTAAGCAGGTAGTGTTTCGCGTTAGCCTGGACACCGGCATTCTGCATACCCTCGATGGTTTCTGCCATGGCGATGCCTTGCAGGTAGGGGTCAGCACCAAAGCCCTCCCAATTCCGTCCACCCTGCGGGATCTTGCCGAGAGGACCGGCAACTGGCCCTAACAGCACGTGAACTCCGCACCCCTTTGCCTCTTCGGCCATGAATTGGCCACGCTCTCTAATCAGGGCGCGGTCCCAGGTCGAGGCCGCCTGGATTCCTGGGACGAAGGCGTTCACGGAGGAGCCGTAACGAACACCCACAGGGCCATCCTGCAAACACAATTGGGGGTATTGGATTGAGCCGATTGCTGCTGTGTTGCCAACACAGGGTCCTTTATTCCAGCCTACGCCGGTGACGATATTGACCTTATCGTTCTGGGACAGCTTTGCCAGAGCCGCGTTCGCTTTCTCAGTTGCGGCGGCCCAGTCGAGCGTTGCGGCGCCAGAAAGGGTGCCAGTAGCAAGAACTGCTACAGTTATTGGGAAGAGCATGGCTGTCTGTTGAACCCAGGAGACGATGAGTGGCAGGAACTGTCATAAGCCGTAGATAGGCCATGGGGCAACTAGGATGCCCTCGAAGCTTTATACGATACGAACCACGGTGCCGAGCAACAGATTGATCTCATCACCGGATCATCGCGCAGGCCCCATCACTGTATGGCCTTCTGAGAGTCCTGGGTCTGCCAGATCTGGCAACCGTCGGAAGAGAAAGGCACGCGGTGGGTGATCTTTTCCCTACAGCTCTCCACACGGAAAATAAATTGTGCTCTCGTCCCATCTTGGCCAACGGCATCTTCTCGGCTCCCAACTCTAGATGCGTCGAGGATCGACCTCCTCCATGCGCCTAGTCGCTTTGGTCTGCCCAAGCCCGATGGGATTCTGTCACCTCCGGACCGCATTTGCCATGGGCATATTAATTAAGTGGTCATTTGTTCTAGCGGCTTCTCTCTTTATCCTTGTCGGCCCTCCCCCTCGCTAGATTTGGGGATCTATCCGACCATGCCGGGACTACTGCCCGCGGGTAAGTTCACAATCCCGTGGATTTCCCCGCCAATGGTTTTTGTCGCGCATCTTGCTCGATACCTACCTCATCGTATGCCATGTTATACTGACATAAACGTGACACAAGCTGACCACTCGACATTTCCTGTTCCTGTCTAATTGGTATTATATTTCGCCGCGCTAGGTAATCAGACAATGTACAGGGTATAGCCAGGACCGGCTCGTCCCAGCGACATGGCTGCCTAGTACACAATCAAATATACTAAGATCAAACCTGCGCCACTATCGCAAAAGTACGAAACGATTAAAATAAGGCCTGAATTATTCTGCTTCGCAGAATAATTCGGGCTTATTTTTAACGTAAACGCTAAAAATAATAATCTATCCGGAGGATAGAGAGATATAGGAAGTATACTTAGTTTATTTAATAACGATTTTTAAAGCTACGAACTTTATTTATTATAGAAAACCTAGAAGACATAAGAAATTATATATAGAAAACTTATAATTTATACGAAACTATTTATTATAAATTCGAAATTAGTTTAAATTTTTACGTTAACGTATATTATATTAAGTAGAGTGTATATTATTTACGATAAAAAACGTATATTGTAAAAACCAATTTAAGAAGAATAAAATATAAAAGAAATCTAATATAGAAAAAAGAATTAAAGTTAAAATTACGTAGGTACGTAATTTTTATATTAAAAAAGGGCGCTATGCCTAATAAAACTATGAAACCCTTAAACTTATATCTTTATTACTTCTTTTTATGTTTCTTTTCTACTTTTTTCTACGTACCTGTATCCTTTTCTCGTAATATATGTAGGATTTCTCGTTATATCTTTACGACCAAGGGGCATAGCTAAGATATAATAACTACATTAGATTCCTCGTTTCTCGGTTAGTATAGTAATACTAGTTTTATTTATCCTGGACCATCGTACGAGCTATAGTCTTCGATAGAGTATACTTTCGAGTAAACCTATCCGGGACTCCAGCATCGCGCACGCTCTGCTCTTCCTTAATAGTAATCGCTAACCCGAAGGTATAAGAAGTAAAGGAAGAAAAGGGGCTAAACGTAAAAGTTACTTATTTAGCTATAACGGTACGACGAAGTAACTTAAGCGCCTATAACTAAGATAGATATACTAATCAGAGAACGACGAATCTAATAGCAAAAAACGAATCTTTAATTAAGGTAAAAATAACAAAGATAGTAATCTAGCTAGGTAGTAAACTCGATAATAAGCATGGCATGGCCCGTACTTACGGGAGCTATTGTTACGGTTTTAAGAGCTATTCGCTGGGTAAAAGCCGTATGTTAATAAACTAAAGCTAGACGAAGAGAAAAAGGAAGAAAGTATACCCTATAGGCCGTATTTACGATAGCTAGCCTTATCCGCTATAGGTACTAATTACGTACTAAGCCTTAATATTAACTAGGGCCTTACTATAGGCATAGCTTATTATATAAGGTTCCCTCCCGGAAAAAAAAAAAAGTACGCCCTGCTGCCCTTTTTCTTCGGCGTTTAGTCCTAATAACCTAACCCGTTTTCTCCGCGCGCCTTAGGATACGTACCGTATCCTTAAGTATTACCTCCGTTCCCCGGGATACGCTATTCGCTCCCCGGATTATTAACTCCGCCGTTTCCTTCCCGGGGTCTTTCGTTTTCCGGGATATTACGTCGGGCGCCTTTAGCCCTCCGGCGTTTTTTCCCCGGGTTTTATTCTTCCTTAGGATCTCCTCCTCTTCCTCCTTATCTTCCTCCTCTTAGGGTACTACCGGCGTTCCGGGTATTATTTAACCCCCCGGTATATCATTTCCTTAAAACCGCCGTTTCCGTTTCCCGGGTTACGTTATCCGTTCCTCGGGCTATTATTTTCGTTCTCCGGGGTATTACTATTTCCCGGGGCTAGTTCCGATCCTCTTATTAAACCGTAAAGCTTTAAAGCCCCGCGTATAAAGTCGCTTATAAGCGTTTACTAGGTCTAGCTTAGCTTTCGTAGCTACGGGATCGTCGGTTCGTTTACCGTCGTTTAAAAACCTTCGTTTATTTTCCGCTAGCGGAACGAAGGCTCCGCTTAAGGGCGAACTAAGGCGCGCCTTTCTTTTTATTATCGTTAAAAGGCCTACGGCCTTTCCTATCGTTTAAAGGCTAAGAGCTTATTCTTTCGTATTATTAGCGGAACCGCGAGGCTCCGCTAAAAAACGTATTAAGGTACGCCGTTCTTATTCGTTTAAAGACTATCGTTTATCTTCCGCTAGCGGATTCCGTCGGATCCGCTAAAGGACGTATTAAAATACGCCGTTCGATTCGTTTAAAAACTATCGTTTATCTTTCGTATATTATTAACGGAGTTTAAAGGGCTCCGCCTAAGGATGCGCGGAGACGCGCCCTTTCGTTTATTACTAGCGCCGCTAGCGCTTTTATCGAAGTATTATTATCCTAGCTTAACCTATCGTTTCGTTACTATTCTAACGCCGTTCCTTCTTATATTACGCCTCGGGCGTTCTTAATTCGTTAATAAACGCTATGCTTTAATGCTTTACTATCTTTCTCCGGAAAAAAATTTTCCGCCGTTTTTAGCCGTATTTTTCGTCGATTTCGTCGTTCTTTTATCTCGAAATTACCGTTTAAACTACGTTTTCTCGGGGTTTATCGATCGTTTTCTTCGGTTATCTTATATCGGTTCTCTTTCGTAGGTACTACCGGCGCGTATATCTAAAAGCTAATACCGCTTTTCCGATTATTAACTTTACCGTACGGTATCGCCTTTCCTACTATTAATCTCGCGTACTAAGATATTATCTCGTTAGTTCTTTTCGTAGGAACCGCCGGCGCGTATATCTAAAAGCTAATACCGCCTTTCCGACTATTAACTTTACTAGCTACCGCTTCCTTTAGTATTATATCGCCGTTCCTATTACTAATTCCGCTCGCTAAGATATTACCGCTTCCGTAAAACGATAAAAGAAAGTTAATTTAGCTTTTTGTTACGGTTTTAAGAGCTATTCGTTAGGTAAAAGCCGTATGTTAATAAACTAAAACTAAACGAGGAGAAAAAGGAAGAAAGTATACCCTATAGGCCGTACTTGCGATAGCTAGCCTTATCTGCCGTAGGTACTAATTACGTACTAAGCCCTAGTACTAGCCAGGGCCCTACTATAGGCATAGCCCATTATAGCTATGGTTACTTTATATAAGCATAAGGCCTATCGTAACGTATTACGTAATGTATCAAGAGGGTATGTCTTACCGCACTACTATAATATCAAGAAGGCATGTCTTACCGTACTACTGTAATAACCGGGATAGTTTTAATTCCTAGTATAGTAGTGCGGTAAGACATGCCCTCTTGATGTATTACGTAATACGCTACGATAGGCCTTATGCCTATATAGAGTAACCATAGTACCCGTAAGTACGGGATATGCCATACTTATTATCTAGATTATTACCTAGTTAGATTACTATCTTTACTATTTTTATCTTAATTAAAGATTCGTTTTTACTATTAGATTTATCGTTCTCCGATTAGTATATCTATCTTAGTTATAGGCGCTTAAGTTACTTCGTCGTACCGCTATAGCCGAATAAGTGACTTTTGCGTTTTGCTTCTTTTCTTTCCTTACCTCTTATGCCTTCGGGCTAGCGATTATTATATCTTTACGACTAAGGAGTATAATTAAGATACGATAACTATATTAGATTCCTTATTTCTCGATTAGTATAGCGATATTAGTTTTATTTATCTTAGACCATCGTACGTATTATAATCTTCGATAGAGTATACCTTCGAATAAAACTATCCGGGTCTTTAGTATCGCGTACGCTTTACTCCTCCTTAGTAGCGACTACCTTATAACTTTTTCGACCCTTTAACCTTTAGTTTACGGAATTTCTTTTACGCTATTAGGATTTAAAGGATACCGATCGCCGTCGGCGCCGCTATTTAACCCGCGAAGTAGCCCGCGTTTTACGTTAAATAGAATATCCCGCCTTATAGTTATTTATTTACTATAGGGAGGTACGTATAAGCCCGGGAACCTTTATTACGATATTATAGCCGTTAGGATATTACTTAGCCCTTAATACTTATAATACTAATAAGCTATCGATATTACGATATAATACGACGATTAAATCGCGTTTATACCGATTAAGATATCCTTTATATCGTTATTTACCTACTTATGCGGAAGAACCCGTAAAACCTAGGAAACTATCGTCGTAATACTACCGCTACTAGGAATAATACTTAGCCTTCGATATTAACCGCTCCCTCGAACCGCTAATAGCATAATATATTTCGTACGAATAAATAAAGCTTATAACGATTAAGGTAGCCTTCTTATAATTATTTACCTACTATATAAAGGACGTACGAACGCTTTAATATAAATTACGATAACCTATACGACCCGCTACTCCCTTATTAATACTAAAGGCGGATAAAGGCTAATAGTAATTATGCCCTAACCGACCTTACGATAGCTTCTTTTTCCCTCTAAACCTATTAATCGATATAAATTAAATATATAGATACTAATAACTTATTATATTAGAGGTATTTTAGGATACCTAGGCGTAGCGATTCGACGATATAATATACGATATAATATAGATATTTATATTAATAATATAAATAAGAATTAATAAACTAATAGTTACTAATAACCGATAGTTTTAAGGAGAACTAGGAATTAATATTAATAGAACTACGTAGATATAAAGGATTAAGGAAACGGAACTAAAGTCGAGTTAATAGGTATACCTATATATAAGCTAGCCTTATATTACTAACTAATAGCTAGTATAGCGAGAAATATTAATATAGGCGTAAAACGGCGCCTAGCGGTAATACCGTTAATATTATTAAATAGCCCCCGTTAAATCGAAACCGGCTTATAACTATAACCGGTATCGTATCTAGCGCGATCCTTTACTCGGGATTTATTCCTTATACGTATTACCTTAACGAAGGTTATACGTTAGGAGTTCTAGACCTTAATAGGAAGGATTATCGTCGATTTATTTATAATAATTAAATTATTAATCTAAGGAATACGTATCGTACTTTAATTAAGCGTTAACCGATTAAAGAAACTCGTATAATACCCGGACCCTATCGATCGGGATAATATAATAAATAATAATATACCTATACTAAAGGAAAAGTATTAGGATATAGATAATAGCTATTATACCTTTACCCTTATGTTAGATAATAAGACCTTTATTACCTCCCTTTCTACTTTATACCTCGTACCGTTAAACTAGACGGAATCTATAGCTAGGAAACGGAATAGATCGCTATCGGGACTTAAAGTAATAAAGATTAAATTACTAATAAAGACCTTAAGAGTCGATATTAGCTTTCCGTCCTTATATCCGTCCGAAAAGGAGGAGGACGACGATAAAACTCCTACTTAGCTATCCTTTAACCGCGGCTCTATACTTATCCCGCTAATCCCTATAGCATTATCTTAAAATAATAATAACAGAGCCTCTAGTAATTAGAATATACCGGTAGCTACCCCGACTATCGTAATGCTAGTTATTAAATTCCCTAACCCTACCGATTATCCTAGGTTTAAGTTTAACGAATATAACGTAACTTAGTAATTAAAAAGGATAAATCGATTATTTAACCGCTACCGTATAAGTAACGACGATAAGATTAAGGAGATCGGCGAATAGATTACGATTAAGATTATTAAGGAGCGTATTAACGACGTTACGAAGGATTAAACGATCTAAAGAGTTATCGTTATAGCCTTAAAGTACCGTTTAAAAATTACCGATAAACTAAGCTAAGTTAACGTTAAACGTAAACTCGTATAACTAGAACGAGGCAACGTAATTAACGATCCTAAGGCGATTTTTACGTATCTTATAAACTATAAACGTCTTTCCAAGCTCGTAAACGATAACGGAAAGCTTCCCTAAAAAGTAAGATATTTAACCGATAAACTCCGGATATTCCTAATTATAAAGTTCTATAAAACGGAAGATTATAACCATAATAAGATCGGAAATGTCGATTACCGGACTCTTTATACCTAGCTTTATAAGTAAGCGGAACGTCATATAGTAATATAAATTACCGATAAGACCTAAACCGAGGAACGACGATAGTAAAAGACGGTAACTTTCGAAAAACCCGAAAAGCTTATAATATAAATAGTTTAACGATTAGCGACTCCTAGCCTCTAAATGCCTCTACTACCGCCTTTCTCGTAGCCTAGACCCTCTTACGGCTACCTAAGTATTAGTTAAGAAGCTAGTATATAAGCCCTTTACGACCGACTTAACGCTCTAAAGATAAAGATAACTTCGTAGAACTACCGTTAGGATAGTAGCTCTTATAGCCCTAAGGATACGTACGGCGCCGATTAATAATATTAATAAGAAAACCCGTTCCTAATAAACGCGGTTCGGAACTTAAGTCTTTATAACCTATAAACTAACGGAAGAACCTTAATAAGCTCTAAACGTAATATTATACTAGACTACCGAGGTATACGTAATAAGATTTTATTAACCTAAATAAATAATTATAGGGAATTTAAATACTAGTTTTATAATACTTTCGATCGGCTTTATAATTATAGCCGCTACCCGCTACTAATAAATATAACTTAGAATCGGTTCTATTATAGGAGTAATAAACGACTATATTACCTCGAGAACGGAAACCCGGATAAGCTGGAGTTAATACTAATCCTAGGATCGATTATTACCTAAGCTAAGCGTAAAGGAAAACCGATTGCTTATTATATCTTATTTTACGTATATTAAAGTAAAGAATCTTTAAAGTAAGTACGTAGGATGGTATATTATTACTTAGCCGGAAAGCTAAAGCTTATACCCCTTAACCTACGATACTCTAAGAACGAGGAGGTAGTATTAAAGTAGGAAGAGATACTAAGAGCTATATCGGAGATTAACGTTATTTAAATAATCGAACGTAAATATAGCTACGAATTATACGAAACGGAGATCTTAGGTTATAATTAAACTAAGGGTTTTATCGACGACGAAGGTATCTATTATTATAAGGATATCATTAAGACGGACCTAATCGAAGTTAACGTAATTAAGCGAGCTAAAGGTCCTAACGGCGAATATATCGAAAAAGAAGTACCCGATTAAGAGGATATAAAAGTCCTATCGTTATAGCCTAGGCGTAAACCGATTAAAGCCGGTAAGAACGCTACTTCGAATACGAACGACCTAGCTAGGAAGGCGAAAACTATTAACGAATTACTAAGAGAGTTTTAGCTAGATAAGATTAATAAGAATAGCAGGAAACGCTTCGAGGTTTCGTAGAACGACCTAATTAAGTTCATGCCCGGGTTTTCGGAATAAGTAGTTAAGTACCTTACGATACGCGCTATAGAAATTAACGAAGGTTAGCTTAAGGTTATTAAGATTATAAAGGAATAGGTATAAAAGGATCGGGAAAAAAGCGTTAAAATACCTAGCGTACCGTAAACTACCGCCCCGTTTACTAATCCTTCGAGTAAAATAGCGGTAAATTCTATTATCGCGAAGGATATTAAGAACTATATCCGGCCTCTTCCTAAGCTAGTAGTTAACGTAAGACCTAACGGAAACGAAGCTCTCGTATCTACGGTAATCGATATAGGAACGTAGTTTAATATAATCGTAAAAAGCTACGTAAAGAAGTAGCGTTTCCTTATAACCGGTATTAAAGCGATATAGCGGGGTTTTAAATCCTCTATAGAGACCTTATATATAGGAATAATCGACGGTTCTATCTAGTTTACCGATTACTACCTTCGCTTACCGATCTACGTCGTTAAAGATAGGTTCGTTAGTTACCCCTTATTACTTAGTATAAACTTTATCTTCTAGTCCCGCATAAAACTCGAATTCGACGGAAGTACCTTCATAGGAACCGTTAACTTTAGCTCGACCCCCTTAATACCATAAGAGAATACGCCGAGGTAGTAGAATAATTTTATAACGTTCGAGTTTTAAAGGAAGGGGTAGGCATCGTTAAGCGTCTTCGGTAAGCCGTAGATTACTAAAAGCGAATTAACCTTATTAACGCTATAGCATCCGCCTAAAGTACGCCGATCGGCGAATTCCTTAGCCGTAAATCCTCCGTTCGGTCTATCGTATAAGCCGAAGTCCGTCGTTTCTCTATAGCCTTAGTACCTAATCCCCCTTACTTCCTCGTATCGGCGGACGTAAACCTCCGTTATAATAACCTCGTTAAGGTTATAGCGCGCCTCCTTCCTTCCCCCGGACTAAAAAGGATTAGGGCTTTTTAATCGGAGGAGACCTCTATACCGTATAGGTAGAGGGAAGATATCTAATTAATCCTTAGAACGCGCCCGCTCCCTTGCTATCCCTTTAACTAGGAGGGCTAGGACGAAACTAAGAAGAAGGTAGCCGAGATAGAGAAGGAAAACGCCGATCGGGTTAGATCGGCGAAGGTAAACCGGGCTAAGTTAGCCGTAAAGTAATAAAAGAGCCCCTTTATAATATTAAACGAAAAGCTAAAGGTACGACGATAGTAATTAAATAATAGCCGGTAGAATAGAGTTTCGCGGTAGTTTTTAAAGGAAGATATTAATCGGGACATACCGTATTACGCTTTTTAGTTTAATTATTCCTTACGGTATAATTAAACTAAGGAGGCTATAGTAGTACGGTAAGATATACTTTCTTAATATATTACGTAATACGTTACGATAGGCCTTATACCTATATAAAGTAACTATAGTACCCGTAAGTACGGGATATACTATGCTTATTATCTAAATCATTACCTAACTAGATTACTATCTTTACTATTTTTACCTTAATTAAAGATTCGTTTTTACTATTAGATTCGTCGTTCTCCGATTAATATATCTATCTTAATTATAGGCGCTTAAGTTACTTCGTCGTACCGCTATAGCCGAATAAGTAACTTTTACGTTTTACTCCTTTTCTTCCCTTACCTCTTATACCTTCGGGCTAGCGATTACTATATCTCTACGACTAAAAGGCATAGCTAAGATACGATAACTACATTAAATTCCTTATCTCTCGATTAATATAGCGATACTAGTTTTATTTATCTTAGACCATCGTACGTACTATAGTCTTCGATAAAATGCACCTTCGAATAAACCTATCCGGGTCTCTAGCATCGCGTACGCTCTGCTCCTCCTCACTAGGTACCGCTCTTAAGGCGGTTTATCTTAGCGTTAAAACCGGCCGCCCGTATAATAGGAAGTAGAATAATCTTTTTTTTACTTTTCACCTCTTATACCTTATAATCCTTATAGGTTAGTACACTTCCAACCATAGTTCCTAACAAGTTATTATTTTTAGCATTTATATTAAAAATAATCCTGCATTATTCTACTTCATAGAATAATTCAAACATTATTTTAATTAAGAATGTCAAATGTTTTAACTTATACTTAACTTACTATCTATTTATTCAGTCTATGAAGACTCTAACAACGAGAGTAGCCTCCGGATCCTCCTATAGACACTTAGCTCCTTGAACAATGTTTAGATTTTCCGTCGTTAAAGAGCTTGACTGCTGTTGAAGAAAAGGTGCGTTACGTGAACACAAGCGCTAGCTTTTATTTCCCCTTGAAAACCGGATTCTTGGCACAGCATAGCTTGGAAATTGTTCAATCTCGTGATCTTCCCTCGCGAGGCTGTGCTGGTTTCTTATCCGACTGCTTACTTAAATCCAAACCGGCCCCGTAAATGAGTGGAGGAAAGCTGAGTCGTTTCAAGGGAGAAACAAGGGAGGAATTCGTGGCGCCGTCCAGAGGGGTGGTAACGCTGGTGACTCTCGGTCCCCATGGCAGACGCAACACAGCAGGATTCGTCGCTGTCTATTGCCGCGAATATTACCGGCATCCTAACATTTGTATTCGCTGCTCTTGCGGCGGCATACGCGCGTGTGACATACCTACGCAACAGCGACCAGGAGTTCTTCCAGGTCAAAATGTCGCTGTGTCGGTATAAGACGGAGTCCGCGTGGCTTGCGGAACTCGTCATGGCCATGGTTAGTCGCTTCGATACAGAAAGCCAAACCCAGTTCCAAACGTTCAGGCACGTGATGGAGGACCTCCACAGACTCGATAAAAAGCTGCTTGAACTAGTCGAGGAGACGGAAACCAGAGCCAGGAGCGAGAATGAGCGGTATAGGGACAGGCAGTGGGCGCTCGTAACAAAGGGCTAGGGCTTTAACACAACCGTTGCGATGGCATGGCTACCGGTTCGGACTAAAGCGTTAGAGCCAGTTAGGCAGAGAGAGGCGCTGACTGCTAAGGTGTCCTTCACACAGATAAGCACCGTCCCCTCGTAAGGTACAGTGCTCAGGGGGGTTGAGAGACCGAGCGCGGTGAGATTAAACGTTCCCCGGGAGAATTCGAGACCTTGAAGGGTGGAACAAGACGAGAGAGAAGACGGTCGACCATCAACTCGAAAGGCTCGAAGCTCTCATCCTAGAGATCCGTCGATTAGAAGAGCCAGCACGCGAGATCCTAGAACGCATCCGGGTCCTTTACGACATGGATGGATCCTCGGTCAGTTTATGCACGTGTACAACTAACAGTAGGGGTTTCGACTTGTGGCTCCAAATGCAAGATTTAAATCCCGAGAGGCGAAGGAGACGGATGAGCGTCACATAGCTGTATTATAGACTGCTGGTTTCGGGAAATAGCCGTGTCAATACTGTTGCCTTATCGAATATCCGCCCTGGTAGAAGAAGCCGCCGGAGCAAGCCAGAGAGAGCATGGCAAGCGGAAGGTTAAGCTCGATGACAGACCAGACCCAGATACAGCCCAGCGGCGGCGACCGCTTCATGATAGCCAGATACCCGTACTTATTCGAGATGTGGATCAGGTAGCAGCCAGAGCAGACGCTTGCGACGAGGAAGAGGGTCTGCCGGAGAGGCGCCTGGAATCTAACGGGAAGCCCGGGGAGGAGTATCGGAGCCGAGGGGTGCGGATGAAGCACGTAGAAGAGCAGGAGGAACACTGTGCGTGCGCGCGCATTTCGATTGCGCCGTCTTAGCCCGATATGCTTGTATTTGGGTCGGACTGCTCGCGCAGGAGCAGAGGCTTACCAGCAAAGGCTTGGACTGTTCTAGTCATGATCTGAGGCCATATGATGGAGACGGCATATTGATGCTGGACGAGGACGTCGAGCGTGAAGTGTAGCATGGACAGGCTCCCGGCCCAGAGAATGGTGTCCATCACTCTCTCCGCCGCCGGCGATAGGAGGGGCTCCCCTTCGTCCTCATCTTGGCCGCGTTTGCCTGCGTTCCTCCGCTCCCGCCTCTCTGCTTCTTCGAAGAGATTGCGGTCCTGGGCAAGCTGGAGCAGCGTGTTCTCGCTCGGCGCCGATCGGTCGGGGTGGGTCAGCTTGATCTCGGTTGCGGTCGCCTTCCTCTCTCTCCTGGTTCGGACCATTGCGAAAAACTCGGGAGCGCGGCGGACGAGTAGCTTCGCAAGGCCACAAACGGGCGAAAGCGGTGACAACCCAGGCGGGTCGATGCGAGGGGGAGGGGATGCGTCGAAGAATGGAGTAAGCCGAGAACACAGGTCGATAGGGTACAGGTCGCGTGTTCGCGATATTGGAATGTTGGGGTGGTGGTGGTGTGATGGAGGGTTGATATGTCACTCCGATAAATAAAAAAGAGAGGTGTATTCTACAGGAATAGACTACGCGTAATGCTACCTCGGTATCGCAGGGGTAAGGTGTCTCTTGGCATTGCTAGTTGGGAGGTACCTAACCTCTCGCGGCGCCAGTATGCAAGCTTCTAGCTGAGGTACTTGGGAGCCTGGACGACAGTGTATGGCCGCCTTAGTACCTCTCGTTAATGCATTCAAAGTCTTCTAGATTAGGTAGGTGAAGGGCAAGGTGAGTAGGGTTGGGACCTAATGCACCTACGCATAGCATTAGGTAGTATGAGTATATACATATTACCTGCCTCCTGTACTTATACTCATATAGGCATACTACACGTACAGGTAGGTTACCTACGTAATATGCCCCCTGCAATCGGCCCGCAGGGGGTGCAGTGCACATATGTACGTATAAGAAGTATGCGTATACCCATCCAACGCGGCGTCAGTACATAGGTGGGTACCTAATGCGATGGATTTGGGGTCCCTGTATGCGGCCACCCGAACTCCGGCTTTGTGAGACAGGTGGGTCAAGATCTCCCCACGTGAACCAATCAGTTGATGGCCGCCCAAACCCCGGATATGTGCAAGCGCATCGGATTTCCGTCGCCCTCGGATTACATCATATGCTTCATGTAGGCTTTTCGCGCCAGCGCGCGCAGCGAGCCTCAGCAGAAGACGGGGAGCCAACGGGATTGTTATCGATGTGGCGGCGTACCTAATTTGAATCCCGTTGCGAAGGCGAGGGGTAGCGCGCCTGTAGTCGATACGGTCAGGCGAGGTACCTGCTTTAGGGGGGGTACCTCTTGGCCCCACCTTCTTAATGCCCCTCCCCTTCCTCTCTCTAGCTATGTACCGCTACTAGTACCTACGAGGTCTCCTGCGGGCTGAGATCTCCCCTCTTCTTCCGCCCGGACAGGAATTCCTCACATGTGGCCGTCCATCCCTCCATGATCTCGTCCATTCCAGGTCCCGCTGTCGCGTCTCGTCACACGGTTCCATCTACCAACCAGCCGTCGATCGCCATCACCACCTCCGTCCTAGACCTGACTCGAGGCTACAATCTAGAGAGGAGCCACCTAGGTCTGGTTAGGGAGGTGGGCTTGGTAGGCCGGTCATTTGCACGAGAGCGCTGCACCGCTCCATCGGGCATCGCGGCTGGGCCAAGTGGGCACAGCCGGATGTCGCTCGGGCTCCTTGGCCAGGCCCGATGCCCTCCATCCATCCGTCGCATACCGTCCCATCCTCCCTCCCTGGCGCCAGCCTGGCGCCAGTCCCTCCTATACCGTCGACAGGCTAGAGGAGGAGGAAGAGGAGGAGAGTCTCGAACGAGGCGTCCTCCCTTTCTCTCGTCCCCTCCGCGGCACGCACGCATGCATAGATAGACATGCATACGACCACACAGCATGCATACACGCCTCGGCGCATGCACGACTAGACATACCTACATGCAGCACATCATCTATCCCATCTCTACGCGTTCTCTCCTCCCGCACTTGGCTGCGTTGTGTAGTGCTGTGTGTAACTTGTAAATAGCAAACGGCCTAACAGCGTCCCCCCGTCTCGTCCTCCTCGTCCTCGTCCCCTCCACCCCTCTTCTTCTCGCTCTAGCCCTCCCCTCCCCTCCCCTCCATCACCACCTTGACTCGCCCGCTCCCTGTTAATCGTTAATGCATCGTCTCAGATCCCCGTGGCTCGTGCCCCCCTCCTACACCCGACCCTCCCGCCCGCCAGGTGTCAGGTGGCATTAACCTACCGAGTGCCCTTCTGCTTTCTTGCATACCGCTTCCCAAACCACGTCCTTGTTCTCCTGCTTCTCCTCTTCCCTCAGGCTGTTTTACACCCGTGAGACATCCTCTATTGTTGCCCGCTATCGTCCGAGGGGGTAGGAGGCCCTACCCGTTTTCTACCCCTTCTCAACTTCTAACTGATATTCCCGACCTTGCCTGCCTCGCTCCTTGCTTGTTCACCTTCATCGTTGCTTGTGTAGACCGTGTGTCGCGTGCTCTTCGTGTTCATTGGTTGATGCAAGTTACAGTCGCAAATTGAAAAAAGCGAACGCGGTCTCGGTCTAATCATCATCGATCACCATTTGCCTGCCTCTCGAGCACGCACGCCCGCCTCAAGTTACCGCAAACCTCGGCTGCGCGTACAACGGAACGGACCAGACCAGTCCCCTAATAGCTCTACTAACCTGTACACCTTTTCTCAAGGTCGAGCTACCGAAAGCCAGGGTCGAAGATGGGACTTCTCGATTTTTCGGGCGTTAATATAGGCTTGAGCGTAGGCGCCAGCCTTGGTGCCGTCGCCGTCGTCCTGCCGCTGCTCTATACCTACACCGCGTCGGTGTCGCAGATGCGATTCCCCACCGTGCGCAACAAGCGCATCTGCCTACTCATCGCTCATCCGGACGACGAGGCCATGTTCTTCTCGCCGACTGTGCTCGCGCTAACACGCCCTGACACCGGAAACCACGTCAGGATCCTGTGCCTGAGTTCGGGCAACGCTGATGGCCTGGGTGAGACGCGGAAGAAGGAATTGGTCAAGAGTGGCATGCTGCTGGGCTTGAGGAGCGAGAATGACGTGCTGGTTCACGAGAGTCCGTGAGTATCCCCCCACGAGTCTGCGCTCATAGTAATCTCATTCATACATCCCTCCTCTTCCCCACCCACTATCCGCACCTGAACGGGAACGCCCCGTTGGGGTGTCAAAATGATCGTCGTGGGATATATGTTCGGGGTGATGCCGCACATGCTAACCCTAATACCTTCCCAGTGAGTTTCCAGACTCCATGACGACAACGTGGGACTCGTCGAAGATCTCGGCCCTCCTCTGCAGCGCCTTCGCACCTCATCTCGCCAAGCAGAAGGCATCGAATGCCGCGGCACCGACGGCTACCATCGACATCCTCATCACCTTTGACGAGAGCGGCGTGTCGTCACACCCGAACCATATCTCGCTATATCACGGCGCCCGTGGCTTCCTCAAGGCCTTGGTCCACGGTAAGCCTGGGTGGTCCTCTCCCGTAGACCTATACACACTCTCGAGCGTGGGCCTCCTGCGCAAATATACCACTTTCCTTGACGTCTTCCCGACGATCCTGTCGGTAGCCTTTGAAGGCAGCAAAAAGAGCGAAAGGGGAAACCCGGGCGCCCTTGTCAGCATGAGCGCTCTAGTAGGTGCACGGGAGAGCTACGGTACGGCTAGGACGGCCATGACACAGGCCCACAAGAGCCAGATGGTCTGGTTCCGGTGGGGGTGGATCACGATGAGCCGATACATGCTTATCAACGACTTAAGGCTTGAGAGGGTCAAGTCGTAACTAACCGCAATCGAGCGGGGCCCACAACTAGTCACGGTAAATCCCAAATACGAAGCACACACTGCACCGTGAGGCGCGCGAGGAGCCCCCGTAGACCCAAGGTTCCGCCACGGGCTGTCGATAAATAGAATATATACCACTACTACTACAGCTGCTACCTTAACAGAGGAATATATGCGGCAACTTACATGTATGTACGAGCCGAACACGTTGTAGATATAAGCGACAATTATAAATGTTCTAAGAATAGTCATCTTCGTCATCGTAATCTACGGCCCCGCGCTCCCCTCCGTTCGCTGATGCATCACTCGGCGGCCTCGTCGCCAAACTGTCTGTGATGATATTCGACTCACTGACCAGCAATGCTGTCTCACCGGTGAGCACGGTAAACGGGTTCAGCTTCGAGAAGGCGCGGATATCGAGCGAGTGGCTCGACTTTACGGTGACCCTGGGCAGGCGGACAGGGCGCTCGCGCAGGGTGGCGCGCTCGCGCATGACCATGTTGAGGTACGCGACGTTGTTGTTGGGGCGGGCGCGGATGCGGGGGCGCGCGGGGTCGAAGAGCTCGACGTAGCCAGAGGCAGTGCGGTAGCGGATGGGGTTGGGCATGAAGAGGGCGAACTCGCGGACGACGTCGGGCAGGAAGGTGTCGGGGGGAGAGGCGGCGAAGCTGCGCGTTTTGGCGAGGATCTGGCGGCACCAGTTGTTGATGTCGTACCACATGCGCCCCTTGAGGAAGCGGGCGCGCTGGTGGCGGATCGTGGCGGCGGAGGAGGCGGGGGAGCCGATGCGGTCGCGGAGCTGCGCGAGCTGCTCGAGCGCGGCGTCCTCGAAGGCGCGGTGCTGGTCGTGATAGATCTCGACGGCGAGGCGCATGTACGGGAGGGCGCGGCGGAACCGGCGCTTACCGAGGAGGTTGCGGATGAGGACCGAGTACTGGTCGAAGCCCGGGCGAAGGGCCCCGTGCGGGTTGGCCGGGGAGCTCGTCGTCATGGCGGTGAAGAGGGCCTCGACCATGTCCGGGTGGGGGATCTTGGAGCGCATGCCGGCGTACTTCCAGGCCGTCGACATGGGCAACGACCCCATTATGTGTGCCCACTCGAGCAGGTCTTGCCAGACGGCGCGCGGGATGGGGATCTGGTGCTCCCGCGAGATGTGGTCGACGACCTGGAACGCGGTCACGATCTCGCCGTTAGAGCCGAACGTCTCGACGACGGCTGCCATGGTGCGCGCCGTCGGCCGCATGCGGAACGTGACGCGGTTAACCGGGCTGTAGGCACCCTTCTCGGGCGCTACGTCGACCCCGCCTTTGCGCGTTCCGGAGGACCACTGCGTCACCCGGATGCCGAAGTAGTCCTGGAGGATGCGCGTGGAGACGAACCATAGCGACCCGACCCGGCCGAAGCCGATCATCAGCGCGCAGAGCAGGGACTCGTTCATGCGGTTGCCTTCCTCGAGGATATGGCGGAAGAGTCGCATGACGGGGCCTCTCTTGCGCATCATGCGCATCAGCTCCTCCACGTGGCGTGCGTCCTTGTTGAGCCCGAAGCGCAGCCTGGAGGGCCGCGTGTTGAACCGCAGCCGTTCAAGCTTCCGGTAGCGGCTGTAGGCCAGATGGATCCGCGACCCCCGGAGGTTCCGGGGGGTGACAATCCTCCTCATCTTATCGTAGCCGGAGTACAAGGGCCGCGTGAGGAAGCGCGCGGCGACGAACTCGGCGTAGACGTCGCTGTGCCGCCAATCGGTCGTCTCGGTGCGGTCCATCTCTCGCCATATCCACTTCGCGCCCATCGGGTCCGAGGCGGCGCCCGCACACCGGAGGAGGTAGGTATACTCGTCAGTGTGCAAGATCTGACCCGAGGCTTTGAGGGCCATCATAAGCACCAGCATGCGCCGGACCAGCCGCACGTAGACTCTCCGCACGCCCCACTCGTCCAGGGTGGACTTCATGTTGAGCGAATGGAACGCGCCCGGGGATATGTATACCCGGTCGGTCGGATCGGCCTCGCTAGCGATACGGAAAGGGTCGAGGGAGCGGAGGAACTCGGTAAAGGTGGTCCGGGGCAAAGTAACGACGGCGTGCTGCAGGTCCGCAGTTCCCATGCGGGTTATCCGCTCGAGGCAGGTGAGCAGCCTTCGACTGTCGCCCCGCCTCATCGCCTCGAGGGCCTTGAGGAACAGGTAGGGAAGATTTTCAGTTATCTCGGCGTACCGGTGTGCGAGCTTGGCCTCGGCCGCCTCGACAGCTTGCTGCCTAAGAGCGGGACGGGCGGGACGGGCCTTGTCGTTGGCTTGCGATTTATAAAGCAATTCTCGCAAGAAGTGTAATTCGGGCGAAAACGCCGCACCAGCGAGTGGTGCTGTCGTCGCTATCGCTGTCGTCGTCGTCATTGTCGTTGTCGTTGTCGTTGTCGTCGTGAGACCCCGCGAAAACAGGGAATAGCATACACAGGGGATCGCCGGGGAACGTCTGCGTAAACAGAGGCTGAAGATTCTCGAGGACGTCGCTCTAGGGAGAGACGTGGGGGGGGGGGGCCTACGCCCGCCCAGCGGCGCCCTCGAGGCGACGGCAGACATGGTAGAAGCTGATGCCTACCATGACCGGCATAACAAGACAAGTTCACTTAAGTAGAACAAGAATAAGACAGTGGCAGGCAGAAAGGTATAGGTAGTTGAGGTTTGTATTAGGTGGCTAATCATGGGCGTCGACAGAAGACATACCTAGGGTTAGTATGTCCAGAACTCATGTCGTCGTCGTCGTCATAGTAGACCAGAAGAGAGGTTTGTGTGTTGTTCGTATGTGGGAATACTAAGTACCGTCGATACCTCGGGTTAGTAATACAGTGTGGGGGGTAATTGTGGAGGCGGTCAAGAAACTTAGGTACGTAGGTACAAATACCTAAATGCTTCTTGCTTGTAAAGTGCTCCTCCTACACTATTTTAAGTACCTACATCTTTTATCACAGCAACTACGGCCCCGGGATACGCACATATCGCACATATCCAGTGCGTGAGGATGTATTAGACGAGAATACCCGATATTAGATAATCGCCTGAACACCCAGCCGTACGCGTCTAGCTCAACGGCACACGACGACCGCATTCCACACCCCGAACTAGAACCGCAACAGGCTCAGGAGCAACGCACCATAGGGATACTCTTCATTGCTTCATTCGAAACCCAAACCCACTATCCCTGCCACCATGGCCGGTGACGAAGAGGGAGCCACCAGCGGCTCCGTCTCCGAGCCCCTCGACCTCGTGCGTCTGCTCATCGACGAAGTAGTGTTCGTGAAGCTACGAGGGGACCGAGAATTGAAAGGGAGGCTCCACGTAGGTCAACCAAAGGAAGCAGGCGGTTGGAGTAGATCGGCCTAGGTGACTGACTCGCTGTGCTCGCATATTCAAGGCCTACGATAGCCACATGAACTTAGTACTAGGCGACGTCGTTGAGACTATCTATGTGGCGGATGAGGACGACGAAGACGAGGAAATCAAAGTGAGTAGCTCCTCGAGGCGCCACCAAGATCGAATGCCTGCTAAATCCTTACTCTAGACGATTACCAAGAAATCCGAGATGTTATTCGTACGAGGTGCGGCATCCTCCTATCTGAGGCCCCCGTCCGCCCTTCTCTCGTGCTCTCAGCCAAGCTAGCTATCTAACAGCTCTCCTTAGGAGACAGCGTTGTCCTCGTCTCTCCCCAGAGTTCTTCCTGAGCTGCGGGGACTGCTGTATTTCCGGTCAAGGAATTATAGTATATAGGGCACGCGAGTTTCATTCTAGGGCAAGGCACAATCACCATTGTCTATGCCTCACCATATATGAGGCACCTTGACGTGGTCCGGGAGCCAGAGTTCAGGGACTTGGTACTCGGATAGGTCGGTAGGCGCGCTCCTCCTGGAGGTGGATGGGGATCAGTTTCGGGAAAAAAACCAAGGATGCCTCCGGCTATCGCCAGAACGAAGGCCTCGTCGAACCAATCAGCAGAGGGGCGGTATCACACCTCAACCGCGCGCGGCCTACCGAGACAACTTCGACGGCAGAGGATCTAACCGTATGAGTGCCAACTCTCTCTGTGAACTTCGTACGTATCGCATCTCTAGCTCCTCCCCGTCAACTCAATGCAACATGTCATTGCCCGAGAATCGGGGCCAAGTTCTTGATGATCTCCCTCGACCTGCCAGAGTGTGGCATGCTCGAGGTCTCCCCCGCATTTAATCTGCATCCACCTGATATGGACGCGGCTATCAGATAACCTCCACCAACCCTTCGTCTAAATCCGGATCGCCAGCAGGCATCAATGGCATCGTCCGCCAGTTTTATGAGCTCTCTTATCTAGCCCTAGCAATGATGATTGGTTGTCCCGTCGTCGACCTGCCAAAAAGGCAACCCCTGCGCTCTCGCATCTTGGAATTGACATGCCGATCTGATAGTCTCTTCACGTCGTTCATGTGTTTAGTAACGGTATCACCTCGCGAATTCATTGCTGCAACTGTCACTGTGAGAATTTTGAGACAACGTATAAAGGGATCGCGTAGTATCCTCCCCAGCGATACTGCTGCGTCCGCCACTATTACGTCTTATCCAGCCCACACCAAATCCCCTCGGGAAAAGTCACCGGCGTGTGCCAACGTGAAATATTCGCAGTCCAACTTCGCCATGAGTGTAGAGAAGTCGGAGAAAGAGGGGCAGGTGCCCGAAGTTGTCGACGCCGACGCAGCACTTGAATACCTGCACCGCGAGGGCGCAGCGGCGATGACGGAAGCCGATGAGAAAGCCCTCGTCAGGAAGCTAGACCTCAAGATCGTGCCTCTAATGTGTCAGTCTGCACTGGCATGTCTCCCTTCCGACGTCCCATCTTGACATTTGATCAGGGGCTTGCTACAACCTCCAGTATCTCGACAAAACATTAAGTATGTCCGGACCGGTCCTGGTCCCCTCTCCATAGGAAATCAACCAGCTCACCGCGGCGCGATAGTCAACTATGCCAACGTCATGGGGCTTCAAGAGGATACCGGTATCACCGGGAACCAGTTTGCTCTACTGGCCACGCTCTTTTATGTTACTTACTTAGTGTTTGAGTTTCCAACCGGTTATCTTATGCAGAGGCTTCCCACCGCGAAGTACCTCGGGGCTAACGTCTTCCTTTGGGCAAGTCGCGACTTTGTGGATATACGTTCACTTGTCGGACTGGCTATTATCGATGATGTCGGGATTAAGAGTACCGTTCATACTACTCGAAATCCCGACACTCAATTACGCAGTCCTGATAAATCGATGAAGATGGGACTAACTAGGTTACTATAGGGATTGATAGTAGCCCTGAATTCTGCAGCAAAGAACTGGGCCGCCCTCGCAACCTTGCGGGTTCTCCTGGGATGCTTCGAGGCTTCAGTGGCACCGGCGCTTATTCTGGTGACGAGCATGTGGTATAAGCGATCTGAGCAGCCGCTCCGGGTCGGCTTCTGGTACCTCGGTACGGGGACCGGATCCATCATCGGGGCCTTATCATCCTTCGGGTTCCAGCACTACGAGTCAGATACATTCACGTCGTGGCAGATCATGTTCCTCCTCTTTGGGTCCATCACGATGGCGGTTGGGATCCTCACCGCAGTCTTTCTTCCCGACAGTCCGATGACATCCCGGCTCACGCGCGAGGAGAAGATCTGGGCGATCGAGCGCCTTCGCGAGAACCAGACCGGCATCGAGAACAAGCACTTCAAGTGGTACCAGGTCCGCGACTGCTTCACTGACCCGCAGACCTGGATCATCGCCTTCATCACCGTCGCCATGAGCATCCCCAACGGCGCCATCAGCAGCTTCCAGGCGACCATCATTAAAGGGTTCGGCTACACGTCCAAGGAGACAGCACTGCTGTCGATCCCGTCAGGTGTGCTTACCTGCGTCTCAGTGATCGCGGCAGGCGTCGGGGCCGCCAAGTACGACGCGCGGGGGCCTGTCATCGTCACACTGCTGCTAGTGGGAGGAATCCTAGGCGGGGGACTGCTCGCGTTCAGCCACGGGGACGCGAAGGCGGCGCTGCTGACGGGGAACTACCTGACGAACACGATCGGGGCAGCCCTGCCGATGCTGTACTCGTACGCGGCGGCAAACGTGGCGGGCCACACGAAGAAGGTGACGGCGAACGCGATGCTACTCGCCGCCTTCTGCCTCGGCAACATCATCGGACCCCTGACCTTCCGCGACGCCGACCGCCCTGCCTACCTCCCAGCCAAGGCCGCCATCGTCGCCTCCACGGCCGCCGCGGCCCTCGCCACTGCCGCCCTAATCGCCTACTACCGCTGGGAGAACGCGCGCCGGGACCGCCGCTATGGGGGCCTGGCCCACCGCGCTGACAGCGAGTTCTTCGACCTGACGGACCGGGAGAATACAGAGTTTCGAGTAAGTTGACTCGGTTTGTTTTTAATAGGATCTTATTGTTCTAAAGACTTTTCTTTTCTTTTTTTTGGAGCAAGGGTCGGTAAATCGCTAACGTGTAAAGTACCGCTGGTGACTCCAATAGCGAGAGGTGGCAGGGGCCGGTTGGGTTGTCTGTTGGGAATAGGGGTAGATGGGAAAGGCCGGAGAGCTGGAGATAATACATGCAGAATAGGGGGACGTTGCATATATATATATATAATTTGGATATATCACCCAGATAATTACTCCATCACATCTTCGAAATCTCTTTACCAGTGTCTATCCATGAAAAGTCTACACAATTAGTCTATTTTGCTTCACCTTTCCCACACCAGCATCTGGACTACGTGGCGCAGAATCCAATGAACAACCATCATCGTGCAAAGGGATATCTGCATGTCGATGACAATATTCCTGAGCCCCTCCCATCGGAGCGAGCCTGCAGCAAGCAGGATGAAGACGGCTACCGCGTAACCCCCGAAGACGTTGACTAATTCTTCGGTTTCCAACATGCGCGGCATCTTGTTATCTGAATGTCCTTTTCTAGTCTTTTCGCCTGCTTTCCTTTTTTTTATAAGTGTATCGTCTTGATCAACAGTATGAAAAGGCAATTCTACCGTATCGAGGACTTCGGGCTCGAGGGCGAGCGCGGTCTTTATATCGCGAGTCTCGCGGTTGCTATGTGGGAACAAGAGCATTGTTCAGGGACGCACTCGTACAGTCTGCCTAGATGCCTACTGTTTTTGATGTCTTTGTTTCCACGGGCAATGGTACAACACCCGGGTGAAGGTCGATTTGGCCCCAGTTTGCAAAGGATATCTTGGTCTGTGCCGGAGGGAGATGTCGAGGGTTGTTGCTACTATGATGATAATACGTACGTGCCCTATATTGTCCAATTCTTCCGTATACCGGGCCTCTCTCTCTTGACTAATTTCTTGAGGTAATACTAAGTCATGTGTTATAGCTTCTCGGTCTCGCTTTTTATCAACCCAGATGTTCGAGACGTGTGGCCAGTGGGAATCCCGGTGCTAGATTATTACCTAGTGCCGTGGACATACCTACCTATGTCACCTCCCTCTTGGATCCCAGTAGCATCACTCCTGGACGGCGCGAGGATAAACAGGGGGAATAGTCGTATGTATCATGTACAACTGCTACAAGGCAGAACGAAATCCACGACAGCTACCGATGCATATATGGACAAATTGCCTCGTCTTTTCCTTCTTTTAGTACCTAGTATCTACTCGCCGTTCTCATACAGGTTATATGGGGCTTTTCTATCGCGATATTCTAAATAATGACAAATATGGCAGCCTTGAATGAATATCTAATTGTAGGCGAGTTCATATACTTGTCGGTGTCACGCGTGTATCTAGATGATACCTACCTATCTTCGAAATACAGGACTAATTGCATATCTACTTAGGGGACCTAGAAGGCAGAATAGAACTAAAGGGTACTTGAAGTAATCGGGGCATGGGCCGGCAATCGGGCGGAAGAAAGCTTGGGCCGTACCTATGTGCGAAGTAACGCCGCCAACCAGAAAAGACATATTCTTCCCGTCATTCGGAGAGGCATTCGCCTTCCGTTTCTCGAGCGCGCGCAAACCGCACCAAAATGCCACCGCGAATACCGGCTCTGCTGGCGGCTCGGTGCTACAGGGCATCAATTGAGCAGTCCGGTTACTCATCGCTCGTCAGGCTGCTGAGCGCGGTCTCCATCCAGACCCGAAACGCCCACATCCTTGCGAGCCTCTCCGACAACAAGGGCGCACACCAGAAACGAATCCGCCTTGGTCGCGGGCCGGCTTCCGGCAAGGGAAAGACGTCAGGGAGGGGTCACAAGGGTCAGAAGCAGCATGGAAAGGTCAAGCCTTGGTTCCAAGGTGGCCAGACACCTTTGATTACGCAGAGGGGCAAGCTCGGCTTCGAAAACATGTACGGTTGACCGTCTACTCCTCATTACCTACTCCCTCGCTGGCGCACACCGCCAACTGACCATCCGACGTTTAGCCACGCGCCCATCTTGTCCGAAGTCAACCTCGACAAGCTCCAGGAATGGATCGATGCTGGCCGCATCGACGCCACGCAGCGGATCACGCCGAAGGAGCTCATACTGTCCAACCTCGTCGGGTCGATCAAGGACGGAATCAAGCTGCTGGGAAGGGGCGGGAACTCGCTGAAGCAGCCGATCGACATCGTGGTGTCGCGCGCCTCGGCCTCGGCCATCGACGCGGTGGAGAAGGCGGGCGGCAAGATCATGACGAGGTACTACACGAAGATGGCCATAAAGCGGCTAGTGGAAGGCAGGAGCTTCCACAGCGACGAGCCGCTGCCGACGGGGCCGGAGCACGTCGAGCCGGTGCTCGAGGCGTTCCGGAAGAAGAAGTTCGCCTACCGGCTGCCGGACCCGACGGCGCGGTGGGACATCGAGTACTACCGCGACCCGGCGCACCGGGGCTACCTGAGCTACACACTGCAGTCTGGCGAGTCGCCCAGCTTGTACTTCAAGGTGCCGCCGTCACAGCTCACGAAGCGGGTCAAGAAGAGAAAGAAGGGAGCTAAGCAGGAGGACACCAAGCTCTGGGACAAGCTGTAGCCAGGGCAGCGAGACATGCCAATACTATACCACCGACATGCCAATTGTTATACCTCTTTTTGTGCCTATCTGCATTATGGAGGCGCAATCCACGACTGCAGAAGTACGATGAGGGTAGGGATCCGTCTCGTGTCGATTGTTAGCTCTGTATGTAAGTATACCTACACGTATGTATTTAGGGATGGATTGATACCCTCGGCATAGACGGCGATGCATACACTTATCCTTTCGACAGTCAAAAGGAGGGAGTTGTCTAGCGCTGTATGTGCCTCCTATCCGTCTAACCCCTGAGAGGTATTTTGAATGCGCGTGGCTGGGCAGGGAGGTACCCGTATGGTCCTCGCTGCGTGCGGATCCGCCCTTGGGAAATCATGCGGGTACCCGACGCTCACACAGAGGGATTTGGAGGTACGTAGGTGTGGCGGTATTACTTAATTCCGCCTCCCTAGGTACGTAAGGTACCTACCTGTATGATATCTCATTTATTACCTAATAACCTCGTGCCTGTTCGCAGCAAAACTGCCTTTGGGGGGGATCCATGATGAGATCAGGGTCCGTCTGCGGTCCGCTGGCCTCGACTCCGTTCCTGCCATGCCCCTTCCCCACCTGACCTTACTGCCCCACCTAGGTAGGTATGTACATCATGTACTGAATACGTATGTGTAGGTATACTTCGCAGTCATATACTATTACTCTGTACATAGATAGTACAGAATGATGCCCAGGAGTATGTACCACGCAGCATGTACTTGCCTACCTATCCCGCTCCGTCCCACCTTCTGGGTGCACTTTCCCTGGCGGTTTCAGCGCAGGCCATCGCCCGAGCTTCCCCTACCTTCCGCTGACTAGAAGCCACGACCCGGCTGAGAAGACAGCGAAAGTGCGCAAAAGGCTCCGGCCGAGGACTTTCGAGGAATCCCAACTTCTGCCCACCCTTGCCCTCTGCCCATCCTACCTCACGAACCAGGCCGACGTGTAGAGCCAGTGCCCGGATTCTCGAGGTCTGCGTAATCCCGGTCGTGCGTGTGCTGCTGAATATCTCGACCACTCTCCTTCCAGGCTTCGTCATCGTGTTGCGCCGCCGTCACTTCGAGCGCAGAGAGAGCAGCCGCCGCTCGCGATTGCTGAATCTGGCACAATACGACGGGCTTACCTATCTGCGCTCGCCATTGCAGTATAGCGATAACACTGCTCTTGCTGCTGCTGTCACTAAAGGAAGAAGAGAAAAAAAAAGAGACATTAGAACGCTCGTTGAGGAAGAAATCATGTCTCTATTTGGCTCTTCTCCCCCAAACGACAGCCTGACTCCCGGCAACACGACCGTGGCTCGATCCCGAAACTCGCTTTTCGACGACGACGATCCCATGACCCGGTCGACTTCGGACACCCTCTTTAATGACGACGACTTCAGGGGTAGTGGTGCGACTTCGCCCTGGGACCTGCCTACACCGCGGAAGCAGCAATCGCGCGGCGACCTGATCCGACAATTACTAGATGGCGCCGAGGTGCCCGAGAGCTACATAGAGGCATTTGATGCCGCCGTGCGCGAGGACGGAAGCGGCGGCAAGGTCACCTCCTCGGGCATCACCAAGACGCTTGCTGCCGCTAAGTTGGGTGCTGACGACCAGGCGCGGATAATGGGAATACTGGCTCCGGCCGGCCATCTCGTGCCCGTCGGTCGCAGCGAGTTCGGCGTCTTGCTGGCTCTCATCGGCCTCGCGCAGGAGCACGAAGCCGTGAGCTTGGACGGAGTGGACGAACGGAGACGCAGTAAGTAGAGAAAAAAGAAGAGCCCCCTCCTCGACTACAGCACTGCATGTACGCCCCATGAAGTGGAGGTTTTTTACTCTCCCGCCTCTGGGAAAAGGAGAGTAATCTCTCTCCGGGATCTATTTTCCGGGCGATGTCTCTGGTCTGTTGTCATGTGAAAATTTCATTCTGCATATTCCCCATCATGAGCCCAACCATGTAACTCGCCAACGAGTCGCATGTATCGCCCAATGGGCTGCATTTCGCCGCGGTACGCTGCACAGCACAACATAGCAAGCGCTGCGCTGCACAGCACACTGCGCGGCCCTGTACATCATGGGGTGGGGGGGACCGTGTGCAGAGTGCGTTAATTCGCCCGAGAAAAAAATCATCTAACCAAGCAATAATATACAGACTTGCCGCAACCCCAGTTATTCTCGTCGTCTCAGTCTGTCCGAAAACCCGTCCTTCCGAATACTGCAGACCTTGCAGCGAAACCGCCCCAGGTGCCCGATCCTTCGCCCACTTCATTTCCATCACACTCGAGAGCCACAAAGCACCCCATGGATGGTCCCGAGGACGATCCGTGGAACTCGTCCGACCTTCACGCGAACCACGGCCACGGCGAGACCCCAAAGACCAATGGTGCCAATCACGTAAATCCGAGCACGAATGGTAACGGCTACGGCAATTCGGACGCCCCCGACTCGCACCCTCACCCGACTTCGGCCTTTACGACCGCCACCATGCCCCCCAGCACCGGTAGTGTTGGCGCCCCCTCCGCCCCCTCAGCATCATCAAACCCCAGTGGTTGGGGATATTTCGATGCAAATAGCTCGGCCGGCTTCGATGGGCCCTCCAGCCATCTAGGCGGCCCCTTTAGCGGCGCCGGCAGTGGGGAGGGCCACGAGCCAGGTATCAATCCTTCTGCCATCCACACTCGAACCATTAGTGGTGGTCGGTCTGGAAGCGCAATCGAGGAGAACATCGTGGTGACGCTGATGCCAGAGAAGGAAGGCGTCTTCCTATTTCAGCACCACAATTACGAAGTGACGAGCGCACGCCGAGGAAGCAAAGTCATTCGCAGGTACAGCGACTTCGTGTGGCTGCTCGATTGCATGCACAAGCGATATCCGTTCCGCGCGCTCCCCCTACTCCCGCCGAAGAGAGTCGCGGTCAACGGTAACCATCTTTCCAACGATGGCGCGTTCATCGAGAAGCGTAGACGTGGCCTCGGCCGATTCCTTAATACCCTCGTCCGGCACCCGGTATTAGGCCAGGAGCAGCTTGTCATCATGTTCTTGACGGTCCCGACGGTGAGTATCGAAATGAGGGCCCACCAGTGCTGCTCCCTAAGCTGACTAGCATACATAGGAACTTGCGGTATGGCGTAAGCAGGCTACGATCTCGGTGGTGGATGAGTTTACGGGCCGACCGCTCCCGCCCGGGCTCGAGGAATCCCTACCGCCGTCGTTAGAGGAGCTATTCGAGCGCACTAAACAAGGTGTTAAGCGATCCGCTGACCTTTATATCACGTCCTGTAACATCATGGACCGCCTCGTCAAGCGGAGCGAAGGGGTAGCAGCCGACCACGGGCGCATGGCTCTGTCGCTGACGTCCCTTACCGAGACGAGTTCGGAGACCTACGCTACTGATACGAACGACGTACCGCTGCTCAACGACGGCTTGATAGCTATGAGCAAGCACCTGCAGACCACGCAGAGTCTGATGGAAGACGAAAGCAAGGCGTGGGAAGCGGGTGTGCTGGAGGACTTGAAAAGGCAGCGCGACGCGCTGGTGAGCATCAGAGAACTGTTCGACCGGAGGGAGAGGCTGGACAAGGACAACATTCCGTACCTGGAGCGGAGGATCCAGAATAACGAGACCAAACTCGCCGGCCTACGCGCGAAGCCGGATGGGCTAGTCAAGCCGGGGGAAATAGAGAAGGTGGTCGAAGCCATAATCAAGGTTGGTCTCCCTCCAAGTGTCGAGGATTATACTGTCCTCTTGGGCGGAAGCAGCAGCAGCAGCACCACTACTAGTAGTGCCAGCGTAAGAGTTTCTAACGTGTGGAACAGGACAAGGAATCAATCGTCAACCAGCACAACCGGTCCATCTTCGTCAAGGAGTGCCTCCGCGACGAGCTCGTATACTTCCAGCAGACGCAGTTCCACGTCAGCCGATGGAACCAGGACTGGGCCCAGGAGCGCGTCAAGTACTCGGAGATGCTGGCCGACAATTGGCGCCGGTTGCTGGACGAACTCGACGGCATGCCGCTCGGCGACTAGAACCTCCGACCGTTTTGCGAGACTAGCTGGGCGGACCTTTCCTAGTTTAATATGTGTGCGTGCGGCCTCGGAGGCGGTAGCTGTGGGACGCTATGGGGGGAGGAGGGGGGCAATGGATGCATACTGAGAATGATTCGCCGGATGTTGGGGATTAAAGCATTGCCGTGGTGCGATGTCACTTATACACGCCGCACAAGCCTTTTCAAAGCGCCTGTCGCCCTGGATGGGGGTCGAGGGAGTATCACGGCCATTGGTCCGGGCTCGTCCTTGTTTCTTTTCTTACCTATCGTTGTTTTCAGGAGAACGAGCATATCCCAAGCAGGGAGACGCAAGTTTGTCACGATACCCTTCTTTCTCTTCTAGTTGGATATTCGGCCTCTTCCTCGTAATGGTAACGGTATCCGAGCTCGTGTAGGCACGGCTCTGCAGAGGAGAGCCGTCAAGGGAGGTAGGGTGGGAGTGTATGCATGAGGAGGAATTGAGAAGGAGGAGGAGGAAGAGGAGGAGAAGAGAGAAGCGAGTACATACATTATAAGAAGGTATTGTAGGTAGATACCTGTCGGGCGCTCATGAGCAACGGCGATAATAACGAGAAATTGCTAATTGGCAAAAGAGAGCGATGTATTTATGTAGGTAGGTGTACCTATGCATGCCTCTGCGTTTTGTCCCCCATCCATTGCGCACCTAGGTGGGTACCTAGGTAGGTACCTATGTATCTAATGGAGATGACGTAATACCCGCTAGTAGGGTCAGGCAGGTAGGATTCACACACGTGTACATACTCATACAGTATTACATACGGTATTACACACCAGACTCATAAGGTACCTAGGGTACCTTACCTAAGTTATGTCACGTACATTAGGTACCTATATTATCCCTGGCAAGAGGCCGGCAGTACGAGGGTACCGAACCTGGGTTAGGTGGAATTGCCCAATTCCCAATTCCCATCAACGTCAGAGGGAAAAGAAGTTCCATCGCTCGGTTGAACCCCACCAACCGGGCTTAACCACCGACAACCACCACAATCCGTCATCGTCACCTTCAACCTCATCCATCCTTAGCCCATACCCGCCACGCCGACTAGTAGCTCCCGTGGCCTCTGTTAGGCTAGAAGATATTATAGCCCTCGTCAGCCTCAGCCTCGAAGCTGAATTCGCTGGGAGGTGATGCCAACTCAAGAAGCATAGTCCATACCTATATAAACCCCCCTGCCTCTCACATCCCCAATCCTCAACTCACCCCCGCCATTCCTTTCTTTTCGGTATACCCTCACGTGGACCACCGAGACCCGCCACTACTAAAGCATCAACCCCTGTCGGCTTGTCAACTTGTGCTGCTGAGTCAAGACAAAAGGCAGGCTTCCAGCTCCCATCTTGCCTGCTGTCGAGCAGAGAGCAGAGAGTCGAGAGCAACCAAGGTTCGTTCAACCCAAGAGACCGAGGGCCGGCTGGCATATCGAGCATCTATTCGAGGGTGCTTACCGACACCCTAGCTGAACGCCACTACCTGCGTACAACTCCTGCTCGTCCGCCACCATGGCCCCATTTACCGCCCATCAGCGGGAGGCCATTGCCAACTTCATCAGTATGACCGGAGCTCCAGACAAGGTTGCCCAAAGAGTAAGTCCGGATCCCACCTCTCCCTTCGTGATCCTCATAAGACGGCCACCCTTCCCAGGCTCTCTGTTGCTTATGCTATGCTCTTCTCGGCAAGCCCTTCCCTTCTCCCTCCCAGCGCTTGGATTTGAGAGCGGGGTGGTGCTAACCAAATGCTCCCCGTAGTTCCTTAAGAATTCTGGTTATAACCTCAACGAAGCGGTTCGTCAGTAAGTGGAGGCCTTATTTTCTCCTTCTCCTTCGAGCCTTCTGCTCCCCGTTCGCTGTCTTTTACGCGTAGCTCAGATGAGTTACTGCCGAGCATACCTCAGCAGTCCTAGGAAAGTGACAGCGATTTGCGCGACGCCGCATTAACGCCCCAGATGATTCATTGCGTCTCCATGTCTCTGCAACTGCTGAGCCGGCAGAGTAGCCGGCATTGACCGACATACCAACATAACCCTATGCATCTCTGGATGCTTTCCCCCTCCTGTCTACTTCCTTTTCTAGCCATACATCTGCTTATTCCGCCCCCGGCGTCTCTTATTCTGCTGTTAACCCTCAGCTTGCAGATATTTTCAGTCCACGCCTGCCGGTTCTGTCCAGGGTCAGAACCACGGTCCAGATCCGCGTTTGATGAAGTTGTTTGACGGTCTCAGAAGTAGGTCCGCTCTGCTCACACAAGGCAATTTCTCTTCCGTTGACACCAGGGGCAGACGAGGCAGAAGATGGCCAAGACTTGCTTGGCGTATCCTCGTCTATGGCATATCTCGAAGCCCTCGGCGTTGACATGGAGGGCCCTTCGTTGTGGGTGGCGCTAGAACTTCTGCAGGTCCCCAGCATTGGCGAGATCACTCGGGAGGGTTTTATCAACGGATGGAAATCTACAGGGTGAGCTTTAGTGCTTTTTCTTCTCTGCAACTTACACCTACTGTGCCTATCCTGCCACGCCCCGAGATAAGTACAAAATTGACCGAAGCCGCACCAGTGTCGACCCGAAAGTGGACGCCCAGAAGCAACACATCGCACGCCTCACCAATTCGCTGATTCGAGACCGTGACCTACTCCGCAAAGTCTACCGATACGCCTTTGCGGCTGGAAAGGAGAAAGACCAGCGATCTCTAGCCATGGATACAGCGCTTGTGTACTGGGAAGGCCTCTTCAAGCGGCCGGGGCTGGTCTGGGTCGGACGAACGGCTCACGTCAACTGGCTAGACGAGTGGACAACCTTCCTACGAGAGAATTGGACCCGTTCGGTTAGTCGCGATATGTGGAACCAGACGTTGGAGTTCTCCCTCAAGAGCATCGAAGACGAATCGCTCAGCTTCTGGAACGAGGACGGAGCATGGCCCGGAGTGATCGACGATTTCGTGGCCTGGTTCCGCCGCAAATCGGAGATGGATGTTGACGCTTAGAAAGCAGCTCGTATATTACTAACCTTCAAGTGACTAGCCGGTACGGGTCTTCCTTTTGGCAACGCGTTGTCGGTGCCCAACGCGACATCAGCTTGTCGTGGCGTGCGTTAAGGCAACGCTCAGAAGAATCTCCTGTCAGCACGGGTCGAAAAGTGTCTCACAGTTTTGCGCAAAGGGCCGATGGCTGAAACTGCCCGCGGATACCTTTGGCAGCGAGACTTTGCTGGAAGCCGACTAGTCTTTGTGCGTATACATAGGTCGTAAGCCTGAGTTGCTGGGTGGGCGAGATGCAGAGGGGTGCTGGACATCAATGAATATGTACCTACGTGCGCGCGCGCAGATGAGCGAGAAGGGGAGACGAGGTAAAGGAAGAGGATTGTTGTGATGGGATGTAGCTAGCTTCTTCCTACCTTCGATGGCAGACGAATGTGAACGAATGAATGAGATACCTATTTCCAACGTCTAGCCCCTTTTCTATATATGTAATACGAAGATATGTCGCGTACAACGCAGGCGCCTACGTTGCACGACTTGCAGCTTTAAGCTTATAAGGGCAGGTTTCCTACGTGACAAGACAGAAACCCCTTGACTTGGGGGGACTGGATACGATGGAGGACGGGCCGTGTCTGACGCGGCTAGCCAGGACAGTGACGGGTGTAGCAATGGACTCCCTTGCGCCAGTCCAGCACGGACACAGGCACGGGCAACCAGGTCGCCTAGGCCTGTGCGTAGATCTATCTCGGATGTGTTTATCTCGCCATCGGGCGACGGGGGAGAAGTGAGTATGTATGTATGTATGTTGTTACGCCCCGCCCCCCCTCATCGCCCTGCCTCCGGACCCCCCCGACCCGTGGACAGGGGGCAGCGCAGACTAGCACGAGACCCGGTCGCCGAGAGCCGAGGGCAGGCCCAGCAAGCCCGACTTGGCGCTGGGGTTGCGGGAGAGCGGGGATCGTACAGATACACCTGTAGGCATAGAGAGGGGACCGGGGCGGGAAGCTAAGATGGGGGAGTGTGTAGCATGTGTGTGTATATATGCGGATGGGCAGATGACAAGAGTACAGCAGACCAGGGCAGACTAGAGTAGGATGAATACTATTACAGCATGGACACAACACGCCCCGTGACCCGGCGATAAGGCGCCGGTAAGGTGGATTGGCTGCGCGGGCAGGTCGGGCGAGCGGGCAAAGGGACAGACGTCTTTGGCCTCTGGCCTCTCTCCCCGCCCACGCCTCCTATTCGCGTCGTAGCGCACGGCAAGGTGTATGTGGTGTATGTATGCAAATATGATACCGATGTATATAATTTATATACACGCGGGGCCGTGGCTGCACTATGCCATGCCATGCCACGCCACGCCAACAGTCGGGGTGGAGATGTATATAATCGTGGTTCGATCTGTCGGACGCACAGTGTCGACAGACGGACGGACTGCCCCCCTTTTACCTGGCGAGTTCTCTTTTCATCCCCTTTCCACTCCTCTCCCCGGCCCTCCTGAGTTCGGAAAATAGCTATCTCTCTCGTTTCCCGTCGACATCGCGTCCGAGATCTCGCCCGCCCATCTGCGTCTTCGTCGTTCATTGCCGCGGTAGTTTGCGCTACCCCCGGCGAGTCGGGCCGTGTCATGTCGTGTCTGCCGTCTGTGGCCCTCGGGAGGGGTGGCCGGTGTAGGTAGTAGCGTAGCCGGCGTCGTGTACGTATTGCAAGATTACTTCCCCCCTTTCCCCCCCCCTTCTTCTTCCTCTCCCCAAACTTCCTTCCCTCCCTCACGCCCCCATCAAAAAAAAAAAAAAAAAACCCCCCTCCAACGCCCTCACTCAACCCACTCGGGGGGCCCAAAGCGGGCGAGGCTCGGAAGCTTTCCGTCGCCGAGCTTGACGCAGGCGTGGCGAATCATGCGGGGGTCGAGGGCGAGCATGCCGCGGACGGCGCGCTGTGTGGCGACGGAGGCGTCGTAGCGCAGTGCGAAGTAGTGGCCCTCATGGTGCCGCATCTGGTGCACGCTCGTCGCCCGCGGCAGCAGGAATACCCCCCAGTTCGCTACCCCGCGGATCACCCCCCGCTGCTGCAGGATCAGCTGCCCCGTCGCCAGCACGATCTCCTTCACCTCGGCTACGTTGCCGGGGCGCGCCTGTGCCGCGGGGCGGAGGGGGGAAGGGCCTGTGTGTGAGCCTCTGGATGTTGCCCGCGTGCGTGGGTTGGGGGGGTGGACGGGGACCGGGGGGCACTTACTATGCCGATGAGCTCGTACAGCATCTCGTTCGTGCGTTCACTCACATCGAGCGCGCGCCTCGCCCTCTCACTCTCCTTCTCTCTCTCGTCTCGGACGAGACGCCTGGTCCGCGTCTCTCGTCACCGCGCGTCGTCTCGAACCCCGGGGACCCCCCGTTCTCTCGACCTAGCGATCCGCCGACGTCGAGCGATGCCAGTTGCGGCAGGCGGTCGCGGTTTGTGGCGGCACACGGGGGGGGGCGCAATTGGGAACAGGCGTGCGCGGGTGGTAACGTGGGCGAGGGCTGGCGAGCCGGGTGCGGTAGCGGCAGCGGTTGTGATGGGATGCGGTGCGAATTCCGCCGCGGGCACCTTGACCAGAGACGGAGGATGCGTATTCTCTGTGCCTTACCTTACTCGGTGGGGGCAGGGAAGCGAGAGAAAGAAATCTCGAGCTCCCGTTCCGCGATAAGATAGGTGAGGTGTGTACCCTGCTTTATTTGCATAGATGCGTAAAGACGGGGATTCCTACTCGTTAGTTGCATAGTCACTCCTATCCGATAGATAGATGAATAGGAAAGTGTCGCACCTCGAGTACCAGTACTTCAGGTACTCCCTACATCCTCCCGGAACGGAATAGGTCGCAGGTTACAGTCTACCCCAATCAGCCTCACCTGAACTCTCCGCCAGCCAGTCAGCTCGCTAACGACAGGCGGCGCCGCCACCTAAGCCACGCCCACCTGCCTCCCTCGCCCATAACAGGTACCTACCTCTGCCTAGAGGTGCCTCCCTGACTAGGTAGGTACTTACCGCCTTAGGTAAACCGCCTCAGGTAAACCGCCTCAGGTAAAGAAAGCTCCTGCTTATCGAACCCCGAGAGGGCCGCGTCCGATGGATCCGTGCAGATATCTAGATACCTACCCCCTAAGCAGAAACGCCACCTACCACAGGACCGCCGGACGATACGCCAGAATCAGACACGGCAACGCCCTCGACTCTCCAGATTTTTGCATCTTTTCTTCTCCTTTCTTGGTTCCCCTCGCCCCGAATCCTCTATTATTAACTAACCCCGGGCCTCCCCCCCTGCCCGTCACGGTTCTGTTTGTGATGAGTCGTTATTGTAGTAGGAATAGTAATGGTGGTAGTAGTAGATTGGCCGGGTGGAGAGATACGAGAGAGCGAGAGAGTGAGAGAGACAGAGAGAGAACCGCCGTGATCCGCCTGCCCGCCTGCCCACCTCCCTTCCCTATCCTTCCGTCCCTCCTTTCGTCTGCCTGCCTGTCTGTCTGCCTACGTACATACGTCGATACAAACGCCGTCGTTGACCATATTTCTACGTCAACCCTCCCCCGCTCCATTTATATCTCCTTACAGTTACCCCCTTACCCCACCCCCGAAAAGGCCACCCCTCGTTCCATTAGCCGGGGCAAGGGTCAAGAGTCTATAGCGTGTCGTTTCCTTATGTGTCTGGTTCCGTAGGGTGGTGTTGTTGGCTGATGCTATCGTGGACGCGTTCCGCTGTCGTGCCGTTCTGCCGCGGGACGGAAACGCGCCGCGCCTAGCTCTGCCCCTGACACCGCACGACGTTGCGTCGCCGGGAGAGAGGGCAGAGAAATAATATACATCCAGCGTAGTTGTCGAGCAGGACGAGGTCGACGCATGACCGTCGATCGTTGAAAATCGCTGGGTTGGGTTCGGCCGCTCGCTCCGTCACGGTCAGCCAGCTGCCGGACGCAGGGGCCGACGCCGTCTTCCCCCTCTAGCCCCCCGCCTCCCTTGATCCTTATCCGTTCCCATCCCTGCCCGCGCCTTCTATTCCCGCCCGTGCCTCCGTCCGCCAACCCATCCCTCGAACAGAAGTAATGCACCACGCCGGGAATGCGTCAAAGTGATAACGATTAGAAACGAGGCGAGGAAGGGAGATAAGGAAATGGGGATAGGGAAAGAAAAAAAAAACTTTTCGGTGAATGCCGATCCAGACGCCCGAGGAAACGAAAAACGACCCCAGATATTTAAACCGCCTCCGAAACGCCTAGAGCTTCTGCCACCCATGTCCGTGATCGAAGGTCCGTAGATACAGAGAAATGCGAGGGTTTGTTGGGTTGTATTTGCAATAGCGTCACAAGGGAGGATGGTCCCGACGTGCGGTTTCGGTCCTTGCCGAGCGCAGAGGTCGAGGGAGCCAGAAGATAGACAGATCTCGGCGCGAGCAGAGAGCGTCGCCGTATGGTAACGAGCCGAGTCTGCACCGTCGCCCGCCGAAGGGTGCGTAGACAGATATGCGGAGGTATACGCCGCTCACGCGTCCGATTCCCCGTTCGGCATCGTCTCCGACTCCATCTTTTCCCATACTTCTTCCAGTTGCGCCCTATGATAAGACATCTCTCAGTTAGCAAAACTTGCACCGAACCCGTCGCGGCTGTGCTGAATAGAAACCAACCATCCCGCATGGACGAGGGTATCGAGGACTCTGCTCCTGCTACTTACCCGGTGCGCTTGACGAGTTTGAGGCCCTTCTTCTTGGCGAACGCGAGAAACCGCTTCTTGGTGCGCTCCCGCTTGAAATGGGTAAGGATGTTGCCACGCTTCTCGTCTGCTATGATGACCAGAATCTTCTGGCACTCTGGGGCGTACTGGATCTCGCGGACCTCTTCCAGACCCAGATTAAAATTGATGGGCTTCTGGTAAAACCCCCACGTCACCTTGGGGAAGACGTCACGCAGCACCTGGTGCTCGAACAGGTTCTTCTCCGGTTTCCAGGTCCAGTACTGCGTCACCTCGATGCTCGTCGTGAGGGAGCGTGTCTTGATCTGGTAAACTCGCCAGTCGAGGTGCATGATTCTGCCAGCTGAGAAGGAATCGGTCGACGTCCAGCCGTTGTAGTCGAGATCGTCATCCTCTGGCGGCTCCTCCTTCGGGGGCGCCGGTTCGAGGCGCTGGCGCTTCAGCGAGCGGGGCGTGACCGGCTCGAACACCTCCAACTGCGGCTGCTCCGATCCTCTCTGTATCCCGTCCAGGCTCGGCGTATCCTCGGCGTCGACTTGACCGATCGACCGGCGAGGCTTGCGCCGTCCCAGCGCGGCTGGCTCCTGCTTCACCTTCGCCTTAGCCACCCCCTTCGCTGGGTCCCTACCGGCCAACTTATAGCCCGATGGCCGTCCGATGTTGCCGAAACCGTGCTTCTCTCGCAGGAACTTCAACTTCGCGTCGTGGTACAAGTCGTGAACGGTCTTGGACAGGCTGAACTTTTCACCCTGCACCGCGGCCACCTCAAGCATGCGCACGCGCAGCCATTCGAGAGGCTTCACGTCGAGGTCAAACTTTTTCAGCTCCTCGTGCACGTTGCATAGCCGGAAGATGGTGTCGTAGTTGATAAAGGTCTTGTAACACTTGGTCATCATATCTTTGCAGACGAATTGGTAAGGATGCCACGTCTCCTCCCGGAGGAAATCGATGACTGATTGACCGCGATTGACCTGACGATTAGCTAGAAAGACGGTATGGCGGATGGCGTCGGGCGTCTGTCGCAGCTGTTCCAATTTTTCCTTCCACTTGTCTAGCTGGGGTTGGATGATGCTCTCCAGCGGCTCCCATTCGGGATCCCAGTACGGGTGGCTCGCGTCGATCCGCTCCAGGGGCACGCCGGCAAACATCGGTGGCTCGAGCATGACCCTACCGTCGTCCCTAAAGGTCAACTTGTCGCGGGTGATCTCTTGGCCATCGTTCGTTGGCGCCGGGCTCTCCGTGAGGGAAACCGAGCCTTTGGCGCTCGGCAGCGACTTCCGGCCGGATGGGGACTTGGCCTTAGACTCGTTATACAGCTCAGGTCCGGCTGAGAGGAAGAGGGGAGGGGAGGAGGGCAGTGTCAGCTAGAGGGAAGAAGGCGACCGGCAATCGGGGTCTAGATACTTACATGCTCTCACGACTGGTAGACGGGCCCCAGCTGGAATGCTCGGCAAGCTATGTCGCTTCGGCTTTAGCAGTCTGTCTTTAACGCGGCTGTTTAGCGGGCCGTCGGGGCCGTTCATGTCTACGTCAATGCCCAGGCCGTTCAGGACCGGACCGGCGCGGGCACGGGTAGCGCTACTCCGCAAGGGCATTGCCCTCCCGCCGACGGGCTCGGTCTCGTCGACGGGGTTGTGGTAGATGCTGCTCAGCAGGTTGCCCGGATCGGCAGGCGGCTCCACCTCGTCCTCTTCTCGGCGGCTGCGTCGGCGGGAGGCGCCATTGATACTCGTCCATCCGGCGGCGCCAGACTGGGAACCGGATTGGCGGCGGCCGGTGCTGCCGCTGCTCTTCGGTCGCGTGGATCCCAAGGTCTCCCGCTTCTTGGCGAACCGGTCTTCTTGCGTCCGATCATCCTCTCGGCGCTGGGCCCGGAGGCGCTCGCGGCTCTTCTCGAAATCGTGAGCCAGGCGTTCCTGCTGCTCCTCGTACTGCTGAATGCGACCAGCAACGAGCCTCAACTCGTTGTTAAGCTGCGTCTTACGATCGTAGAGATCGACTAGTTGGTGTCGCAGCTGGGCCTCTTGGGTGGTGTACTCGTGGTCAATCCGGAGATCCTCCTTGGCCCGGCTGCCTTTCACGACCTCCCAGTAACTCCTCTCCATCTCGTCCAAATCGTCTCTGACCCCAGGTTCCTTCTTGGCGGACATGATATCAAACAACTCGACGCGTGTCCGCCCATGTACCAGACCGGTCCTCACCTGCTACCTGGCGTGCGTATTAGTAGATTCGGCCACGGAGAACCGCCGACGGCCACGAAGACGGATCCGGGTATAAGTCTGACGAGCGCAGTGCGGGAATCGGGAGGTGCAGCGGGTATACGGGTATGGTATATGAGAGTATGGGAGAACTGGGCGGCGTGGGCGTGCGCAGTCCGTATATAAGATGTGATGTGCGCCAAGAGGTGAGAGTAGGCTATATAGCGCATGCTTTTATCAGGTCGGCGACGAAATGCGGTAAGAGAGATGGGGAAGAGAGGAATAACAGGCGAGGGCAAGGCAGAGCAAAGCGATGCATAGGTCATCAGGGAGGGTATAATGGGAAGTTGTGGATCGCGTTACGATAAAGATGGATTTAGACGGAGACCGGACCGGACAAGGGAGAGGGAAGGGGGAATGCAGAAAGAAAAGAAGCAACGTCGGATATTTTATACATTTTACACGTATACGTACCAGGATGGGGACAAGTCCGTCGTCGACTAGATGGGCCGGCAGGGGAGTAGATGTTTTTTTTTTTTTTGGCTAGCCAGCGGACAGGTTAGTTGCGAGGTCGAGGAATCTAGTGAATGAATGGCCTGGTGGATTCACCGGCATCCAACGTGTTATCAGTACGGGCCGGAGAGGGTCGACGATCACGCTCGCTCTCTTTACCTGCTTCCACGCGTGGCACCCGGACACCGGGCTGGTTGTCCTCCACAGTTGGCGAGGCACAGATGGATAGCAAGAGGGAGAAGCTGCAAGGACGCGGTGGCGACGGGAGCAGGCCCTGGGCCGGCGGGGAGCAGAGCGAGGTGCGGTTGGTAGGTGGGTATACGGAGGCGTATGTAGGAGGGAGTCAGGACAGATAGACGGGCGGGTATAAAAAAAATAGATGATAAAAAAGTCTCGCGTGCCCACGGGGCGTGTCTACCGCCGAGCGTGCGCGTGCTATATTGAGGTTAGACGGTTGAGCAGGCAGCGCACGAAGGGTGTGCGTACGGGGGGTGGGATGTGCGGGTGTAAGTAAGGCAAGTAAGTGGTTAGGCTAGAGGGTGAGGATGGCGGGATATAGGGTGGGCATGTGGATGTGCGCACGCCCGTCCGTGAATGTAGCTGGGTGTTAATAAGAGGTATCATTAGGCGTGCGCGTATAGCGCGTGCCTGGCGTTGTGGTGCACTAAAAAGTAATTAATGTTAGTTACCAGGCGATGATGATGGGTTTGATGATAATAATCATTAAGTATCAGGGCTATTATTTGGTATGGCAATTATTGCTCCCCCGGTCCAACAGAGGAGGAGGAGGGGTGGGATAAGGGCTCAAGGCCGGTGCTGGTCATGCATACAAGTATACATCCACGCATGTATGTATACACGAGAGAGAGAGAAGAAGAGAGAGACGTATACCAAGGGAGGGAGGGATATACAGGGAGGCAGACGGGAAAAAAGGGGGACCACACCTACGCACGCAGGTGTACCGCCGGCGAGCGAGTAGAGGAGGCTACCTAGGTAGACAGAAAGGCAGGCAGTATAGATCCGTGATAGGTCAGGTTGTGCCAGTAGGAAAGTCAATGGGAGGCAAGTCGTGTAGTGATACCGGGGCAAGGCATAGCAGGAAACGCCGGGTGTACACGCATACATACATACATTGTGCGTATGGGGGTCTCTGGGGATGCCATGCAATGCGTACTGACTGCATCGAAGGGTGGGTGAATGGGTGGGTGAATGGGGATGGGTAGAGGCAGGGAGGGAGGACGGATGGATGGATGGATGGCACATACGTACAGGGAGGTATGCGTATACACGTAAATGCGTACCAACACGCATAGAGGCACTACGTGAATGCGTCCGTGGGAGAGGAGAGGATATATCCAGCACACACACACACACACACACGCACACACACGGAGGTACCGGTACGGATGCACGGCGGAGAGGCGTGTGTTACGGGAGGAGAGAAGGGGATATTGGTGGTGACGAGGATGGGTGGGATGAGTGCCGGGGGGGGGTTGATGACGGGGGAGCAAATGAGAGAATAGGGTGGCAAGCCGGGAAACGCCCAATTCATCAAACAGAGCTGTCGTACGGGCGATGAATAAGGGCGGATATACGTGGTCGATGAGACAGCATATAAAATACTTGCCTATAGATGGTATCCGTAAGATGATGCGCTTGGCGGGTTGGAAATTATGGATGACGGTCCGGCCTCGAAGTGACTAATCGGATCATCCAGGGCGCATCTGTCCCCTTCCACAACAGCCAGTATTTTTTGGAGCTTGTCTCTCGCTGTCGTCGTGGCCGGCGGCCTTCTCTCCCGCCCTTCTTCTATTCCTCGCTCACCACCGGCCGTCCTCTCCACGCGAAATCGATCCGCAAGGCTGCCCGGCTTTTCGAGAGGGAAACGTGCGAGGGCGCAAGAGGAGAGAGAAGGGGAAGGGAGGGAGGAGTCTAAGCGGACGGGCTCGCAAAGGCGTCTAAGTAGCACCCTGTGTGCCGTTCGTATACACGCATCCGTATAACAGTGTCCGCACCTCGTCTATAGTCGCGCGTAGGCGGAGATGGGTCGACGGGACCTAGATCGAGGGATCGATGGGTGCATATATGCACCGGAGGTAGATACGTGGGGGGGGGACGGTGGGTATGTATAAGAGCGGAAGAGAGAGGCAGGTTGGGTTAGGCAGGTAAGGGGGATGGGGGGTGATGGGACGTGTTGAGGATGAAATGGGACGTCCAAGGGCACGAAGACATGAAGGTATGAAGGTATGTTAGAAGTATACAAGAAAGGCGCCCTATGAAGTTGGTTTCGTAGGCGGGAGCTGGATGAGGTACACGAGGCAGGTACTGACGGACGGAAGGTGGACGATGGGTTGTTGGTAGAGGGCATGTACCTCCCACGTACCTACTGTGTGCACACGAGAGGCACTCGTATATGAGGCATACGTATTCTGGAGAGACAGCTTCCTCCCGGTGTTTGGTAGTACGCCAGCAGTACTTACCTTACCTACCTCCTGGCAAGGGAGGTGTGTGCGTGTAATACGCGTACCCAATCGAGGAAAGGTGAAGATTGCGACGAGGGCACGATGTAGGTATGTGGTGTGTATTTGCGAGGGAGGTACCTGGGGGGCACAGCGAGCAGTCGAAACGGCCAGAGATTGGCTCGATGTCGCGCATCGAGAATAAGGGTTATATTCGATGGGATATTGAACCAAAAAAATATCTAAGATGTGGGAGGAAGTGAAATAAAAAATACAAATAATACAAATAATACAGTAAACGGAAAGAAGAAAGCCAGGGGGGAAGAAGAAGAAGAAGCAGAAAAGGAGCATGATGGGACATGCACTTACTCGCTTTGGTACCCGGGAGATTCCCGATCAGGGCTGGCGGGGTTACGGATCGAACGAAATGCTACCTCAAGTAGCTTAGGAGCCATGCGAGTTAGGTGCCGAGGGAAGAAAAGGCGACCCAAGTCCCGGACTCTACGAGTACATCAGAGCGCGCGCGGGTTTGTCTGATCGCTTCTCCCATACGACAAGTCGGCAGCGTGCCCGGCAACGGCATAGACAGAAGCAGCCAAAAGGCACCCAGGGAGGTGAGAATCCATACGACGGGAGAATAGGATGAATAGAGCTATGTACATATGTAGGCCAGGTGAAGGGCCGACTGGGACCGAATAAAAACAAATCCAGAGTAGCGAGTAGAAATAATCGCGACAATTGTAATAATGATAATAATAATAGTCTCGGCCAAGTCGTCCGATCCAATCCAATCCAATAGTCGACATCAGATGCAGTTGATCTATCCAAGTTTGGGACCCGTCCTGGCAGGCCTGTTCAATGCGGCTCCCACCGACAGGGACCCAGCAGGCAAACCCAGCCAGAGCTCCCTGACGGACGGGCGGGTTGTCCGGAGCTGCTGCGTGTTGGTGGACGAGCGAGCTAGGTAGCGGCCGTTGTTGGTTGGTCGCGCACTTCGCGGTCGTATGTACGCATGTACGTATCAGGTATGTAGTAGCAGCAGCGGCAACGAGCAGCAACGGCGAGTATCTTATCGGGCCCAGCGCCGATTCGAAGCGGAATGAAAAAAAAAAAAAAGAGGACAAAAGGAAATAGACCATCATCAGCGGAACGATAAAGAGAGAGAGAGAGAGAGAGAGAGAGAGGCCTTCTCCCACCCCCCTTAGCTGGGATGTCTCGTCCTGGAGGCGCGCCGCACCCGTATTCGCAGCTGGCGTTTGAGACGCTGATGATTGATGATGGCCTATGATGCGGCGGATGACGACGGATCCTGATGCGTTAGTAGGTATTGGAGGCTAGAGCTCGCAGGCGGCGCGAGAGGGCGCGCCCAGGACGGCGGATTCGATGCTAGTCTCGTCCAGGGTGTTACCGCACCCTGCGCAGGGAGGCTAAATAAATAAAGAAAAATAAAAAGTGGTGGGCTCAGAAGCTGTAAATCTGGAGAGTAGAATAGTATAAGACGCAATGCGCTTATCTGTCATATTGGAGAAGGGGGCTTGGAAACCAGGTAGCCATTAGCGTGGTGGACATCGAGTCGAATACATCCAACCTCATCTACGCAATAGGTAGACAATAGATGGATGTCAATATATACATGCCTGCCTGCCTGCCTACTTGCGCTACGTAGCGTGTTGCGGGACGTAAATACAGGCAGCAACCGGCCATTTCTTCAGTCATCTTGCTATAAGGTGTAGGTATCCAAAGTATCTATCTAAGCAGGTCGTAAGTTCGATCAGTAGGAGTCCGCAGAACAGCTGTTGACGACGCACGTAAGGAGGGAGGACAAGTTCTTCGGTTGCCTCCTCTGTATGCAGCCAAATGAGCCAGTCCCAGATACGACATGAATGTGAGTGAGCGTGGCCGTATATCTGTAAGTGGTGTTAGTTGCGTGCGTGTCTCGTGTGGGAGTACGTAGCTACCTAGCAAAGTACGACTATTTCTCCCACGCACTGTGCGAACTTCATCTACAGACGGTTGGTAGGTAGGTAGCCAATAACCCGGCCAACGCCTACTAGAATCGATCCAGAAAAGCCGAAAACGTCCCAACTATTGAAAGGGGTAGTCTTAGGTATCTGCCTAAGGAACCCGAACGCCGTACATGTATGGGAACGCCGGAAGGCTGGGGGAGGGGGGGATTTACATCCCAACCGGAGAAGGCTCCCAGTGCCTAACTCGCCACGCGCGTACTGTACGTAGTATAGGTTAGGTACCCGACGTGGAATGTAGGTATGCAGGTTGGGGGCTCAGTGAATAGAAGTAGGCAGGTTAGGAAGCAATGTGTGTGTGTATGTGTGTATGTGCTACCCACGTAGTAGTGGTAGTGGTAGTGGTAGTAGGTAGGCAGGTTATGCAGGAGGTAAGGTAAGTAATAACACGCTTTCACAGGCAATAATACCAATGCTACGCAGGCAGATTACCAGGTTGCTTTTGATCATGGCCGCCTGATACGTCTCTCTATACCTCAAATATGCCGTGTATCTTCATACAGTGCCTAATTTAGGTAGATATTGCCAGGAGGGTTAACCTTGGGAGGTACGCACATAGGTTCAGTATCCCCGGTGGGAATAGATACCTACCTAGATAGGTAGGTACCTCCTAGTTGGGTGCGTGAGGTGTCTGAGGTGTCTAATCGATTTACTACCTCCCGCTCTCCCCACCTCTCTCCCTTTCTACTCACATATCGGATTCCGGCATCTTCTCTAAGAAACAGGTTACGCGATGCTTTAGAATGGGGGAGGGAGGGACGTTGCGTCCTGAACCCATGCAATCTGTGTACGAGGGGCTTATGAGTATGGCTAGCTGGGTTGGTCCCTGGTACGACTATCCGCGCATCCATGTAGGTATACATAGCTACACCAACTATCGAGGAATGACCTCAAGTATAGCCTATCGATCGATATACCTACTACGCAGTATAGAATAGCTAGGCCCGTATCGTCGGGGCGGCGTGCCAGGTCATGGATATATGCGGTATGCACCCATCGCATCTCGTCATATTCTGCCGCGCTCGAGTATGCATATGTACACATACATTCTCATTCAGGTGCCTGGTTTCTTACGTGGTTGGATATTGATATGGATGATACGAATAATACGAGCATCAGGCACAGCGGGGGTGATTAGGGCGAGCTCTCTCTCCGTTCCCTCTCTCCCACCTTCTATTATCCTCTCTTTCACGCTCTACTTGTAGGTATATTAATAAATCCGCGTACTGTTTTGAGATGCTCTCCCCCCGCCCCTTTATTTACGGCAAGCATCTGCCTGCCTATAGGCATGCGCCAGATCAGGTCAGCGGGAAAGGGAGAATTGGAAAATTTTTCGAAGACTGAAAACGGGAAGGGTAACGACGGATAGACGGTCGAGCGATGCACTACTACCACGCACACCTCATTATTAGGCGGCGTGTGCAGGTATGACACACCCTCTCTCTCCACATGCATAGACGTCACCCATCGCATTCGCCGCGAGCCCTGGGGAGATGCGCATAGAGAAACATCGCGGAAACGAACAAATGCACCCCAGGCGCCGAAGACCTCTCCAAGTATTGGCGCGTAGTAGCTAGGTACCTATCGCTATCTACCTAGGTATCTAGGAACGTACGTAGACGTGTATATGATCGACTAGAAGTATTATACCCTCCCCCCATATATTAGGTGGGTGGGAGGTAGGTAGCCTCGAGGGTATGTGTACGGCGCGCACCTCGCTATTTGAATACACGAGCACGCACGTGCGGAATAGCAAATACCGTGCAGCAAAGAATCGGCCATCCGGGGATATAGTGGATTGCTATGCACGAGATTGCTCATATAAGTGTCTACTCGTGATGCCTATCTCTACCTTAGGTACGTACGTACGTGTGTATGTACATCTCGCACATACATGCGTGTATATACACGTATAGAGGAGAGCGGACGCACGTAGGCAGCCACCGACTAGGAAATAAAATGCCCAGTCGCAGTCACGCCGGTTTCGTTGCGCATGCGTGTGCGTGCGTTGCTGGTGGTGGCGATATGGGGGAGGCTTTAGGGACCTGCCTGTGCGTGTGTGCGCGCGCATCGCATGCCCTCGAGACGCCCAACTTACGCAGTTGTGGATGGATGGGACTCGAGGTGGCTGGCATCGGAGGTTGGGTTCACGTGCCTATCGCATAGAGAGGTCTTCCCTCTCCTATACTCCCAGCGCGGAACCTATAAGTCACTTGACGACGTCTGTATGAGTACATGCATCTGCATGCATGCATTGCCTCTACGTGCCTGTGTACCGAATATACACACGATCTAATACAGAGAGAAAGAGAGAGGGAGAGAGGAACAGACTCTATTGATGTGCATACCCCAGGAACACGCGAAAGAACTCGAGGGCTCCCGCTCCGGATGGAACTCTTAAAGCCGGCAAGTAGCCGATCGGCCGTATCATGTCACGTCATGGAACGCTCCCCAGCAAACCCAGGACGTACATACTACTACATACCCTCATACATGCCGGCGTACCTACATGATAGACAGGTAGGTAGGGAGGTAGGCAGGCAGGCAGGCAGGCAGGCAGGCAGGCAGGCAGATGTGCCCGAGGTGCCCGCCCAGGTTCTCTTACGTCTGACGCGTAAAACGTGCCGAGATTTGCCTTCGGATGGGGAGGGCGGCCCAGGTTGGAGGCAGGATGTGCGTCGGAGCCGTCAGGCAGTCAGGTAGGAGGAAGGCGGGCCAGGTAATGATATGTAGGTCGTGTAGGTTCGATGCTGTGTAAGTCGTCGAAGTCGTGTCGGGTTGTGTTGTGTTGGAGATAACATGTCAGACGAGAGATGAACGACTAAACAACGACTACGCATCATACACGCATGGTATACATATGCACGATCTTCCTTTTGGGGAGGGACAAGGAGGGAGGGGGGGGGTGAGCACTACCTAGGGTATGTAGGTACCTAATAAGAGAGCATGTGTGTAGGTGTGAGTGCTGTCCGGATGTAGGTAGGTAGGTAGGTACCTGAGGAAGCAACCTCCGGGGTGGTGATGATGATTCCATCCATATTAGAAGCGTCTTACGCAGGCGTGTGTAATCCCGTTGGCACGGAGTACATCCCATCCAGCCATCGGTAGCACAATGTGGAATTTAGGGGTAGGCGTGGGATGGGACGTGTGTGGACGTATGGATGAGGCAAGGCTGCACAGAAGCACCCGTCTTATCCATGCTATCCCATCATGGCTCATTTGCCTTGTTTGGCCTGTCTCATGCCGTCCCTGCGGCGCCTTCGCATAAGCGGCCTTTGGGTAACATGAGAGGCTATAGATGTCCGTTGTTGACTCGCAGGCAGACAGGCAGGTATACGGCATCCATGTCGCTACCACGTAATATATCCAGAGCCAGTATTTCCCTATCTCCCGATCAGTTACGGCTATGGCCGGGGAAACTTAGCAAGTTGCAGGACCTGCGTAGGCCTACTTGCACATTTGCACGCCCGCTTTGCCCACACCTACCTTGAATACCCGTGATGCGTGTAAAGATGTGGAGGTGGGATGGATGTGGATGTACGCCCATAGGTAGACAGACACACCACACACACACACACATATAATCCATACGCGCAGAGCTATAAGATATGCGTGCTAAGACGTGTCGACCACGGGCTAGGACTGCACATTAATGATGGGCGGATAGCCCGATATTAGCAGGGCGCGCTACATGCACCTGTGTTGGGAGAGAAAATGGATGGATCGGGTTAATGAGAAGCTGGGACGGCCGGATATAACGTGTATCATATGGATGGAACTTACTACGTACATTAGGTACACACACGCACCGCATACCTTAGGAGCCATCTATCTCCGTATACCTTACTCGACTAGGACTAAGAAAGGGATTATTACTTCAAACTAACCGTCCGAAGGCTCCGGAGGTCCTACATTGCTTCCCTCTCTCACACTCTCTCTCCCTCTCTCCGGTAACCTCAACTATAACGAGCCAGACAGAATTGGCTCAATTTTTAAATTGCGCTACTTATCGCATGTTCTCGCGGTTTATCTTTTTTTTTCCTCGTCTTCCCCGTCCAACCCCCCCTTCCCCCCTTCCCCCCCTTTTTTTTCTTCTTCTTCTTTCACTTCTCCAGGTAGCGCGGCCTCCTGGGCTTACGACTCGAAGCCGCGACGCATAAGGCAGGAAGCGTCATCATCCAACAACACTTGATAATTCGCAGACTTGGAACGCGGCGCAAGTTGTCTAAATGTATATATGTATGTATATATACACATATATATATATACGTATCCTCCCTAGATGCGTACGTCCCCGTATATACCTTCCTAGAAGAGGTAGGCATGCACTACGTAGTATCTATACACACGTAAAATATACGCACCTACCTACGCAGGTATACATAGGTATATATGTGTATGAGTATGTGCAGGAATTGGTGGTTGCAGGGGGGCCCGGAGAGCTTTTGCAGCGGAGGGTTTGTTCAATAGTGGTAGTAATAATAAGCCCCATTCATTTACCTACTTGCGCTATGGTTGGCCGGTTGGTTTTGCCTGGCTTTATGCGTGTACCAGTACATAGATACATATGGAGGTATATACCTCCGTACATGCATAGGAACGTATATGTATATGTGCATAAACACCTATATACATCCTATTTATAGCCGGCGAGGTGCACCAGTCCCACGGGCCACCCACCCAGGAGAGCTGGGGTATTATGTATCATGCAACCACCCCCGAAAATGTACCTACATTACACATACAAAGGTACCTACATACCTCATACCTACCTCCTGCCTACATGTCCTATATGCTACCTACCGGCAACTTACCTCCCCTGCCTAACTCCATCTGGTCGGGCAGGGAGCGAGACAACAAGCTGCTAGTCGTCTGCTGAATTTATTATACCCGGGCATGTAGTCATCTCTCGAATCTCGGATAGGCCAGCAGATAAGACTTGGCGCGGCGTCCTTACGCCGGTACGAATACATGCACGCTTTACCGGGAAACCCATCTCTCTCGTCTCTTATAGGTAACCTTGCGTATGTGCCGAGCCGGAAGGGATAATTATCCCTATACCTTGGGCTAAGAGGCAGGTAGGTATCTAAGATATTACACAGGAGGTGTGTTAGTCGCAGACAGGTATACGTAATATCCATACGCCCACCACCTCTCTCCCTCTCCCTCTCTTCTCTCCTTTTAGCCCGTATCCCAACGGTATTAGCCGTATCTGCTCAGCTCCCTTCTCCCCCCCTCCCCCCCCTCCGCCGAGGTAACCCTGTGCGTAGTTACCTAAGGTAAGACAATGCACAAATCAGATCAAAAAGCTTTGCTGTCCTCATGCGAGCCAAGCGGAAATCCATCCAAATCTACGATCCAGGGGAAGCATCGCGGGATGGAGATGGGTGCATGGCCCGAGGTATACTACCTGCGCATCTAACCAGATCCAGTCGGATTCCTCCACTCGGACAAGGGGACCCGCCTACCTCTCGTCTACCTCTGCCCGTCGGCGTTATATATACGGGTCCTATGTGTACTCGCACACTACTGGACCGAGCTCGTCGCCATCAACTACCTAACCTGACGGGATTATACGTAGCATTGGGTACCTTGCTTACTTACGTAGGGGCAGGTGATGCTGCAGCCTTGTTACATGGTAATGATGATGGTGATGGTGATAATAATGATGACCATAGCTTCCAGCATTAGGTGCCTTGGGATGTATGCATGCATACATACGGGTGTACGGATATATATAGTAGGCTGCATCTTGAAGTGGGTGCGCCGGCGAGCGTGTTGGATGTTATACGTGCATGTGCCTCCTCTACCCGCCTTAAACGGTATCTACCTACACACCCACCTTATTACAGGTATGGGAGGTGAGGTGTGCATGTATGCAAGGAGGCAACCTTCAAGCCGGCAAGCGGCGGGGAACATGTGGGAGGCAGTATTATACCTAGTAGGCACCTAGTAGGAGAGAGAGAGGAGGATGAGGAGGTAGGGAATGTTATCAATCGCAGGCACCTGCAATTCGTGCTGCGTACCTCAACATAGTGCCGTGTATGCACCCCACGGTATACCCGGCCTCACCCATAGATAGAGAATGTAGGTGCCTAGTATCCATAACTTGGCCATCGCACATCATACCCGGAACGTGCCAGGCGCAGGCGATGAATTAATCCGTCCAGCCGAATACCTCAGCGTAACGGGGGTAGCTAATACCGCACATGGCATCACCCACGGGCGGACGAGCCGTGGGAGCAGGCGAATACAAACGCGTAAAAATAGAAGAGTGAGAAAAGAGAAAGAAAGAAAAGGGGGAAATGTGGGAGGAATGCGTGGTAACGCATAGTCAATTGGGTTCAATGCTACACGGCCTTCATCATCAATATACACCCTCCTCCTGCCGTCCCTCTCCCACTTTTTCCCATGCAGTCTCGCCTCCCACCGAACCATCACACGCCTATATCCCCGAACGGGAAGACACGTTCACCAGTATTGCGGCTTGACGTAGTCAGCGAACGTCTTGGGCTCCTCGTAGCCGTGGTGGTCGTGGTGGCCGTGGCCGTCGTCTTGGGGTCCGATGTACTCCATCTTGTAAACGCTACCGCACTCGGGGCACCGCTCCACTGGTCGTTCGCGCGACATCTATATACGCGTGAACAAATATTAGCTTACGTCCTGCCCACCGCGTTTGGATTTTTGTCTCATTGGCTCCAGTGGGGCAAGGGGAGGACGACGTACGCCGAGCCAGGTGACAATGTGGGAGTCGGCTGGGTAACCGGTGCAGCCAGCGTATTGCTCGTCGCCGGCCGACTTGACCAGAATGGGATTATCGAGAGTTCCTGCGACGATGGCATACTGTCAACCCTGTTCTCCGCATGGCAGTTTCTTTTTTCTTTTTTCTTTCTCGCCTAAACTCCTCTCCTCCTCTCCTCTCCTCTCTCTCTCTCTCTCAACAAGGAAGGTAGCTCTAGCTCGCACCTTTTCGCGAAGCATCGAGAGGTCGCATGTCGAAGATGTCTACGCCCTCCATCTTTCCGAGAATCTCCAATCGCTCCAAACCCGTCGCTTGCTCAAGATCGGTGGGGACGGTGCCGGGCGCGGCACCCGGTCCGATTAGATCCTCCTCGGCCCTGATTTCTGTGCATCGCGGAGCGCAACAACGTCAGTGAAGGCCCGCTCACCCCATCGCCATCGGATTCCGAGGATCGAACCCGCGAATCCCTGTGAGGGCGACCTAAGGAAGGGTCATACCGCTGAGGGTCTTAATCTTCTGGCTGGGAGCGGCGTGAGCCTCGACCTTGTTCGCATCGCCTGCAAGTGGTAGGTTTGGTCAGCTTCAGTCGGCGGCGACTTAGGTGCGAATCGCGCGATGCAGCTACCTCGGCGGGGGCGGCGCGGGCTTGGGACGTGGGCGGGTATTCCTTACGGCGGAGAGCCGAAACGGCGAAACCACGTCGGACGGCCGGGGCGACGGAGGCCCGGCGGGCGACAGCGAGGGCGGAGCGCTGCAAGAACATGGCGATAGTAGCAGCGACAGGACGTAGTTCTTGCGTGGTAAGAGGGCGGCGGTTCGATAGGAATTGGGAGTTTGGGTGGTAATGGTGGTTTAGAAAAGAGGGATTTGCGAGTGGTCTGATTTGAGGATTGCTCGATGGGACTGGCGACTGATGATTTGCTCGACTCATCCTCCCGCCCACCACTTGTCCACCACTTGTCGGCCACTTGGCAGAACCCAGTCCCGCCCGGCTGAGCTAGGCTGAGATACGCATGGCGTAAAGTTAGGTACCTACCCGTGGGAGGCACCCGGGTACCCTCTCCGTACCCCTGCGCAGTAGTCGGTACCTACCCGTAGCCGATAATGACACCGGCGTGACGGGATAGAATAATAGTCAAGTGGCCGGCCATAGCTGTGGACAGCGGGCTGCCAGCTGCTCTGCCGAAGAATCAGCAGCTTGGTGTCTGTTTCTTAGGAGGTAATATGACATCTTCCAAAAAGAAGAAAAGTCTACGGCCAGGTGTCACGTGACGGGATGCTCCAGCCAGTGCTCCGTATGCCAAAACGAGAACCTGCAGATAGCTGGACACTATACCTACGGAACATCATCACACGCGGTCTCATACTAGTGTCTACCCAAGGCATCTATCCACGGGTCTCCGTCCAAGCGAATCCTCTTAGAATCTGTGGGGGCCGTGCTGGTGATGAATTAGGGCAACTCGGTTGCCGTCAGGGAGAATAGAGATGCCTACACTCTCTAAGTGGCTAGTTCTACTCTTGGCGAGCGATGTCATGTCGCAGTAGTAGCACGTAGGTATGTGAGGAATCTTCCGAGAATCTACATCTGGTCATAATGTCAGAAGGGATGCGATAAAGATATGCATCATATTTGGAGCCAGAGTCGCTGACGAGAGTTGTCCAGAATTCTTTTAACAGCTGGCCAGGCCTTTGCGGGGGCTAATACTACACTTACGTATCCAATATATACCCAGTAGCTCTAAATTAGCCATGTATATCAAACTTGGCTCTCTTACGTCTACCGAACGATTTAAGATAAGGCGTTAGCTGGGCTAAAAGGCATCCCTTATGCGGTTAATGCCACTCTACGCTTCAGCATCAGTCCAGATCTCAAGCTGCTCCACCACAAACTCGAGCTCCCAGTCTCCGCGGTAGGGATTCGCCCTATATACTATCGACCCCCCGTCCGCCTCGCCGTCTTCTGCACCCTTGCCGCGGTGCCTAATCTCCCCGCGCGACAGCCCTTCCCGCAGAGTCAGCACAATACCCCCTTTCTCGTCCCCGGGGTCCCCGAACACGAGGTTCCCGCCACCCTTCTCGTCAGCGCCGACAACGCGCCAACCCTCGGCGCCGACGACCCCTGGGAACACGTCCTGGACGGGCGCGAGCTGGAACAACGCGCACGGCCGCAGGCCCGCGTTGTTCGCGTCGATATCCGCCGGATCTTCGATGCCGGACCCGTCCGCCTTGGGCGCCGGGCTGTAGAGCCCAAACACGCAGGGCTTGCCTTCGCTCGCCTCGGCACTGCCCCCGCCAGAAGCAGGCGACGCTGACCGGATCCGCCCGGCGAACACCGCAATCGCAGCGTCCGGGACCTCCGTGTGCAAGGTCTCCGCGAAGCCGGCGGGCGTCACGGACCCCGGCGACGCCGCGTACCGGGCGACGCGCCGCAGCGACGCCGCGTCGACGCACGGCGCGAGGAACGTGAGCAGCTGGCTCTGGAGGGGCAGGTCGAGCGCTCCCGAGCCGGCACCGCCGGGCGAGCGCGCTGGCCGCGCGGGCGCCTCGAGCACGTCCACCGGCGCGCCCCTCCCGAGGAAGGCGCGTGCGAGGAGCCGGTACAGCGGGTCGAAGAGGTGCGGGGCCGCGACGTCGAGCGCGCGCGCGAACGAGCGCCAGGTTATCACCGTGCCGGCAGCGCCGCCGCGGCCGGCGTCCTGCGCGAAGGCCGCGCCCACTGCCTGCGCCGCGTCCTCGAACGGGGCGACCTCACCGCCCGCGCCGAACCTCGCGCCGTCGGGCGGCGCGAACTGCAGCGCCAGCAGGACGCGGGCGAGGGCGCGGAAGCGCGGCGCCGGGACCGCCAGCGCGTCGAGCGCAGGGAAACCCCCCCGCAGCCGCGTCGCGGCCCCCCGGAAGGCGTCGCGCCGCGCCGCCGACCGCCCCGGGTGCCGCGCCGGCTGCGTCGCGCACAGCACGTCCACCAGGTCGTGGTAGATCTCGTCGCCGTCGGCGTCGCGGTTCGCCGCGCACAGGTCCCAGCTCTCCTCGGGCACGTCGAAGGCGCGCGCGCGCGCGAGCGCGGCCTGCGCCGCGTCGTCCGCGGCGGCGGGGCTGGCGGGGAGGGTGGCCGTGGCTAAGCTCTGGAACAGCAGCCGGCGGTGGTCCCACCGCGTGCGCATGCGCGCGTCTGAGCTCTCCTCGACGACGTACCCGGCGCGATCGGGCAGGGCCCAGACGAGGCCGCGCCGCAGCTGGGCGAGGGAGAGGCCGGGCTGGCTGGCGGCGGCGGGCGGGCGCTGCGCCGCCGCGGGAGCGAAGGGCAGCGCGCTGAGGTACGCGACGCTCGCGTAGATGATGCGGCCGGCCTCGATACCCTCGGGCCCGAAGGGCAGCGTCGCCCGCGTCTGCAGCAGCGATATGAAGGCGGGCTCGGACAGGACGGCGTCCGCGGGGCCGGGCGTGCTGGCCGTCGCGAAGGCGGCCTCAAGCGCGGGCACTTCCTCCTCCGGGTCGAGGGCGTAGGTGTTGCTGATCCGGTCATCGAGGCGCGCGATGATGCTCTCTGGACTCAGCTCGCCTCGCGCGAATTGGGCGTCGATCTCTTCCCTGGCCCAGTCGTCGTCCCCCATTGTGCGCGCGCGTATGTATGTATATGGCTTAGTGGATTCGGTAGGTATGTAAGTAGACGGATGTCGCAGGGGTTGAAGAAGAGAAAAGGGGCGATACGATGTGCCGACGCAGGGTTGAAATGTGCCCTGATGCTCTCTTTTGGTAGGTAGGTACTACCTAGTTTTCCGCCAGCAGTGTCTTTAAATAACGGTAACCTGGAACACGCGATAACAATATTTATTCGGTCTTTGCGCGTGTTAATACTGGGAAGAGGGAAGAGAAGGCGAAGGTCGTGATAATTGATGGTGAGGGCGATGATGAGTACAGGAATTTGTCTACCCCAACGGACGCGAAACACCTCTTCCTATATTCTTATTTGGTTTCTGGCATCTTCCCATTTAATATGGGATCCCTAACGGGATTGCAGAAAGAGAAAACAAGACACGTCTTCAGCATCCAAGTGAGACCGCTGAGGCGCGGCCTGCCTAAGATACAATATCGGCCTACCTAGGTATATGCCTATTATGTATATATCGAGTGGGTGAGCAAGAGCGCGCTATTCATCACGTACGTGCATGTACAGGGCACATACATATATGGCTTTAGTGCATACCTGGGCGAGGAGGATTCTGCTATGAAAATAGATTTATGGGCCTACGAGTGGGCAGAAAGAGGGCCGAGAGCGCTATAAGCCACTGAAGAATTGGGCGACCCGGGGGAGGGCGGAGCTATTTTAGGCCTTGCCGGGCGGCTGCGGGGGTTTCATCCCTCTCTTGTTTACCTGCTTCGCCTACCTACTCAATCAGTAACACTCGCCCCGACGCGTCCCTCGAGTGCCCCCCGGCGCATCTCCTACGGAGTAACGCAGCAGTGCTTCTTCCGGATACTCTTCAGGTATTGAAAAGGTCACGCTGACAACCTCGAGCCAAGTATTGCGCATGAGGAGGAGGAGGAGGATCAAGCGAGTGGGTAATTATGTAAAGATTGCCTCTCTTTTCCGCTTCTGCGTCTCTCTCCTCTAGCCTCCCCGTCTTACTCCCGTCTCCCATTTCCCTCTCTCTCTTACACCCGCGCCCGTGCCGCAATCCATCGCTGCTGACATGCGCTAACACCCGTTACATCCAGCCGCCAACTTGGGACCTGCCTTCATGTATTGTCGCCTCATCTCGTTCGTCGGTATCCTTCCGATCTCCCTGTCCAGGGCATTGGTAACTTAGAATGAAACCTCAGCATTCTATTCTAGACTTGTTTCCCGTCGCGGCTGCGGCCAAGACCTGCAGTGGCATCGCCTGCGTGGGCGCGAGAGCCTCCTTCTGGACACCCTGCAGCTTTTCCTTCTTAGTCCGGCATGAATCCAAACCCGAGGGGTCCATAGCATCCTCAGCTCGTCGTCCCCTAATGCCGGAAGGTTTCTCGACGGCTGTCCGGCACCGCGATCGGTCAGCGATATGGCACTACGTAGTATTTCTCCGCAGTCAAAAATAGTATCGGGGATTCCTATTCTAATGCCGTGTTCCGAAAGGAGCAGTCGCTCGCGGGCCACGATGATGTCTGCGGTGAGAGCGTCTCGTGATGTTCCCGGTCCTTCCGAATCGAGGCGTAGGAGTGCTGCCATAATCGTTCGTAGGGAATCTTGTCGACCGTCGACGGAGGCGTAGCGGGTGGGGAGCAGGATGAGGTGAGAAACAAATCCGGGGCAGACGCGAGAACGAGCTTCATCGCGAAGAAAGAAGCACCTCGGCCGGGTGGAAAGGCGTATATATTGTTCTCTCTGCCGCTCTCTACCATTCCGGTTTGTTCATCATCACCATCATCTCACTCTTCACTTTCATTACTCCTCATTTCCATCAAATCTCAGGTAGATTTTCTCCTACATTCTCTTCATATAAAGACATATCTGGACCGGTTCCTACCTACATATCATCAAAATGCAGCTCTCCTACCTCTTCACCACGCTTCTCGCGGCCTTCGCCGTCGCGAGCCCCATCTCCACCGCCTCCGATGCGGCTGAGGGAGCCCAGCTGGCCACCAGGGCTACCGAGGAGCTGACCGCCGAGTACCGGGCCGCCCAGAGAGCGATCTCAAACTTGCAGGCGGGCAAGTTCTACTGGTTCACCATCGAGTGGGATCTCGGCGAGGTCATCCCGGGCCCCACCCACGAGACACCCGATGAGCTCAAGCAGCTACAGCAGCAGCTCGGCTTCGACCACATCGGCTTGGTCGTCGGCCAGGTCACCGAGACCAAGACCGGCAAGGGCAAGAACGAGAAGATCAAGAAGGACTTCAAGGCATCCCTGCTCCACATGACCAAGGACACCAAGAAGAACACCGAGCTCAAGGGTCCCAACTACAAGGCTGACCGCAAGGCTCTCATCCGCGGCGGCGAGACCAGCAAGAAGAAGGTTGACGCGGCCAAGAAGGCGGCCAAGGATTATGTCGCCGCCAACCCCGTCTACAGCGTCGCTACCAACAATTGCAACACCTTCGTCCAGACCATCAAGGCCGTCGTCAGGTAAATTAGCCTGGCTAGCCGACGACGGGTTCGCACGACCACGTACGATTTTCCGACTACATGATACACGGGGCTCTCCATCGCGACGATGGTGGTAAGAGCGGGGGACTGAGTATATAGGGGAGATGAACCTTCAGATTGTCTGTATATATATTTGTGTGTGTATTTTTTGCATGGGGCATTGGTTTGGTGGTTACGATAGGAATTACAGGATATGCATATAGATTGGTAACGATGGGCGGACGGGTCTGGGATCCGAATACATATATATAGGATATTTTATCACATCATTTCCGCTCGTGACAATAAGTCGATTTGCCTGTATGCCTATATGTTTTGCCAGTACTCCTCGCGTAGTTGAACGTCTCCTTATGCCCCCACATACCTAGGGCAAGATTCATATACGGATTTATTATAGGTACCGCTAGGCATTGCTTAGTTGATATCCAGGCCCCCGAGGAGGGAGGGAGAGGTGCATCACGAGTGCATGAAATTTCCAATACGTCAGATAGTCTCGCCAAATGCTGTTTTATAAAAGCCATGCTATCTTAAATCACTGCCGCCCCGAACCCTTCTTCTCTATAGTCGTTTCGAAAATAACCATCTTAATGATGGCTTTTGAGGCCGGGTAAATCCGCGTGTATCCAGTCAACACCCAAACACCCGAGGAAATACCAGAACGATCATATACGGGCTGCGGAGCATGATCCCCACCCCTATGTTTATCAGCGAAACGTATAGTCTACGGCATAATGCGAGTGTAGGCCAAGCCGCCGCCTGTAGCGCCCCTCGACCTCCCTGCATGACATGCTCATCTATGCTGGAACCTGCTTCGCCTCCCTCTCCCGCTTCTCCCGGTTCAGGCGGAAGGCCTCGTAGACCTCGAGCATCTGCTCGCGGAACGTGTACTCGAAGGCGACGTCGCCGCAGCGGCGGGCGCGCGCCTCCTCCTCGGTCACCCATAGGAAGGCCTGGTGCTCGTTGGGGTCGAGCCGCACGTCGTAGCCGTCGACCTCGGTCAGGAACGAGTACTTGCACATGCGGAGGCCGCGGCGCGTGAAGAAGACGTGGCCGACGCCCGGCGTCGTCTCCGCCGCCCCGTTCCGGAGCCGGTCGCCGCCGCCGCCCGGCACGAGCGCGCCGACGACCGTGGCACGCAGCCCGCTCTCCTCCCATAGCTCGCGCGCCACCGCGTGCAACACCGTCGCGTCGTCGGCGTCGCACGCGCCCCCCGGCACCTCCCACCGCAGCGGCATCGAGTCGTGCGCCGCGCGCTGCACCAGCAGCAGCCGCCCGCCCCCGTCGAACACGAACGCGCCCACCGCGACGCCCCCGAACTCGGGCCGCGCCGCCAAGTACGCGGCCAGCGGCACGCGGAACGCCGCCGCTGCCGGCAACGAGGCGAACGTGGTCGGCGGGCCGGCCGCGGGCGCCGGCGGAGGAGCCGGGACCGGGGCCGGGGCCGGAGGCGATGCCGCCATGGGTGTGCTTGTGGCTGTGACGGCTAGGCCGGTGAGGCGATGGCGAGGCGGGAGGAAGGAGGAGGAGGAGACTACTCGTGATGGCTGCCCCCGCAGATGAGAAATTTCGCGGTTGGCTGTGTGTAAAGCGGAGCGCTGTGGACGACGCTTTCGAGGGCGATCGAATTGCTAACGAAAAGATTGGGGGCCTAGGATAAGCCGTGGGAAGTGGTGGCCCACCCGCTGGCGCCCGGTAAGAACACGTGAAAGTATGTCTGTGCTTGAATATGTGAGGCTCGGGATCGGCGAAGGGAACGGGACGAGACCCACGACCGTAGATGGACGGAGGGTTGGCGAGAATAAGTAGCCGCAGTAAAGGGCCGTTGGTTGCTCCGCCGGAGAAGACGATCCAAGGGCCCTTTGGGTTAGTCAACCTGATGGAGAAGGGGGGAAATATGACCAGTCAAAACCACCCGGTCAAGCCCACCCCCGTCAGACGCGGTGAAGCTGGATAAATCAAGGACAACAAGTAGTAAGCCCACCGGGTGCTGCCTTCGGGTCTTCGTCACTTTCTCTGCTCTCGGCATCTTCCCGTCCTGACTAAATCGTGCTCTGGTTGCCGTCGTGACTCGCTCGTCGCTTCAGGCAACGACCATTATATCCGCGGTGTTGTGCCTAATTGGTCGCCTCGCGGTGACCTGCCTGGCCATGCCGGAGCCGTCGTGACGGAACTACTGAGTAGTGCCCGTTTTCGACAAGGGCGGGCAGACACGCAGGCAGGCTTCCGCACTAGCCTTCTGGGATTCCCGACGGCCTCCCCCTTCCTCCCGCAGGCTCCAGCATATCGCGCTGGGCTAGAGCCGACGAACCTGCCATCCGGGTCAGTTAGCAAGCGGGAGGAGGTTGTTTGAAGTCGCAGATTCTCTTCGGGCCTGTAGTGCCTCGTCGTCGACGGGGCACGGCTTACTCGCGACGCTTCACGTATTCCTCGGTTGTGCTGTCCCTTTATGGCGCACACGGGATGTGAGGTCGGAGCACGCCCGTGTGACCTGGCGCGCGGAACAAAAGGACCATACAGTCTTCACTGCACGGTATTGTACCATGCTTCCTGTTTGAGACAGGTATACCTCGTTCTGTCGAAGAGTCTCCCAACATACATAGGCATAGTAAGCAGCTTGCATGGTCAAATGCAGGAGGAAATGCGCCCCTAAGCTGTTCGGTTGCACGTAATGTCTGTAGGGCATAGTGTCGAAGAGGAATCTGTGCATATACGCGTGTATGGATGGATATATTTTTGAAGACGAGTCAGGGAAACCTTCACTCCCGAGGCTGGCAACCCGAATGCGATATCCATCTACGCCGAAGGTACGGCACATGCTACACTGGACACTGGCTCACACAGAATTGCAGAGTCACTGAGCACCTATCACTTCAAACCTCGCCCGCCCTGGTGGGCTAACTACATAGCTGGTTGACTTAAAGTGACCTCAAGACCACCTACCTCGACGAACTGGGGTCGAGGGAGACAAGACCTTCGGAGCAACGCGATAAGCAAATCTCACGGGCATAAGTCTAGATAGACGGAGCAGTAGGAGCAGTCCGGGCAGGGGAGGCGGAGAAAGTCGGAGGGGAAAGACGAGGGAAAAAGAAAGAGGAAGAGGAAGAAGTGATAGGTAATATCGGCGGCACAAGGTAAAGGGAGAGCAGAGGCCGGCTGACAGGGGGGCGCTACCGGAAAAGCTACCGTGCTACCGGTGGCGAGGACGGCAGGACATCGGGCAACATGCGTCTTTCTCGCCTCGGTCTAGTTTGGACACAGCGTTACGCGGCCTTACATATGGCATCATCGCCTCTAGTACGATGCGGTGCGTTCTAACACGTCACCCCTCCTCCTCCCCAAGTGTGTGCTGCGGCGGTCGAGTTGTGTGGCGGTCGAGGGGAGAAGCGGGGGCGAGGACGATATGGACGAACACCGGGACAGGGGCCGGGGAAAAGGGGAGGTGCGTGTAGACATGCTAGTGCCACGCTTATCGAGTCTTCGCGGGATCCCGCGAGGGGCCCCGGGATCTGGTGATGGACGGACCTAGGACTTGCCAAGGAGGAGAGGAGGGGGGGCAGACGGGTCCAGGCCTTTGGAGTGTTAGATGGGAAAATATCTCGAAAGAGGGCAAGAGTGAGAGGGTGAGATATAAGCCCCCGGCCCCGCTCTCTAACATACCTACTACCTTGCTGCCTACACGAACTCCTAACCCGACTTACCCCTATCCGCGCGTAGGAGCCAGGCGCGAGAGCATGGCATCGAGTACCCGACGCGGCGGGTCAACACGTGGCCACGCGCGGGGAGCGGGCATGCGTGCGTGTCCCCGCCGTGATAGGTAAGGCGAGTCGTGTAGCAGAAGGCAGTGTAGTAACCCCGGGAAGAGAGAGAGAGAACGAGAAGGGCGGGAGGGTGTGGTGAGAGGAGTAGAGCAAGCCCGTGGTAGCGCGGGCTGCGAAGGGTGGTTTGAGGAACGCAGCTCTTTGCCCATCTGTCTAGCCGGTGTGAGGCCGGGATTCGCTGGCTCGATCGCCACCGTCGTCGTCGTCGCCTAGCACGCGGGCGGACCTCGGATGCCCGCGAACGGAACGCGCGTGTGGTGGCACAGCGTGGGGATTGGGCCAAGGTATGCCGCATGCGCGCACGCGTGAGCTGACGGCAGGTAGGCGTATAACACGTACAGGAGGGCCATGCGCGCGACCGAATGCGTGCAGAGAATCCCCCGCGACCCGCGAGCCGACTCATCCATACGTCTTCGGCCTACCTAGGTTGGCAGGTAATACAAGGCCGATGGGACGCTGGCGCGTTTGTGCGAGCTGCCCGGCCTATCTGAAACTGCATATGTATATGTGCGCGCGCGCGTCTATGTACGTCTGTGTGGCTGAGCCTTGTGTGTCTGGCTGCGTCTGGTTGTCGATAACGTGTGGAGGCACGCGTACATACTTGGACCATAGAGAGAGAGAGAGAGAGAGAGAGAGAGAGAGAGGCGGTATGTGTGCGCGTGCGTGTATGAGTAAGGGAGTCTACATGGCAACTCTGCTCTGCTCTCATATCTCGCTGTTTCTCGCTTCGTATATGAGCGGTTGCTCGATGGCTCGTGTATGTTATTGACTAATGTTTCAAGGAGGTCCAAGTTTGAAGGCATTTCGACGTAGGATAACTATGGGTGCCTACGTCTAGTAGTAGGTGTGAAGGCTTCGCACAACAGAATCCGACTCCGGATCAGCCGGTATCCTATGCGTCTTATGCTATGCCTACATGCCTCCTACACATGCGTATAGGCTCTCTGTGTGAACGCACAGTGAACATGTATATGTATAGGTATGTAGGTATGAAGAGCATAGCGGAACCGCCGCCCGCTTAACATGAAATGGGCCGAGTCGACCCTATTCGGGATCTTGGCGACTCCTCATGGCCAGCCCCCTTCCCCATGCGTCCTGCCCCTCCCTCTCCTCTCTCTCTCGTCCTCGTCCCTTGTCCCCTGTGGAAGATCGTACTGCATGCATATATACACACATACACACACACATACATACATACATACATGTACACCTACGCTACAAGTTGCGTAGCATGAGTGTGTAATTACGTAGTAACAGATATGCATGTAGACTAACAGGCTCTCTCTGTCTATATTTTCTCCCCCACCCTTTTTTTTACTGATACGCCCGTGCCCCAACGAACTCGACAGGGGAGGGCGTTGTTCTTTAACCTCACACAGCTACGAAACGGCAGCGAGCTCTTGGTCTGATCACGCACCCTGGTCCACGGCAGGGCTCACCCGGATATCGGCTTCACGTCGTCGAGGCAGGCCGACACACGATGTATTTACATATGTGTGGGGGCTCGCGTGCCTACCTAACCATTCATACCTTACCAGCCTACATACCTCCACGCACATATTCCGATCGATTAATAATACGTGGTGGTATTAATCAAGGGTTTCGGTGACTCGAGGAAAAGGACAAGAAGAGACCATCTCATTAACGTCCCACCCCAGGGGTTGGCTGGCGTCGAACTAGCCTTGGCTGTGTCCTGCCAGCATGGCACGTCGTAGCATCTCGTCTTTACGTACTCTGTAGTAGGTAGGTATGTTTGTAACTCGCGCTGCTGACTCGCGCTGCTGACACGCTCCCCTTGTTAGAATCCCCTCACTATCGCCCATCCGGCATCGAGTGTAAAAGAGCCTCCCCAGCCTCAGGGCCTGCCCTAGAACGTAGGTAGGTAATATGTGTGCATATACGTCTATATGAACGCATCGTCGACGACGCCCAGAGCCGCAAGGACGCCAGCCATGTCACTGCCCCCCCCCCCCGTAACCAGAAGGCCCTTAGGAGGGCCTCGGCAATGGTCAGCTAGCCTTCCAATCCTCGCTCGGGGGCTTGGACGCTGGTCATTCTCTCCAATTGAAGACGGTCGTTCTCTTGGGAACTTCATTCTCGCCTTCTTGGTCCTTCTTGTCACTTTCTTGTCCGTCGTGATTTGTCACTGCGGTATTCCCTTTTTCTCTCATCTCTGCTTCTCTTCGTTGTTGGCACCCGACTGGTCGGTTTTCGGCATTTTTTTCTTATTCTCTTTTTTTCTTTTCTCCTTCCGTACTGTTATACTTAATCTCCGAGGCCTGTTGCCGTCGTCGCTGTCGCTGTCGCTGCTCGTTTTCCGGATTCGGGATATTACCTATATCCCAAAAAGGATTTACACACATGCGCAGCACACACACACACACCCTACCCACTCACACTTAACACGGCAAAGCTGTATCGAGGCTGTCGAGGCACACGAGACGAGTGGAGGTTAACACGGGAGCTGCTGGGTCAGCCACGGATCGACCGCTGTGAACGACAGAGATTTTGTGCGCCACGCCAATCATTGGAAATTTCTCGAATACTGGTCTTTCCGTCTCTCTCCTCCGCATTTCGCTCTCCAGTTCGAAGTCGCCGAGTTGTGGCGAGAATCTCCTCATGCCGGGTGTCGTAGGGTGGTACTAATAGTCAGGCTTTATTCCGCCAGATATGGCGGCCCGACTCGCCCTCATTCTTCAGCTGATCGTCGGGGTTTCTTACAGTCACGCCGCCACCCTCGAGCGCCGCGGCGAGCACTTCCTCAAATTACCTGTCATCCATTCAACAAATAAAGATGTATTCCCGGACGCCTGGGACAAGCGGGCGATAGTAACAGTCCCGCTGGCCAATCGGTCCGACGTAGCCTATTATGCCCAGCGTTCGTAATCCTTCACCCCATCTCATACCGCTCCATCTTGTCATCCCGTCGTAGTTCGTTGCTAAGTCGTGCCTCACTCTGCGTGTGGAAGTGGACATCGGTACCCCGCCGCAACAGGTCTACGTCCAACTGGATACCGGCTCGTTCGAGCTATGGGTGAATCCTGACTGCTCCAACCTCAAGGGCTCTGCGGACGTTAGGTTCTGCCGGGCCGTGGGCCATTACAACCCGTCGTCGTCGTCTACCGCCAAGCAGGTTGCCGGCACCAAGACCTTGCGCTACGGCATCGGCAGCGCTCTAATACAGTATGTCCAGGATGATATAGCGCTCACTGGCACGGGTAAGTCCTCCCCGCTCGGACTCCTCTGTATGGGCATCCCGAATCTCACCTTTCGTCTAGATTCGCAACTGAAAGGGATCCGATTCGGGGTCGCCATCGATACGGTGGACGAGTTCTCTGGTATTCTAGGCATCGGTCACGGGAACAACGTGACTCTCACTTACAGGAACTTCATCGACGAGCTCGAAGAGCAGGGCATCACGAACACCAAGGCGTTCAGCCTCGCTCTCGGTGGCAAGGATGAGCGCGAAGGCGTCGTCATCTTCGGCGGCATGGATACCGGCAAGTTCACTGGTACTCTTCAGACACTGCCGATCGTCCCGGCGGCGCAGTCGCCCGACGGCGTCCCGAGGTACTGGGTCAACATGACCTCGCTCGCCCTGACCCCTCCGAACGGCGAGTCGAAGAGGTACATAGACACCACGATGGCCGTCTTCCTCGACAGCGGTGCCACCCTCACGCTGCTGCCCACGGACCTGGCCAATGAGATCGCGATGGACTTCGGCGCTGAAGCTACGGAAGCCAACGGGTTCTACCAAGTTAGCTGCGCCCTGAACGACATACCAGGGACCCTCGACTTCGCCTTCGATGGCGTGACGATACATGTACCGTACAGAGAGCTAGTTCGAGAGTTCCAAACGAGTCTCGGTACGCAGTGCTTCTTGGGGATCAGTCCTAGCGACGACTTCATACTACTCGGCGACACTATGCTGCGCTCCGCATACGGTGAGCTTCCCTGGCCCTTCTACCTAGCGCAACAGCTTGAATGAAGGCTACCACCATGCTTTAATAAGGAGCATTAGCTAACGACCTCTTCCCGTTGAAGCCGTCTTCGACCAGACCAACGACGCCGTGCATATGGCACAGTACGTCAACTGCGGCACGAATGAGGTCGAGATCACCGATACGACGGACTTCTCGACTATCCGGGGTGACTGCGACCCCGAGTCCACCAAGAACTCGGCCTCTGCGGTAGGTGGCGTCGTGCCCACCATCACCGCGCCGCCGATCGGGTCCGGCGCGAGCGTGAGCTCAGCGTTGCCATCGACGCGCGCATCGACTAGCATCTACGGGCCCGCGGGGTCGTGGGTGTGGCTGCTCGCGACCGCGCTCTGGGCGGTATATCTCGCGGCGTGAGGGGCCTGCGCTGATGACTATTAAGTAGATGATGTGTCAAGCTCATATGTATATATAACCTGCCGCACGCACTTGTCTATAACCCTGTCGATATTCTTAGCATCCGAGTCCGGCGTTCTGGCCCAGCGTTTGCATTCTCTCTCGAGAGAGAGTGGGCCTAAACATATAGATGTGAAGGTCTATAGTAATCTTGAGGTTCATAAGAGGGGCTACGCCCAGTCATAGAACCCTGGTTGGCATAGCACCAGGGCACGTGACCGCTCCTCCCGTATATAGCTGGCTCCTGGAGGGCGCGGCCTCAGCAGAGCGCACCTTACTTCCTTTTCCTCCTCGTACAGCTTTATTCCTTCAATTTACACCCTTTCACCCAGCGAACAGCTCTTGAAACCGTGACATAGGGGTAGGGTAGCCCGAGGGGGGTGTGTCCCGTGGTTATGTGACAGATGGTACGGTTTATATGATACGTAATTATGGGCGCGTAAGTACGTAATCGGTCACGTATAGCCATAGGGTAAGCCCTGCCCTAGCGAGGGCTAATCGGGATATAAAAGGTACGTAAAACGGCTTTAAAAGGCTACGTAAATGACTATAATTTAATTAATTATTTACCCGTTCCTTAGATAGCTATATAGTAATACTTTATACGTTTCGTAAGCTTATTATTACGCTATTTTATTATTATTTAACTACTTACGCTACGGAAGTAATTAGGTAACGAAAGCTCCGATAAACGAGCGGCCCGGGATAACCGTATAACTACGATTAACGGTAGAAAGAGGTTATCGATAAGTTAAACGATTAAATCGCGAGGATAGCTACGAGGATAGTTACGAAATTATAAAATAAAGCGGCCGAGGAAGGAATCGAATAAGAAACTACGTAGGATATCGCGTTAAAGGACCTCCGTAAGGAAATACGTAGGGAGCTATAGAAGGGCTTACGTAAAACGACCGAATATATTAATTAACGTATAAATACCGTAAAGTATTTCCTTAGGGAGATAATAACTAAGTTAAAAATAATAAGCGAATAACGGTAAGGAAGCTATCGCTAACCTTAATAAGACGTCGTCGATTTAATAAAAGAAGGCGACTTTACCGACGTTAACGAAGGTAAGGATAAACCTTATATTAAAGATTTAAAAACTCTAAGGAAATTAAATAAATCGGTTATAAAGACTTAACGAATCTACGGTAAGGACTACCGTAGGAGCCGCGAAAATAGCCGTTATTATTATACCTCGCGCTTAGCCCGGCGTAAGAGCTACCGTCGCCGGGGCCGTAGCTTAAGTAACCCATTAGGAAGCTCTTCCGATAGTAACTCCGATTACGATAAACGACGTAGCCGGAAAGCGAGGAGCAAAGGTATCGCGTTTAGGAAGGACGGTAGGATTAATTAGAAAAAGTTCGTCTTTAACCCCGATAAGGACGCTTATCTTAAGGGAATTTCGAACTAAAGCTTATATCGGGATATACTTATGTTTTTATAAAGGAGGTAAGATATAAAAAAGAGGTAGAACTCGACGAATAAGACGAGATATCCCTAGCGAGAGTAATCGCCGGAACCTACCGGGGTTAACCTTTATAATTAATAACGGGCGTACGTTTAGGTATAAGGATATTAAAGATATTTGATTAAACCTATACCTCTATAAGAAAGGCTCGTTAATAAGAGTTATAGGAGTAACTTATTAAGATAAAATACGACGGTAAGGACCCGGTAGAGTTTACGTTTAAGTAATAATTAACCGTTCGTTAGTATTGAGGAAGTATAGAGCGTATGCGATGCTGGAGACCCGGATAGGTTTACTTGAAAGTATATTCTATCGAAGACTATAGTACGTACGATGGTTTAAGACGGATAAAACTAATATCGTTATATTAATCGAGAGATAAGGAATTTAATGTAGTTATCGTATCTTAGTTATACCCCTAGGTCGTAGAGATGTAGTAGTCGCTAGCCCGAAGGTATAAGAGGTAAGGAGAGAAAAGAGGTAAAACGTAAAAGTCATTTATCCGGTTATAGCGGTACGACGAAGTAACTTAAGCGCCTATAACTAAAATAAATATATTAATCGGAAAACGACGAATCTAATGATAAAAACGAATCTTTAATTAAGGTAAAAATAGTAAAGATAATAATCTAGCTAAGTAATGAATTAGATAATAAGTATGATATATTCTATACTTACGGGAGCCATGGTTACTCTATATAGGTATAAGGCCTATCGTAACGTATTACGTAATATATTAAGAGGATATATTTTACCGCATTATTATAGCCTCCTTAGTTTAATTATACCGTAAGAAATAATTAAACTAAAAAGGGTAGTACGGTATGTCCCGATTAATATCCCCCTTTAAAAACTACCGCGAAACTTTATTCTACCGGTTATTATCTAATTATTACCGTCGTACCTTTAGTTTCTCGTTTAATATTATAAGGAGGCCCTTTTATTACTTTACGGTTAACTTAGCCCGGTTATCTTCGCCGATTTAACCCGATCGGTATTTTCCTTTTCTATTTCGGCTATCTTCTTTTTAGTTTCGTCCTAGCCCTCCTAATTAGGGGAATAGCAGGGAAGCGGGCGCGTCCCGAGGGTTAACTAGGTATCTTTCTTTTACTTATACGGTATAGAAGTCTCCCCTAATTAAAAAGCCTTAATCCTTTCTAGTCCGGGAGGAAGGAAGGAACGCGTTATAACTTTAACGAGGTTATTATAGCGGAGGTTTACGTCCGCTAATACGAAAAAGTAAAAGGGATTAAGTATTAAGGCTATAAAGGAACGACGGACTTCGGTTTATACGATAAACCGAACGAAGGATTTACGGCTAAGGGGTTCGCCGATCGGCGTACTTTAAGCGGATATTATAACGTTTATAAGGTTAATTTACTTTTAATAATTTACGGCTTACCGAAAACACTTAACGATACTTACTTTTCCTTTTAAAACTCGAACGCTATAAAATTACTCTATTACTTCGGCGTATTTTCTTATGGTATTAAGGGAATCGAATCCCTTATTCTTTTAGGCCTAACGCGCGACCTCGATCGGTCGTTTAAAGATAAGATATGGTAAAATGCCGCTTTAAAAACCGTAACTAAAGCTATTTTATTAGTTTATTAACGCGACGTAGTAAGTAAACTAAGGGGTTATATTAGGTTCGAGATTACCGTTTTCCTATATTTACCGTAGTTAGCCGAGCGCGTAAGTCGCCCGATCGAGGGCGCCGTTTTTAACTATATTAAAGCTAAATAGTTTCTAGGGCTTAGGAAGGTATAGTATTACGGCGAAGTAGGCTTAGGAGAACTTTAAAAGGTCGGTAATAGCTCGTTCGGGGTTTATTAGATCCGTATAGATCGTAAAAACTAAAGTAAAGGTAAGGTTATCGAGAAGGTATTAGCGGATTAAGAAGTTAAACGATCCTATCGATCGGTAGTTTATCGTTTAATACGGGTTTACTTCGAAGGCCGCTTTTCGGCTTTTAAGGTCGTAGCTAGTTATGGTATAGAGGACGCGGATATCTTCGTTAGTAAGGTAGTCGTAACGGGCGAGGCATACGAAAGAGTTAGCTAAGGCTACCTTCGTTTATTCTTATAACTATTAGTTTATAATTCGGGATCGATTAACGGATAGCCGGAAGGCTTAGGCTATATCGGATCTTAATTCGATCGAACCTTTTTCCGAATCGTAGTTATCTAAAATATTAAGTTAGTACTTTTTTATATTACTTTAGTTATTTTTATTACCGTAAATCTTCCGTAGGAGTTTAATTAAGTCGGTTAGATCGGCGCGACGTACGTTTCTATGGACGGAGGGGAGGAAGAAGAAAAGGGGGATTCCGGCGAAACGGGGGAAAGATATAATAAAAATAAAAAAAAAGAATTAAAAGAAGAGGAAGAAAAGATAATAAGTTAAAGGTAAAAATAAGAATTTAAATTAATAATAAGAAAGGTAGGCTAAAGATTAATAAGAATATAATAATTATAGGAGGGAAGGTTTTCGAAATAGGATATCTAAAGAGGAAAAAAAGAGGGAGGAAGGGAGACGTATTAACGATATAATTAGATATATCTTTACGGTTAATTCTTTAGGAAAGCGCGTTTCCCCGTATACGTATAAAGTTATAATAAGAGACGCGTTAGCTTATAGCTTCTTATTATATGCTTTTAATAAAGTAATAAATACGTACGTTCGTAGATTCGTAATTAAACGTAGGCTAAGGTAGGTATTATCGAGACTCTTCTAAGTACGGTACTTACGACCTAAGTAACGTATTCGATTCTCTCGTTTTCGTCCGACCTTTTCTTTTATTTCTCGTTATTTTACGGTTCCGATCTACTTCCTTTCTTCCTTTCCTTAGGTCCTTTATCTTCGTTTTAATTCGTTTTTCGATTTTTTTTAATTCTAGATTTATAATTTCGTTATTCCTATTTTTCTTTCTTATATATATATATATAATAAACCTTACTATCCAGAAGTAACTCCTTAAATTAGACCGGGCGACCGCTCTTAAGTTACTCGAGTAGCTAAAGGCTACGGGAATTACCGACGAAGAGATTACCGGAACGTTTAAGAAGGCTAAGGAGGATAAAAAGAAGGCCGTAACGTATTAACGGACTAAGTTAATACCGCCGCCGGTAAACCTAATAAATAAATAATCCGACGAATCCTTCCGCCGCTTACCTTTTATCGAGGAGTTTCGGGACGTTAATCGGCTAATTCCTAAGCCTTAATAGGTACCGTATATCCCGTACTTCCGTTTCTTAGACTAAAACCCGAAAGTAATTATCGGCCGATAATTCCGAGGTATCGAGGGAATTCGGGTAATAAATTAATAGCGCTAGGTATATAGCTTTTAATATTAATAGGATTTATTAATTAAAGGTTATATTAATTAATAATAAGATAATTTATAACGTTCGGTTTTATTTTCTAGGTAGGCCGGCGGCCGGCCGGTATATCGTATAAAAGATTATAAGTAAGGATTTTTAAGAGG